AGGGAGGGAGAGAGTTGTCTAGTCACATGTCAAACCAAAATGGGCCGGCAGGGGGAGTGCGGAACAGTTTACAGTGCTGGCAGAGTCCCATTCTTTACAGTTGAAAGAGCATCATGATTCATGAATTACGTAGCTTTTTTTGGTGCCGTCTATCTACCATTTCCTGAGTGTTTTATCAGTCCTGTCGTGTTCCTCGATGCTGTCGCCGTGCTAGGTGTTCGTAGCCCTAGCCGCTGCCCCTCTGGGTGGCTTTGGTGGTGGTGTTGTCTTGTAAGTGCCAACCAGAAACGCGTTCTCGATTCCCGACCTGCTGGACAGGCCTCTGTGCGTTGTTGCACGTGCACGCCGAACCCGGAAGTGCTCTGTTACAGTATGACCATAGTTCGATGGTTGCATTTTCCCGCCCTGTTTGCGCCGCGTGCCAGAGATTACGAAGTCGATCACTCACCAACAATGATACCCTGAAGCTTGAAATCAACTGTCGGCTCTTTGACAGGATTAAGGAAGAACGAATTGTTACAATTCTTTGGAGACAGACGACGGCAAGTGTCAACACATTCATGAGAATCCTCAGAATAAGTCGCAGGGGAACTTTGGTCAAGAAAGAGGGCGACCAGCAATTCGCGACTTTAAAAGCGTGGGTTGCTGCGGGAGAAGTTAGGTTGTCATACTTAGGGGGAGTACTAACCAGCCTTCTCATGTATGACGGGTGCTTTTTGGTTTCAAGTAAACGTTAGCACCAGATTGGGGCTTATGAACCATCGCATCATCCTGGATAGCGTTGGTCAACAGCTCAACTACGGCAGCTATAAAGACAGTAAATAGAGGAAGTTATGCAATAGAGAGGGGGTGAAATGAAGGGGGGAAGAGAGGACTCTAATGCGCTACAGCTGACCAGCGTATAGAATCTGGAGCCATTTCTCGAGTCGGACGGTATGCAACCGTTCACATCAGAATCATATCATTAATCTATTCAAGCTATATGTGACTACCGCTACGGCTCTCGTGCTTGAAAATAGGAAGCCCCTCTGTGATATTGAGACTTCATTCTAGCCAGCATCATAAGTCTCAGTGTCGTTTCCAGAAGAGAAAATGTGCCATTATGTCGATACAGCTTTTGTCTATTCCCAATGTACCGCAGAACACACGGGTGACCAACCGAGCCTATTTTCTCTATACCAATTCAAATTCCAGAAGACTAGAACGCCAATGGCGAGATGCTATTCCTGATCCAAATGTGGCTCTGGGCTCCACAAAACGGAACCAGGAATGCCCGTTGTGCAATGGCAAACGGCTCGAAGTGGCTGTGGTAGCTTGTCTGAATACACTGTTTAAAGAGAAGACCATAATGTCCCCAGGCTTACCACCAAAATTGAGACTCCCGAAAAGCGTTTAGGCCGATTTTTTGGCATTGGTATACTTGTGCGTCCTCATCGGTGCGATCTGGAGTAAATCCACGGCGGCGGCAAACCTCATTCGCAAAATGACAAGCGCTATGCCAGCAATTTTGGCTGATTCGGGGCGTACTCAGGGAGCGCTCCGTGATGCTCAGCCAAAGGCCCAGTCAAAGCTCAGCTTACAGCGGCCTTCACTCCTTCTCGAGTAAATGGCAATCAATAGCTTTTTCATTCTTGAGTACTGGGTAATACCTACAGCTACTCGTGCAGTGCTTGTGGCAAGTGCAAAGAGGCGTCCTTAGCGCCTATTCCTCAGAACTCGGCACATAACTGTCAGCCAGACTCTCTCTTATTGATACTCCATACCATACCGCCCCATTACCTCCAGCATAGCCATGTGCCTCAAAGCGCCCACTGGGTCGCTCTGAGGGTCGCCAAATGCCTCTCAGGGAATTATCCCCGATCCTGGTGAGCCACGATGGGCAGGGTGGGTCAGACCAGGCTTTACCATCTCGCTGCAACGCTCAGAGAGTCGAAAATACTTGACCCGACATAATACCTATTGGACCGCTACTCCGTACAAATACATTCCTCGCGAGCAAGGAAACTGTGCCAACTGATCAACATCCCTCGAAAGTATCGTATCCCACTAGCATGGAACGGAGCGGAATGAGAATACCATGTTCCAGACTCCATCCCGTCCGACGATCAAAATGTACATCCAGGTTCGGGCTCGTCGGGGAGAGGAGGGTATTCCGGCCTCCTCAGCGACGCGAATATCTCCGCTCGCTCTCTTGCCTTTATATCTGTCGGCAGAAGCACAAGCAATGACCCCACCATCTGAGCCGCGCCAGAATGTCGACAAGTGAGAATGGCGTGCGTCAACGCCGCATTGAGTTCCCGAGACAGCATCTCTCGTTGAACTCTTCTTCCGTCGAGTTGATCCAGCCAGTCTTTTTCCTCGTCTGATTGCAAGGCTGCAGACAGTATCGACAGAGGCTGCGGCCTTGCGTATGGTTGGTGGTTTTGCTGACTGTCGTTATCCCTAGGAGGAGCTCCTCGGGGCGCCACAGTAAGTGGTCTCTTTGCGAAAATCAGAACTGCTGACCGATAAGTCTATTGTACAGTAGAGGTAACAGAGAGTGGAGATCTCCATACCCGAAGAAGTATCCATTCTAGCCCTCGCTTAGCTTGCAGATCTGGCAGCCTTGGAGGTTGTCGGTCCGGGCAACAGTCAAAATGTCTTGTTCAAGAGACTTGGAGAGGATGCTTGATCCGTATGTCCAGGCAGGAGGACTCGGGGAGAGAAGTTATAGAAGGAACGAGCTTGGATGGAAAAGAGCCTCTTGTCTAGGGGAGGGGAGAAGTGAGAAGCCCCCGGGGCGGCAGAGGTTTTCTATCATCATGTCAATCCCATTGCTCATGTCTCGCATCCCAATTAGTGGCAGTAGCCCGCCCTTTCTGGTTCTCAAGGACCGTGGGTGTTGTGGATGACATGCAAGGTGTCTTGAATGACAGACGTTCCTGCGAATGGTGAGGCAGATGGCTGAAATTGGAGCTTCCCGTATCTGCCGTGGGGGGTTGGATTCGCCCGGGTATTTTCTGGCACGACAGTGGATCTGACACAGAAAACACATATCTGAACGCAATTGCCATCCCTGGACCCGAGATGGGAAGCAGCCATATCGGTGGACGGTTGTTGTGTACTCGGTATAACAGGGGGGATCACTGGGACACATCAGCGCGCCCTCGATTCTTGGGTGATATTGGCTGCGTGATTGAAGTGGAACCTTGTCACTTGCAAAGTAACTTCCGAAGTTTTCCTCTTCTGCGGTCCAGCAATGGGCTTGGTGGGGAAGGGAAGCCCCTGGTAAAGCAGGGAGGGCTTTTGTTGGGCTTTGACAGAGAAAACAGGACCTGGATGGAGAAGTTTGCGGCAGACAGCTAGATCGGCGAACAGGCCCTGGTCGACAAGCGGTGACCGCACTCCCCCCCGCTTTGCTTTGTATCCACACCTACCAATTGACGCGTCGACTATCTAGTTGTTAGTCGTAGGAAATGCTGGAACGCGTCCCGATTTGCCAGAAGCCTCCCTTGTCAGCCGTCGTCGACGCGCAGGAGCTGAATCCTGAAGCCTGAAGCGAGAAAATGCCATCCTTCGGATCTAAGCCCGTCCATTCTGTCCTTGGGTGGTGCACCACTCGTCTCCGCAGTTCGGAGTGGTGTTCATGGAGCTTGATATGCCGCGCCCTGGATGTCTGGTCGAGGTTGCCCGATTTCCAGAGTGAGGCTGGTGGGCTTGTGAGGGAAGGTCGGTGGTTTCAGCCTCGCTAGGGCGCGGGGGGCGCGGCACTGCTGATCATTAAGTGGTCCGAGCTGTGGAATGCCCTCCAGGCGAGAATTGGCCGCGAAACGGCACGCAGCGGCAGCAACCATGCTCAAAATTGGGAGGAGAGTCCTTGGAGGTCTGAGAGGGGGTGAACCAGTTCGATCTAGCGGAAAGCCCCCTTTGCCCCTTACAGCAGAAGGACCGGGAAGAGGGTGTAGTTGACGACATACCATTGCACCAAGGGGGGGGGGGCAGAAGCGGGGGCGAGGGACATTTTGGTTTGGACAAGCTGCCAGCCACCAAGCCATCTTGCCATCGAGCCATCGAGCCATCGAGCCATCCCGATGTGTGTCATTGACAACTGATCATGGCCCTGATGCCACGCATGGATCTCCCCTCTTTGGCCGCCACCATCGTCGGCTCTTTCAGCCCTTCTTTGCCAGCTGCGCTTGGACTCCCAGGATTCATTCCGTGCATCTCGCCGATGATTGGTGAGATGACGCCCCGCCGCCAATATCGCAGGAGCTCTACCAAGTACTCGTTTCCGAGGTATCAAGAATCAAGATCCGGACATGGGGAGTGGCAGCAGGCCCGTGCCCTGTCCTGTCGACCGAAACTGATACTCTCGGAGTAGCATACCCAGTCATTTTCATTGTTCCTTGGATGGTCCGAAATTGAGGGGCTGCGCAAGGCTGCCAGCATGGCCAGCTGAAATGTCGCGAGCGTATGGGGAGATGTCTTATCGGTATACGAGGTACTCAGGACATACATCCTCTACGTGGTCGTCGAGAGACCACAGGTAGGTAAACACCGGTGCACCATCCCGTTCAGGCATTCACCTCCCTGATCACGCCCATGTATGTCAATTCGCTACCAGTCCTACCGTTCCATCTAGGCCAGGCATTCCCCAATGCGAGTACCATTCTAAGGGTTCTCGGCGTCAGGTGGAATGTGATGGGGCCACACACAGCAACCCGGCTCAATGGCAGCCCAGATAACCTCCCCCTTTTTCTTTCCTCGTCGGGTGGGGAGGGCACCTGTCAGTTGTTGAGTGGCTTCTTTCTGTCGACGCCATTGCATGCCACCAATTTTTGCTCTTCATTAACCACTTTGCCTCAGTCCTTCTTGTTCGGCCAGTTTCCCACATGGTCCCAGAGAGGATGGTGCTCGTACAAGAACGAGTGGAGGCCGACAAAGTTGAATCAACAGTGGGAAGTCGCTTCGCGAAGAAGTGCAATGGTGTGGGTGTAGAAAAGTCGCATGTCCTTCTTGACTCAGCCTGGCTCGGCAGCATGCGCATCCCAATCACTAGCCCAGATGAACGTGTTGCACCTCCATTGCGTCCCTTTCTCCTGCTTCCCACTGGGGCCCAGCGGCCGCGCACACATCCAGAAAGACCTTCCGCAATTTGCACCCGGTTTCTTGGTGAGCATGGTTTTGCATGGTTCGCCGTGCTCGCATTTCGGAGCCACGGGCTTGGAGAACAACTTGCCCCAGGTTTGCCTTGCTGCAAAACTGGCCGCTTCCTCTTCGACTGACGGAGGCGCCCTGGGCGTGGCTGGCGCTTGGAGTTCTTCGGCTTTTGCTTCAGCTACAGGTTGGTCAGTTCTGAGAGCCTGATTTGTCGATGTTTTGGCAGAAAAGAAGCCTTTGAGACTCTGCTGGCCCTTGCCGAGGCCATTGGAAGTAGTCAGAGGAGCTGTCTTGCTGCGTTTTGCCGCTGTCGGTGCTTCGAATGCTTTTGCGGACCTCTTCCCACTGCTGCCTTTAATATTGGCCGATGCGTTCGATACTGTCTTCGAAAGAGCATTCATGTCGTCCCCCTCAGGGGGCATCCGAGCATCGGCGTCTGCAATCGCTATCGTCACAGGGGTATCCACAGCTGCGCCGTTGGCGTCTGTCTCTTCAATGCCGATTTTGGACTTGATGAGCGTTGGCTTCCGCGTGAACATGTCCCGGATGCTCTGTCTCTTGTCGAATTCTTGGATCAGCTTGCCAGACATGGGTAGCATGCATTTGGTGGTCCACTCTTGTTTGCGCAGGCCACTCACGAACATGCCGGGTGGGTTGACCATGTCCAGCATATGGCGCTCGACTCCGTCCACGACCACAGTATCCTTCAACACGGCATAGACTGGGCAGTGATCAGATCCCATCAACCCTTCCTGGATGTTTGCATCACTGAACCAGTCTTTCATGTCATGGCTGCACACCACGTAGTCAATCCTTGATCCATAATTTCCCGGTCGCGCGTTAACTCTGGTCTCCCAACAAGTGTACATGCCCTTACGATCTTCATGAAATGACCGACAGACGTCCCACATGACCGGCTTTTCTCTCCCCTCATCCCTCTCCCCATGTACTTTGCCACCCACTAGCAGTTGGTTGAACATCCTCCGTGCCGGTGTGGAGATCCACTGGACTGGGCCGAGCCCATTCTTTCGCATGCTCTCTTGCGCGGCTGCAGTGTCAATTTCCTCCCTGGATATGTTGAAGTCGCCCGCCCAGACCACTCTTTTGCCCATTTTCACGAGGTTCCGTATTCTGGCGTCCAGCACGCGGAGATAGCTTGTGCGATAGTGAGTGCGCGTTTCGTCGCGCTCGGCCGGACAGTAGGTGCCGATCAGGACAAAGGCAGGAAACTCAAGAATCACACATCTCCCCTCGGAATCGAGAGTGGCCGGGTCGTAGTCCGCTTCGGACAGTTGTTCAGCGTTGGGATATCCCCCAATCTGTTCCTCCTCGGGCAGGTCTCGAAAACTGGTGGAGGTGTTTGGAGGGGTCAGGATGCCGGTGACGCCTTCTTCGGCTCGTATGGGGGCGCAGGTCGCATTGCGGGTGTAAATGACAACGCCAGAGTATCCTGAGACCGTCAGCGTGCCCGAAGCAACACACTTGCCCAGCTGTACCTTTCTTGTGCTTGGGCAGGCTCCAGTAGTTGTCCCAGCCTGGCACCAATACCATGTCGTCGCGGAGATCTTTCCTCTGAATTTTGGTTTCCTGGAAGATGACCATGTCCGCCTCGAGAATGTCGAACATGCCTTCAAACGTCCTCTTATCTCTCCATGGCTGGTATCCAAATGGGTTTCGTATACCATTGACATTCCACGTGGTGATGCGAATCCCCATTTCTGCAGGCTATCGAAGGCGTCGCCGCCTCATCGTAGGAGTGGTGGGAGGAGGTGAGAGGGAAGTCGGGAGCCCAAGTGGAAATGCCAGACGCTCGTATCGAGTACACATGTACTGGAAAAGAAGTAACGAGTGACAATGATTCAGAAACAAAAGGGCTTTAAACGGCGGTGACGCGCAGTCAAGCAACTGTGAATGGCGATGAGGTGAGTCGGACAATGATGTCGACTTCATTGAGGGTGCTTGGTGGGTACAAGCGCGAGTGGTGCCAGCCGCCGTGCCAGCCGCCGTGCCAGCGAGTGGCCTACCGTGCCTGGGGTGCCTGGGGTGCCTGGGGTGGTCAGCGCCTGTGACTCCTATCTAGCACTACCCAGTACAAGTACAAGTACAAGGTACTATCGAGGACCGAGCAGGAAGGTGCCGAGAACCGTACTGGGTACTACATAGCCTGTGACGCGGCGACTGCCCAGCGCTCGTCGCCACCATGTCGCAACTGGTTGTCTGTCGACTGTGCTGCTCCTCTGACGTAATTCTTCGTCGGGCGCAGGCATTCATCATTCACGGTTCCCCCAACTGGTCTCTCGCATTCATCAACCAGCATCATCCCATCGACCTGAAGAGTTGAAGAACAGCGACGAGAGAAGAAGCCTAGTCCATCCCTTGTATCACTCTGGGTTTTGCTGCAACCGGCGTCAAACTCCTTCTTTGGGTGCTAAGATTGACCTGTCTGGGTTGCCCTCTCTGGTACCCTTGGCCTGCCCCGCCACAGTTGAGTGGCTGTGCCATATTTTCACTTCGCGATTCTCAATTCTGTCCAAGTTTTGTTTCCTTGCCCTTTTGCATCACCGCCAGCAACGGGTCCCATTTGAGCCATATGTTCCTTTCGTGCGGATAAGATTCCTAATTCTCCCTGGCCTGGGTAACGGCCACTTCGCCCAAGATGTTGGAAAGTCTCGTCGCCAACCTTCTCAATCGATTCTTGGGCATGTACGTCAAGAACTTCGACCCCAAGCAGCTCAATGTCGGCATTTGGTCGGGTGATGTCAAGTTGCGCAACCTCGCGCTGAGGAGGGAAGCCCTTGATCAACTGCATTTGCCCATCAATGTGGTGGAAGGCCATTTGGGTGAACTGACCTTGTCAATACCGTGGTCCAACCTGAGAGGAAAGCCCGTCAAAGTCAACATCGAAGACGTCTTTCTGCTCGCCGCGCCCAAGGAGGAAGATGATTATGACCCCGAGGAGGAGGACAAGCGGGCGACGGCTGTAAAACTGGAAAAGCTCGAGAGCGCCGAGTTGCTCAAGGAGCGGAACACTGAGGCTATGAGTCCAGAGGAACAGCAGAAGAGTCAAAGCTTCACGCAGAGCTTTGTGGCAGCCATTGTTGACAACCTTCAAGTCAGCATTAAAAATATCCACATTCGATATGAAGACTCTATCGCGACACCTGGTCATCCCTTCGCCGTGGGCTTCACGCTCAAGGAAATGAGCGCCGTCTCGACCGATGCGGATTGGCAACCGACATTTATCCAATCCACCTCAGGAACCACTCACAAATTGGCGGTGCTGAATTCGCTGGCTCTCTATTGGAACACTGACGCAGATCTTTTTGGTACCGGCAAGGGCGGTGATATTGGCGCCGAGGCACAAGAAATCGACAGAGATGAGCTGATACGCCGCTTCAGAGCAGGCATAGAAGACACCAGCCACTCACAATATCTGCTCAAGCCAGTCAGCGGTCGCGCTGGAATCGAGATGGACAAAACGGGTCGGACAGACAAACCAAAGACCAAAGCACGTCTTCTTTTCCAGGAGCTCGGATTCATCATCGACGATGACCAGTACCGGGACGCCCTGATGCTTGTGGATCTGATGCACTACTTCGTCCGCCATCACGAGTACAAGCAGGATGCACCAAAAGAGAGCCCGAAAGAGAACCCTCGAGCCTGGCTCAGATTCGCGGGAAACGCCGTCCTGACCAAAATCCAGGAGCGGAATAGGAAGTGGACTTGGGAGTATTTCAAGGAGCGCAGGGACACCCGACGCAGGTACATTGAACTTTTTAAGAAAAAGAAGAGGGAGCAAAAGTTCACCGAGCAGGAAACAAAAGAAATGACCCAGCTGGAGCACGATCTAAGCTATGAAGATCTGCGATTCTGGCGGTCGCTTGCCCGCACGCAGTTGCGCAAGGAAAATGTGGGCGTCAAGAAGCCAGTGCAAAAGCAGACCTGGTCGTCTTGGATCTGGGGCACCCAAACCGATGAGACCCCAGATGATGAAGATGCCGGCATGACAGAACAACAGCGTAAGGAGCTGTACGACGCCATCGACTGGGACGAAAAGAAAGCGATTGCCGAGAGTGTCGACCTGCCTCGAGAGAGCGTCAAACTTCAAGTGGAATCGAGTCTCAGGACCGGCAGCTTCACGTTGAAACGTGACCCGCATGGTCAACAAACCGAGGTCCTCAAACTGGTTTTTGACAATTTTAGGGCAAAGGCACTTCAACGGCCTGATTCTTTCTTGGCGGAACTGGCACTCGGGGGCTTTCGTGTTTACGACGGCACGACAGAAGGAACCTTGTTCCCACAGATTGTCAGAGTCAAGGGGGTCGAGAATCAGCCCAAGGATGAAGTGAAGCAAGAGGATACTGAAAGCTTGGAGGACGAAGGAGAGGCAGAAGACGACGCCGCAGAGAAAGAAGATCAGGAGGAAGACAGCTTATTCCACCTTGTTTTCGAAAACAATCCCCTTGATGAGAGCGCCGATACAAAAGTCAATTTGAAGCTCAAGAGTCTCGAGTTCATCCACAATCCAAAGTTTGTGGTCGAAATTGTCAAGTTTTTCAAACCTCCAGAACGACAAATGGAATCCATTGGAGCGCTGCTCGAGACTGCAGGTGCAACAGTGGAAGAGATTCGTCAGCAAACACGCGCAGGCCTTGAGTTTGCATTAGAAGAGCATAAAACCATCAATGCGAACCTGGACATCCATGCACCTATCTTCATCATCCCTGAAAGTATCACGGAAAAGAGTACACTCTGCATGATCCTTGACGCTGGTCACGTCAGCGTCAACAGCGAACTCGTGGACAAGGAGACAATGCGGGATATCCACGCTAAACAAAAGCAGAAATACACCGAAGAGGATTACAAACAGCTCGAGGGTTTGATGTATGACAAATTCCACCTGAAGCTCGAATCGACTCAGGTCCTGATTGGGCCTGGCATTGAAGAGACAAAGGCACAGTTGGAAGCACAAGACGACTCACAGAACATGCACATCATCGACCGCATAAACATGGCCTTCCTCTTGGAGAACTCGATAATACCAAAAGCCCCCGACATAACAAAGATCCGCATCTCGGGCACGATACCTGTTCTCCATGCGTCCATCTCGGATAAGAAATACAAAAATCTCATGAGGCTAATAGATGTCGCGATTCCGAAATTTGAACCTCCGGGAACGCAACCAAATGGCAACGCCGTCGAGTTGCGGCCGCAAAAAGGCATTGAAGACCAGTTATCGAAGAGGAAGTCCGTGCAATTGCTCGAAGCCAAGGATATGCCAGTCATTGAGCACGATTCGGATTCAGAGGATGTTTCCACCGAAAAGCACCCGAGCAAGCCTGAAACACCTGCTAATATACATCAGCGCAATTTTGAGATCAGCTTCACGGTCGAAAAACTGCAGGCCTCATTGTACAAAGCCGATCCAGAGGGCAAGAGGCCAGACCAGCTATTGGCGGAACTGGTTGCGGAGCGCTTCTATTTCGAATTCTATCTTCGACCCTACGATATGGTGGCAGAAGTGCTTCTGCGTTCTCTAAGCGTCGACGATCACATTGAAGAGGAACCACTGCCCGAATTCAAGCAGATAATTTCTTCCAAGGGCTTCAATGCAGAAGAGGGAAAAGACCTGCTCAACGTCAAATTCGTGAAAGTCAACCCTGAATCGCCCGAATTCCAGTCTACCTATGAGGGTATTGCCACCAATCTTGACGTATCCGTATCTACTATCAACGTAATCGTCACAAGGAGGACACTGCTAACTCTGCTGGATTTTGTCCTTACAACATTCACGAGTCCTGGAGATCAACAACCGGTGCAAAAAGATCCAGACGACCCGGAAGAGTCAGTTGGAGATCCTCAAACAGCAAGGCCCCAAGCAGATAAGATCAGAATCAAAGCCCAGTTAACCAGCATAGCGCTTATTCTGAACAACGACGGCGTGCGGCTTGCGACCCTATCATTGAATTCCGGTGATGTTGGAGTCTTCCTTGATGCAGGCACCATGCAGGTCAAGGCGAGATTAGGTAGTTTATCCTTGGTCGACGACATCAACCAGGGTGCACCTAAAGACTCTCCGCTGCGCCGATTGATTGCCATCGAAGGAGATGACCTAGCGGATTTCAAGTTCCAGACCTTTGACCCTTCCCGCAAGGACTACCCGGGATATGATTCGGGAATCTATCTCCGGTCAGGTTCAATCAAATTCAATTTCTTGGAGGAGCCGTTCCGGAAGATTATGGAGTTCGGGGTCAAATTTGGGAAAATGCAAGCCATTTTCAATGCGGCCAGACAGGCTGCAGCCAACCAAGCTACACAGGTGCAAGAAAGCGCGCAGAAGATGCACTTCGATGTCATCATCAAGACACCAATCGTCGTTTTCCCCCGAGCCATGGTCGAAGATAGGCCTCGCGATCTACTCACGGCATATCTTGGCGAGATCTATGCGAACAACAAATTCGTCCGAGTCCAGGGCTCAAAGGGTGGGCCTCTTGTCAACACACTCACAGCCGGCATCAGACATATTCGGTTGACCAGCGAGTTTCACTACAGCGACGGCAGATCTCAAGAGCTAGAGATGATTGATAAAGTTGATCTCGACTTCAAAATCCGATATCTTGAGCACCAAGAGGGCATCGAGAGACCAGACCTTGAAATTAATGGTTCCATGTCGCCAATAAACCTAAGGGTATCCCACACTCAATTCAAATTCTTGATGGAGCTGTCAAAATCCATTCCGGCAGCCTTTGCAACCGAAGACGAGAGTGAGGAGGATATTGCTGAGGAATTACCGTCATCCACAACAGAAAGTGCGAAGGCCGCTGAACCTGAAACAACCACATCCGAGTTACCTGCTAAGCCATCATACCAAGGTCCTGAGCTCGGAACCGGTGAGGAGACGTGGACCAAATTAAATTTAATATTCAAAGCACCAATGGTTGCCCTGGAATTGATCCTTGCAGATGAAGACGAGCCGATTGAGAACCTCGAGGCGGCCAGCCTCTCAAAATTCTCCATAAACGAGACAAATGCCAAATTGAGAATGGTCAGCGACGGTGCTATGGAGGCCGAGCTCGTGATTCACTCTTTCACCATCCGCGACAGCCGCACGAAAGAAACAAATAAGTTCCGAAAGATAATGTCTTTGATCAACAACGAAGTACAGCAACAGTTCATGGCCAGTCTGTCTATTACGGGCAGAGAAGATCGCCACATGATTGTCATGCTTACCATCGACAGTCCTCGGGTCATTGTCGCTCTGGACTACATCTTTGCCCTTCAGGCTTTCGCAAACACGGCGCTACAGTCCGATGGGGCATTGCCTATTGCCGATGTCGAAGATTTAACTGAAAATAGCGAGCCAAGCCTCAAAGAGCAGGGCCAGACAGAAGTTGGTATCCCGGAGACCTCATCCGCCAGTCAACCATCAATGACCATATCGTTTCGGCTCAACATTGTCGATGCGCAGATCATCCTCATTGCAAACCCCACCATCTCCAATACTGAGGCTATTGTCCTTGGGACCAAGGAAGTCCTCGTGTCAAAACAAAACGCGACGACGTTGCAGGTCAGTAAGATCGGCATGTTTCTGTGCCGGATGGATCGCTTTGAAACCAGCCGTCTTCGGATACTCGACGACTTCAGCATCCAAATGTCCATGGACAATCGAAGCCAGGGCAAAGACTCCTCGTTGACGTCGATTCACATTGGTGTAGAGCCTCTTGTCCTACGCCTGTCACTTCGTGACATATTGCTTGCGATGCAAATCGTCAGCAAGGCTTCGTCTACGATGCCGCAACCAAAGATGCAAGGAGATACGGAGCCAAAGAAGCTCAAAGATGTGAAAGCATCTTCCAAGGCACCTTCAACGAAACGCAAGTCGATCACGGGGCAATCAACCACGGCGCAGAGATCCAAGCGATCAAAATCAGTCTCCAAATCGACCAAATCTGGACCACAGCAGCATCATACAAAGTCGGTGGTCATGAGTCGGGAAGAGATGGTCGCACAAATTGACGGCATCCGGATCATCTTGATTGGAGACATGCACGAGCTCCCACTGTTGGATTGGAGTGTGAAGAAGTTTGATATTGATATCCGCGATTGGTCCAGTTCCCTCACAGCCGACACCAAGATCGACACTTTCATCAACGTATACAATTTCTCAAAATCAGCATGGGAGCCTTTAATCGAACCTTGGTCTTTAGGCTTCCATATGTCCAAACAACTTCAACCCGAAGTCCTATCCATGGAGCTGTATTCGCACAAGAATATGGAACTAACGATCACGTCGGCTACAATTGCACTTGCGTCTAAATCCTTTAACTTCCTCTCGACAGACGAGGACATCCTGTCAAAGCCGCGAGTGGCGGACGCGCCATATCGGATACGCAATTACACTGGATTTGATCTCAGCGTTTGGGCGGATGAGAAGAGCGATAGTGCAGCTGCAGCCAAGCTCACCGATGGTGAAGAACATGCCTGGCGATTTGAAGATGCAACCTCCATGCGTGAGAGTCTCTCGCCGGAAGGGAATGCCGGCCTAGTGGGTGTCAGACTTGAGGGTAGCGGGTTTGACAGCGTTGTCAGGATCCCTGTCATCCGCGAAGGAGAAACCCTGTACAATCTCAAGCCGAGGAAGGAAGGTGTTCTACACCGCATGCTTGTCGAGGTCAGACTAGGGTCTGACAACGTCAAGTACATTACTTTCCGCTCACCTCTCCTCGTCGAGAACAAGACCCAGATACCCATTGAGGTAGGCGTCTATAGTCCGGTCGAAGGCCATCTCCTGAAGATAGAAAAAATCCCTCCTGGTGAAGGCAAACCGGCCCCTGTGGGAGCAGCATTCGTCCACTCGTTGGTCATACGTCCCGACCCGGGATTTGGATATGGGTGGTCGAATGAACGATTGTTCTGGAAAGACCTTCTGAAAAGACAAACTAGGGCTCTCACGTGTGAGTCGGAGGGCAGGGATGAGTCGCCACCCTTCTTTTTCCAGATGCATGCATCCTACGATGAGAAAGACCCCATTACGAAGGTCTACCCATACATGAGAATCCAAGTCTCGGCACCCGTTGAGATCCAGAACCTGTTACCGTATGACTTCAAATATCGCATCTATGATAAGAACACGAAGAAGGATTGGATGAACTTTCTCCGCAAGGGAGGCGTGAGCCCTGTCCATGTCGTGGAACTATCTCACCTTCTGTTACTGAGCGTTGAAGTGGAGGATGCGCCCTTCAAACAGAGCGATTTTGCGATCATCAACAGTGACACTCAAGAAGGATTCCGCCGGGAGAAAGTACTACAGTTGAAGGATGAGAGAGGTGCCCAACTGAGACTAAAGCTCCATTACACGAACATTAAAGACAGTGGAGGGGCCTTCAGGGTATCGGTGTACAGCCCATACGTCCTCCTAAACAAAACCGGGCTTGACATGAGTGTTCAGAGCAAGGCGTTCTTCGGGTCTTCCTCAAAAGCTTCATCCCCCCATGGAGCACGGACAAGTTCTGGAGAAGGGAAAGCTCTGCCGATGTTGTACTCTTACGGTACCGACGACCGCAAAAACCGCTCTCTCCTCAAGATCGGTGACTCCATGTGGAGCAAGCCACAAAGTTTCGACGCAATCGGAAGTTCTTATGAGGTCGTTTTGCCCGCTGCTTCCGGCAAGTCGGAACTGCATGTCGGGGTGTCTGTTGCAGAAGGCGAAGGCAAATACACCTTGACTAAGGTTGTCACCATAGCACCGCGCTTTGTGCTCAAAAATAAAATCGGGGAAGACATTGAGCTCCGAGAACCTGGTTCGTCAGAAGTTTGGAAGATGAAGAACAACGATCTTCTTCCCATGTACTTTATGCGACAATCTCCTGAGAAGCAGCTTTGCCTGTGCTTCCCTGGAGTCAACAACCAATGGTCATCTCCCTTCAACATGGCAAATGTCGGCATGACCCATGTCAAACTCGCCAAACATAGTCAAAGACAAAGGCTCATCCGCATCGAAATTATCCTGGAGGACGCTACCTTGTTTTTACACTTCAGCATCGAAACTAAGCATTGGCCGTTCTCGATGAGAAACGAAAGTGATACCGAATTCGTATTCTTCCAGGCAAACCCCAACCTTGGAGAAGATGAAGAAGAAGACAGAGGAAGCGGCTGGAAGCCCATTCGGTACAGGCTCCCTCCACGAAGTATCATGCCTTATGCTTGGGACTATCCCGCTTCGAAGAACAAGGAGCTCGTCCTTTCCGCTTGGGGAAAAGAGAGATACGTCAAACTGGCAGAAATAGGCAACTTGATACCGATCAAACTGCCACCAGGTGAACGTAATCGGCCAATGAAAGTGATCGATATTAATATTGTTGCTGATGGACCAACGCAGACATTGGTATTGTCCAACTACAAGCCGACCAGGTCGTTGTACCGACAGAGGACGGGTATGACGATTGCATCACAGACAAGCCTCAACCAAGGCTTTGAAGTCAAGCAAATTGAATCAGAGGTCAACTTCAAAGCCGAGTTGCGACTGGCTGGCATAGGAATTTCGTTGGTTAACAGCAAGCTGAAGGAACTCATGTATGTCACATTCCGGGAGATGGATCTCAAGTACGGGGACTCCAAGCTGTACCAAACATTGAACTTCACAGTCAAATGGATACAGATTGACAACCAACTGTATGGGGGCATCTTCCCGATCTTGCTGTACCCAAGCGTGGTGCCCAAAACTGGCAAAGAGATGGAGGCACATCCTATTTTCCACACTATGGTTACGAGAGTCAAGGACGATTCATACGGTGTGCTATATATCAAATACGCTACCCTACTTCTGCAGCAGATCACGGTGGAGCTTGACGAAGACTTCATTTTCGCAATGCTCGACTTTGTGAAGGTGCCGGGTGCCTCGTGGTCGGAAGAAAAGGAAGGAAAACTGTGCGATGAGAGTCTCGATGTACCTGAGCCCAAACGAGAACAACAGGGCCAGGATGTCTATTTTGAACTCCTTCACCTGCAGCCCATCCAGCTTGATCTCTCTTTCGTGAGAACAGAGCGCATCAACGCTGAGGATACTTTTGTCAACAGTCCGCTGATGTTCTTCGTCAATGTCATGACCATGTCAATCGGAAATGTTAACGACGCCCCCATCCGGCTCAACGCGTTGATGCTCGAAAACGCGAGGATATCCGTTCCAGCTTTGATCGCCAACATCCAAAACCACTACACGCAAGAAGTGCTCCGTCAAGTCCATATCATCCTCGGATCGGCTGACTTCCTGGGCAACCCTGTCGGGCTATTCAACAACATCAGCTCTGGTGTTGCCGACATCTTCTACGAGCCGTACCAGGGCCTCGTTATGACCGACAGGCCACAAGAGCTCGGTATAGGAATTGCCAAAGGAGCAAGCAGTTTCGTCAAGAAGTCTGTCTTCGGCTTTAGTGACAGTATGGCCAAGTTTAGCGGTTCCATTTCCAAGGGTCTTGCAGCTGCCACCATGGACAAGGAGTTCCAAGACCAGAGGCGAATGTCCAAGAGCCGAAATCGACCCAAGCACGCCCTCTACGGCGTCACTGCTGGCGGCAACGCCTTTGCCGCCAGCATGGCCAGTGGTATTGGCGGCCTCGCTCGTCATCCGCTCGAAGGAGCAGAAAAAGAAGGCGCTTTGGGCTTCGTCAAAGGCGTAGGAAAGGGATTCCTTGGTCTGGCCACCAAGCCCGCCGTCGGCGCTTTCGATCTCGCCTCAAACGTGGCCGAAGGAGTCCGCAACACGACGACGGTATTTGACTCGGAAGGGCTCGACCGTGTTCGTCTGACTCGCTTCATCGGCATGGACGGTATTGTGCGGCCATACTCTCAACGCGAAGCCCTAGGACAATTCTGGCTCAAGACCTGCGACGACGGCCGGTATTTCAACGAAGAATACATTGCCCATTTGGAGCTCGAGGGCGGCGACATGATGGTGATGATCACCTATGACCGCATCTTGATGATTCGGACCAAGAAGCTGCGCATGGAATGGGACATCAAATTGACAGACGTGCAAACCATCAGCAAAGAGAGGACGGGGATGAGTATCGGGTTGAAAGGGGGAGCGAATGGGCCCTTCATTCCTGTGGCGGATGAGGGGAGCAGGAACTGGCTGTACAAGCAAATTGCTATTGGTAAGTTGGGCATTCTTGATACCGGAAAAAGAGAGGAGATGCTAACAGCCATTGCACCAGCCGTGAACGCATTTAACGACAAGTACAACGCAAAAGGATGACGGACACAGGGACAATGAACATCATTTTCGACTATGCTATGAACCAGAATTGCGCCTCTTTGAGCGGGTACCTTGTAAATGTCATGCATTCTTTCCAATTCGCAATTGTCTCTGGGCAAAGGGTATGCGGAGCTTTGTTCAGTATATGTTTTGGAGGTGGATGGAAACAAGAGACTTTTGCTCGCCTCTTCACATGTAAAATAGGCAATGAATGATAATGAAGTGGACGAACAAGGTACGTAGCGGGACTGTCACTCACATCGTCATCTAGCCGCACCCTGCCGCTGGTATTTCACAGCTCATCGCCACCACTTTCCTGCCGGTACCAAGTGACTTTTCACATGGCCAAAAATGACCAGCGAAGTTTCAAACTTTCAATCTGTTCCCTTTTCACCTTTGACGCCCTTGGACTTCGCCTCTTTTCATCATTGACAACCTTGGCCTTCGCCCGCTTTTGAGCACTGCAACAATGGAACACCGCAGCGTCAGCAATCTCGACGAGGTGAGTCGTTTTGGCTTCTCATCCATCCTGGCCATGTGCGACAACAGGCTGTTTAGTGCGCGTCTTGGTGGTTGACCGAGCACGGAGACCAATTTTCCACATTGCACCCAAGTCTCGGTGGCCATACATCACATGAGCGGCTACGCTTAGCAGACTCAAAGCTGACAGCAAAGTTAGTTGGAGCAACTGGTCCCGCCTAGGAGAGCAGCACCGGACAGCATTCGGCAGATCCAGCGCCCGCAACTTGGCCAGCTCGTCAGTGAGATGGCCATGGGCGTGGAGCTTCCCCGGAAACGCATCGGCTTGACGCCAGTCGCACGCGACAAGTTTGGAGTGCCCATCCTCATGTCCAATCGCGCCGCGAAGAAAGTCGGGACACGCCGACGTAGGGCCCAAGGACACACAGAGCCACCACATACCCGATTCCCTGCGTCGATCGCGCCCTGGCCTTTGCCGGTGCCTTTATCTGTGCCTGCTCCCGCGGTTTTCTCAGCGGAGTCTCCTCAACCCAAGGGAGACAGGAGGGACAAAAGCAACCGCAACAGCAATGATAATGATAGCGGCAATAACAATGCAGCCACCGCTGGCGGTGTCCAAGCTCGGGAACCAGGCGGGGGCGGAAGCGAAAGTGGAGAGACAAATGGAGGTCAGAGGGGACACGCGGGCAAACTCACGCTCGTTTCGGCCGGCCAGCTGGAGGATCTCCGCGCCGACCTCATCCAGTCCGCCAGGGAAAACAGCGACCTTCGCCACAAAGTCGACATGCTGGAGCGAAAGCTGGCACGCGCCGAGGATCAGAGGGAGACGTACTGGGCATGTGGCGTGGAGTGGGCGCGTCGCGAGAAAGGACTGCGGAGTGAGCTCGAGCACTGGAGGGCACAAGCAGAGGTGGCGACGAAGAGGGGTTCCGCCGTCGAAGGAGCTGCGACCTACGGCTTCGTCGGCGTCCGCGGGTTCGGTGGTCGTGATAAACTCGATGAAGGTCAAGGCCACGGGCCAGGGCTGGGGCTTCAGTTCGAGATCGGATTCGATGCTGAGGATAGTGGAACTGATTTCGACACTGGCTTCGACGCTGACTTTGGCACTGACTTCGGCGCCGACCCGGGTCTATTCACCGCAGCGGGGGGAGGAGAGGAGTTGGACAAGGAGCGAGGCGCCATGTTGTGGATGGACTGATGGAGCTCGACGTTGACCTTGACCCAGACTTTGACGCTGGCGAGAGGTTTATTATGTTGCCATACCCACTTGTTCACGCGCAAGGACTATTCTATGCTGGCTAGGCGTAGAAACTTTGGCGCCTACCTGTTCTAACCAGCCGCGTCCCTGTGTGCTTCGTGGTCTGGTAGTCTCTATCACGGAATATTTTTTGGCTAGTCTCTCCACAATAATCTCGTGAGAGGGGTGCCCTGACCTTGTTAGATGGAAAATATAGCATTTCGATCTCAATATTCGCTGGGCCTCTATAAATGATCCCTCCGCCCATTGCCTCTCATTGTCCTAATTAGAGATTGTTATTTTGGGTTCGACTACTGGCAACAGGAATGACCTACTATGCCACTGAACTGATATGTTGTTCATCTTCCTTTTATATGTTAGACTAACTAGGGTCCTGTATAGGTCCAATAGGTCCCCCCGCAATAAATATCGTGTGGGTACCTTCGGGCTCCTAAGCCGATTTAGGCTCTCGGCAGTACTCGAGTCCACTTGGGTTGAGGCACGTGGAGAGAGCAATATTGGTAAGGGAATATAGATAGGCGGGCCTGGTACACGAACTTTTCCAGCTCCCTTGAAGGCTAGGGAACGCGACTATAGAACGTACCTTGGTCCTTGAATAATGCTCCTTTTCGTTTAGCCTCTGGCAAATAGTGTCGCCTACTGCCCTCCCTGTATAGTCCTCAGTATCAGCATCAATGGAAGTCACATTTGCCTCAATGTCTACTTATGTTGTAACGGAGCACTTCAGGGTTCGGCATGCACATGCAACAACGCACAGGGCCTGGCCGGCCGGTCGGTAATCGAGAATGCCTTTCTGGTTGGCGCTGGCGAGCAACACCACCACCAACACCACCCACAGAGAGGCAGCGGCTAAGGTAACGAGCGCCTAGCACGGCGGCGGCATTGAGGAGTGAAAAAGGACGCAGAGGATACTCGTGAATAGGTAGACGGTACCACAACCATAGAATACTCTCGTCAAACTATAAAGAATGGCACACGGCCTGCACTGTAAACTATTCAGTACGCCTGTAACGATTGCCCCTCGGATGCCTGTCTGTCTCTGTTCTGTTGTTCTCGATATCCTCGTTGTTACATACCCAGCTAGCCCTTATTGCCTTCCGCCCTCACAGCCACAGCCAAAATACTAGTCATTTTTGTCCTGACATGTGACCAGCCAAACCGCCTCCCCGCATGCCAGCACAGCACAGCCACTTTGCCTTGTTACAATAGTAATAAGCTTAACCTTGTACTCGGTAGCGTCCCGTCTGGAAGTTGAACGTCAAACGTCTTTCAAGTGCCTGCCGTTACAGGGAACAAATCAACAGCAAGCCTGGCTACGAGGCTAATCTCCGGATAATGCTTATATAGCTCCTTCTACTCGCACATATTATATGATATAGTCTAATTAGATACGATATAGTAATGCGAGGCAGTTCTCCCTCATCGGGCGCTGGGGTAAGGGAGAGGGTGCAAGGGGACCATATCTACATATCTACTCGTCCACATCGATCTAATCCGTGCCGCAAGCGGAGTTGCCCACGCTGCACGCTGCGCTGCTGCGCTGCGCCACGCCGCTGTGTTGTTGGGCTTCAAGACCAAGCGAAGTCGCATTCCCATTCCCATCCTAGAAATCCGTACGTATTGCGGTGGGCGTGGCTTCTAGGCTAGAGTAGTACATGCGTAGCCTAGATAGGATAGATGGAACGGGATTTGTCTCATCTCCTGATCAATCCTCTGCCTCTTCGTGGAGTCAGCATCAATGTCCAGTGTGATTTCTCCTGTCATATGATGTTCTCTCCAACTGACACCGGTCGCCAGAGTGCACGATACGTCAAACAACTTCTGCTCTCTCCCAGCCTGGGTGGAGTCCGCCGTTGTTCCTCTACCTCGTCCGCTCTACCATATTCTCTCCCAGGTCCTCCTGAAGATGTTCATCTTGGCTAATCTCGCCTTTTCCACCTCCTCGAATCCGCCTTCTTCCCACTCCTTGCACTCCTCGTCAATCTCCGCCTTGCCACTCCAGATGTCGCAGGTCTTGGGGTCTACCCACTTCGTGCGCTTCACCACCTTCCAGAACACAAACATGAAGATGCCATAGGCAAGTCCAAAATAGTTCGTCACAAAGCCCTGCGTGCTCCAGGGAACGAAGCTGTCAAAGCCGATAAACACCATGACGACGCAGCCAACGCCGATGGCGAGCCATGCGGTGTAAGGGGCGAATGGCGCCTTGTACGGAAGGGTGTTGCGGTCAATCCCTTGAGCTTTAAGCGCACGATACCAGCCAAGGTATGTCCAGAGCATACAAACGTAGGTGAGAACAAAGGCTATTGTGCACAGCCAAATAAACCAGAAAAACACCGTCACGGCCGAATTGGACGCGACGAGGAAGGTGATCAAGGAAATAATCGTCACCACCAGAACACAATAAGTCGGGATCCCAGATTTTGTGCACTTCATCAAGAACTTGGGCGCCTGGCCGTCGCGAGCGAGCCCATAAAGGGTTCGGCTGGTGGAGTAGAGATAAGCATTGCCACATGAGAGGCCGGACAGGAGAATGAGGGCGTTGATGAAGCTGGGAAGGCCGGTAATACCCAGATTTTGGATCCCAAGCACCCATGGCGAAGCGGCCGCACCGGCCTTTCCGTCGTTGATGGCGCTGATCAGCCGAGCATCTCGAGACGAGCAGATGATCCCGACGCAGAGTACGCCCACAACGTAAAAGCCCACGAGCCGGTAGAAGACGAGACGGGCAACACGTGGAATGGTTCTTCGCGGATTTTGGATCTCGCCTGCAGCGAGAGCGATCAAGTCTGGTCCAGAAACGGTGAACGCCGCATATCGAACCACACTCCAGAAGCCGAGAAAGCGTCCAGTGGCACCGGTGGTGTAATATGGGTGCATGGCCATTCCGTGTTTCCAGTAGCGGAAGCCATATGCATCATGTTTCGGATTCCCGCCGACCATGGTGATGAACGTAAGGAGAACAAGTCCCATAAGAAGGAGGATTTTTGTGGAGGCCATGATGAATTCAGACTCTCCGTACCATCTGCCACGCAATGATTAGACCCCGCAGGCACTTTGCACAATTCACTCAGTAGAGCATACCTCACAGCCACGAGATTAAAGAAGACACAGACCACCAAGGCCATCGTCACCCAAACCGCTGCGTTGACGCTGGTGTTCCAGTAGGTCATGACTGTGGCGACCGAAGCATACTCAGTGCACACAAGCATCGCCCCGGCAAAGAAATAGGTCCAGCCCATGGCGAATCCTAGGGCAGGGTCGACGTAACGGCCACCAAGTTCGAAAATGGTGCCTCGTATAGGCAGCCATGCCAGCATCTCAGCCACGAGTAAGTATCCTGGCCAGATGAAAAGGATGCCCCAGAACAGGTAGCCCAGAACGAGTGAAAGTGGGCCAGCATTCTTCAGACTGCCACCGATCCCCACAAAAAGCGCCGTTCCTATGCTTCCACCGATGGCCATCAACTGAACATGACTATTTTACAGTCAGCACCGAGAACATGCCGCGGAAAGGGCCGAGGCGCCGATTTGCCCCTTGCGCCATTGGAGAAAGCCCCAGGACACACTCACCGAGGTACGAGGCCTCGCTTCGTCTGACGATATTTGGCCCATTCAGACCTGGATAGACGCCTCTCGTACAGGTCACCCTCCTGAGATGATGCTTCTGAGACGACGACCGCCTCTCCCGCACGGACCTGCTTACTATCCTTTTGGCTGTCCATCTTACCAAGGTTGTGGATATGCTGATGAGGATGGATTTCGGAACGGGTTCTGCGTGGTACCATATATATGTGAGCAGAGATAAGAGCCAGGGATGGCAAAGTTGACCATGTCGACCGCCGAATAGAACTCGCATGCTCAGGCAGTGGCAGTTGCGGGCATCTCCACGAGTGACCAGGATCTTCACTCTGCGGGCGTTTAGTCTGCAGGCCACTGTGACGCGGCAGAAGGGTATGGTAAACAGGAATGGTTAGGCTCGCCGAGGGCCATCTGAACTGCTTTCGTCATTCTGGAGAGGCAGGTCACGGCATGCCTGGGTTGCCGTTATAGACTAGTGACATCCGAACGCGAGACGTTGAAAGAGAACAAATATTGGGAAAGCCAACTGCCAGTGGCTTTGCTGATCGTCCACATGGTTGCATTTCAGGTGGTCTCGGCCTTGTGCCAAGTCTGGGCAGTTATACTGCAACCGGTAAGGTCAAAATGCCGTGTGGAAGGTTTTATCGCGGCTTATCTATCTCGCACACTTACCGTTACTGGGGGTTGAGGCGAGAAAAGGAGTTGTACGGAGTACCTCGTTTCCGCCGCAATTTCCTGTTGTGGCCCGATATCTAGTTGATAACCGGTGAGGAGTTCCAGATCTCACGAGCATTGATAGGCAACGGCTCACGGACTTTCCCACGTGGATGGAAACAAGGCCGGTATCGATATGTGGCAGCGCAATTAATTGGCCTTATGATCGCTTGTCTGGATTTTTCCCTTGGAAGTTTTCACCGTCGAATGAAAGTGGTCTCGTGAGTTTCTCATAATATCAAAAAGCCGTGGTGCCGGTAGCGAGAGTGTTGGGAGTCGGGGCCAAAAAACCCTCGACTTACCGAGTACATAGCAGTGGCGCTCCCCTCCCCCCGCCCCCCAAGGGCTAGCTTCCTGGCGTATTCCTCTCAGATTTTTTTTGCTGATGCTGGCAGATGTCTCATGCGTGGGGAATGCTGCTCTCCGGACCGACGGTGGATATGTTGTCCAGACCCGTCCATGGCAATTGGAAGCTGGCAATCAATACAGGAGATGGCAGAAACATCGTGTCCACAGCATAGAGATGTCCAAGGTTTCAGGTCATGAGAGCATTGCTGCCGGCAGATGTCCTTGTGGACGGGATATTTCTGGCTGGCGAGGTCCTGGACAACACAGTAAGGGGGTATACATGTCCAGGGAGAATCCAAAGCAATCGAAGAACTTTAATAGAGAGGAAACTCAGAAGGAAGCTTAAGCGAGCTGAGCAAGGCCGCTAAATTTCGGCTTCGTCTTAATAAGGCTAGCCCAGCTTTCACAAGCCCAATCGGACCAAGACTGCGTGGGCTCGGCGATTCGGCGGTCTCTTGTTCACATTCTTCTGAACAGTCTCTTTTGACATTCCCGAAACCTCGCATTCGAAGGCCCTGAGTACATGGCGATAGCAATGAACCCAAAAGGCGGTAGTGCGTACTGTTGCCTCTAGTCATGCATCTGAGACTGTCATTGCGTGGCCCAGACACCAACCTGATTTCAGACCAGCACGTGGAATTCTCTCTCAGATCTGACCACAGCGAGAAGGACGTACAAATGCCATGCCCTCCGTACAAGTATCGGGTCAAAAAGTGGACGATATCCGTGCAAGTGGACCATTAAGACTGAGTGAAGCGATCTTCTGCATCGAGGGCCCGGTCGTTTAGCTCGATGCCACAAGATCTGGCAGCAGGGAAAGATGTTCAAAAGGTGGACATAGGCAATGGGCATCTCAGTGCAATGCTGGCACAATCTGAAAAGGGGAGTCTCCCTCAGCTGCGAGCCAAGAGGGTTTTCGGCGTCAAGATAGAGATAGATCCCCCGAGCTCTCAGTCGTGATCCGGCCCGACCGTGCGCTCGCATGCTCGTCATGATTACAGCATCGTCCCCTGCGACCATGGGGTACCCGACAGAGTTGTCGCTTCTTGATCCAATTTTCCGTGTACAAGGACTCCATACACCAACCAACCTTTGAAACACGACAAGCGAAAGGGGGACGGAAGACAAGGGCTTACATTTTCGGCCTAGCGTACATTTCAGGCGAAATGTACAGGGATCCTTGGCCGAGAACAAGAGAAAAGCATTATTATATTGTAACAGAGCACTTCAGGGTTCGGCGTGCACGTGCAACAACGCACAGAGGCCTGTCCAGCAGATCGGGAATCGAGAACGCGTTTCTGGTTGATACTGACAAGACAACACCACCACCAACACCACCCAGAGAGGTAGCGGCTAGAGCAACGAACGCCTAGCACAGCGGCAGCATCGAGGAACAGGACAGGACTGATGAAAACACTTAGGAATTAGGTAGACGGCGCCAAAAGCCATAGAATTCATGATACTCTGCTCAAAACTGTTCAATCTGTAATGAATGGCACCTCTGCCAGCACTGTAAACTGTTCCGCACCCCCTTCTCTGCCAGCCCATTTAGGTTTGACGTGTGACCCGACAGATCTCTGCCTGCCACCGCTCTACCAGCCCAGCACAGCACAGCCACCTCGCCTTGTTACAATATGTGACTAATATAGCCATAGTTTGCTCATGTCAACAAGATCTGAAACAAAGTCGCCGGGACGAGTGACTGGTTCCAGGAATTGCCAGCCCACCGATCGCGCATCTATCCGGCTGTTTTCTACTCTCGTAGACACCGTAGCATCTTCGTGGGACATCACCGGTCGAGCAGTATCAAAAGAGCTTCTGACAGGGGGAATTAGAGGTAAATGTTGTGTCAGTTCGCAAGATCTTGGTGTCAGTTTGTGGGTGATCAACGGGCTTAGCGAGGATGTATATCCGCCTCAACCGCTGGACAGCTCTCAATCATCAAACTGATGCCTGCAACACCCCGCGGTGTGGGTAGCTTGTTCGATGGCGGGCGTCCCTAGTTTCAACATTCGCCGATCATTCGACCCCGAGATTCTTACCAACGACCTCTCTTATTTTGTGGAGTGAGCACCATCGAAGCGAAACACCAAAAGCTACCGTGATAACACGTTGTAACTCATGGACATACCAACTTTGATCTCCGTTAGGGCGGACGACGACGCTCTATTGACCGGCCTGTAGTGCCCCTGTCGGTGAGCAAGCTATCAAGAACTGGTTGGGTTCTATCAAGGAATCCCATGCTGCCTCCCTTGACTCTCCATTCATTGTTGGTGAACGACGTAATCGAATCACATTTTCGCCCCGCCAATCACGGGATAACCGCATGCCGTTGGCCCTCGCTATCCCGGAGTATGAAGACCAAGGTGCAATCCTAATGCAGGTCCCTCTTGGGTGTCGACGGCGCATCGCAGCTGGTTGAATGCCCACCACGTTGCCGTGCAGAACCGGGGTGCAGTTATGGATAATGAAGTTATCCACTTGCCGAGTTGTTTCAATGTCGTGGGCTCACCTCTAGGTCATCAACTCATACATTGGCTTCAGAGGCTTCTGATGGAGGGCAGGGGTAGTCAACCGCTTTTCTTAGAGTTGTGGTTGGGTTTGCGGGTTTCATGCGGTCGCAGTCACTTGCGCTCCTAGGCTTTTCCTATTTTCCGCCATTCGGGTGGACAGTTGAGGCTCTGCGTCTATGCAATATACAACACCGTCTCACCTCAGCATAGCAGCGCTACATGAAAGATTCACTGAACCCACGGATCCTGCCTTCTGTGTCCCTACATACTCGGTGTGCTCTCATTATCCACCTCCACGGACCTGATGTCCGCTTCTCCCCTTCCCCTTAAATACTCCTCGCTCTACCTCGGTGCTTCAACCCTGGAGGCTGCCATGGCGATATACGACCTTTACTGCACTGTGGCTTTTCTGACCTGAACTGCTGTTCCGATACGGTGTCAACGATTCCTCGGGCGCTAGGCCTTCGATGCAACAGGCGAAGAATAACCCTTTCGCTCAGAAGTTTTCCAACTTGTAAACGTCGTAGGAAGGTTCCTCGTATGGATGAGCACTGAGAGACATGTTAGGAACAGGGCACCATCTTCTCGAATATTGGTCATCGACGTCTTTCGCTTCTACATGAAAGGAGTCGCGATCGAGGACGAAAAATATGTCAAAACCTACGCTTTCAGCGCCTCAACTGCTTTCCTCACGACGTCCTCGCCAATACACAGAGTCTCAACCTTGGCCGATTCCACATACTCTAAATTTCCAACCGTGCCAATATGAGGATTCGCCATATCTCCTGGTCGGAATTGGCCAGTGCCCATGGTGGTAAAGCAGCATTCGGTGTAGTTTCCTGGGCCAGGAAACCGGCCAGCTCCGGCGGCAAAGATGGCCGTCTTGCATGCCTCCAGACTGGACACCGGAACATTGAATACAAGCTTGAATTTCTGGACGGTAGCAGCCATTTTCAAGAGTGATCGACAGACCAGCGCAATGGAGAAAGGGACGTTTGCTTGATCCGCCGCCTGACGGAAAAATCGTCGATTCACGTGAGCGGATTTAAGCGGCACTTCCCTCGGGCCCTCCAAGACCCCTCAAAGGGCCCCCATTCCAATAAAGCACTGGGGCTGACGACGCGTGGAAGGTTCCGAGTGTTGAGTGCGGCGGCTAGTCAACCAATAGGATTGTGCCACAATTATCAGCATAAATCCTCCGCTTCTCCAGTGTGTGAAACCTTCCAACAAGCTTGCTTTGGATCTGTCAACAAACGATACGAGGCTTGCCTGGTACAGTACTGGGTACTCAAATATGACCGAGTACTCTCCCGTACCTCAAAGTCCCTATCAGTTCGTCGATCTTCAGACCGAGACGTCGTTCAGAGTGCTGGAACTTCTGCCTGGCAAGGACGATGCGCCGATATCGTGCTTGCTCCATCTTGCAGACTGGACTCAACCTCCTGAATACGAAGCCGTTTCATATGCCTGGGGCGATCACAACTTAAAAGCACCGATCAAATGCCATGGGAAACGGATAGAAGTGGGACGAAACCTTCATAGTGCACTTACTCACCTGCGATTGCCGGGTCGGCCAAGGATGCTGTGGGTTGATTGTCTCTGGTAGGTTACTGTTTTGTGTCTCCTTGAAGCGGCGTTCAGCGAGGGTGCAAAATTCAGCGGGTATTTTAGGGATCGCAATGCTATATGCTTTGGTATTGGGCTACAAACCTCCCTTTCTTCCCTTTTCATGGTGATTATGTCAATTCTGACCATATTCGTGACCATATTCTGGCTTCAGTATGCATCAAACAAATATCCTGGAGCGCAATCAGCAGGTCAGGCAAATGCGCCGTATTTATGAGAAGGCAAAAGCCGTACTAACCTGGCTTGGACCGGACACTCCGGGTCACTTGGCGAAAACTGCAACGGATTCGATTCGAGTGATTTCGGACTTCCTCTGTGAGCATCTAAATCTCCAAATCACGAACCTAAGTACCAGGAGCAACGTGTACCACGAAATCCTGTACGAGAACCGCCATGCTCTTCCACCGCCCAACGAATGCGACTTCAGCTCTGATGCCACTTGGCAGGCCCTTATCTGGTTCTATTCTCATTCTTACTTCACCCGCTTATGGATCATCCAAGAAATAAACGCCAGCACAAACCGCATTGTCCATTGCGGCCGAGAACAGATCGAATGGGATCATGTAGATCTCGTCGCAGGCTACATTATCATGGACACTGCATTCTCAAACGACTTTGGCTTCTCCAAAACGCACTGCTGGTGGACAGCAACCGTGACAACAGAACGCATGCGCAACCCTGAGAATTGGCTCTCACTGCTTTATCTAGCCTCCAACTTTGCTTGCCAGGACGACCGAGACATGATCTATGGCCTCCGAGGGCTGATGAACTTGCCTGAGCCTAGCGATCAAGCAACTCTGCTGAATCCTAACTATGCCAAATCAACAGTCGAGGTCTTCCGAGACTCAGTGGAGGCGGCGTTCCTTGATTTCCGGAACACGGACGTCCTGCTATATCTCGTTGGCGATGAGTCTCCTTCGTGGATCCCCCGCTGGGACCGACCAATGCTATTCCGCAATCCATTTCGTTTCGGCAAGTCACTGCCCTGGAAACCCGCTGGCGACAGCAAACCATTATGCAAAATTGACAAGCTGCTAAACATTCTGCATGTCTCGGGGGTTTTTATCGACACCATAAAATCAGTCTCTCCATACAATGAGCGGTACTTCAGCAACGCCATTCTCAAAACTGACGAAGGCAGGAATGAGCTGCAACAAGCGTGGCCCAAAATTCTCACCATCTTGGCGGACAGTCAGCAGCCGCCATCTTTAACCGTAAGCGCAGCGCTCCTCACAGCAGCTGCAACCGCTTTCTCCTTCGGCCTTGACGCCGATGCAAACCCTGCAGAACCGCAGTATCTCCTGTACAACTTCATCTCATACCTTTGTCTTATCCTTCCTCCCGAAATATACGCCCGCCACATCCCATCTGACCTCTCCGAAGCTGCCAATGCCAATGGCAATGGGCAGGACTTCGGCAAACCGGTCTGGGATTTCGCTTATCCTGACTCCGGCTTCTTCGTTACCTCGGCTGGCCTGGTGGGATGTTCGGTGTGCGTGCCACAGCAAGGAGATGTGGTGGTCGCGGCGTTGGGAAGTACGTACCCCTTCGTCGTTCGACCACGGCTGGGCGGGGCACAGTGCTTGCTAAAGGGGTATGCTTATGTAAATGGAGTCATGAGGGGCGAGAGAGCAGAGGATGGTGAGATGAGAACGTTTGAATTCCATTGATGATGGGAGCAAATAGCATGCCAATATCAAGAGCAATCACGCCTAGCAAGTCTTTCGATTCCGATTCCTTTAAGCGGAGAATCGAGTAGTCTCGCTTATGGAATTAGCATTCGACGGAGGCTAGGAACACAAAGTTCAGAGCCTGGAACGGGCAGGCGAGAAATACTCGAGGCTGCCTTGAGTACAGGATTGGAAATTCTCGGACCGGATGAATAGAATCTGGTCTACATTATGACTTCGAGAAAAAATTCGAGACCAACATTGCGGCCCAGACCAAGTTTCTGGAAGGGAAGAGATGAACAAAGGACGCACATATAATCAAGCCAAACATTGACCTCAGCGACGTGAAGCTTAGCATGGCGGTCTGGGATGATAAGGACGAAGCCGACCGGGTCCTCCCCCTAGATCCGGACTAATTTGAAGATCCTAGACCAAACTATGTAGAGATATGTACTGATACGTCGATTCGCCGTGTTCCTAGAAGAAAGCTTATAACAATAAGATTTCTGCCTAACCTTGTGAGGACGTCGGATCACTAGTTCACAATTATATCTTTAAAATAGCAACGAAATAAGAGCGCGTTTTCAGAAAAGCGTAGAGGCACCAGCAACGATAGCCCATCGAAGCTGAGACGATTTCTGAGAGCGAAGAAGAGGCGGCCCGCGCACGAAGGGATTGAAGTCGCGGTTTAAGCTCAGCCGACATGGATAGAAGACAAACCAGCGAAAGCCACTCGTCTCGCCGGTCGAGATCAGACGATACTGTAACAGAGCACTTCAGGGTTCGGCGTGCACGTGCAACAACGCACAGAGGCCTGTCCAGCAGATCGGGAATCGAGAACGCGTTTCTGGTTGATACTGGCAAGACAACACCACCACCAACACTACCCAGAGGCGCAGCGGCTAGGGCTACGAACACCTAGCACAGCGGCAGCATCGAGGAGCAGAACAGAACTGATAAAACACTCAGGAATTAGGTAGACGGCGCCAAAAAGCCATAGTATTCATGATACTCTGCTCCAACTGTAAAGAATGGCACTCTGCCAGCACTGTAAACTGTTCCGCACTCCCCCTGCCGGCCCATTTTGGTTTGACATGTGACTAGACAACTTCTCTCGCCTGCTACCACTCTACCAGCCCTGCACAGCACAACACAGCACAGCCACTTTGCCTTGTTACAATACGGTCAATCTGCAAGCTAACGAAAGTCATCCAACTCGATGGAAGCATCGTGGAGCCCGTTATAGGATGGCAGAGAGCGGCTAACGCACTATGGCGCTGCAATCGGACGGCCACTGTTGGAGGTAGCAATGTACTCTCATTCGTGTCCCAAATCTAGAACACGCAAGTTGAACTGTCTGCCTGCCAGCCGTGGATGCCAAGCTTTATACCATATGTCGGGTTTTCTTCTCTGGGATCACCTCACCAACAGACAGTGTCTTGTATATCTTCAACTTAAGATGTTGCGCGGCAAAGGTCTCCTTCCGAAAGCCTGTGCCATCGGCGATCATGAGGAAGTTAAATCCCCTTCTTAAAAAGGTACATAATCTATCCGAACGGGACAAGCACGATGCTCTGCGAAGTGCAGTTGAGAATAACGGATCTAACTGTGGTGGATTGTCTGCTAGCAAACAACAGCAAACTGATTACTTTCGACTTTCGTCAAGGCGTCGAACCATGCTCATACCTCCATCATTCAGATTCTCCTGTCGAGTGGCTTCGACATAAATACGCCCACTCGAGAAGATTTTCCTCCTCCGTCGGCGTAGGTCTCACCCTCAACTTGAGATTTACTACATTCCTAACTGACTCAGTGTTGTGTTATCTAATTCGGAGATGGTGCGATGGCTCATTGATCACGGTGCGAATCTTAGTGCTCGCGGTCTGTTCGACATTACACCTCTATCCATTGCAGCCAAATCTGCTTCAAAAGAGGTGACCGAGCTGCTCGTCAAGCTTGGTGCTTCCACAGAAGAGGGACAGCCTCTTCATTGTGCTGTGGCCTACGATTCTCCAGGCGAGATTATCCTACTCGTTTTTAAGAATGGCGCTCCGATCAACGAAAGTATGTTCCAAGAACATAAATTTTAACAACCAAACGCGGGGATCGAAATGCGAACGCGTGACCAGTCCTCCAAAGGCTTCGAAACGGACTAGGAGATTGTCGAGGTTGGAGGATACATTCCATCACAGGTATCTAAGCTACAGTCATCGGCAACACCCCCAGGGTGTAGTATACGAGGATCGATTTCTCAAGTCATCGATTGACCAGACTCAGCACCAGTGTCTCCCCCTGAGTGGTGAAAGCCCATTTATCGATGGAGGCGAGAGTCGAGGCTGCCCTTCTAAACCCCATCAGACCCCATTACTTTTCCGTCTTTTGTCTACAGAATCAACGGCCAACGAACCACATCCTTCAAGCAACACCAATGTCGGCGTTGGTCCTCGAGCAGCCTCCTGGGCCTGGTCCGTGTTTCTTCAGACACCGCCGCGTCAGTTTTCAGGGCAAGCTTGACTGTCACCGCGGACATGTCGGTGAATGGCAGTTGCGTAAGTTCCAAACTCACCTAATCTACGCAAAATGTCGACACTCCGCGGTACAAGTCTCAACACTCCTGTAGCCCTTCCGTCACCCTGTCGATCGCAAGCAGTGCAGAATCAGACTCCATGGGAAGGGTTATCGTGCTCGCCGTCAACTGAATCGGACTTGTTGCATGCCAACGCGCAGAGGTGACGGAGAAGTTTGTTGGACAAGGTGCGACAGGCATTATCATTGAGCGAGAGTGTTACGCGCTCAAGTTGCCTCTCATTTCAAAAGATACCAAGATTGATGGAGTGCCTGTGGAAACCGGGTCCTTAAAACCTAAGGGAACTTGACGACACTTTTGGCAGTTAAATTCCGTTACTTCAGAGAATCGACTTTGACGCCTCTGGACTAGGATCTAGAGGGTACCCATGATCTCGCTTTCTCGGGTTTGATCGACATTGGGCAATTCGGCGCAGCAATGTACGAAGTCATGATCGAGCTCAGATGCAAATTCGACCTGACACAAGACCAGAGGAACCCGAGAATTTGTCCACTTGTCCGCGACGAGACAGCCTGCCATCAACCGGAAAGAAAAAAAAAATTGGGTTAGATCACGTTCTTGAGAAATGTTAGACTCAGGCAATTCGAGTCTACTAAAGAGCTCGCTGTAGATCTGTGACGCAAAACAATTTGAAAAGGGGCCGGAGCGTTCGGTGCAAATGTGTGAGAATCAAAATTGTAGGAAAATCAAGGACTGAACAGGGAAAGAAGAAAAAAAGAGGAGAGAGGCTATGGACCCTAAACTTACTAAAAAAGGTGCCCTTGTCAGGCCACGGCTGGACTCATGCCACGGAGCAGGACTGTATCCCCTGCATCGGACGAGACGTTGGCTGCAGTCGATCTGCAATGCGAGGTAGTACAAAGCAGCCTCTGGTTGTTCCCAGCGGATTGGCAGAGGGTTAGGATGCTCGTTGTTGTGCCTGTCATTCTTTCGCTTGCCGCTCGTTCCCCATTCCGGCTCCAACAACGGTAAAAAAAAAAAAAAAAAAAAAGCCCCCTTCTCTGGAGTTGAAGCACGCAGAGCATTAGGGATGCAACACATGCCCTGTTCTAGAGGTTCACGACTCTGCTTGGTCCGACACTCTGTCCTCTTTGCCCTTGCTGGCGATGCGAGGACCATTCTCATCTCGAAGCTAGCTGGCTGGTTTTTCTTGCCTGCGGTCACACATGTAGTTGGTACGCAAGATGGTGCTGCGGTAAAGGTGAAGGTGAAAATGGCGGCTGATTAGAGGAATAGGCAAGGAGGACCAAAGAAGCATTCAATGACCAAGGGGACCAGAACTGAGGCCACTGCCCTGACTATATACCTACCTGACTAACCAGCTAGGTATGAAGCACCGGAGATAAGTGACCGTCTGTTAATGTCGTGTCCCAGGCTGGTCGACCCGATAAAGGTACTCAGCAACGTTAAACCAGCCTTCGTATTCGATCTCGTCCTTTGTCTTGTCCAGGTCATAATGGTAATGCCCTCCCTTGGTCGTCTCTGTGTCTGTGTCTCCATTCCCACCCGCGCCACCACTACCGCCTCCTTCTCCTCCTTGATGAGAAGGAGTAACAGTGAAGCAGTGCGTATGTTCCATCCTCAACGCCAATCCGCCGTCGTGACCCGAGTGCAGCACGCTCAAACACACCAAGGGCCCATCCTTGTCCTCCTCCGTCGCGGAAAAGGACATGTCAAAGTACCGCAGCCATTTGTCGACGTCTGCGCGAGAGGCGAACGGCCGGGCCGGGAAATCCGGCATAACGTGCAGCTTTGCCGTGCCCTTCTTAATGAGAAACACCCCGCCCAGCGAGACCAGTTTGTCCCCGAACGAGGCTCGCAGCGCGCGCTGGATCGTCGCGGTGAAGTTGAGCGGGCCTGTGCGCGATCGCGCCGTCATGTGCAGACACTCTCCGGGGACGCCGTCGGAACAGAACAGATTGCACATGAAGGCGAACCCGGTGCTGTCGTCCGGGATCCGAGCACAGCATACCGTGTCCGAGGCGGTGATCTTGGCGTAGTGGGTGCGGTTGCGCACTGAGGAGGCGCCTCCGCCTGCACCGGCAGCGGTCCCATACGCGAAGTTTGGCATGAGCTCCGAGTTCTGCCCCAGGACATAAAAGGGCCCGGCTCCCGCGCCGAGCATGAAGCCTGTGGATGGCGACATGTCAACTTGCCGCGCGATGGACGCTAGGTCATACTTCCTGGTCAAGTCGGGCGTTGGGGAGAGGTTTGGGGGCCCGCCCACATCAACAACGCGAGGAGATCCAGTGAGTCCAGGTCCGGCCAGGTGGTACGGTGCCGCTGTGAGATCTGGAGGGATGGCAAGCGTACACGAGGAATAGGCGAAGTTGGAGGAGAGGCCAGAGGCGATGGCTTCAGCGAGAGCCGAGGGAGAAGGCGGCGATAGCGCAACCATCTTCACTGGCCACGGGTTGTGCGAAGTCATTGCCGTTGATGTCGTTTTGTTTCGGGAGCTTGTGGGAGACGCAGACTTTACTGTTTTGATTCTCTTTCTGCGGACAACCTACCTAATGAAGTGCAACGAGGTTTTCTTCTCCGACGCTAATTCATTATCTCGCAAGGTAAAGAAGAGGGGGAAGAGCCGACGTTGAGGTGATTTCGGATATCGAGCTGTAAGCATGGAACAACAATCTTCCGGCACGCAAGATACGCCGTTAAGATGTGAACAGCGCCGGGGACACCGCGGAAACGCCAGCAGGATCGCGATCTTGTCACACGTTGAAATGAGGCTGATCAGTTGGCCAAGGCGAAAAAGCCAGAGAGCCTAGGCGCAGCGAGCGAAGAATTGGTATGGTAACAAAGACCACGGATGCCGGAGCTTCCAGATGACTTGCTTCAGTCCCGGACAGCGGCCTGGGGAGGTCGCCCGTCTAAACGACACATGACGACCCTCGCGTTTTGAGAACCGGTATTCTTCGAGGCTTGGGTAATGGACTCCCTTGGTGTCAATGCAAAGGGGGAAGCTCATGTACGCGTGCATCCATGCTGTGTCTTTGGAGTTTGCAAGACGTCTTCTGCTGCACACGTCGGGCTGGATATATTTATCAAACAGCTCCTTCGGCGACCTTCACCCACTTACATGAAAACGCTAAGTTGCTATTGGTTTTAAATCGCGAGCACTGGGGGGTAAACGAAGAAGAACTCGACAGCAGACCGATAGCCAAAGAGCCTCCCCACTAGCGGAGGTTCCATATTGCAGAGCCCGCCCCTCGACAAGCCGTCTGAACTGAATGGAGCTACTTCTCTCGACGGTATTCGACATCTCTAGAGCAAATTCAAATTTCACTGGGAAGCTCGGGGCTGCCTCACAGAGGCAGCCAAGGAAGCGTTGCGAGCCCATAGACTAGAATACCACTGATAGGGCATTGGGGCACCGCTGCGCCCGGACAAGATCCCTCTCTGAAATTGTCGAGCTTGAAGATAGACTCTGAAGGAGAGGTGAAATAACATGGTAGAAAATGGTCAATAGTGTTCAACCCTAACAAGGGACTGGGAATGTGATCTTCTATGTGCTAGATCGAGGGAAGATTTTGGTTGGTTGGAAGGCTTTTCAAAGGTTTGGGTCGAAGAGTGGGATTGAGACACAGGGAAAGTTCTCAAACGGTTCTATTTGGATCGATAAAAGAGGTGAAGATGAGATCACGGATCCAACTAGTCTTGCCGATCTTATGTTGCTCTAGAAGATCATTGCGATGCTGTGATTCTATCGCAGAGCCTGTGTGGTGGCCACCTATCCCGACCCTGAGACGAGGGCTAATGCTTGCCACGGCTTCCCGGTTACCCTCCTGCGCCCCAAAATTCACCAGTCCGATAGCGTCCATGATGATCGATCTCACTGCCCCATGCACTGCGAGCGGCATACCACTTCAACCCGGTTAGAGACCCAAACTTTTCTATGTCGAAAGTCTATGTCGGCTTACCTCTTCAGGCTTTCTAGACCATTTTGATTATGGGGTCCTTTTCTCGCGCGGAACGTGTTGACCGTAGATAGTATTGGACGAGGAGCTTGACGCGGAAGTAAATCCAGATTAGCGGCAGGCAGGCTCCACCGATCAGCCCGACAAACGGACCCAAGAAAATGATCAGGACCGCTGCAGTTTTCTCGCAGATCCAAGACAGCCGGCTCTGGTCCACCACGCTCTCATCCATGTTGGGGTCTGTTTGCCAGAGGTTCAGAAGTCAAGGGGCCTATGTCAAAATCAAGTCATTGAGAGTCCCTGTGCCATGCCAGAGATGTTCGCCCCTTACGTTGGATGCTGCGGCGCAGTGAAACAATGAAGTTGAGGTTGGAAATGGAGTTCATCGACATGGGACTCCGCGACACTGACTTCTTACCGTATTGCACACCCCCTTGGCAGAACTAGTGACCCTGGTGGGCAGGCGGGCGCAAAATCTTGTCCTGTCCGGGCCCTCGTAAATCGGCGAAGACGGGATCTCTCGACGCTCTGGAATAGCAGGTCGTCCTCGCTCCAAGCCTCCAACTTGTTCGACTGTTTCTCCAGCGCGGGGTTCAGCCTGTCGGTGGCGCTTGGCGGTGAATCCCAAGTGGTGAGTGGCCACCATCCAGCATGCCTCCATTGGTATTGGCCCTGGGCTGTTGTGCCAGTGCCCATAAAGCCCATGTCGACCTCTTTCCTAGGAAAAGATCTGGCCACACCGACAAGGTCTGTCTTCCCCTCTGGGTGACTGGTCCCAACACACGTCGGCGTGAACAGGGCGTCCAGGTCCGTGGGACAACCCAACTCTAGCAATTTCATCGGATATGCATCTGCGCTGGATGATATCGAACTTCAAGAGCTGCCTACTGCATCGTATGGGAGGGATGCGTGCCGCGTCTCTGCCCATGCTGCTAGAGTTTGCCTTGGACGTGCCTAGCTCTTTGGCCACCAGGCTGATAGGTCGGGGCACCTAGTGAGCAGCTGGTCGGTCCCACCTTTGACGCTCAGCTCTCCGCTTTTGTGCACCACGTTCAGCGGCCTGGATAGCAGAATTTGGTTGAAGCTGCATCGATGGATGGCGTATCACAGGGTCGTGGGTTTTTGATGACTATTGAAATGGTCAAATGAGCCGTAGCTCATGCGTGGCCTCTTTCCCCACCGGCAGTTCCTCGCGTTCTCCAGGCAGTAGCTGAAAGTCGCCGCCATCCCGGTGTAACCTGAAGCGTCAAGTGTCTTAGAGTCCGACTTTCCACCCATCCGGAAAATGAGTCATTGAGCCAATAGCCAGCACCAGCCTTAACCGATCGACATCGCAAACGCACTAACCTCGTTTGAAGGGCGCATTAGGATGTCGCCCGGCACCAATCGGGCATTCGTGCCAATGCCCGTAGGCGGAGTCCCAGCCGTCAAAAAAACGACAGGTCAGATTTACCATTTTGAACGTCACGGAATAGCATAGGCGCTGTGGCGTCTTCTGGTCGATGGAAGGGTTGAAGACTCAGCGAATGACCTCTGGCGAGAATCATTGCCCATTGAATCTCCCCGGACACTCATTGGCAAAAGAACTCTGCCATACCTCCACATCTCTACCTCATGGCGCGCCACCATGCGAGAGTGCTCCGGTCCAGAGTGGAGACGGGGCACTGCACTCAGGTTGGTCGACCATGGGTCCATCCTTTTTGTCAATGCAAGAAAAATGCATGAATGCGTGGTAATCGCCAGCCTCTTCCCGTTCGTTTATCTGAGTGGAGATTGCCCAGTCAGGGCGGGAATCAAGGGGGAAAGTCTAGGATCTTGGAGCTATCATCAGTCATCATGCAAATTACTTTGATCGGCAACTTACTCACAGACCAGAGCGACCTGGGGGCAGACGCGGACAGGAGGCGAGGCCTGGGGATGGCGCGCCGGCAAACTCTGGAGACCACATGTTAGTCTGTGAGAAGGCGGCCATAGCGATGCATTTAACGGGCGGCAAAGCGAGACATCAGTGTCAACGTGTACGGGTGGTTATGGTCATTCAAACGCTATTGAAGCTGCTTTGTCATGCTGCGATTTGATGAGCCACGCCTATGACCCAAGAGGCCATCCCGGAGAAGCGGAGAGGAGAGTCGGCATCGGTCAGGCAGAATTCGATGCCCGGGACGAGCAAGAGGCACCACCCCTGTGACCCCTTTCTGAAAGACTAACGTGTCACAAGGTTTATGCCTACTTTGCTCCCTGTCAATTGTCGAGCAAACACCCTGGGTCGAGTTGTGCCAACATCCACTCGCGGGAGAAGCCGGTTCCGTGGCAAGAAAGATTGCAAATTGTCAAGAGCCCTGCATCTACTTTGCATTATTGCCGGCCTATTCGCTGGAAAGACTAGTCTTGGCATCAGTGAAATGCCAGGACTCAAAGTGGCGCCAGAATCATGAAATCATCGAGAGCGGATAACGGCAGAGTCGTCCTGGTCCTGTGTGGATGTGAGGTGCTTCATCCCATCAATCCTTGGTATAGTAAGGCCGATTGGAGATCTGCGGTCCCTCTCGCGAGTGGCACTTTCGGAGACTGAGTCGAATGCAGGTGTGTGCTGTTTTCTGGCCCGCTGGTGACGAGAAAGTTTTCAATCTGTTGGAGTGATTCAAGGTCCCCTCGACGACTTGTCAACTTATGGGTTTGGCCACCTGTCTAGCCACTTGTCCAACCATTTCGCCTGCCAGTTGTGGTCGAGGGCGTAATCCACCATCTCTCCGCAGGGGTGACTAGCTTCTGCCTCTTGGAACCAGATGTGCTTGTTGAATTCTTGGAAGTCGTGGTAGAACTCGGTTGAATCTTCCGTCTCCTTGTTGAGCCGGTAGAGATGGAAGATCTCGAGTGCGGGAACACCACCGTCATCCAAACTCATCCGGACATTGATGATTTCTCCCGGCACAATGGTGGTAGGATCTCCGTCGGAGGGGCATTGGCCCTTTCGCCTTACCGAAACCTGGCGCCAGATCTGGGACAGCTCTGTGCTGTCGCTTCGGTGAAATAGTACCAAAAAGAACCGGCTCATTTGAATCTCTTTGCCCAGTCTTCCAGTCTGGATTTTCAAGAGGGTGGCGGGGTGGTGCAGGCGATGCAGATCCATTTGGAAGAGACTGTTGACTAGATCGCGCAAGGCGGGCAGTTTTGACAAATCAAAGCCCGAGTCCTTGACGGCGGAGAGAATACTTGCAAACGGCCAGATATGGCTGCGATCCTTGCGCATGCCAGAGTGGTGGGTCTCCAGATTTCCCTGCAATCTGCCGTCGTGAACATTGACCATCAGGCAATGAAGCACCGAGATAAAGAAAGTTAGTTGCGGCCGTTCGGGAGAAGGGTAGAAGGCGACAGCCTTGGACGGAGTCCAGTCCTCCAAGGGGGAGATTGGGATGTCCGTAGCTGGGACGGCTGGGGTGTTTGGCCTGCTTGAGCCAGGAGTACATTCTCGACGTAGAGTCGCCATTGTGTTGGGTGCAATCTCGGCCCCAGCGTAGAGGTTCCGTGAAAATGATTTTGCTTTTGTTGCAGTAGAGTGATACGGAAGTGAGCAATGCCAGACGGCGGAAGGCTACAATTGTATCCTGAAGGCAGACGATGAAGTGCGAAAGCGACGCCAGTGGTCAAGGTTTGATGTGTGGTTTTTAGGGCACGGTGAGGTCGATCCGAAGGATAACAGTATGGAGGAAAGCTGAGAGAGAGAAATCTGGCACGAGGGTCACTAAATGCTACTGTGATGCACGGTTCATAGGAATTGTGGGAGATGAGGCATGAGACATGAGGGATGAAACGTGTGATGTCTGAGGTAGAAAGAAGAGAAGCGAGATGTCAGCACAGCGCCAGGGACTTGAGGGGATGGATGTATCTGTCACCACTCAGTCGACCGAGCAATATATGCTGGAAAGGGAAGGAATCAACACGGCACAGCAAGGAGGCGCCGATGGGAAACCATCTTGGAGGAGAAGGAAGGAAGGCAAGGAGGAAGCAGGAAGCAGGGCATCACCATGCAGATGTACGGCCTCATTCAACCGCGCAGAGAATGGCCTCGTCCCCTGTCCGGGTCGCTGGGTCGATGAGGTCACCGCAGGCCATCACATCGCCCGCCCGACCTCCCTGCCCTTCGCGACATTCCTCACCTTCCAGGCTACCTACCTAGGGATCTTAGCGACTGCATCATTCTTGCTTTGCGACGACGGGTCAACGTGGTCGCCCTCTTGGAGACTCAATCCCCCTAACCTGGCGTGGCACACACTGGGCAAACAGCCTTACTCCCGTCGACGTCTGATACCTGCTGCTCCGCCAAGACCGTCCACTGGTACGCTCACTTCTTTCTTCATAAGCCGATGGTCACCGCAACTGTCATTTCTGCGTCACTGTCGAATAACGATCGGAGGAACATGCAGCGCAACAATAGTAACAGAAGGAAGCCACGAACTGCTCAGACGAAGGCCCGAGCCTGTGGGCAATACATCAAACCCTCATCGAAAGGTGAGTCTTCGTCCCTAGAAAAGGGGAGCCAAAACTGATTGACAGTTGTCTTTTCTTAGTGCAGGGGATCGCGACCACACAAGTGCAAGTATTGCCCAAAGACGAAGAAACATTGCAGCTATGAATCTCTCCTTCCACAGGCGAGGCCGACGTCGTTGGCAAAAGCAAGAGAATCTGTCCACTGTTGGATGCCGCAAAAGGCAAACTTCGAGGGCCTTGGGCGGCAGGTAGCGGCTTCTTCACCAGCCAAGACATTGATCCTGGAACTTTTATTGGTGACTACAGCAGTCCAGTTGTTCTAGACAAAGAGTTTGCCGGCGAGAATCCCGATGGTTTTGTGAGAATCGCGCTGGCTGCATTGAGCAAGCGCAAGCGCAAGCGTGACAGAGCCTAGAAATGACGTCCTGCAGAGCTGACCGCTCCAGATCATTCGATCAACGCTAACGACGAGAAGGCTTTGGTGGTACTCATCAACCACGCCCCTGGGTGTCGAAGCAAGGCAAGTTTGAGGTACATAAAGACAAGAGAAGGCAAAAAGATCTTGGTCTCCTCGATCAAGCCTATAAAAAGCAGATGAAGAAATTCTAATGTACAACGGGCATGGCCTCTGTTCTGATGGCGGGGATGCCAGAATTGATGTTGATTGGCAGGAAAGACTTTTTTTTTTTTTTTAAGACGCCTACTTGTACACGGAGCGGCGCTGGCGAGGTTCGGCCTTGGGCGGAGTGAGCAAGAATGAACCACAAGGCTCCAGGGGGAAAGGGGGACCGAGGACCAGGAAAGCAGAAGACTCTCGAGTGCTTTGCCGTAGAATGTTTTATGTCAGCTGTTTATGCCTGAACGGGCCGATGTGGTTCGCCGTACTGGATACCAGATATTAGGTACTTGGTAGAAACAAGTAAAGTGACCGGCTGACCTGGCTTGCCGCCAACCTTGGGAAGCTGGCGCTTTGTTCGGAGCATCACTCCGTACCTCGTACAAGGTACCCAGGACAGCTAATGTCTCGGCGGGGACTGCCCCGCGCCCGGAGCCCACAAGCCGTCTCGCCCTTGTCCAATAATGCTGACAAGCCCCCCCCCCACCTGGCTCCCACCTCTTTTCACTTCTCGCTTTCTCAATGCCCACGTGCCAGTCTACTACTCCATCTTCGCTACGAGGTACAGCAAACGGGCTGCTTGCTGGCCCTCTCTTTATCCCGTCCCTGTCCCGCCCAGTGCCCATCGAGTTCGAACTAAAAGGACCCCCCTTGTTTTCCACCCCAAAAAAAACCAAAAAAAAAATAAATTTAAATAAAAGAGAAGCAGGAAAAAGCAATCATGAGCGGTTGGGTGCCAAAAGAAAAGTGAGGCGGAGGCTATGCAGGATGCAGATGCAAGTGCAGAGCAAGATGCGCTTCAAGTGCCTTGTGTAACCTGGACGGACCTCGCAAGAAAGGCCACCCGGGTTTGGCTGGTTCCTTGATTGGTCAAGTTGGGTCCCTGGTTGGCTGGTGGGCTGGTGGGCTGGTTGGGTTGGGCCAACAGTGAGAGTTGGGCAGCCAGAGGCGACGATTGAGGTCCTGGGGTTGGTCGAGTGCGTTGGGCAGCAGTGACAGTTACGAGAGCAAGATTGAGATGGCCAGAGAGACAGGACATTGAGCTGAGTGAATGGGTGAATGAGTACCCGGTAAGTGACTGCCCTCCTTCTCCAGCGCCTGACCTCCCTCTCTGACTACCTTCGTCCACCGTCGTCGTTTGGCACCCGAAAACTACGAAAAGGTTGGAGCTTGTTGCTTGTATACGGTACTAGACCTAGTGCTAATACTTCCGTAGAAACTTCAAGGTCCTGGGGTACTGAGTACTGCATTAGTAGCACGAGTTCCCGGGGAGGGGGCGGCGCAATGTATACCTTTATCTTTCACGGTTTCGCAGTTTCACCAGTGGAGCTTTCATGTTCTCGCATTGCCCAAAAGATGAACTTTTCACCAGCCTAAATCTGGGCCGTGGCACAAACTCAACATCCCTAAATGTGTCGGCCTCCGTCAGACATCAAGACAATCCAGGCGGCAATCTGAATGCCAACCACCACCAGCCAAAAGATCTCTTTGTCCGCTCCATTTTGCTTTGCTTTGGACTCCTCTCGCATACATCAGCAAAGACACAGACAGGACCCGAAAGAAAGATAACCGTACCGCATCACACCACCAGTTTGGGATGATTCTGTGTCAATACTGCGATCCATCCTGGTCCCGATCCCTCTCATTCCAGACCCACCTAATCCAGGTCCAGGTCTACCACGTCCACGTTACTCTTCATGAAATACAGGCATTTTTCCACTTTAGCGCGCAGGAAGGACACGTCGTCGCGATAGCTTTGCCAAATCCTGACCTTGTTCTCAATCTCTGCTTCCCCCCGTAGAGCTTTCAGAAACACTTCGGCTTTGTGATGAAGGCCGATGACCTCGAACATGTCCTCAATGTTTGGGTCTTGGGCGTACTCGTCGCCCTTGGCCACTTCCATGATTCGCCGATTGAGGCATTCTGAAGCAGTGTTCATCATGGCCGTTGCCAGGGCGCCATGGACGGCGCCCAGCTGCTGTGACGAAAGATCCATCTTCTCGGGTGGCGTTTCAGCAGTGTATTTCAACAGGAGGAGACCAAGAGAATCATAGATCTCCCACATCTGCTTGAGCAGCTTCACCACAGATACGGGCTTCGGGAGACTCGAGCGTCAGCAATGACTTCTCTTTGAGGGGCTTTTGAGAGGGAGTGGGGGAAGGGAAAGTTTTTGAAATTACCCCGTAACGATTGATAATTGACATGTCTTGAAGAGGATTGATACCTCGATACGACTCGTCAGTGTTGGCATACTCGATTGCCAGGAAGAACAGGTCGTTAAAGGTGGCCAGTCTAATAGAGACTGGCCCGTTGCCTGCCAGCTCGACAGGTCTGTCGAAATGCTGGAAACCAGTATCAGCGAATCCTCCATTGCGCCAGACCCTGGGATCAATGTCAATGATCGAACTGGCAGGCACGATGGTGACATGATTTTGTCTAAAATCGATGGCGCTCCGCGAAGGTAAAAGTCCTCGATCATATAGATCAGAAAGAAACGAACATTGTAGCATGTGGTCAACGCGGCCTTGAAAGTAGGCCTCTTGGCCTCTGCAAAAATCCATTGAAATAGAATCCATCGCCATTCAAATATGATCCATCGAAGTAGACAGATGGTGATGGACAGTCAACGGAAGAGGGACCCCGGAGAGAAACGAACGTCGATGATGAGGGAAGAACGAGACGAGGAGACAAGGCAGACGACAGGCACACAGGATGAGATGATCATTATAGCCAGGAAAGGGAGGTAGGAGAGGCAGAAGCAGAAAGAGGACAGGAGAAGGAAGAGAAAGGACATGTTACATCACGACAAAGGACGAGGCGGCTGAATGCTTGGCGGCTCCGACCTCATCACTCTCATGCCCTCACCACCCTTGACCACCCTTGACCATTCTTGACCATCCTTGACCACCCCTTCCCTTCGTCGCCTCTGGTGCCGCCTCTGGTGCCTCATTCCGTCCCTCCCTCCTTCACACATGCTGCATCTTAGCATCCGCGTCTGCGTCTGCGTCTGCATCTGCATCTGCATCTGCATCTGCAACTCCCCGTCTCTCCCCCTCTCCTTCTCGATTGGCATTGATTGCAAGACTGGCACTTCCCTGCTGCGACTAGACTGGACCTCACTAGCGACGCAGGCTGACTTAACACCTATCGACCAACAACATCAGTTTCCCCGCTCGGCCCCCTGGGCGCTTGCATACAATCCCTGACCCATGGCAGGACAGGGAGGGCAAGGAGGAAGGCTGGACATTCACTTCTCTTGCATCCAGCAAAGCACCTACGGGGTCCACATCGTGACGGTCCCCACCCAAAGAAAAGGGCCATGCGAGGGATCTTTATAACGTCTCTGACGGCGTGCCTGATGATGGAAATGGCTGGATGGGGCAAGACGAGAGGTTGGAAAAAGGAGGCCCCCTCTGTCCAACCTATCATGTGTCGGATTCCGTTGCGGCACACTGTGTAACCACATTCCCTTTACCACCAGAGTTGACGCCCTTGATGCGTCTCGGCCCTCCCCAAATCAGGAAGGTCGTAGTCCACCATTCGTGTTTCACGTCAAATCATACCAGATTGTATCGAGCCTCCATCATACGAGTCTACCTTCTGGATTCACATCTCGTGCCGCCGTGCATATGGCTACGCAAGCCACTTTCGAATCGCAACCTACTGTTGGAACACTGCTTGTCCCATCCAGTGAGCTCTTTGAGCCTTGGTGGAGACGCAGGACTTGGTGTGGTGAATGGCAGAACATCCTTGCACGGAGTTTGCCAAAGAATGCGAAAGGTCTATGGCCGATCCTTCTTTTTCTTTTCTGTCTTCTCTGCCATGCTGCCTTGGCAGCTCACCGCCTTCCGCCACAGTTGACCAAACGTGGAGCACATGGCATCCAACATCACGTGGCTGCTATTTGCAAGGCTGTGCTTGAAAGGAGCAATCCCTCTCCTCCGAAGTTTCACGGCATGCTGCACGACAAACCTTGTTTGCTGTCGGCCGGCTGGACACCGTAGTGCACCCATCAAATCGCCCTTTGCAGCCGACGAAAAGTAGGGTTGATGCGGAAGCTGGGCATGAGGCATTCCTCTCGCTTCGCCTGGGAGTATTCACAGCCGGATAGGGCGCGATGTTGACACAAAAAAAATACATTGCACGTCCGCATCATTATTATTCAGGAATAAGGTCTGCATTTACCGAGATTTGGCGCGCAAGACCGGCTTTTCCCCGGGTACCCAGGTTCGGGGTATCGATGTTCATTCGGTCCGTAGTAAGTGTCTCGGTGGTTGACTTGTATCTGTACACACATCATCTGGCATGGTTGACAGCACACTTGCTGTGCGATGACCTAGAGGCGTAGGGGATTTTCGAAGCAGGAAATTTCTCTGAGAAGATGTCGAAGCCCACGACACTCGACGCTCGGAGCAGAATGTGCGCGCCTTCGACATGAAGGAGCCTATCAGCATTGAAGGACTCTGTCAAGGCCTCCCAGCCAAAAGTCGCCAAGGACATGAGCCATATTCACGGCCTAAAACAGAGACCCCGGCCCGGCTATCCCTACTTGCGAAATCTCTTCAACGATCTGTCCGTTGTCAAGGCTTTTGAGAATGCAAATGTTTTTGACTGAACGATCCGGGAGCTTCTACGGCCAGAAGCGGGCAGCCGAAGCCCAGTGGTTGCCAACGGCGAGGTTGATAGAGGGGAAATGAAGGAAACATCCCAGCACCTTCTCAACCAAAGAAGAAGCCATCGGGGCCATTCAGAGCGCTCAGGTATTTAAAGTCGGCATCCGCAAGTCGCCAGCTTCGGACGCCCTCCCCGGAAGATCTTCTCGCAACACAGCCAATCCTCATCCAAAAATTTCCACGCAAAAACCACGGGATGCCACGGACGTCGGTCATGAATCGGTTCCCTAAGCAGAATGATCAACGGAGACGGCGACACGCTTCGACATGCGCTTTGGTGCTAACAACAACACACAGGAGAAGATCATGCATGACGGCACAAATTCAGACCAAACCCAGAGGATCACCATGACTGAACGGGAGAAATTACAGGCCAAGGGGCAGGAAGACGCTGAAAAGAAATCGATTGGCCTAGGAAAGTCAGTGCGCGGAAAGTCAGCGCCGAAGAAGGGTCATAGTCGTGTGATCTCTGTCCATCGTAAAGAGGAGGAAGGTTCAGATCTAAATCGCACTCCCTTCGAATGACCATTCTTGAATAGAAGGTGTCACGAGCGTGACGAAGAGGCAGGGCGATATCCAAGACGTATCAGACGGTCCCTGGAAGATGCTGGCATGGAGAGCAAATGTTGAAGTAGATAGATGCGTCGGACAGTTGCACAGCATCAGAAGGAGCAAAGCCGGTTGGATACCAAAAAGCCAGAAAAGTATGTGACGTTCGATGTGCTTGAAGGGGGGAATAATCTGCTTCTGGATGATGTCGATGGCTTTGTGAATGAGGGTGCGACGACATAACATTGGCTCAAAGGGAATCTGATACATCGCTGAGCTGATTCATTCAGCATGATTGAAATCGAACGCGAGGAGGGCGAGGGCAAAGGCAGTCGTATTGGAAATGAAGCCTCGCCTGTAGGTATCGCTGTCGCAATACGGACCGGCTAACATCTGCAGCGCGACGGATTCGATGTTGAGGTCGCTGGTCCGCCAATGGCAGACATCCACCTTGCAAGGATCCTTGGCGGTTTCGGTGTTGTCCAGCTCAGCCTGATCATTCATATACCATCATCGCCATGGTCCGAGTCACAGTGCTTTCAGCTCTCCTGTCGCCCTCTCCAACTTCTTCTTGAAAAATCGTCAATCCATCTGAGCTCCTAACTGCTGTGCGAATTTCCATCGGATCCTGTCGTTTGCTGGTCTGTTGGCTTGCCACAAAAACACACAATCAAAGACAGTCTGGCCAGTCTCTCCCTGAACCTCACCCCACAAAGACACCGACCTATCCCCAAATCCTTCCGTCTCAAATCAGGATGGCCATGATGACAGTGTATGAGGTCCAGTATACACGCCTTCCGGCCTTCCATGCAGCCATCTATATACAGCGAGACGAAGCAGGAGGCCTGTTGTACCACGCCGTCGGCTCGGGCGTCGCTGGGTTCCAGTACGAAGCATGCGCAACCAAGCGGCCTCAGAAGACCAGGAGCTTTTACAGGATGTGGCCAAAGGGAAGAGTGGCTGTGCAGGATCTGCCTCGAGTCGACTTGATCTGTCAGGAAGTCCCCGTCCCTCGCGTCCAAATGGTTTCGGGAGTGCACATTCAGCGAGACTGCCGGCATTGGGTGTATGAAGCCCTCAAAGACTTGCGGGCGGCAGGGGTTCTCCAAGAGATAAGCCAGAAACAGTGATGGGTCGCGGAATGCAATGGGATGCAATGGGCGAGGGGAATGGCGCGTGCAATGACTGCAATAGGAATCACCGTCCAATTTCATTTTCCAACATGAACAGCCCAGATGTAGTCGTTCGGGTACGGGTCTAGGGATTTGCGTAGCCAATGATGCCAGTCGTCCTCAACCCATTTCCTGATGATTGCGTTGCTGAGTCCAATTCCGTGTCGAAAAGTCCGTTGCGGCCTGTCATTGAGACTGCAGTGTGCATTTGGTGATTGCACCCTGCATTCGAAGCAAACAGTCCTTGCGTGCGGAGTCTGACCTTCTACTCGGTTCCAAGACGTTGAAGTTCTGGCCACAGTCGTGATAGATGGCGTAACACAAGGGGGACAGGCACTTGGGCGCACTGTTTTCACAAAAATCATCATTCGGGCTTCTTGGAGATCAACCCCTTTTGCATACTAGGCCTACTCCAACCACAAAGTGAGGGCTAGTGAAACGGTAACGGTCTTTTGGGCAGTGTGGTGCTCGGCCAAGGCGTCCAATTATCTCTTTTAGTGGGCAGCTTTGCCGGCAAATCTGTAGCAGGGGCATAGTAAGGCATCAATGTCGTACAGAGCTGCGCTCCTGTAACGCCAGATTTGAGGGTGCGTAGGTCAGTGGTGGCGTGGTCTGTCCAAAAAAAAGTGCATCCATCCATGGACTGCGCGCCGAATTGGTCGCACGGGGCAACAGACGGCAGACTTCTCACTTCCATTATAGCCATTGTGAGTGTATTCAAAACACAGCACCATCGCCCACAAGCCCGACGAGGCACGTTGATCCAGAGAAATGGGCCAAGAGGTTGATGCCGGACCAAATCCATTTGTGGGGGGGTCCCGATTCTTACAAGTTGGAACCCGCAAAACCCGCAGTCGGGTACCGCAACCGCAACCGCAACCGCAACCGCAACCGCAGCGCCGTTCCATTTGCTCTCCCATATTCTGAAAACACTCCTTTGCTCGCTCGATGACGAACACGACGAGTCAGCCCCCTCAAGATCTCGGCCAGCGGTTCCTCTGCACGTCCTTGTGTAGCAGGTGCCTTCACCCGCACTGTAAGCTTAGGGCTGGAACCAGCCAACGGCCAACTTGGAGAATGGCGTGGACATTGGACACGCACAACAGCTTGTACATAGCTGGGAAGCTGCAGAAGATACCGACGCACAACGCCTTTGCCATAATCTGCGAGCAAACCTAGCACAGTTCATGGCCTCTCGACATCTCACCGTACGGACGCTCCGGCAAATACCCTCATGGTCCTATGCCGAGTTGTCCACAACACCCTCGATGAGCCTGCCCAGGGGCAAACTTCGAAAGACGGGGAGGCAGAAGAGAAGAACGTGCAAGAGAAAGATGCCGGAAAATCCGAGTTGCAAACCACAATTGGCTGGCTGTACGGGCCTCGTCCCGTCGGAAACGCACACAACATCCTGTCAATCATTCCAATCCGATGGGATTGCGTTTGAGAGGTAGAATCCAAGGAGAAAGGTGATTACACAAAGGTAAGAAAACGGTTTCGCAATGGCATCGGTTCTCACGCATGAGAGTCCTACACTCGATTTAGGAAGTCTGGCAGATCGTGTCTCTTGTGCGTCTACATTTCCCCGGTTCATCTGCGTGGAATTCGTGAGGCTGAATATTTCCCACACCTCCTAAGTCCTGGCGTTGATTGGAAAAGGTCCTACGACAGCCTTGCAACGTTACATGAGAGCGCTTCTCCTGGCGCTCGAGTCTCTTGACGAGCCTCACTCATGATGTCTAATCCGTGTCCCCAATCTTGCCCCATCCTCTGAGGAGACAACGCACACACACATGGCGGATATGTGGAAAGAGGAAGGCCGGTAAGACCAGACAAGCGCAGAGAGGATGACCAAATTGATCTTCTTCATTCCCCTGGACCGACGGATTGGGTTGCTTTCGAGACTTGACCCCGCCCAAGAGAATTGCCGGCGTGTGAAGATGCGAGATTCGAGCACCACGCCGCTCTACCCCCCACCATTGGGCCGGATGATGCCGGGCCAGATTTACTGAAACAAGTACCCGACGGGAAATCAACAATGAATGCATGGGCAGAACGAAGAACAGCGAGATCAAAGAACAGGCGCGAGAAACAACGCTTACCAGCGACCTTGGTAGAGAAAATCATCGGGTTCGAGGTACTGGGTACTGGGTACTCTGGGACATGGAGTCTACCTACTTCTCGGCCCTACTTCTCGACCGGCGTGATTAACCTGCGAAGTTTTGTCTGGCTTGCCTAGTAGAACTGTATATTACTACCCGGTAGATAAGGATACTCTCCACTTGTTGTGTGGGCAGGAGGGGAACCAAGGGAATAACGGGGCCTACACTTCGCCGTAATGCAAAAGGTCCTTCCGAAGCTTCCTCTATACGGTGGAGTACCGAGAACACGGCCATACTGGGTACAATACCCTTGAATACACCCAGCGTTGCATTCTCTGCTCCCCTTCCACTCTTCCTCTCCTCAATTCGCTTCCTCTTCGCCCTATTTTGGCCCGTGTGTGCTAGTTTCGTTTTAGTCTTCAGCCACCAGGAGTTCTATACGAGTTCTTGTGAGTTCCTCCTCGCACACACTTGCCACTGTCAAAGTAGCGGTCAGCGACTGGCAAATGCCCCCCCCCCCCTCCCCCCCCCCGGGGTTCCTAGACCTCCCCGCCTCGTTGGCCAAGGGGCGCTAACTGTCTCCGCGACAACGCGGGCTGCGACGATCATAGGCCATTCACCTGCCAGTGATGACTTTGCTCGACTTCCATTGGCTTTGCAGTCTTGGTGGCTCTCCCAAGTCAATCTTCGGATGCAAGGTTCCAAAAGTTCGGATGTGCAGTACAAATGTTCTCAACTTCAGATGTCCTGTAATGGTCTGGAGTCTGGACAGCTGCCACAGCCACAAACGACTGCAAACTCCAGGCTCTGTTCTCCGACCTTTTGGCCTCCTTGGAGACAATCCGGTCGGTACTGCTCTCGCCTCGATCGCTGAGCCAGCGATACGTGCTTTCCTTTCCATTCGGTTCTACCCAGTACTCTATGCATTGACCAGTGTCGAATTCCGTGGATGGCGGTCCACGGCACAAGGCTGTCGACGATATCAGCTGCTGGTCTCGCCGTCACAAAGCGACACGCGGCTCGGTAAATTGAACCCTGTTTGCCTCGTGTAGCCTCAGCTCTCGCAAACGCTGTCCACATGCCTGCCGTTCACCTCACCATGCGCCAGCAGATCCTTTCCATTCCAGAACCCCCAGCGAGGTGGATGAATCTTCCGACCACAAATCATCCTTGCCCAGGTCTTCTACCTGCAAGTGAGGCGCTTTGACACTCGCCTTTAATTCCAAGTTTTAGCCCCATCAGGGCCAACTCCCTTGCGACTGCCACTGTGACTGTTTAACATCTCGGATTCAGAGACCCACCCATATCCATTCATCCATCCATCCATCCATCCATCCATCACCATTGCGATTGCGAGAGCATCCAGGATGCATCGTGGTTGATGGAGTACAGGCCATTTCGAACGTGTCACATACGCTAAGAAGCACGGAGGGCACTTGGGAAGGAAAACGACAAGGATAATCATTGCCATGGGCTCCATGAGAAGGGGGAAAGGGGATTCCTTGTCACGGTATACAGCTTGTGGCTTGCAGTTTGTCTTTGTCATCTCCATTGGCGTTGCAGCTCTGTGATGAGAAGGCGGCGATGCTCGACAAGTGGTGACGTTCCAGACTACGCTGCCCATGCAACCACGGTTTCCTGCCTGAAAAGAAACTGGGCAGAAGGGTGTGAATTATACGAGGACGAGAGTAGAGGGAGAAAGGGGGAGGGTTTAGACCAGCGTCATTGATCTCCAGGGACAAAAGCGGTCAAAAAAATATAGGCCAAAGATGCCGATTCACTCACTTGGCTTGGTCGTTGTTGGATATTTGTACGGAGTACATTTCTCCTTCCACTCGATCGGTCTCCTCCATCAACCACCGCCTGTCCGTCTTCCTGTCTGTCTGGCCACTGCCTCTTTCCAACTTCAATCTTTCTGCAGCAACATCAAAGGACGTGCCCGTACTTCTTCCCCTGACTTCTCTCGAACTGCGTTGATAGTCTCCCGTACAACAACCAAAGGTGCGTGATCCCCCCCTTCTCTCGCACGAGATGGGATTTATCCGAAGAAAAAAAAACCCCCCTCCACCCAAACTAATCTATTCAGTGCACCATGGATGGCAACCGCCTGAGCCGTTGCATCCTCTACATCATGTTGAGCTGGATCTTCTGTGACGAATGTACCTTTGAATCGTGCCACCGGGCGACATTCAGGGCCATGCCCACGACCACTGTCGAGGCAGAGCAGATCCAAAGGTTCCTGAATGAGCACTTCGCCGGCCGAGCCGTGAGCTGGACTCAGGTCTGTCAGCAGATGGACCATCTTCGCGAGCTGGTTACGAGTCGTCAGAATGTGCAGAGCTATACCCATCCCTGGACCCGACATTTCAATTGGCTGATGAATGCGGCCATTCTCTACGTCGGCGCGGTCGCACAACCCGTCACGAGGGCGTTTTTGCAGCCTCGTGCCCTCCCAGTGAATGCAATGCTCCGATTCCTGTCTCGGCGGTTCCATGTCCAGCTCACCGTCCAGGACCTCGAGCACCATATCACACGATGGGTAATTGTGCTCTGCGGCTCTGCTGGAGAGGTGCAAGAGAACCTTCCTCCCACCGCGGCCAGAGTGGAGCAGACCATGGCCAAGTATTTGGCGGTACCCTTGTCTCCCTTGGCGCCGAATATCTCAACGCAACTATGTGACCAGTACAGGCAGTTCCACGAAGAGGTGGTGCAGTGGTACCCGCCCCGTGTGTGGGGGAACCGCATCACTCCCATGTCTCCATACGAGACCTGCACAGATATTCCTCCCAACCTCGATGTCTACACGCAGGACCACACGCCCGCTGGGCTCATTGTGAGACAGTTTGTTCCTGAAGAAAACAAGCGCCATGACATGCCGGTCATCGTCTGGTTCGCTGGAGGAGGATGGATGCTCGGAGACGTCGAGGGAGACAACAATGTCCTCAGTCATATTTCGGCCAGTGAGTCTTTCCCCTTTACTCCAATCTGGGTCTCTACATAGACACGCGTCCAGGGGCTGACTTCTCTATCGATTGTGGATGTCGAATATTCAGCGGTGAATACCGCCGCAAACCGTTTCCCACGCCGCACAATGACGCCTTGGAGATAGCGAACTGGGTTCGGCACGAGGTGGGAGAAAGGGATGTGATTCTTGCCGGCGTGTCATCGTGAGCCGTTCTGACCTCCATGTGTCGTGTCGACTTTTACTGATTGGCATTGCAGGGGCGGGAATCTGGCCGCGGCAACCGCATTGCAATGGGCTGCGGCAAAAAGGCCTCCGGCGGGGTTGCTCCTCGTTGCTCCCAGCTTGGACAACTCGACGGAATGCGAGCAAAGATGGCTGCGAAACTGGGACGCCCCCTGGCTGACTCCCGAGACCATGCGCTTCTTCCAGGACCGTTGTTTCCAGGGACCCGGCGAAAGGTCGACGGCCAACTGGAGGGCCAGCCCGATCTACGCCAGCCAGCAGATGATAGACGCTGCGCGGGCCTTCCCCACCAAGGTTGTCGCCATGGGCGGAGACATCTTGTTTCAAGAAAGTGTAGATTTCGTGGCCCGCTTGCGGTTGGCGGGCTGTGACACTGCGCTCAGCGTGTTCCCATACGGCCACACGGGCCTCCTGATGCAGGGCGTCGTAGGGACCGCCTTGATCGAAGAGATGATCGACTGGATCAAAAAGCGGGCAAGGCGTTCTCCCACGAACGAAGTTGCGTGAAACGAAATGCAAATCAATGGGGTGGAAGATATTGTGTGCCTCGGAGGCGTGGACAGGAGAAGCAGAAGCAGAAGCAGTCATCCTAGAATAGCTCGCTCCACAGGCGATGGAGCTATGGTCGGCTCAAAGGGTGGACTGGGTCCTGAAGGCAGATCACAAGTGTCGTGCTTTGACAAAAATATGTCCTGTATCCAGTCGAGGGAGATGGTATGGTGGGCCGTTGGCGAGGGCGTCGACGAGGCATTGAATCTTATTACTTGCGGCACGTGACTCACAAAGTCCAATCCCGTATTGTGATTAACCCTCAACGTTTGTCCAGCGTTCCATCAGGCTGCAAGGGAGGAAGCATCGAGCCTGACGCCCTGCACTGCCCTACTGCGCCATTGCGTGGAAATGTACTCATCACAGTCGCTCCTGCGCCTTTGGTCTAGGCAATGGGCTTAGTTGGGTGCTTGGGTGCCTAGTGAAGGGTCTTTTAGTGGCCGGCTTGGTGGGAAATACCGAGTTTCGCGGGATGGGAGGGAGGGAAGGGGGAGGGCTACGTAGGTAGGTGGGTGTATTGGCGGGTTGGAAGGGACCCGAGTAGTCCCTGAAATGGTAATGGTAGTACCATGAATTGACATATTAAATATCAGTCTGTCTAGACGTTTACATTATTCCCCCCAGGATCTATACATGTAATTGACTTTTTGCTCCCCAAAAGTTGTGGAACTCTATTCTAATCCCTTAGCTCCTGATGTCCTCCCCCCCAGGGCGTCGTCGACATTATTCATTTATCCGCCCTTCCGTTCTATCATCACACCATCAACCCGTCATTCGTTGTTCCTGGTGTGAACTGAAATGAATGACAGTAGAGGGAAAGAAAGAAAGGGGCAATGGGAAAGCATAAATTGAAAAGCCCGAAAATGGATAGCCCAATGAAAGCCTCGTTGAGAGGAGCCTTTGCAGCCGGCCGATGCTGAGATGGTCGGGCGTCAGCGTTGGTATCTGTGCCAGTGTCGTCTGTGTGTCGATTGTTTTTCATATGTGTATCTCTGTGTGTCGTCAATGTCGTGAGTCGGAACATTCATCCAATGGACTTCAACAACCTCTTCCCTAATAGGAGGAAGAAGCGGAGCAGGAGAAGAAGAGGATAACTAGCAAGCTAGCTGCTCTGGTCGGCATCTTCCCATTCGTTTCTGGTTTCTGGTTTCTGGTTTTTTTTGTTTCCTGTTTTGCGTCGATGCATCATCTCATCTGCGTTCTTCGAGATATTTGGCCCAGTCGATGTTGTCCGAGTCGTCGCCTAGTGATTCTACCATGATACGCCTGAAGAGTCAATACATCGTGTTCTACTCCAGTCTAGTCGTACCAGACCTTGCTGTTGGGCTTCTTGATTCGGTAGACATACCATTTGGCTCGGATCCACCGGTAGAGATTGAAGGACGGCACCTGGATGATCTCGGCCCGCTTGGGCTGCTGGACGACGAAGCGGCGGAGCAGGAACTCAAACGGCGTCTGCACCCCGCAGCCATATTTGGGAGAGAAGTGAAAGTATCCCGCGCCCATGCACTTGGCGAGGTCGAGACCGTCATCGTACGCCACCGTCTGCCCGTGGTAGTCGGTCATGATGCCGACCAAGGCAATGAGACGCCTACGGCTGTTGTGGTACTGAATGACCGAGTGGAAGGTCATGGTCGAGGAAGTACTAAAGACGAAGATCATGGCGTCGAACTCTGGGAAGTCGCCGGGGTCCTTGGCCGTTTCGATGATGTCGAGTTCGATGAGTTCGGAGTCGACGTCAACCATTTTGGCGTAATGCACCATGTGTTTGTGCTCTTCGTGATATCTCCCGAAGAAGTACTGGCAGCGTCATCGAAGCATGTCAGTCATTGCGAAAACAGCCCTCCCTCCCCGTCTGACAACCGACCAAATAGCGACTTACCTGATGGATGAGTGTCGTTTTGCCTGATCCTGGGGCGCCAAACACGCCGACGGTGAACTTCTTTCCTCGTGCCACCATTCTTGTTGTTGCTTCTTGTGGTGAGGGTAACCGGTCGTGGAGGCACTGGGGGCGACAGGTCCTGGACAGTTAATTGAGTACTACTATCAAAGTCGGAGAGCGAAGAGGAGCGAGGGATGGGCGATCTGCTCTCTAAGTAACAGAGGCCACACCCCGCTAAGTGACATGTATTGTCCGATGCTCATCCCACCTTCAAGTCAACAAAGGTGCGTAGGGTGCGCCACGATTGGATAAATGTCGGTGTAAGGTTCAAGGTAGAACGGTAGAGGTGGGTGTCTATATAAAGCATGCAGATTGGGAAGAGAGCTTTTCGCAGCTTTACGGACCCGAAGGCCTCAGCCGAGCCCCTACGACACGCGACAAGCCCGGGCACACGATGCAGGCACAAGAGACGCCGAGAAACCCATGGTCAGATCGTAGTTCACCCCTCCGACGAGGGCGATCAGCAGCCCGAAATCGGTGGAGTCGGCCTTCTGTTTTCGCGTCGAGTGTGTCTTGGGTGTTTGCGCGATTGAAACATGGGGTCCAGGATTCAAAGAGGGGCTCAAACAAGAGGCAATGGAGGAAATTGGGCCTGAGAAGCTTTATGGAGGGGCTCCCACCCATGTCCAAGCCATGTCCCAGGGCTCGGATAAGACAGCCGAATGGGTGGATAGATATCCGTGGCCTACCTAGCGGAATGGGTCCTATCTTATGCAGCCATTCCAGGTTTTCCTGCGTGTCTTGAGCAAGATAGATTCCGTTGGGGCGTGTCCTCGCTTTCGCAGAGTGGGCAGCAGCAGGGGGATTCCGGCGAGTGTCCTGACGTTGAACAGATGAGGGACAAGGACTCAAGAGCAGCCTCTTTCCCGGATTCGCGTCGAGGTTGGACAGCAGAGGCTGCATCGCTGGTCACTCAGTACCTAAGTAGATTGACAAGGAAGAGAGTTTTGGTCCGCGTCAGCCTTACCATGTCTCTACAAGTACAGCGCCCTTCCATCGCCATCTCAGCGCATGAGCAGAGGCACATCACACCACACAGACCAGAGTGCCGAGTGCTCAACGTCAGAGAAGAGAGCTGTCGAAGGGAAAGGACGCGTCGAACGCTGGTCTGCAGGTGGTGGACTGACTGCGAGTTCTCAGTTGGGAAGGGATGGGACGTGGTAGTGTAGATGGTGTAGGTGGTGCAGATGGTGACATGCATGAGCACTTCATCCTCTAGAGCCGCCACCAATGACACCCACCTGGCGCGTCCAAAGTCTGGCGAGGGTGCCTTCGGGATCCTTTCGAGTCCCTGATCGACAACTCGGCGCGAGACCACATAGACCACCCAGCCTCCTACCCACTTCCCCGTTCTCAAAGAGGGAACTTGAGGTACAGGTTGCCCCTCTCATAGCCAAAGGATGGATGGGCTCTTGGAATTGGTGGAAAGTGGAAACAGACTACCGAGGAACAAAGTACAGAGGGAGATGCCAATCCCCATCCGACCCACCAGAGCCAACGCCAATCACTAGCCATCTGCGGGCTCGGTACGAGGTAGAAGACCATCTGCACCACGGGCGCCATGAATGAACGCTGGAACTTTTGCAGCCATGTTTTCCGTCCCTGGCTTCAGCCATTGGCCTCCCTATATTTGCATTTGACTTCTCGGGTCCGCCACCTCTAGAAATCCCAGCTGAACGGTCCCATCTTTCTTGTTCTTCCGACAGCAGACTCGGAGGGTTCCAGTGCCAATGACCTATTTGAAGAAGCCCATTGCCAATCAATAACAACATCGGTCTTGCGTTTGCACATAATGAGATTGGGTGGGCAAAGGTCGGCGTGAGAGAATCAGGGTCGTATTGACGAGTGTGACAACGCGTGACAGCTTCGCTGGAGACTCGTGTACAATTCTCCACTGGGACCTGTCCACGAAGAAAAGAATGGAATTCTTCGTGGCCGACAAAAGGGGCCAGAAAGATGGTCTCCCACCCGGACGTCGAGACATTTGCCAAATTCGGTTGGAGCAACATCTCCTCCTTGGGGCGGCTCGAGTGCTTGAAGCTGATCAATATAACCGGCTACCTGTTTAGGCAATAACTTTCCTTCTTGTTTGAAGGCAACCTTCATTCAGGACACGTATTTTGTTCACCGCTAGGAATAGTGGTGTTCTCTCATCCATCCCATACCAATAGCTGTAGCTGATACAGCGGCTCCTTCGTCTTTATTGAGCGCTTTTCAGCTACGTTGGTTGCGGCTTCTTGTCTGTGTCAAGCAGTAAACTTACGTTATTTCAGATTTGATTCGAGGCCGGGTTAGGCTGTTGGTACGGGACTGCCGGATCTGCCAGGATCCTTGTTCTTCTTCTTCTTCTTCTTCTTCTTCTTCTTCTTCTTCTTCTTCTTCTTCTTCTTCTTCTTCTTCGTCGTCGTCGTCGTCGTCGTCGTTGTCAGTGTCGTTGTCGTTGTCGTTGTCATTGTCGTTGTTGCCGCTGTCACCCTCGTCATCGTTGTCTGCGGACCCCTTCCTTCTGAGGGAGGGTTGGCTGAACCGAGAAAAATGGTTTCAAGCTTGCTGACTTGGAGGGCATGATTGCAGCAATTCATGCAACAAACTGACGCAACAATTCACACAACAATCCGAACAAACAGAGTCCTGTACCGGCCTATAAGATTCACTCGCTCAAAGAGGGCGATGGCTTCGTCTTAGGCAGTTTTATCGGGCCATGAGTGCAGAATAGGCAAGTGCACTCATGCGGCGGGCAAGTGCTGTGGTGGCATTGAGGAATCTGGAGGAAAGAGCTTCTGTTTCATAAGTCAGGATAGGGTTATCCGTGGAGGTGGTCAGCCTTGTAGTCATGCGAGTGCATGGTGAGCCACTCTCTCGAGCGGCTGGTCAAGTTTCGCCCGAAAATACGAAGACAAGAGCAAGTGAGTTGCAATGAGCGCTGTTCTCCAACAGTGTTCGAGTCATAAGGGGAACAATTCCGAAGCGAAGATAGATGCCCGGTATTATGAGTGTCCCGATATGTCCTCACCTGACGACTGGTAGCAGAATGGATTAACATCTTAGGCAGCCTCCCCTAGTTTCCGTCTAACGTGAACAATTCTCCGGAGCACCGCTGTCATATGCTCAGAAGGGGAGCTGACATGCCGTTTCCAGTAATCCAGTGGCATTTTCATGATGCAACGAGCCTTCTAGCTCAAGACCGGTCGACTCTGGTAGTAAATTTAGTCTGCGACGGTCTGGCTGGAGCCACCAACCACGGAGAGCGGCCTTAATCACTGTCGAAGTCAGAGTGTGGTTAGAGAGTCTAGCACATGCTAGGCTGAGTCGTTGGGACAGTTTACCATCTAATCAATCAACGAGCCACGTCCATCGGCAGCTGTCGGATTCGGACGGAACAACCATGGGCCGTGGCGGTCGCATTCAGCTGGGATGCGTGCCAACAAAACCTGCCGTGTGTGTACCTAGTACGCAAAGGCCATCGGTGGAACATGGTTGATACTCGGATGTGTCCTGGCACGCTCCCCCCGGGAACTGGATAGATGAAATCCCATCGAGATCCCAGAATCTTACAAAGCATGGGACCCAGTTCGGCAAGGACCAGCATAGATATGCATATTGTTGTGACTTTTCCATTGCTCTTCTGCGGGCAGAGGAATATTCGGCTTGGTGGGAGCAAGCAATGGGTTGAGAGACTCGAAATAATAGTGGTCATAATCCAGATTGCTGTTCTGGAGTTGTTCCAAGGTCGTGAAGCTCTAGAACAAGCAATGGTCGTCAGTTTTGAAATCGCAAAGTCTTCGCGGTGAGCCGTTAATTTCGATAAGGTTCTGCAGGCAAGCTCTCGTGGCGCATTGCGGGCATTGAAGCTGGCAGGTTTTAGAATCGTGATCAGCGATTCAATGGGAGAGCGAATTTTTGTCAATCTTGTTGAAGCAGAAACGCGGACTGAAATTCAGGTGCAGGAAAAGAGACACGTATTGTCGCGCTCGCGTCCGCGTGGGCCACCGACACGCTGAGGCTACTGAGGCTGGTGCTGCTCGGCTGGTGACTAGCTACACAGGTGCCTGGTATGCTCGTAGGTATGCTCACTAGGTTCAGAGCAGCTACAGCTCCAACTCGAGAGCTGCTGAACCCATGACTCTCGTCACTTTTCCAGTAGAGCATCACCAACCGAAGGCATTCTGATTCCCTGGGTGAAGTCTTCAAACTTGTTGCGCAGCCATGACCACCTTGACCAACCAAGGATTCATTCCACTGGTCCATCCTCCCTTTGCTCTGAAGGAAAATCCTCTCGACACAATTTCAACGACAGTCTATTATCCGTGGGCATATTAGACGGGGGCAACAGGATGGAATCGAGGCGTATCGCTAGCATATTCACAGAATGAACTGTCAAATCGACATCCTCTCCTCTTTGATATGCCAGCCTATCCATCATTTCATCACATTGGACGGCCTGGACCATTTGATACCGCCTTCAAATCTCGAATGCTTCCACAGCATCCTTCAAGCCCTGTCTTCCGCTATCAACAGGGACACTTTCGAAAGTCCAACAGCAAAAAGGAGTAATCAACCTTCTCCCGGCGACGTCTTGTACTTCGGGTATGCTACAGGCTTCTCTCAGAACCCTGGATCAAACAACAGCAGAGCTCCTCCAGATCCGCATCGGCGCGCTGAAGCTCAATACCCACGTTCATTTTTCGGGATGTGCAGATTCGGCTTCGGTCGCTTCTGCAGTGCGCGGAAAATCCTCCAGTCTCATAGGTTATGCGCAGTCTGACAGCACATTTGATCGGCGCAACAACGCGGCAGAGATGTGCGAGCAGGGGTGACTGATCATGACATTCTGCGCGAAGCTCGAGACCGATGCAGAATCAGCTGTAACTTGAAATCTTTGTGTCAGGTTTTGCCTCCTGTTCCTCCTCTTCTACCGCTGCTCTTGTGGTTTGGTCAACTTCATTTTCCCGCTGTTTCTTCACTTATTAAGCATCCCGAAACTGTCCGTGCCAGCATCGTTCAATTACCACCGCATGATGCAGCAGCCCTAGTGGTGAGTATTTCTCTTGCTCGTAGAGGTTCTCAACGGTTTCATCTTCCCTCACCTCATCACATGGTCTCTTCCCCGACATGATCTCAAAGATGATGCACCCAGTTGCAACCAATTCTGTCTGTGTCGTGTGCATAGTGATGTCTTTATTACAGCGTCTTCGATATCTCGTCTCTTCCGAAACCAGGGGCTCGTCATAACCGATTTTAGAACCCGCAAAATCACGCAACCGTCGTGACCTATCGTCTGCAACAACGAAGTTTCGGGTGCTGATATCGCAGTGTCGAACGCCATGGGCAGGGCATGGACGAAAGCTATGGATTATTCGACGCCGTTTATCGCCCATCTTGTTCTTTCCCCGACGGGTATATTGTGGTGGTTCAGCTGGAGGTAGTCTCGGAGGTCATGGTGTCGATGGAGGGGAAATCGCAGTCCAGTTTCGAACGTCTTGAGACATTCGAGGATGAGGTTGTTCTGGAGCAAAGAGTTGTAGATGAACCTCTCGCGCCCGAGAAACTCGCCCAATTGTGCCTCAAGCTCACGGCAGAGGTCGACGTCCTCGTCGCTGCAACTTTCGGTGCGAGAGCGAAGTGAAACCTTAATCACCGCTTTTGCGTCAGTGCGGAGTTTACACACTAGGGACACAGCTGTCCTTTAGTACCAGTAAAGGATAAAGGATCTGAGGGAAACGCCCCATATTTCCGTTGTAAATAGATGCACAATTTAACGATCTTTACATTTGGTTGCGCCTGAATTTACAAATTTACAAAGCTTGCTGGGGTATGGTTCCTATACGAGAAATAGCCCTGGGTAGAGTATGGAGTACGAGGTACCCGGTATATAAAGCAGTGCGAGTCCCTATTACCTCGTACGAGGTACTGAGAGGGCCATGGCCCCCTAGGCCATCCCCATCGGGCTAAGAAGCCTCGACCACGCTCCTCAGTACCTGGTACAAAGCCTCGGCCACTCTTTGTCGTGGCTGGTGAGGCTTCTCGCGGGTGGGCGACCTTGGGCGACCTACGAGATAAAGGGGTTGCCAAGCCTAACAACCCTTCGTACTGGGTACCAGGCTCACAGGGTTGTTGGCTGCCAACTCGGAAGCTTTCTACGGCCTGACGACTCGTGCTCCTCCTGTCAAAGGCCACTCTGCGATGGCTCTTTATGCCAATTGCCATAAGAACTGTCGCATCGAAGGGTCCTCGATACATACCTCCAGTAAGAAGCTACTGTTCGGCCCAGGCGAATAACAGGAAGAAAATCGAAGAAGAAACTCTACCCAACTACAACTCTTCGGTCTTCTATCCCGCTCGCATTGGCGAAGTCCTCGCACCCAAATATAGGGTTGTGGATAAGCTGGGCTTTGGAGCCAAATCCACGGTTTAGCGAGCTCGCGAAGTACAGTCCGCATTATAGTCCCTGATATCTACGCGATTGTAACTGATAAACTTGCCTTCCCAGGAAACAAACTTGTGTCGGAATTCATTAGGTCAATGCTACGGTGGGATCTAAAGGACCGATAAACGGCTCACGAGCTCCTTGCTGATCCGTGGCTAAACAATTCTGAGACCTGGGAGACTATGCTCTCGGCCCAGCTGTTGCAGGTGTTCTCAGCCCAGTGTGTGTTCATACTGGCAATCCCCGATTGCTCGACGAGCCTCTGGCTTGCCAGAGGCAGCAATAGCCCCATAAATCTCGTCGGGCGGAGATATAGCCAAGCTCATCAAGTCTTCGCCTGGCTCGGAGATGCCACCAGTGCACTACACTGGCACGGGAATAAAGGTATCGCGTGTACTTGGTGAATTGAAGGAGGAGGAATCCGGTGCAAGTAATCCCCACTTCAAATCCCGAGTGCAGTCGACTGTTCTAGGAACCGGCGAAAGAGATATCTGTGGACAGTCCGGAGGACTTGTTTGAGTGCTGCAACGCGGCATGGCAGGGAGCCATTTCCTCAGTTCAGCGGCCAGGGTTCGGCAGGCTCTGGGTCGTTCAAGAGGTCGTCTTATCTCGTGAGCTTGTGCTCAGCTGTGGCAGATACACGATCTCTGGGGCTGCGTTCTTCAGCGCTGTCCGAAGTATTTCTTTCTTTGTGGCATTTCCGCCTCGCGCTCTCTTGGCCGCATTTCACAACGTGCAAAAACTAGGCTCTCTCAAGGCGCAGCTCTCTTCAGCACGATTTTACTCCTACCTTGATCTGGCACACGGGCTTGGCGAATGGGGCTGCTTAGACGACAGGTCCAGGAATGGTTTTCCGGTATAAGCCATCATGGTTTACGCCAAGCTACGATATGATTGTGGAGAAGCTGTACAAAGCCTTCGCAAGGGCATATATCTCAATTCTCTCCCACAGGATGTCTGGACATTCTGCATTTCGCTGGAGATCGCACAGTTTTAGTCCTTCCTGACAATAATGGTTTTCAAGTCCTTGGTACTGTCACGCCTAACTAAGCTATGCCTGAAGATGTTGGGAATTTCGCTTCTTCTCATCCAATGGCCAACATGCGCTGTCTAGCAGCAGAACAATCAAATGCACGACCATCGGGTCCACTTTGGTCCGGGTATTTGCGGGAGGACTGTTATCGAGCTCGATTCCCCTTTACCTCCGACGGTGAGTGCTATCCACGTTTTGGTCGTTGGCATCCATATGGATCCAGTCCGTGGTATCCATGCGAACTTCATTTCACACCTTCGCATACCAGAAGTTCAGGGTTCGTCTATGCTTCCTCAAATCCCATCGAAGCCGCTCGGAGAAGGGAGTTGGTCAGTTGCCAACACAGTCAAGCAGGAGGAATGCAGGCAGAGGATTTGCGGACAGTTGTTCCATTCGCTCGCTTACCAACTCATCAAACCTGTCGCAATGCCAGAGAGCTGATCTTTATGGTCCTTTCACTCGGCGAATGCATTGTCTACAATCGGGTTCCTGTGTCTTACTTCCCCTATCACAATCATTGGTCCTTAGTTTGGTATCTTGCATTTCATGTGCGTCTCCGTTTCACTGGGTCTTGCATGGAATTGTTATTGGAGACACGTTGCACGGACGGTCAACTGCGGCGGGCAGGGCGCGCCAACATCCTTTGCATCTCCAAACGTCTTCTCCACCATCGAAGTGGCCACCTCAATCGACGCATGATGGCCAGGTTAGCAGCAATGCCAGGTGCGTGCTTTAGCCAAAATATTAATCTGGCATGGAGATGCTCTACAGACCACTTTCTCGCTCCACTCCCTCCGACTTCTCGTCCAGGATTTCAGTATGGGGGTTTTTGAGTCCGTCTGGCTCGAGACGAACTCGTCCTTGTTCCTCCCACTCGCCTGCTTGATTTTATGGATATGCTACAATGTCGGCCTGGTCCTCTATCGCTTATATCTCAGCCCCATCGCTCACTTCCCGGGCCCGAAAATCGCGGCGGTGACTTACTGGTAAGCAGCCTGTCTATCCTACCGTGACCGCCGCGGCGGGAGTTTTGTCGTGACATCCCTCCCAGGTACGAGTTCTACTACGACGTCGTGCTCGGCGGTCAGTACACCTTCCGCATTCTTGAACTGCATAAGCAATATGGCCCTGTTGTCCGCATCAACCCGCGAGAGTTGCACTTCTACCCTCCTCAGTTCTACGAAGAGATTTACGCAGGTCCCACACGCCGACGAGATCGTTGGGAACGCTACACCCAGGGCTTCGGCATGCCTGGGGCCGGCGCAAGCACGAATCCACATGACTTGCACAAAGCAAGACGAGCAGCCTTGAGCCCCTACTTCAGCATGCAGAGTGGGTTGCTCCCTCAAAGTCAAGCTCCACCGATATGAATACAACCTGACGGAGATCTGCAGGCGTCCGGAATCTACAAAGTGTCATTGAGGAGAAGACGGATCTGCTGATGCGGAGGCTCAGAGAATTTGGTGACTTTACAGACGAAGCTGCAAGGAAGCCTCTCAACCTCGAGGTCGCATTCGCCGCATATGCCTATGGTAAATGTCCCCGGGGGCCTTGGTTTCGCCTGTGCTCCGCTCGCCTTGAGAGCCGGGACTGATCCTGCTCAGACGTCATCACCGAGTACGCCTTCGCTCGAAGCGAACATCACCTTGAAGCCGAAGATTTTGATCCTTGGATGCTGAAAGCGGCCTCTTCCACGAGCTCGCTGGGCCAGATTGCAAAGCAAATGTACTGGCTCTTTTGGCTGGTCTTGAACATTCCGGACTGGCTGACTCGAAGGCTCGACGCGAACGGTAAGTTTGGCTTTCTCCTGATTGAAGAATCAACGCTCTTTGGTAGACGAATGCAGTTTGGCTGACGGATTGCAGCGAGCCGGTATCTCCAGTTCAAGCGGGTAAGTGGGTGGAACGCCTTTTTGTTTTCCTTTTTTTCTTCCTCATCCTCGCTCTCATCTTGATCTTCTGGAGACGTGCCGATTGATTCACTAACCAAAAAAAAAATTTTGCCTTCCGCCTCGGCAGGACATCAACAACCAAATCGAAAACATTCGCAATGGAATCGACACATCCCACAAGACAGCATCACACCCCACAATCTTCCACGAAATACTCAACAGCTCTCTACCCCCCGCTGAGAAGCGCACTTCCCGCCTTGCTGACGAAGGAGCCACGGTTGTGAGCGCGGGAGCCGTGACCACAGGGTGGACTCTGCCGGTGACGGTGTTCTACCTGCTCTCCAACCCGGCCATCCTGCGGAAGCTGAAGCACGAGCTCTGCGAGGCGATACCCGATCCGACAAAACCTACTCCTTTGCCTGAGCTCGAACGTCTCCCGTACCTCACGGGCGTCATTCAGGAGGGTCTGCGACTGAGTTACGGGATCTGCACGCGGCTCGAGCGGATCGCGCGGGACGAGGCCCTCGTCTTCGACGACGGCGAGAGAACCTGGACCATTCCGCCCGGCACGCCGTGCTCCATGACCAGCTACATGATCCACAGAAACCCAGACGTCTTCCCTTCGCCCCACGAATACCGGCCTGAACGGTGGATCGAGAACCCCAGACTGGACAAGTACCTCGTCAGCTTCTCCAAGGGCAAAATGCAGTGTCTGGGCATCAACCTTGCCTACGCGGAGCTTTACCTCATGCTGGCAAAGCTGTTTCGCGTCTACGGGAGCAGGGAGGTCAGGTTTGACGGCGATATGGGAAGGCTGGAGCTCTTCGAGACCACCTTCGAGAGGGACGTGGATATGCGCGAGGACAGGTTCATTCCCTTGCCGAGCAGAGAGACCAAGGGCGTTAGAGTGTTGGTTGAGCTCTATTAAGGGCCCTGTGCGAGGGGGCCCAACATTCTGATTTCTGAATTTGAGACGCAGCGGTGCCATCTGGAGTGTGTAATGGAATCTATCAGAAGACATTTGGCTTCACCATCTCCTTTCCTCATGCCGGGTGTCGACCTTTGAGGTGGTGGTCTCCATCGCCCCCATCCTGCGGTCCTTGTTCACTCCTGCTTCACATATCCTGCCGTCAGTCCTTCTGCCGATTCAGCTATTCTCAATACTCGCCTAGGATATTATGATGGGGATGTTGATCACAGTGGCAACACATGAGCCTGATCTCCCCCTCGCCCCAAGGAGGATGAGGGGGTTCTGAGCCCGTCGATCAGAACGACGACAATCATCACAGCTGGTAAAGTTAACATGCCGTTCCCGCCCCTGCCATTCCGGGCCGCTAGAACCTGTCGAGTGGGTATTGTACTCGACAACCTCTTGACAGTGCCCTCTGGCTAAGGATCACCCGTTCTTCTGCTCGGTCTCTAATCGATTTCATGTCACACATTGATATCCGTAGAAGCTGTCGAGGCCGCTCCCATGTGAAGAACACCGCGTATTCGCTCCCCCAAATTATTTAGTCTCAGCGATATAATCTCTGCTGTTGCCTTCTCCCAGTTGCAGTCTCTTCTCAACGATGGCTGAGATGGGGACTCTCTCGGTCAGCCAGCGGTCTTCACTTTATTACTCGAAAGATGGCAGGCCCCCGAATGTAGACCGTCCCGTGTCAGGCTGTTCGTGCCGAGTTCTTTGGCCAATGATAGGCCACACAACTGCGAGGTGACACTTTCCAAGCAGCATCGAGGTTCTCCTGTGGGACAAGAGAGTCAACCTTCAGGCCAAGAAAGTGGTATCAAGTCAAAGCGACAGAGGTAAAGAGACGGCTGATACAATCCTCGATGTCTTCGTCCGATTCCACCTGCATGCAAAACGTGGCAACCGGCGTAGGAATATGACACGCAGAAAGAAGGAATGATCTCAAGGTTGGGTGGCTTTCCAAGGAAGTGTTCATTCATAATGGGTTGGGTGAATAAGCAGAAGCCCACTTGATCCAACCTCCACATCATAAATAAGCCCCTGCTCTTACCTTCAGCGAAAATGACATTGACTTAAAAACAAAGGATTCCCAACAAGTCAACGAAATCACCGGCATGTTCCGACTCGATGATGCTGTGTCACACTAGGTACATCCCGTGAAGATGAGGGTTTAAGGGACATCTAGACTGGAGTCTTGACATCCGAAAGCCCAAGATGTAACAAACCCAAGGCAGTCCTCCTTCACTTACTTGGATCCACGTACACCTGATCATAATCTTGCTGATATCCATAACCTGGTTGGTATGAAGGAGGTCGCTGACACGCTGCTGCGCCTTGATCGTGCATTCTGTATCCCTCTTGCGGAGGCATCTGCTGATTTGCGGGAGCGTACCGTCCTCGTTTGGCTTTTTTGCTGCACAAGACGCAGCATCCCACCAACAGGAGGAGGATTAACCCGCAAAAGCCGGCAATAGCTCCGATGAGGGTTGTTTTGTGTTCAGAAAACCAAGATATTGTGCTATCTAGATCTGCTTTGTCGCCTGCAGAGGATGTAGAGGTCGAAGTCGAAGAAGAGGTAGCTGTGCTGCCGTACCAATAACTCGAGAAATACCTGGGTAAGTTCTCAATCGTTACGTTTCCGCCATAGTACGTCAGCATCATCTGCAAATCTCTTGTTGGCCTGGATAGACATGACGGCATGACTTATGATGCCCTTCTCGGTTTCCAGACTGTCATTCAATGAGATGGGAGTGTTTACCGTGTCCGTTGTGCCTATGGTGTCCGTGCAGCTGAGGTAGGTATAGCCTGCTGGACCGCCGAATGTTGCCGTTGCGCAAAGGGTCCAGTTTTCGTCACTATGCAAACCACATCAGATGCTATTCGCAGTGGGAGATGTCCACAAGCTTTGGGCACCTTGGGGGGCAGAAATAGACGCAGATCCAGGCCCTTACCACACAGTATTGAGGTAGTTCCCTTGACATGCCATATCACAGCCGTTATTCACCATGGAGTAGGGCACACACAAGGTCACCCAGGCGCAATCCGTTGTTGCGGCATCGGCGCAACAGCCAACGGCATGAAGTTCGGGAGACCAAAGGCAGGCATGGTACTCGCAAACGAGAGGGGTGTCTAGACAGACAGATGCCGCAAAATGGTTAGTATCGATTCGAGAATCTCTGGCGAATAGTAGCTATGTAGTAAGGCTGAGGTATCGTGGTGGGAATCGACAAGTTGGGAGGATGCATCAATGCTTACTGAGATCACCATTGACCCATCCACATGTGTTGTCATCGACCGTCTCTGTATCAAGCGGTGCCCAAGCTCGAAGAGGTTGAGCTTGCTGCCAAATTGGCACACCTGATTATCTTGGCATCTGGATATGGTCGAAGTTAAAGCAAGTAAAGTCTGGCGGGTGTTCGCCTTGTGCTGGCGGTTTTGCCGGAGCTCACCTTCTGAATACGAGATGGGAACATCTTCTACCAAGTCGTTGAACGTCCGAAGGGAGACGTAGCCGTAGAGCTGAGCAAAGATTTTGCCAAGCTTTGCGTGGATCAATCATAGTGCATCTCTAGCGAGGCTGGATGGAGGCGAAGGGGGCGAGGTCGTTGGTGACGGGCTGGACGCATCGAGACCCGAAGCTGCGACGGACAGATCAGAAGCAATCAGGCGGACACATGGCTAGGAAAGAGAGAGAGAGAGACAGAGACAGAGGCAAGAGAAAGGCGCATCGTATCTCTTCAGAAAACGTCTTTTCAGGCGGCGGTCTCTATCAAACCGAGCCAAGGGAACATGGACCGACCTCGACGAGGCTGCATCAGTCTCCCGACCCATGAGTCCATGGCCTTACCTGGAAAAGTATGCTCCTAGTCAAGATTTGCCCCCAGTGCCCTCCATTTGACGTTCCAAAATCCATGGCTCACCCTTCTATGCATTCTAACCAGACGTCAAGCCGTCCTTCAAACCAAAATCTCCAGTGATTCCCTAGACCTCCTGGATATAATTGGCTGGGACACTTCTTGTCTCGCCATTCTTCTCGACATCGGCCCAACCATCTCCGGTCCCCATACTGATCAAGATGAATCTCTCCCCTTCGGCCATGTCGAACTCAGCATCGCTCTGGGCTGTGTAGGGGTAGAGGGCTTCGACATATTTCACTTTCTTCGCTCCTCGTTTGGGCGCCACTGCTGGGCCCTGCTTTTTCTTGCTCGCGCCAGCCAAGGTGGAAGATGCCAGTGAGGCACTTGAGTTGGAGTATAATGACGGTGGGCGCTCTTGCGCCGGGGTGCTGGCAGCAGGAGGCAGTTCCTCTAGGTAAGCTGTGGGCACTAGGCCTTCCTTACCGAAGCCAGCGTGAACTTTGGTCCAGCCGCCGTCTGCTGCTTGTTCAGTATGATGCGTACAACTGCGCGGAGCTCACGTACCGTCAGGTTCCAGTATCTTCACCTCCGTCCCCTCAGAAAGAGATATTTCTCCATCGTCTCTTGCTTCATAGGGATAGAGCATCCTACCCCTAGGCTGGCCACTCCCATTGGCAGTCAAGTCAACGCCAGGTGCGCTGACGTACGCTGCTGGGGGTGGTGCAACAATCCTGTTCCGTCTCGGGGCGGCAACTGTCGTTGATCCAGAGTTGGAAGTAATCGTCGTTAACGGGGAGGTCGTGGCTGAATCATCCATTGCTGAAAGCCTTGCAACACCACCAGACAATGACCTCGTGGCACTGGCCGCATAGCCAGACGACAGACTGCTCATTGTATCTTGCCTTACCAAGGGAGGAGGAGAGGTAGTGCCGTTTGAGGCAGATAGAGGGGCCTCCACCGCCATCAGTGCTGCCGCTTGTCGTTCCGCCTTCAGTTTCTTTTTCTCTTCTCTGGTCTGCTCTCCAGGACAATCCGCAGGCACTTTCATATGACACTTGCTGTGACAAGTAAAGCCACAATCAGTACATATAAACCCTTTGGCACTCAGACCCCAGATTCGATCACCACAGAGATCACAATTGGTGGGGATCTTGAATGTCTCGGATTTGAAGGTGTGGCTCTTGCCATACATGCTAAGATCGCCCACGACTGAGGTGATTGTCGACGTCTCCACTTCCGCCGTCAGCCGTTTCCGCTCGACGGTATGCAACTCTTCCTGCAGGGCAAATTGCATTCGCACCGATTCGACTTCGTCGCGCTTGTCTTTGCCCTCTCGCCGGGCCTGCTTGACATTTTCCAGCTCTCGTTTTTTCTGAGCCGACTCCGCCTTGAGTTGATTGATGAGCGGCTTGCTCTTCTGCAGAATATTCCGTAGGAAAACTTTGGACGCATCGTCAGTCATCATATTGTCCGAATCCAACCACACCGGAGACGGTTCAAAGACAATGTCAGGAGGTTCCTGCCACTGTACAGCATTATGCCGTACAAACATATTACTATCGAGACTTGGGTTATTTCGGGGAATCTCGTTCGAGAGACGAGTCATGAGATCAGTGCTCCGCTTGAGAGTATTGGTCTCGAGTGCCGCGGCGACCAGCCATATCGAATTCAGTTTCGAGACACGGGTCTCGTTCAAATTCTGCAAGGAATCGAGTAATTCTGGCACGTAGTCGTGATAATAGCATTCCTTCATCTTATTCGCGACATTGATGCCAATCAGATATGTGTTCTTCACATTGTTCATTTCCATCAACTGTTGATTGTACGTGCTTTGAGCCTTGCTCTTGTCCATGGACGATTCGGCCTTCTTTCTTCGATTCTCGACCTCTTGACAGACAGCATCGTATCTTTGTTTCAGTTTCTTCAGATCGCCGAAAGATGAATCCCTCTCTTTGACCAGTTTGGCGTTATATTCGGCGTGGCTTTTTCTCAGCTCTTCGAGTTTTGAGGCGCTGTACTCGAGTGGCGTCGCAACTTGACTTAGGAGATCTTTGGAGAACTTGGCGTGTTCGTTTGCTCGCGCCTCGAGCGTGGATAAGTGGGTGGTCCATGTTGTGAGAGAGGCGGACTCTAAAGAACCCGGGGTCAAGGCAGGATTGTCGCCGACGCTGAGGTTGCTGGACTTCCTTGATTTCTTGTCGTAGTATTTCTTTGCCAGAGCAGTCAGCTTCTGGCTGTATTCCTTTTCTATAGCGGCCCGTTCCTGGTAGAATTCCTGGATCTCGGTGAGCCACGTAATGCCCAGGTTGACCCAGTTGTCGACCGGCTTGTAGCCGTCCTAGGTCGATATCAGCGTCTGTCCGTCTGAGAGAGCACAATGGGACAAACCTTGAGCTCAGCGCCAAATTTGACTGCCGCAACCTGAGCCATTGTGATCGCAGAAGGCCAGGAGTTTCGGATGGCAACAGCATCATTCCATACTGCCGGAGGTCATCAATCGAGAGCAGATTAGGATAGTTCGTAGTTCTCCGATTTCTTTCGATATTAGTGCAGACTGCGGCGCAGCTTGGGAGGAATGCGTACTCGATCAATCATCGACAGCCTGAGGCATGGTCGTTTGGGGTGACATTGAGCCTCTGTGGCAAAGGGTGTCCCCCCCCCCCCCCAAAGTTTCTGGCTCCAGGTACAAAGCACCCCGAACGCGCAGGCTAGCCAAGTGAAGCAGGCTCGTACCCAGTAGGTTAAACAAGCACTGACCCCGCACTGGCCACCCACATGCGCCACAAAACCCATGAAGACACGCCACACTTTTAGTGGGATCTGGCTCGCTGGTCTCCTAGTCGCCAAATTTCCATTCATCACCGCAGCCTGAATTGAAGATTCACGCCATCTTGCCATCTTGCCATCTGCCCATCTGCCTTCACACTCTTTATCTAGTTTGGTGGTATCCGCAGAATCCAGATAAAGGCAACGGCATTTCTGCTTGTATTTTTTTAGCCAGCGACTGAATCTTTCTTTGTTCACTTCAATCTCACTTCACTTCGATCTCTCTCCAGTTCACCCCTCCACCGCCAGAGGAATTGTTGACACCACGAACGACTCACATCAGTCGGCGAGAGGCTTTATCCTCCCCTCGCCGCCATGACTGAAACACCATCCGGGAGCGGCTCTCTAGAAGACCGCATTTCCAAACCCGAGTCCACCTCATGGGCCGATGAAGTAGCCTCTCCCGCAACCGAAAATCCACCACCGACTGCAAATATGGGTGCGAAAGAGTCGGAGTCAGTACCAGAGGATGGCGGGCAGATCGATGGAGCTACAGAGCCTTTTGGGGGATCAAATCTAGAAGAGCCCGACTTCGAAGTGGAGGTCAAATTGGCGGACCTGCAAGCAGATCCCAACAACCCCCTCTACTCGGCCACTTCGTTTGAGCAACTGGGACTGTAAGTTCGCCCTCTTTTAGATGCTGCTTTTACTCTGCTGACCACAATAGCAACGAAAACATTCTCAAAGGCGTTGTGAGCATGAACTTCCGAAAACCGTCAAAGGTCCAAGAGAAGACCCTTCCTCTCCTCCTGATGAACCCTCCTCAGAACCTGATCGGCCAATCTCAGTCTGGAACCGGCAAGACCGCTGCTTTCGTGCTGAATATCCTACATCGTCTCGATCTTAGCAGCGAACAAATGCAAAAGACTCCTCAGGCATTGGTTCTGGCTCCCAGCAGAGAGCTTGCTCGTCAGATTGTTGGTGTTGTGAAAGTGATGGGAGCTTTCATACCTGGTCTGATCGTGGCCGCTGCGATTCCTCAAGACGCTGCAAGTCGTTCACGAAAGATTGAAGCCTCAGTGGTTGTTGGAACTCCTGGCACGGTCATGGACATGATTCGCAAGCGATCCATGGATGTCAGAGCAGTCAAGGTGTTGGTGCTCGATGAGGCCGATAACATGCTCGACCAACAAGGTCTCGGCGATCAGTGCATACGTGTCAAGTCGTGAGTGGCGGTCCTTTTCAGCGTTTGCGTGCCTTTCCACTAACAAGCTTTTAGGATGCTGCCCAAAAACATTCAAATTGTTTTGTTCTCCGCCACTTTCCCAGACAACGTCGTCCTCTATGCCGAAACTTTCGCCCCGGGTGCAAACCAGTTGACCCTTCAGCACAAGGACTTGACGGTCGAAGGCATCAAACAGATCTACCTGGACTGCGACAGCGATGAAGCCAAGTACGAAGTCTTGGTCAAATTCTATGGGTTGATGACAATCGGCTCGTCCATTATCTTTGTTAAGGTAAGCCGATGCGCCCAGTGCAGCATGTTTCAGCCAGCTAATTGTAGAATCCAGACTCGAGAAACTGCACACAACATTGAACGACGAATGACGGCCGAAGGCCACAAAGTGGTGTCATTGACAGGAGGCATCGAGGGAGCGCAGCGCGATGTCATCATTGACGCATTCCGCATGGGCCATGCCAAAGTTCTCATCACGACCAACGTCCTCGCTCGTGGTATCGACGTCCAGTCAGTGTCCATGGTTGTCAACTACGATGTTCCTGACAGATTTGTCGGCGGTGGTCGATACGTTGCGGATCCTCAAACTTATCTTCATCGCATCGGACGAACTGGTCGATTTGGGCGTGTGGGTGTGGCAGTGACCTTCGTCAGCAGCCGCGAAGATTGGCAGAAGTTGATGGAAATCCAAAAATACTTCAACACACACATGACAAAGGTGTCGACAGACGATTGGGACGAGCTCGAGGAACAGGTCTCGCGGATCATCAAAAGTTCAAGGGCTGGCTCAAATTTTACAGAAGGTGCAAAAATGAGCACGCAGACGTGAATGAAGGCATAACATTTGGGAGCTCCCAAAGTAAGAAGGTATTCTAAAGGGAAATACTCGCGTCAGGACGTATCATGAACGAATGTTGGCCAACCCATGCTTGTAAGAGAGCAAGGGGGGGATTAGCTTCGATGTGCCTGCCCTAGGCGATTTGAGCGGAAGGAATGAGGAAATTTGGGATGAGCATATTGCCAGTTGCTCAGTGCGATGGGAAATGATAGAAATGAGACTTTTAGTCGACACCGAGATACCCACAAACGAAACTCCGGCACGGAAAAAAATGATGACAATAGGGGAGAGCAAATGACCCCCCCCCCCCCCCCCCCAAAACACGTACAGATATTTTTTATTTTTGGTTTCACTCCGTGGCCCGCTGTCTTTCGAGCGATTCTACCCATGGAGTCACCAGTCGCAAGATGATCCCAGCAACGCTGCTACCGTCTCGAGACCTTCCCGGTCTTGTTCGTCAAAGCCATCGAGTTGAGAGCAGTCAATGTCGATCACGCCGACAACCTGCGGGAAATGGGTATCAGTTCACCATTCCCTCACCAGAGACAAAACAGGCAGGGACAAGAGATATGAACATGAGATGCCAGGCAAAAGGAGCCGCAGTGGCGATGGCGATGGCGATGGCACTGGCACTGAGGACTCACTTTTCCACCAGAGCGAATGGGGACGACAATCTCGCTCTTCGTCTCGCCATCGCAGGCAATATGGCTGGGGAACGCCTCGACATCCGTCACCACCACGCTCTTGCCAGACCCATCATCGCTCGTCGCGGCCGTCCCACACACGCCCTTGCCCAGGGTGATGGTCTGGCAGGCAACTTTGCCCATGAAGGGGCCTAGGATCAGCTGCCTGGTCGGGTTTGCGGGGTCCAGGACATAGAAGCCAGCCCAGTTGACGGCGACGGCCTGCGCGGAGACGGAGGCGGGCAGAGAGTGGTACATGTGCCAGAGCAGGGACGCGGCGTTGGCGAGGTTGCAGACCCAGTTGCGTTGGGACGCGACCAAGGCCTCGAGCGACGCGAGCAGTTGAGCATATGCCGCCGGCTTGGAGTCGACGTCGGTGAAGTGCGAGTACTCGGCATGAGGCTGCTGATGGTGCTGCTGGTAGTGGTGTGTCTTGGTAAGTTTTTGTCAATCATGTCAATCACTGTGGCCATGCTTTTCCCAGCAGGCGAGGAGGGAGGGACTCTCTACCATGGTGAGGATGATCAATCAAATCAGGTCACCTATCGGTCGGCCGGTCGAAGGACAGTCAAGTAGCAAAGCTTTTTCCTTTTTCCTGCCCTTCCTATACCGCTCCACAGTTTCTCGCCTATTCTTTTACTCTCTCTCTCTCTCTTCCAGATGTCGTGTGGCAGTGAACTTGTGCTTTGGACAGTCAGTCTCAGGGCACTCTGTACAGTGCTCGGTTCAGCGGCACGCGAAGGAGAGAGCGAGCCAAGGACTGATAGACTCTTAGACCTAAATTAGTACATTGTAGCAATATTGGTTATTACGTCGAAATCATGTGGATGTTTTGGTGGCTGTGGCAATTCTACGCAGACGGACCTTGGCGCGGCCGCTGATCACGAGCGGTCTCCAATTCGTAGTTCAGGAGACCAATGCTCTACACAAGCTACGAAGGTCGTCGCACTCAAAACAATACCCGCGGGCCTCAAACATCTACCTAATTATCTACCTGTAATACAGGATACGACAGAGTGCTTGTCTGTTCCATGCCCTGCTCAAGCCTGCTCTCGGCCCACTGGCCCGCTTCACGGCACAACTGGAACTGAGGGAAGGTCGGTCAAGTCTGCCTCCGAACCGGAATCGGCCCAACCTCGCCAGAAGCACAACGCCCCTGAACGCCCCCATCCCCGCCGATCGAAGTATCTATGCTCTTAGCTACCGAGTAGTTATGTGGCTGCCGAACTACCTGCAGGGGTACTCGCAACAGTCGTCGAGCGGACGAGGCGGAAGAGGAGCTAAGGAGCTTATCACCGGATCGACGACGCAGGTGTCGTTCCCACCTCCCTCTCGTTTCCCGCCAATCATTCAGAAAATGATGCCCATTGAGAGCCGAGTGCTCCCCACGGGAAGCAAACTATTAGAGGGAGGAGGCAACGGACTTGGTCTTTTTCTGGTGAGCATGATCTGATTGAAAATCCCAATTCACACCTCTTTCCGTAAAGCGGGAGAAAAAGAGAGAGAGAGGCCCAGAGAAGGGATAAAGACAAAGCAGGGCGCCACTAGGGGTCCCGAGCAAGATCAGAAAGAAAAACATGTCCTGCCCCGACTGCTTTCGCGGCGCTATCCACACGCACTCCGAGCCCACGGGCAAGATCGAGGCCCTCCATGGCATCAAGGCCTATGTGGCCGGAGGCAGCGACCCCGCCCGTTCCAAGTCCACCATCATCTATCTTCCCGACGCCTTCTCTCTAAAGCTGGTCAACAACAAAATTCTGGCGGACAACTACGCCTCCATGACCGGCTGCCAAGTCTTGATTCCGGACGTCGTCTATGCGGGCGGCATGCCGCCCGCCGTGATGCCCAAGATGGAACAACTGTTGGGCAGCTCGCTGACCCTCTCCAACTTCTTGTCCAAGGCCTACACGGCGCTGACTCTCCTGCCGCACGCCATCCCGTTCCTGATCTGGGGCCACCCGAAGAACGTGTACCCGACCATCCTGAAATTCGCGCGCAACGTGCGAGCGGAGCTGCCTGAAGGAGGAAAGCTCGGAGTCGCGGGCTTTTGCTGGGGCGCGTGGCCGGCCACGAAGCTGTGCACGGAACCGGCCGTGGAAGGCGGGCAGGAGCGCCTGATTGACGCGCAGTTCAACGGGCACCCGTCATACATCATCAAGGAGCCGCACATGGTCGTAGACGCGGTCAAGGCGTTCAAGACCCCTTACGCGTCCGCGGTCGCCGAGAAGGATTTCCAATTCAACGCCGATGTCGCCGCCAAGACGGAGGCCCAGTTGAGAGAGGCTCTCGACGGAAGCAATGGTGACGGGGAGAACGGCTATGTCTACGAATTCCGAATCTACAAGGGCGCCACCCATGGATTCTGCGTCAAGGCCCGCGAGGAGGATATGCAGCACTACCACGCCGCAGCGAAGCAGGCCACGGACTGGTTCAACAAGTATTTAAACCGAGAGTGAGACTCGCCGAATAGGGGGTCCAGAGACCGGGGATGGTTATAATGGGCTATTGAACTTCTGAGATACCTAGGAAGGGAGGGAATCTGTGAGGAAAGTATATGGGAGAAAGGGGAAGACTGCTCCTGGACGGAGGAAACGAACGAAGAAGGGGGTATTGGTTGGATGGGCTCGCCACCGCTTACTGCGCTGCAGTCGCAATATTTACTGGTCTCTTTTTGTTTGGTCTTCTAGCCTGCTCTACGAGTCCCTCAAGGCCCAAACCCGGGCAAGATGGGGATCTGACTGAGAAACGACTCGCTCATGCAATGCAAATGAAATCATCATGGCTGCAAGACCTTTGTTTTAGTATCCGCTGCCCCCTTGCTCTCTTGCTAGATGACATGTTCTAGATCCATTTGTTGGACTTCCTCCTCCTCATCGTCAATTGACTGCAACTTGTACCCGTCAATGCGCAATGGTCTCGTAAAAGCATAATATACACAATCAGTCTTCGAAAATAAATACCTCATCCAGCGCCCACCAGCCCATGAACCCCTTGTAAACCCAAGTATATGCTTTGTATTTAGACTTCCTCTTAGGCAGTCTCAGTTGCAATCTGGCCGTACCATTTCTCATGACCCTTCCAGTCGACCGATCGGATCCTGTCGAGCGAGTCCACAAGTCGGTTAACCTCCTCCAAGAACTCAGGCATGCCTGCGCGAGCCAGGACTTCTCCTGCACTTGTGGTAGTCCGGACTCTCTCAGCCGTGCTAGCAGCCGAAAGCCTGGCAAAAACATGTTCTCGCAATGTCTTCAAAAGGAAACTCGCAATTTGCTCGCTAAAGACATCCGCGCTGGTTGTTCCAGCTGGCTCGTACATTGTTTGGTTGTGGATGGCATCCTGCCGCGCTTGTTCAGCGGCGTCGAGGTTTCTCGCTGCCGCTGCGGCAGGGGGCAGGACTCGCCCAACGAAATTCGACAGGCCCTCTTTAGTTGGTTCCGGCATCATGTGGGATGACTCAATAAGGGAGACAATTCGGCTGGCATCGACTTTCAACAGGTCCAAAGACATTAGACGTTCTGCATCTTTGGTCCAAAGAGACTCCCTATTGCGCCTGAGTCTAATCTTGGTGGTGAGCAGAATCGAGGATATGGCCACTATATGAAAAACGCGAGCTCTTAATTCGTGTAGGCGAACATAGTCAAGCCGTAGGGTCTCGGGAATATCGTAATAGCTAAGATGTGAGTTGCGCAACACCAGGTCGGTCAAGCCTCTGGCGTATATCATATATGCACTCACGTTTTGAGATGCCGTGCTGGACTTCGCACTTGCCCACCATTGCTTAGTTCCCGTGAGCGTATGAACACCTTGCCCAAGATCTCGTTCGAATGATGCAATTTCGTACTCGTGTCCGCGTTCCAGCACCGCCTGTGATGCCAATCTGAATTGGAAGTTGATATGGTCCAAAGTCATCAAATCGATGATATTAATGAGCTCGAAAAGACGGTCAACCGTGTCGCTAGTCGTATTGGCGCCAAATGTACTCACGATCTCGTCTCGCCCCGGGGAACAGATCTGTGCGATCAACCCTGAGATGGTCGTGAAAAAGTTGTCGTAAGAGAACATGCCATTCCGACACTGTTGGCTTATCAAAGCAGGATCCAGAAAGCCGTCCATCCTACCGTAGAGAGGATGTCGCGGGCTGATGAGATTCATCAGCTTCTCTCGAATGAGGACTGCCGTGGAGTAAATCCACCTGGCTGTTACTTCTCTGTCTCCCCCTTGTATGCTTGCACGCATGCTGTTCCGCAGCGAGTCCATCAAGCCTTTGCGGGCATCTGTCCAAGGCCTTTGTTGCACCTCAAAACTGCCATTGACGAGAATTTCGTGCGCAATCTCGCGATTGGACGGTAAAACGGTCATCATCTGGGAAAGGCTGTCACGAAAAGCTGTCACCCTCGCCGTCTGGTCTGGTCGACTGGCGCCTGGTGTTGCGGGAGGCGTGATCAGCGCTCCTTCTGCCACATTGGCCTCTTCGGTGGCAGGTGTAGATGCTCGTGGGACTTGCTCCGTTGCGTTCTGCCGCTTTTCCGCTGCCCTTTGCTTCCGAGCCTTCCTGACAGCTGTCCGAACTCTTGACAAAGCTTCATCGGGCCCCGCAAGCCGTTTCAGACGAGCAAGTAATTTGATCTGCTCCTGTCGGACGGCATCAAGATAGTCATCGGCAACATGGCCGTGATGATCGTTTTTGGTAGCCTGCAGAATCAAATCCAGATTGACAAATGAACTGACCATGATGTCCACAAGCACTCCCAAATCCTGACTTTTCCATGCGTGGAAAGTCGAGGTGAAGTCGTTAAAGGCAAAGGAAAAGGCCTCCGATCCCGATTGCGATAACCTTGGTTGTGATGGGGTTTTCAGGGTCTGAATGCAGGATTCGAAAGTTTCGACCAGGGAACGAGATTTCGCCATGAGCTCTTGCTCCTGAGGTTGCTTTCCACCATGACTGAAAGCCTGCGTTGGATGTGTAAGAACTAAATATGCACTCAGGAACACACGTGCAACCCCCGAATCTTCTTGGTCGTTGTCAAGAACACCTAGGTGTCGGAGAACTGACATCGTAGCAGCTGTGGTCCGTTGGTCTGAAATGAACTGGGTCAATTCCTCAAAGGAGAGCGTCTTGGCGCGTTGCAGGTCGAGTCCCAGGGCAGAGAAGTTGGAAAGTATCTTGCGTGTGTGGTAACGCCGCCACGATCTCTGGATGATTTTTGCAGCATAGACGTGGCTCGAGCGTCTCAACACTCCTGGGGCGACTTTCTTCTCCTCAACTGCCGCCAGTGAAGCTGTTCTGGACCTCCGGGTGCCTTGCTGGTAGATGGACCTCCGCCTATCTGCCTCTGCATATTTCTCGGCCATTTCTTCCTTGAGCCTCGCCAATTCAGCTGCCTTCTTCTCCTTGGTCTCCTCGGCGATCTTTTTGGCGCGTTTCACCTCTTCCTCACAGCGTGCCGCAATCTCCGCAAGCAGCTTTTCCCGGGCTGCCTGCGCAGCCAAAGCCTTCTCCTCGCTGTAGGTTGCCCTTTGCGCCGCTTTGGCGGCGGCCGCCCGGAGCCTGACCTGCTCCGCGTGGGCGGCACGGTCCGCCAGGCGAGCCTTTCGACTTTCAATGATAGAAGCTCGTCGCAGGTGCTGTGCGATATGCGTGCTGCGGGGCCCGCCATGGCTGGACAGCGCGGAGGAATGAGAATGAATCGAGGACAGCGAGCTTCGGCGAGAGGAATGAGCCGAGGATTTTCGGCGGACAGAGGATTTGCGGTGGAAGCGTGCGGCTATATGAGGCGGAGGTTCGGTATACGACAGAGGCTCATCGGTGCTCAAGTTCATCTCAACATCTTCGGAAGCTGGAGATGCAGGATCCATATTGGAGACGCGACGGCCGTTGATATCGAAGGAGGCACAAACGGATCTCGAAAAGAAGTCGGCTCAGAGATCAGCAGCTACCTCGAGTCGAAACGAAGCAAGACTGAAAGTTGAACGAAAGGCGCTTCTCAGAAAAGAGTCGAGAGCAGCACGAGGTCTGGTGTAGATCGGGCTTACTCTCAAAGCAGCCGGGAACGTCGTGCGAATAACGCACAACAAAGAAAACTGTACAAGAAGTAAATGTTGGCAGAAGAGAGCGTCGAAAGGAGATGAATCAAGGGAACGCTGAGGAGGGAACAAGGTGCAGTGTGAGAGGCTGGGAGGACGGAGGAGGGGAACATGGCAACTTTGTGCCACTGGCGGTTTGGGAAGTGACGAAGCCACGGTTTGTTGTTTGCCGCAGCAGTGGCTGCTGGAACCTGCCAGCATCAATGGGCCTCAAGGGCTGCAGGCGACAGGCTACAGGCTAGTTGTGACAGCCTACCAAGTACAGCCACACGCCCAGCCAGTCGGGAGTTAGTCGGCGTCGAGCCACGACTGGTGCCCACGAGCGCTAAGAATCCTGGTGGCCAGCTGCCTGCAACAGCTTGTCACCCCCCCCAAAGGCCGCCCAAGCCTCGCCTAAAGACTCCGGAGCTCGGCAAAAATCCGCCAAGTGGTGCATGTAAAACTGCCTGCGATTAAGTACTCTTGGGTACTGTTCAAATGTACGAGATACTCTCTCCACACTTTGCCATCTGTTCGCCCGGCTCACACTGACCATATCTAAGGCTTTCCGAGCGCCAGGACCTGGGAATGGGCACACCATCTCATACAGCGAAAGTAGGAAGCGTTTTGCTGACATCTCAGTTCTCGAGCCATTCAAACCGCACCAGACCTCCTCGAAACTCAGACAACCTCCTGTGCACTCTTGTCACTCTTGTCACTCCTTGGACGCTATCGAATTCAGTATGCCTCGGGCATTGACAAAGTCAAATTCATCCAATGTCTCTCGCCATACCTGCTCGATTAGCTGTTTGCCATGTGGAGTATACAAGAGCGGGGCGAATCTGAAAGATGGTGCATGCGTTAGTAACATATCTGATCTTCACTTGGAGGCAAAGGAGAGCAAGGCGGCAGACAGCGCAAGCTACTCACGGCTGGATTCGCCAGTCTGCGAGGTAACACCTATGCGACTCTTTGCCCTTTGAAATCGTGGCGTCGAGATACGTTGATGCGCCATGCTCTACCCTTCTGGCGGTCGCCGCTCCCAGCAGCCACAGGATTGCCCCTCCAATGCCAGTGACTTGACGCTGGAGTTTGGTCCCTTTGACATAACCAGGGTCCACCAGATTCACGACCACGTCTTCAGCGGAGACCCAGTCCTGAAGCTGGTATATAAACATGTGACTTAGCAGCTTGGATACGGAGTAATTGGTCATTGGATCGAACTTGTCAGGCTTGTCAAGAGACGTCAAGATTGCCTGGTTCTTTTCCGGAATCTTCGCGAGGAAGGCCAGTCCTGAGCTGACAATCGAGAGACGGCCCGGTACATTGGGAGGAGCCCTTTGCTTCAAGACCGGTAGGAGGAGAATGGCAAGGAACATTGTCGAAAGGTAATTGACCTGCATCATCTCCTCGTGGCCAGTGCTATTGTTGACTTCGAATTTGACGTTGCCCACCCCAGCGTTAAGAATGACCAAATCCAAACGCGCCAAATCGCTCCCTGCCCGTTTGGCAAAGGCTTCAATGGATTGGTATGAAGCCATATCCAGGGACCAGACCCTAATGCTTGCTTTCGGGTACTGTTTTGAGAGCTTGGTGGCAGCCAGTTCACCGTTCTGGACAGAGCGCACCGCAAGGATTAGGCTGGAGAGGTTGAAGGAGAGAAGTTGGCGGGCAGCTTCATACCCAAGACCGACATTAGAGCCTGTGACGATTGCGACTGATGTGCTCCCAGAAGCCATATCAGCAAGCTGGTCTTTATACGGGAGTCGAAGCAGTTGTCTTCGACTGCAGGATATGAGGTTGGTTTCAGAGAACATACCTCTGTCACAGAGGTTGGTCCCTCTTGGAAGTTGTTGAGGTTTGGTACGGAATTGAGACTCGAAAAAGAGCTTCATGTAGCTTTTCGTCGAGGGAGGGAGGTCTTTGGAGGACGCCATTGTGCAGCGTATTGGGTTTTCCTGATATGTCGGATACCGCGAGAAGACGAAGATGATGCAAGGGATGCCAGGCCCTTCGGGTGACATTATAAAGGCACCTCTGGGCGAGGCTATCACAGTCTCTCTTTGCATCTCCACATCCATAGATCACAAGGAGGTGCACGGCGATAAGGCACAGGCGGAGGTAAGTGATGAACTCCATGCATGATCGAGGCTGATGGCACGAGTGCACAGATATGATGAAACGGAATGGTCCTTGAGGAATGATCAATCTGATTCCACTGAACAGACCAAGAGGCGAGACACTTTTCGCGTCTACCGGATGGAACACAAAATCGATGGCATCGGCGGGGCACAAGGCTCTCTTGTCTCTGCCTCCAGACCTTCGGCTTCGAGGAGCTATGCTCTAAATGGCAAACAATCCCAACTATAGTAGAAAGGCTGGCGACATGGTGCCATCGGGACTCCAATCCTAGAATGGCGGCGAGCTTCTCCAAGCATAGCATGTGGGATGTGGATTCGAGGAATATCTACCTTCCATCAAGTTTTTTCACCTTCCCGGCCGGCCGCGCTGCCTTCGGTCGTCTCTCTTCTAGCTGGTTAGGGCAAACACTTTAGAAGGCTGGGTCAACCGAGGGCGCGAGCGGCAACCCGCCGCTCTTGTTGTACCCTACGGTCTGTTATGGTCCGCCGGTCTTCGCAGTCGAATAGGTATCGGCTGTGGAAATCCCCAGATCTGATGTTGGGCTTACTATGTGCAGATCTTATGCCTTTCATTTTATCGACAAGTGGAGCGGAAGTACAGGGCCCGAAGACAGGAAGACATATCAGGGGTCATGTGGTACAAGGACAGAACCTGAGCATGAGAGGACATATTGCGGTAAACCGTGCCAGGCTCTAGGCGTGTGGTTAACGGGTGTGGCAATCAGCAGGTTGGGAAATCAGCCCATGAACGAAGCCTTCAGACAGCCTCTGAAGAGCGCAACTTTGCGGCCAAGATTCATTCGCAACCGCTCAACAATTGTCTGACCTGTGCGTTCCTAGCTACCTGAAAATTTGACGTATACTGACATGGTGCAGAAGAGCCACCTTGGTCTCAAAGAAATCCCGCTTCCTCAAGCGACGTGCGTTCTGCGACAGGCGTGACAAGCCCTGATTCTGGCCCTTAATGTTCGCCACCCTCCATTTTTCTCGTGAGGGTTGCTGCACTCATCCATCCTTGTGCGGATAGCCAGAGACACATTCGGCCTGGACTCTCCAACCCCTTACCTGAAGGGCCTCTCTGGCCTTTCTCTCGAGGGCGAGTGGGCCATCTCAGAAATTCCACTCATGTTTATCCCCGCCCTTGCGGTAAGAAACTCAGGCGTTCGACTGTTTGGTACAATACAGCTGAGGAGGCCAGTCAATCCGACGGCAAAGCTGTGTCCATTAACTAGCGCGAATGGAAAGTTCTTCTAACTGCTTAGAAACCCTGTCTTGACATCCTGGGACCTGAATCTTGAGTGCTGGAACCCCGTCCGTTTTCACCGTCTCTTTACACTCCACCCTTTCTGCTGTCAATGTCGCTCATGATGGACAATGTCGGCCTCTCCACAACCATCTACAGTGTCTCCAAAAAGTCATGGACTAGGGAAGACCTTGCCGAAGTTTTGGTAGAAATATCCAGGTACGCATTGCTTCCTCGAAATTGGCTTCTCTTTCTAAGTCACACAACTGTTGAGAACTTTCAGGGGTGATAGAAGCATAGTACCCTGAGTACCGCAAGCCCATGAAGGCCCCAGATCTCTTTTTGGAACTGCCACCCGACATTGCGACTGGCACAGCCTACTCTGCGCCAATGGTGGACACAATGCGGGAACGACTCCCATCGCGGGCTGGCGAGGCCGGCATGTCAAAAGGTGATTTTTTCGCTTCGGTGGTCGGTTTCTGATCTTCTCGCAGATACAAGGTCTCAGCCTGTAGAGCAATTCCCAGAGGCTTGCAGGACTGGTCTCTTGGCCCTTAAAGTCAAAAATGTTCATTCCACTTCGTTTCCGCTGAGTAGAATGGACTATTTCAACATCCGGCGACAAGGCGCTAAACCCTTGCTGCGACCCAATACCGATCTTTGTGGCGATCAGAGATGCGCGCGACTTCGCATCTTGCCTGGGGATCGGCTTTTTCTATGACAACTACCCCAGCAGGGGCGTCTTTGGCCGCGAAAAGAGGAAATGTTGTAAGTGGTGGGCAAGGGTAAGTCGCTTCAGAGATCTCCACAAGACGGACAAATTTGTTGGAGGCTTGCCGGAGTACGAGGTATAGCTCAATCAAGTTGCCACAGCCCCTCCAGCTCGACCCAATGCATTATGCATCCAGAGCAACAGAAAGTGAGATCCTCCACGCCACTACTGCAATGTCTCCTCTCGAGAATATGCCCTGTCACATCGGAGTCGGTCGCGAGGAAGAGACCTTACAGGGGTTTTCGCTGCGGGTCATGACTTTTGACCAGGTCCAGGCCTTTGAGTCTTCTGGCTCCTTGTGGGCCTGGGATTGTTCAGGCGATCTCACCCAAACCCTTCAATTGCCCGCCCTCAGGAGGGTCAACTATATGGACATATCTACAGCTTACGGGCCTTGACCACTGCAGTCATGAAGGGCATCGCAAGCTGTCTATGCTGCGGGGGGGGACTGGGAGTGCATCCGCGCGTCAACGGGTGACCATCACCATCGACTAGCATGCAAGCTCGATCACCAAGAATTAGCGTGGTCTCCTACTGTGTTTTGAGGCTATTGGATTTTCAGATCGGAGTTCGAGGGGATGAGGCAAGTGGCAGCGGCAACACCAAGGGACCCTTGTCGATTCCACCAGTACTTGTAGATGGTTGTTCTGAGAAAGTCAGTGGTTGGGATCGGGTTCACTGCTCTTCCAGCAAGCCAAAATGCCCCGCGCCAAAGTCGAAGCGGACAAGTCAACGAATGAAAGGGTTCGAGATCCAGCTTGTGGTCGCTTCGCCCACGTCTCTTTCGCCAACTGCCATGATCCGAGATTTAGGTGCCTCCCCGGAACTAACTGCTCTTAGCAGCTTCCAAGCGAAAGGGGATAGCTGAGAGCTTTTGGCGACCTAGAAATGCGCTAGACGGTGTCTCGGCTCGTCCTATGGAATGCTCTCGCTGCACACCACCAACGGCCGCTCATTCCAACATGGGGAAGTTTGACTGATTGCTTCTGCATACCTGCGGGAGGAGACTGACTGCTGGGCGTTGTGGCCCAATGTACCTGGAACCCGCCGTCTGTCTCGTTTCTGCCCGTCGGTTGTCGACTCATGATTTATCAAAGCAAAAACCTAATCATCCTGGATGCTCCACATCGCCCACGGCGCCATACCAGCTAGAATCGAGATCGGGTTGTTATGCATCAGGTCGGTCTTGATGTCGGCTTCGAGGTCTCACAGAGGGAGATGGTCCAGAGAATCTCTTCTGGTGTGAAAACAGCCATTTGAACACAGTTATAAACTTTGGTCTCCCCAGCCCTGTTCTGATTCCCTCTCTAATTTCTCCATGCTGAAACCCCAGCTACTGATTGCATCCTCTCCTTGCTCAGTCAGCCATGCCCATTAGTTATTTGACCCTGCCCCCCTTGGAGTACTTATCTGACCCCACGGTTGGCGTGATTAACAAGAAAAGAGAGCTCGATGTCTCTGACACTGAAGACCAACAGGAGAAGAAAAGGAGAGGAGACCCGGAGAAGAAGCAAGTGCACTGGAGTCTGAGCCCGATGCTTCCTTCTCGCTATCTCTATTCGGACCTGCTCGTCCGGGAGGGCCCATTGCCAGAGTAGGGTTCCATCTTATTATTGCCAACCACGCGTCACTGACCAAAGAGGAACGACAGGTCCGTGGATCGGTATCCTCCGGGTGCAGGATATCATGTACCTCCAAAGAGGCGAGGCTCACCGAGCTGTTGGTCCACCGATTCCATGTTCAGCCACACGACTCAAGCTTGTGATGGGCCTTGTGACCGCGCCGTCACAACATCGGGATCTGACCTTTCTGTCTCCGCAAGCCAAGGGCACTCATTGAGCCCTCCATGGCCTCCAGCTCCGGCTGGGCCGGCCTCTCATGGTGGCCCACCATCTGGCCCACAAGATCCGGCTTCACGCTGCTGGTGTGAAGCAGTAGAGCGGCAGGACGTGAACGCCAACGAAGACAAGTCGAACGAGTCCAGTGGCACTGGACCTCGTCCAGAGGATGCGGTTCAACGCCAGGCCGATGTCGCGGCAAACAATCCACCTGAGATACAGGTGAATGAAAGAGCGGACGCTATACCAATCATGCGTCTGACCAAACAAGATGAGGGATACAATAGCCCTCCACCTCCTTATCCTGCGGAGAGCCACAATCCGCCCAATCCAGCGGCGAATGAAGCGGCTGTCAAGCCCGTACTGCTGGCGGGCACGGCCCACAACCGTCCAGTTGAGCAAGGTCCGCTGCACCGCTTTCCTGCGCCGCCCCTGCAGGGCCACATCCCTCTAGAGGCACCAGCGCACCGACTGTCCGCTGCTTGCCTTGCACCACCGGCCATCGCAGCCAACAGTGCAGTCGGGCGAAAACTGGTATGTATCTATCTATCCCTTTCCCCCTCAAATTACTGCCTTGACGTCTAACGTTCTGTGTGATGAAGCCGACTCTCGAGTGGCAGAGCGGCCCATTCTGGAGGCCAATGCCATGGGCGCCGTGGGTGCCATAGTGAACGAGGTCTGCTACTACGCAGGCTGATACGGCTGAGCCGGTTCACCGACCTGCCCCTCCCTGCTGTTGGAGTGACTGACTATCATCACGGCGAGACATTGACGCTTGCCGCCCATGAGACAAGACATGTATGGTGGACACGAGATTGACGACGGGAGCCAGATGGAAAGCGTGGCTGAAAAAGTTCCATTTCGTTGGGCTGACTGATCACTCTCATTCAAAATCATGTTAGTTCGATGTTTTGTTTTGCCTCTTTTTTTGTTGTGGCTGTCTCCTTCATCACCACCAGTCACCCGCCTGACGCCACTCAGGTAATATGGCTCGTCAGGCCGGGCTTGTCTCTCTTTCGGTGGCAGCGTTGAAATTGAAAGTGCTGGGGAAATGTATCATATACGAGGCAAACCCCTGCAGAGGCGGTCCTCCTCGAGGATGGCCTTGCGGGCGGAGGGGACGAGTTATGACGATATCTATCATTTCCTTACCACAGAATGGCACCGGCAACAGCAACGGGAATAGCAATAGGGCAATAGCAATAGCAATAGCACCAGTCAGCCAGTCAGTCAGTCAGTCAGCCAGTCAGACATGATCTGTCTACCTCCCCTCCTCCAGTGTAAGCATTGCACGCAAAAAAGCAGGATGGCACGCTGGAACAAGCCATCAAGGACAAGAACACGGACGTGTGTGGGACAGAGCTAGGTGCCGTCTGTCCCGTCCCACCCCTCTCCTCCTCTGGTGGACGCTTAGGCCATAGACAGTTCATGTGCATGCACCCACCCACCCACCCTTGAGCTTTTGGCCATGGCGGTACGGAAGACTCGAGTTAACCAAAAGAGACCAGGACTATAGGTTAGTGGGTACATACTTAGTCACAGACGATAAAGAGCATCCATTATCCATCCCTTGCCCATCCTCTCATCTATCCACCAGCCCATTTACATCTGCAAGCCGTGGATGGCGATCACTCTGAAGCGCGGTTCCGAGTCGCAATACCAGGGTCAAAGTGAAAGCCAAAGCAAGGGGGAAGCAGAGGGCAGAGGGCAGAGGAGAGGGCAAGAGACGGCACATGCAAGGACCCCTTGAGCAAGTGATGCTGCCCCAGTTAATACGAGCCCTCCTTTGATCGGTTGTCAAAAGTTCTGGCCTCGTATCGAAGGAGTTGGAAAACAAATGACCTAATCACTTGTAACTTCTCCTCGTATGTACACGCTCCACCGTCACCCTTGCGCCCCTCCCTCCGCTTTTTGCAGAATGGGACTCCATGCAAGAAGCTCGTCCAGAAGCAGCGCTGGCAGCACGCACACCCTTGAAAGGAGAAAAGAAAGCAGATGAAGAGCAGGAAAACTTGGTTCGGAGACGAGATGAAAGGCGTCATCAGGCAGAGTCGCGAGGTTGGTTTTGCTTTTGGAGCAAAAAGGGGATGGGAAAGGGGAGGCAGGCGGAGAGATTCAGTCAGTCAGGCTGTTCGAATCAAATCTCGTATCCAGCGGACGGGGGAGGAGGGCCCCTCGACAGGAGTTCAGCCTGGGTGTGCCATTGTGTCGTCGTGGGTTGTCGCCCTGCAGGCAGTGCACGGGCCCGCATAGGAAGGAGCCCGGCGAAGTTCAACGCATGAGTGAGCTGCGTGAGCGGCAGAGTACGAGGTAAGTGAATTAACTCACGCGAGAGCTTTTCCTCCTCTTGGACCAAACAGCGCCGGGCAAGGACGGCAGTTTGACATCAAACTTTGGTGTGCCACCATTTGCGGCGAATCAGATCAGACGCGCCTAATCATCCCCCTTTCGGGAGGGAAGCGCGGGGAGGGAGGAAGGGATGGTGTGGAAACTCTGAATCGATTGATGGGTAGATCATGGTTGTGGTTCCGGTTGAGTTGGTGGAAAGTCAGCCTTCACTCCACCCGTGTACGTGAGCACAGCATCGCTTGAGTATCACGACCACCTCCATTCATGCATGCAAGTAGCATGCACCAGAGAGTCGTACAGAGTCGTGACGCCTCCAGCTAGGACGCTTCCAGGCCATCCTGAGCCGATCACCAACCCCGGCGCTTCACTTGGTTACACAGGGGTGCGATGGCCTCCGGCTGGTTACGCAGTGGTTAGACGGGGTTGCCAGTTGGTTACCCAGTATACAGGGGTTGGTTGGATTCGCCGGGCTCCGATCGTTGAGGAGCATGATGGGGCTTTTCTTTTTCCAATTCCAAGAAAACAGAGACATCGCCAGGTGGACAGATAGACAGACAGACAGGCCAGACAACTCGTGTTTTTCGCTTAACAAGGCGATGATCTCATCTCCAAAGCAAGCCCGAATCGGAGTTCGGCTAGTTAGGTGGAGGACGAGCAGCTGGCAAGGGTGGTTGAAGCAGCGGTGGAGAAGGAGGATGAGGGCGAGGACGACGGGGAGGGAGAGATGAAGCGAGGTGAATGTGTGGCTCGTGACTCGCCGTCGTCAGTACTGTAAGTACTGGGTATGGAGCGAGTAACAAGTCCTGGTAGGTACGAGGTACTCGCTGGGAACCTCGTCCTGGCGCCAGAATGGTGCTGGATTTGCTCTGTTGCTGGGCTGCTGCTCGGATCGGCTCCATCAATCCGCCCGCCCTCCGATTTCGGGTTAGCTCGCGACATGTCTCTGTGCCCGCAAATTGCGAGATGGGCAGTTAGCTGACTCCGAAATTCCGGCCAAGTGTGGTGGAGGTACTCACGATGCCCATGACCTCAACTCAACAACCCCCAATATTAGGTCCGTGTCCTCCGTGTATATAAAGTAAACCCCCAAAAAATGGGCAGGACGGCACTGGCACTTGGAAGGGGTGGTGCCTGTACGAGGTAGAGAACACTTCACCAGCACCACCCACCACCATTGCACCAGTGCTGTCCTATGGTCATGGCAAACAAGGAACAAGATGATCTTGTATTGGTGACTGGCGCGAGCGGGTTCTTGGGAGCCTATTGCGTCTTGAAATGTCTTTTGAGCGGCTATCGTGTGCGAGCCACCATCCGATCGGCCCAAAAAGCAGACCATGTGCGGGAAATGCTCAAGGCCGGCAGCAGCAGCAACAACAACAACAACAACAACAACAACAACAACAACAACGGCCTCGGCGACGAGTCGCTGAACCTCGACAACCTCACCTTCGCCGTGGCAGACCTGCTCCACGACGACGACTGGCCACAGGCTGTCCAGGGCTGCCGCTATGTCTTGCATGTCGCCTCGCCGTTTCCTCCCGGCGCCCCCAAGCACGAAGACGACTTGATCTTGCCCGCGCGCGAAGGCACGCTTCGAGTGTTGCGTGCGGCGCGAGACGCTCACGTCAAGCGTGTCGTCGTCACCTCGTCCTTTGCCGCCGTCGGGTACGGGTTCCCTAAGAACCACCACGGGCCGTTTACCGAGGACATGTGGACCGACATCAACGGGCCCGGCGTCAGCGCGTACCAGAAGAGCAAGACGCTGGCGGAGCGTGCGGCCTGGGACTTTGTCAACAGTAGCAACAACCAAGGCGGCGGATCATCGCTGGAACTCGCCGTCGTCAACCCCGTGGGCATCTTTGGCCCGGTGCTGGGCAGCGACTTTGCCACCTCCATCATGCTGGTGCAGCGCCTCCTCAACGGCTCGCTGCCCGCCTGTCCACAGATGCAGTTGGGCATCGTCGACGTGCGCGACGTCGCCGACCTGCACCTACGCGCCATGACCGACCCCAAGGCCAAAGGCGAGCGCTTCATCGCCGTCTCCCCGCCGGGCATGACCGTGCAGCAGATGTCGCTGGCGCTGCGCGAGAGGATGGGCAGCGCGGCCAAGCACGCACCCACGCGGACCCTGCCCAACCTTGTCCTGAGACTCATAGCCTTCTTTGACCCGGCTGTTGCTCTAGTCATTCCCGAGCTCGGCAAGTTCAAAGAGATCTCGAACGACAAGGCAATGACCGTGTTAGGCTGGCGACCTCGGCCGCCCGTCGATGCCCTCGTGGCCACTGGCGAGAGTCTGATCAAGTTTGGCATTATCAAGTCAGCATGAATGGAGTTAGCTGGACCACGGAAATGGCTTCTTCTGTAACCGCTGTTTCACAGGCTATTGGCTTTGAAAGATAATTCGGCGTCGGATGAAATTTATCCCGTTACTGAGCCCTATTTCGCCTTGGCGCCCAAATAGTCTTTAGGTACATATCTACCACTACTTTGGAGGTAATAGCTGTCAGACAGATTACTCTCTCAATTGCCTTTGGTCGATACTTGAATACTATCTCGACCTCGTCGTCCCACAACGTGCTACAACTTTTACAATCCCCCTGTCTTCGAGAAACTTGAGCCAGGAACAACTCATTTCGTCTTTCTCGTTCCCACCCCCTGGGATGACACGCGCTTTTCTCGCCAATGAAAACGACACGATCGTTCTTCCTACCGGTTATCAGGACACGACGCTGCTTACCTTCTGTCACAAGTTGGAATTTTCTGGAACTTTGTCCTCGCAATACCTCGAGGCGTTGTCAGTTGCGGACGACCACCTCCGCTAGGATAATGTCTAGCTAGGCCCGCATCTTTCCATGCGAAGGCTTCAAGGTGCTTCCTTTGCACGAGAAGATAGAAGAGAGACTCCCCTGACTATAAGGCTGAAAGATTCTACCCTGGTCTCTTCATGGTATCTTGCTAATGAGAAGGCTATCTACTGTCCAGAGAAAAGCCCTCACTCAAGGTCTACATTGCTGGAGAAGATACTACAAATGAGCTCGCCATCTCCCGCTATATCAAAATTAATTGATACAGAGCATCCTGGCAAGGCAAGACTGCGCGGTTCTCGACAACTTCAAGATCAAAGGACCTCATCCGTCTCATCAATGTCTCCTCTTCGCCCCAGTCGGCTTGACTTACACAAATCGTCAACATCAGCTTCTTGAGAACGCTTTGAGCAAGGATCTCTTACGCCAAAGCTTGCTTATGACTTTGCAGGGCTTGGACTTCTTACACCAAGCAGGCGTGGTGCATACAGGTTTAACCTTGTAACTGGTACCTCGGATACCCCGCTAGCTAAGTATATCCCAGATATATCACCAAACAATATCCTTCTCGGGATCAAAGAGGCCGTCGTGCTCTTCAAACTTGAGCAAGCGGAACTAGAGAACCCGTCTCCACGCAAGGTTCTGGCGAATCGAGCCATCCACCTTTCCTACACCCTGCCAATTACCTTCAGCGAGCCGGTTATTGGCTACCTCGGAGCCGTTCGCTTGGGAGAGCCGGGACAGAAGCACTCTGGCGACGTCAGGACTGGGAGTCTGAAGGTGAGTGAGACCTGCACGGGAGACAATGGAATATATGTCTCGTTGGTATGGCTTCGTCCACGATCAAAGATAACTGGTTCGCCCTAATGCCAATCCCCGATCAAAGTCTCGAGACACGCGAGAGGAGTCTACAGGGGAGCGACAAGGAGCTTCTCCTCGCCCTCGCCTGCAAAATTCTTCGCTGCCTCCCTGAAGAGAGGCCATCTGCGGAAGACCTTTTCGAGGACGGATTCCTGGTCCAATGGATGTCTGAGGAGAAGTGAGATCCTGAATCAGTCACCAACAATTCGTCGCGCGCTGCGGAACGAGACTGGCTTGAGAATTGCTAGTCAGGCCGAACATTGAGCGTATCCAACAAAGACTCCACACATCGAAACATGCTCGACAAGCAGAACAGGTTTTCCCAGTCAGGGTCTGGCGTCCATAAAGCGAGAAGGAAGGGTTCGCGCATTGCATCATGAGGGTAGGGAAGAGAAATGGGTGACACACAGGACACCACGTTGTCTCGGCGTGCAAGTGCACCTGCAGCATGAATGATGTCCTTGGCGTGGATCACGACAACGGACTCGATCATCTGTGAACCCCATTGTACTGGCAAATGAGGCGGGATATCATCTTCGTACTGGCTGACATGGTCGAGGATGCTGCCCGTTAGGATAGCAGTTTCAGGTCAAAGGCATTCGGTGAAGAATCAGATGCGTTTCCGGGCGAAGCCAACACTCCTTGATGCCATGATGACTGGCCTATGAATGACTTTTGCGTTCGGCATCCTCAGAGACTACCTTATGAGCAGCGATGTGGTCCGAACGTGGCATCGTTGCCTAGCAGCAAAGAAAGGAAATGGAGACTTTGATGAGGCGGGAGGTGATGCGATGAGCAGCTGGGTCCACTGAGTCTTCCTAGGTACTACCCGGGTATGATTGAGAGGTACTGGCCAGGGGAAATGCGCATATACAAGTAGGAGCAGAATTTGTGACTGCCATGATATAACATCTCATCATCATCGGCTTCTTTTCGTATATTTTTCAGGCTTCTTTCCTAAGCGGGAAAAAGCGCCCGCTTAATACGACAACAAGCAAGCATTTTCATCTCATGATCCTCGTCGCGTATCCCTTCCAAGCCTGTGATACACCATGGCGCCACAAACAATGCCACAAATGCCTCTATCAACCACATATCACAAACCGCTTGGTGCAGATGAAAACAGCCCACATGCTCGCGAAACCATGAATGCAACAGCCGTTAGTTCTCATGACAGCTACCAAACATATGCTCAAAAACTTCGTCACCCCTCACCCCCAGCATCGCGCCATTGGATCAGACACTGCAGATACCTGGTCAGGTAAATTCCACGTTGGCCCCGGTTCTTCCTTCCCTGGCTAATCTCGCCTGCGCCCGTTCAGCCCGCCTCCTTCTCCTGTTGTTAGCATACTCCGTTGCTCCACTTGTCTCCGTTCCAGGCGAAGTCACACCACTTCCCGCCGGGTACCCTAGGTTGCTGGCTGATCCTGGGATAGGCGGTGGAGGAGGGAGAGGCACTTGATATACTTGACCCGTGCCTGTTTGCGCGGCAGCATGCTCAGGCGGTGTAGGATATGGTACCGTGGGAGCCGGACTCGGCCCAGCGACAGACGCTGGTGGTTGGGGGGTCCGCGCTGCCGCCGAGTGTGGTGTGGCAGCAGCTTGAGCGGCAGCTTCATTCTGCGCGGCCTGCTCGGCTTCCAGCGCTTCGGTGCGTCTCCATCGTCGATCAGCACTGCTAGGTCCCCCCATGGCCTCACTGTCGCTCCCGCTGAAACTTGACCCTCTCCTGGATCTTCTTGCCGCTGCAGAAGCCTGGCGTTCTTTTCTCCTCGCTTCGCGTTGAGCTGCGGCTTCTTCTTCCGTCAAGCGCCGTAGAGTTACTTGACGGCCGTCGTTGTGCATGTTGATTTTGACACTGACTGGAGGGGACTCCATGCTGTCCGTAGGGTTGTTGTTACGGCTACCCTGTCGTCGCCGACGGCGGGAGTCCTCTGCTGCGGCGGCTCCGAGGGCAGCACCTGCAAGTCCAGCGGCGGCTTCGTCGCGGAAATGGTGACGATGTCGTTGCCTGCCCGATCCTGTGGTGTAAATTTCACTACCCGATGATTCCAGGTGAGGCGGCGGCACGGGAGGCATTTCTCCTTGGCCTGGAGGCGGAACAGGAAAAGCAGCAGAAGGTGGACCAGGCTGAACGATCGGAGGATCCTGGCCAACGGGCCTGATCCGATCTCTGTCGGCAAGAGCACTTGCTGCGGCCGCCCCCACACCTGCACCTGCTGCTGGGGGGATGGCACCGCTCATTCCAGGCGGCCCCAGGTCAGTCGACAGATCTGATGCAGTCTGACTACCCGACCTGCCATGGCGGGCTCGTCTTGGTGGAGCGACTCCATCGCCGGTGTACCTGTGGGCCGAGGTCATGCGTGCTGTTCTCTCATCCTCTATCTTCTCTTTCCTCAGTTGTTCTGCGCGAAGGTCTTCTTTGCGTTGTTTGCGATTTTTGAACAGTTGTCGAATGGCGAACACTGTTCCTCCTGCAGCCACGGCGTCTCGGAATCCATGCGATCTCCGGTCGCGGCGCGACGGCGATCCAGAGGCGAATGAGTCGTCCGTGTACAATGACCCTGAATCTCTGTGTCCATCCGAGCCTGGTGTCATTGGAGTTTGGGCGAGAGGATGTGTTGGCCTCACATGGCCTGGGCTTCCACCAACCGGCGTCACCGGACGAATGGAAGCTGGCCTGCCTTCTTCCATTCGTGACATTGAGTCCGTCGTGACAGACTGATTACCGCCAAGGGGCGGTCTGTAAGGACCGACGTCCGACTCGTCGTCGTGGTCTCTGCGACCCATCAGCTTCTTGACCGCAGCAACCACTCCTCCTATAGCTGCGACCTGGAGAAGGCGATGCCCAATACCATGGCGAGACCTGTCGGATAGTTTGTCGTCGTAATAATAAGAAGATGCGCTTCCCGTCACTTCTGTCCCAGCTCCGTCTCCATGCACACGGTGAGGTGAGTCGTCCCGCCCCGAAGATCGTCTCCTGAACAATGCCGCCAGACCCGCACCAGCTGCTCCTGCAAGTGCCAGTTTGCCCAATCCCGTGTGTCTGCGGTCGTCAGTCTCAACGACCTCAACCTGGTTATTGCCGGCGGGTCCATAACGGCCCCTTCGCCGCTCCGCTAGATATTGCAGGACGAAATACAAGAAGAGCAGGAAAAACCCCCATAATGAATAGAGAACGAACAAGTAGGGAGGCGACCCGTAGAGCGTCAAGCCAAGTGGAACCTGAATGATGCCGAGCAAAGCAATAGCTCGGCCCAGCCAATGATGCAGCATGGCACTGAGAGGAATGTGCGGGCGTTTTCTCCCCTTTTCTCTTCGGTGCAGCATACATCCTCCCATGATCTGCACCCAGATCAAGACATAGATTGCGACACCAATCCCATGGTGGGGATTCGTCAAACTTCTGTTCGGGCCAACGGCTTGAAAGCCCAGAATGATGATCACGGTGCTCAAGAGGAGGGTGAGGATCTGGAGCCAGATGTGCATTCGTAGGGCAAGTCGGGGCTGGCGGCCGTAGAATCGAACGAGGAAAATGGCGAGCGGGACGATTCCGAGGAATGTGATGGCAGCGATGATGCCGTGCGCTTCGACCAGGCCATGGTAGCCGGTCAAAGAGAAAAAACGATTTCCCATTCCTTAAGTTTTGACTTTGTCAGTTTACCACCCCGTCGCAGGATGTTCTGGACTCTTTCTTCTTACCATTGTATCTCATTGTCGCAAAATTCAAGCCAACAAGATTGGGTAGGAGAAAGTCATCTCTCCCTGCATCCCAAGTGCCGTCGCCCACATGCAGTGTATTCGAGTCATAGGTGCTACTCCCCGGGGGAGATAGTTGCGGTGAGGGCGACATCGCCCCAAGGCAGTGTGTTTTAAACAATCGACAGATGGATGATGCTGGAGGTTGTTCCTCCGACAGTCAAGGTGTTGGAACCATCCAACAGCGGGAATGAGGTTGGTATTTTGGTGGACAACAGTTGCTGTTGCGGCTCGATCGGGAGCTGTCAATGATCTTCGCTTTGTTTACTCGAGCTCGGCAAGCGGGGTAGATGAATGGTCGACCCTGCTCTCCTGAGAAAGCCGAATGGATTGTATTGTGGGAAGGGGGAGAAAACCCAGCTGGAGTCGACCTTGGACCTTGGTAGGTAGGAAACTATCACAAGAACAAGTGCACAACGGTCGATGCGATTGTCTGGATGCGGCCGGGGGTGAGTGGGTGAGTTGAGTTTTGGTGAGTTGTCACTGCTTGCTTTGCCAAAGCGCAGGTGGCTGCCAAGATCGACCCAGAGCGGTAGGATGGGCAACAGCCAAACGACTCGCCTCAAGCCGCTAGAGACAGGCACAACCATCACCTGCACTAAGAGCGGGCACCATCGGCAACATCACTAAGTACTGGGTACTGGGTACTGGGTAAGCACCCGGGAGTACCCAGTACATGACTCGCTCGTACAGTACATAATAGCACCAGCGGCGGGCACTGTCGATTCTTCCATTGTCGATTCGCCACTCGAGCGGTTGTGGCTGCACACTACCATCATGTCCTCCGTACTTACGAGGTACATAAGAAGTAAGATGCGTTCGTCCACGTTATAAGGTCCATATTTACCCTTGGTCTTGACAATTATATACAGATGGCTACCGAGATCCCCCCGACATTTCACAATGATATGCCCAAGTTGCCAAGAGAAGGTAAATCCACGGCCAGCTCACCCCCCTTTGGGACGTGGGTGATGCTGCCCTGTGCTCACCCTCACCGACCCGACGCCTCTTCAAAATCCTCTTCAGACATCCATCCTCAAAATGCTACACTAAGCTTTCCGCGTTAGACAACCTAGCATTCTCCATCAAGTTACACGTTCAACAAAGAATATCTCTCCATTGTGTATATCCCAAACCTGTACCTTTCAAGCAATGACGCGTAAGACACATCCCTGAGCCTCGATCGCAAAGCCGTTAACAGGTCTATAGGTTCGCTCTATGGTGATAGAGACACTACTTCTACCCCTCTCAACTCATCTCTCGAGGGCAAGGTCAACGGATTTCACTCAGATTTGACGATGCTAAAATCAGAGTTGGCAGCGACGAAATCAGAGGTCAAATTAGACATAGCACACCTCAATCAGAGTTGAAACATCTCAATGACAGCCTTACTACGCAGAAGAAAAGGTTCACTGAAACCGTCTCTGCGCAGATCAGCGTCCTCAATGCAAACATGGAGTTGAGATTGGACAAAGTTGAGAATCGACATTTGTTTCGAATGCTCTTCGCTGTAAGTGGTCTTCGCATTTACTATATACTACTTTCTAATCATTACGAAGGGATTTGGTTTGGTGATCATTGGAGTGGATGGTACCGTCACTGCTACAATGGTACGATACCAGACTCCCTACCGTCCAGATGACCTAGGCTCCAGCAGTCAAACAGGTTTGAACCAAGAGAGGGAGGAGATAATGTATGATTAGACGCAGTCACAGGCACGGCAGATGGGCTACAACGAGTCACTCGTTATCCAGAGATTGGTAAATTCACAGCGATGGCGTGCATGGCTTGATAGACTTACACGGCGGCATCATGGGCTCACTTTCCCTCAGTAGCTTTTAGATGTTTTAATACGACCTCCTTGAGTGGGAGGTGAGCGATACTTGAAAGCGGCGCCAGGCAGGTGAGCGCCCACGTGAGCTCGCCGTTATTAATAATATTCATCAACTCCATCCGCATTAGGTGTTCTGCGGACGGAAGGTTATAATCGCAGCGAACGACGCAAGGCTGATTGCCGAGTCTGCGGTAGATAGCTTTCTCGTCCTCTATAGATCTAATGCGATGGGAGCGCTCTTCGTTCCGAAGAGAGAAACTTTCCCTCGTCGGTGGCTCCCCACCAATCTCTCCAGATAATTGAGGAATCGTGAGAGCATAGCCTCCCTGCTGAACAACAAGGCCTGTTACACCAGGTCCAAGAATCCGCTCTACCACTTTTGTGCCGTCAGGTGCAAAAACTCCCATGCACGTCGTGTCACAGATGATGACTTGAACGTAAACTAGTATAAGAGCAACTAGTTCTTCCTTCATTTCACATGATGATGCTGTTTTGGATCACGGGGATGCCCGATGTTTTAACCGCTTGACGCACCGTTCGCAGACAGATCCCGTGTTTACTTACCGAGTAGGTCGTCACTGATACGCCCAGGCAAAAACAGCCCACCATCGCTAACCTGACGGAGACAGTCACCTGGAAGGAGTAGATTTTGTGACTGGAGGCCAGCCCATCATTGCAACCCTCCCCCATTGACCTGAGAAAATCGATTCCCGCCTCCTCCCGACTTGTAGAGAGGGAGCCTTCGGAGGGAAAAACAAATACGTGGCAATGGTGGCCTTGAAGAGGGATTTACATCGACCACCGGACAACTACGCAGTTAAGTAGAATGATACACGGACTCGTGTGTTCGGTGGCTCGAGGTCGGGGAGCAAGGCGCTCTGCCTCGTACGGAGAGCCTAAAACTTCAACCGGTGTGCTGGGATGGCAAGGGCGGCGTGACTCGTTGAAGGTCTAGGGGGCTCGGGGGGGGGGGAGCTGAACAGCAAATATCCGTTCGCCAGCTGGATGAAGAGGGGGACGCTAGGTGTGTGATTTGATGGGATCCACGGCAAGGGTGGAGAATGTCGGAATGGGATTGTACAATGATTGTACTACGTCCATGCGCTTGGAGGCAACTCCCGTCTTGGGCATCGACCACTCTTCTACATTGGCTATCAGCACGAATACACAACCACTATCCAGGTCGATGCCGTCGCCAGCGCCAGATTGGCATCTGACTCCTCTCCACAGCGACCATGATTGATGCCGAGCAGTGGGCTCGCTTTGTAAAGGCGGTGTCAAGGTACGGAGTGTTATGAAGAAGAAGAAAAAATTATCGCTCTTATCAACGCCCAGATAAGCTAGCTACATACATATGTATCTTGGAAACTAACCGATGCGTTTCTCCAGGCTGTTAGGATGGATCTAGTGAGTTCATCGAGGAAGAGAGAGAGCGACGTCGATGGTGTTGGCAAGGCCACATCGCTAATCGCCCCGACAGCACATTATCCTGGAGCGCTTCTTTCTATCCTCAACCCTGGCTGAACTGGAAACGCCGCAGCACTCAAGGCCTCGCCATCGACTTTCCGCTTCTCAACGTCCTCGGCTTCGTATGCTACACCATATCAACCTGCTGTTTCCTATACTCGCCGACGATCCGGCAACAATACGCCCTAAGGCACCCAGCATCCCCAGAGCCGACGGTGCAGTCGAATGATGTTGCTTTTGGCCTGCATGCCGTCGTCCTCGTCATCTTGACCTACTCGCAATTTTTCTTCCGGTTATGGGGCTTTCAAGTGTCAGCTCGTCAACGAGCCACTCGCCCCGTGTTGGCGGTCGTGTGGGGGAGCCTTCTTGCCCTTGGGGCCATGGCCCTGTTGGTTCTTCTTCGCTCAGGCCGGGAAAATCAGGATCCCCTCGACTGGGCCTGGATTGATGTGGTGAGATGCCCTTCCACAGCGCTCCATTTTTGACTCGACTCGACTGGCTTACCATGTATCGCCTCCCACAGCTGTACACATTGGGATATGTCAAACTCGTTTGCACCTTTGTCAAGTACATCCCGCAGGCTTTCTTCAACTACAAGCGCCAATCGACCGAAGGCTGGAGTATCGTGCAAATCTTGTTCGATCTCACCGGAGGCGTGCTGTCCATAGCTCAACTTGTCCTGGATGCGAGCTTCGGCGGGGACTGGAGTGGGATCACCGGTAATTCTCTCAAGCTGGGGCTTGCCAATATCAGCATGGGGTTTGACCTGCTTTTTATCGTTCAACATTATATTTTATACCGCGGCCAAGGACAGCTGTGGAAGGGCTCAAACGAGGAAAACGACCCGGAACGGCCGCTGCTCAGTCGTTGACTGCACAACCCAGCCATCTCGCCGCCACTCTGCTTGACTCCAATATCAGTATCCCGTGGTTGAGATGAGCGATCAGGACGGGACAGGATGAGCTCCGAGTCCCAGAATATCTCCTCATCGGACTTTGGGGTGAAGGATATATCCTGAAGACGAAAGTAGTGGACGCTCCCTACTCGGACGCCGACCCCTTTTGCCATAGGGGCCACGCATGGGTTTCTTATTTTGCACTCTTGTTGAGAGCCGTCTCTCCCAAATCTGGGCCAACGGAGGCGCGGGCTGTGCACAGGGATGGGCCGCTGGCTCCTCGCTAAACCACACCACTAGCGACGATTCAGCGGGATTCGTCCAGCGATATCCGACGGCCAGCTCGACGGGGATAGAGTGTGGAAATCAGGAATGGCCAAAAGGACAAGTATCGAATAGGCGAGCGCGGGTTCACTGGTGGAGTCAACGAAACAGGTGACTGAGCCTTCTGCAGATGTTCGTCACGCTTTCAGTTACAAAGACACCATACAAGTAGAGAAAGCAAGAATAGATTAGCTGCGAATGTTAGACAATGTTTGTTCGTACCTGGTACTCTACATAGAATGTGGGAGGCCGTGCCGAGACAAATCCTTTTACTGTTTGATATCCCGACCGAATAAGGCTTCCACGCTAGGTTTCATGTCACCGAGCATGTATTACCCTGGTCCTTGTACCAAGTAGAAGATGGTTCGCTTACCGTTGGCCGTACCTCGTATGTAGCTCGCCATCCCTTGCCGCTCCGTGACCATCGCAGTAAGCCGGAAGCACTTATGCTACTAACATTATTGCAAGACCTTTCTTTCAGCTTCGTCGTTGTAGCCAGACTAGGAGAGGACACGCGAGGGAGTCGGTGGAAGTAGCTCTCCGGAAGCTACATCCTTGAGCCTAGCTAGCGCATCCGCAGCCAGCGGGGGCCTGAGAGATTTTTGTGGCTTCGGGTAGCAATGGGATTGGACTGGTCACTGGAGGGGAACCGCCCTCGGCGAACAAGAAGACTTGCCGTGTGCTCGAGAGTCGATTTCTTTGGCTGCTCAACGATTCGAACCGGGAAGTGTACGTCTTGCATATTGGGACCAAGGCCCAAGTTTGTTTTATTTTTCCTTTCTTTTTCCCCCTCAAGAGATTTAAGCGAGAAGGCCGGAGAAGTGAACGGGTCACAAGCAGTTTGGTCTTGCGAGTGCGGGGCGGTCCAGGAAAGCTAAAAAGGGGTCGGATGTCGACTAATGTAATCACATGAATGAGGCTCTGATGATCTGAGTGGACCTGAGATGGGAGGCAGAAGCCGGAATTTGACGGGGTGTGGGAGAGTCAAAGAGGAAGAGAGATTGGAGAGAGCTTGGAGAGAGCTTGGAGAGAGCTTGGAGAGTGGAAGAAGAAAGAGGATGGGCAGGACAGGACACATCACACCTCGCTCGCTCCCTCGCAACGCTGTTGGAATCCACCACGGCCAACTTTTGGGTTTGGAGGGATTGTGATTTTGACGCCCAATCTGTGAGATGCGAGGTGAGGCAGGCAAAGACACCAATGATAAATGATGGCTTTAGTGCTACAAGCAGAAGCGGGTTGCTGCGTTGCTGCTGGTGCCAGCGCCCTGCTATTGTAGGATCGTTGCTTCTTGATGCGTGGGATCAGCTGCTGTGTTCGGCTCACCAGGCTCGAAGCTCGAGCAGTTTCTTGTCTGGGTAGTTAGTTGGCCGCTCCTGCACAGGTGTCGAATGAAGGAACCTTGGATTGGATCTAATGGCATACGAATGACAGCAGGGCGCAGTCAGAGTTAACTCGTGGCTATCTGGTGGAGGGGTTTGAAGGAACCCCCCGGGTGCCTGGGCCGGCCTCTCATTGGCGTTAGCCTTCTCTGGTGTGGGGCGCTGAGTCGGTGACTTGGGGGCGTCTCTCGCCTATGATAAGTGAGGCTCGTGTCCCCGACTGATCTCCATTAGCGATAGCCCACCCCAAGCCTAGCCTCCCCCGAGGGAGCCTCAGCTTTCTGTGCTGCGAGCCTCCATGGGCCACCAGGCTTTTTCATTCCATTAATTAATAGCCGCAATGCCAGACCGTGCCTGGCTCCCTAATGCAATAGGTAGGCAGAGACTAGCAAGTCTTGATTTAGCGACACAACAACGCACTCTGCTCCTCAACCATCTCTCCTGTCCTCGGCCGCCAGCAGAAAGCAGCCGGCAGCCACCAAACCTTCGACTTTGTAAAATAGCACCCCATGGCCCTGATGGCCCCTACAAAGGCCAAGGATAATCCCATCCAGCACCACTCTTGCTACCCGAGCTCCGCGTATCCTCGATCCCATCCACGATTCCTACTCCTCCCCTCAACGGAACCTGTAACCTTGTATTTCCGCCCGAAGTTGCGTTTGCGAGGGGCTGTGCTGTCAACTTGGCTACGCATCCACGCTAAGCCTCCCAAGGCTCCAGGCAATTCTTTTTGCTCCCATCATCAAAAACCTTGAGGAACAAACGACGGGAAGGAGACGAGACGAGACGAGCTGCGAGGTGAGAGGTGAGGAGACGTGACTTGACGAGTCAATTTGCATCCCAACCTCTCTATCTGCGCTTCGGCTCCGCACCGCATCCAACAGCCTCGCAACCTTGACGGCTACACGTCGTCCTCTGACTTGCTCATACCTTTCCCAGTCGAAAGCCGCTGCTCTTTGTCTGCGTTTATCCCGTCACCACCCCCTCCCACCTCCGATTCCGAGCAGTCCCAAAACATCCGAGACAAAAAGAGAGTTGAACCGTACTTCTGTGCCTCCAGCCCAGACGCTGCCGGCGCCAGTCCTCTCCTCTCATCAGAGCCTCCAAGAGCCTCATTTGAACCCTTGTGTGACAATTATACCCCTCACTTCGCAACCTCTATCAACTGACCAAGTCACACCTTGCCTTTGCCAGCAACGACCAATTTTGCTTCCCGGTATGAGCGACCATCTTACCACCCCTCCCCCAATTTTGCTTTCGTCGCTGGCCAATGCATTTCCATCCATCTTCAGCCGCTATCTGGCCGAATACGCAAGACACCACTTTTCCCCTTCCCACCTGACCATGGTCTGGAACTTTTTGATTTCGAACCCCTCCCTTCTCCTTTCCTCCCCACTACCATGTCCCTTGTTGCAGAGAGCTGGAACAGCCAGCAGTCCATTGGCACACGGAGCAATAGCATGTCCACAAGTTCCTGTTATTCAATGTCACTCGCTCCGGTGGAGTGTATCCAAACCGGTAAGGTTGAAAGTTCCTTGCACTGACATGGCTTATGATCCAGAGACATCAATCGCAGACGACCTTTGTCTTCCCAGTCACCAATCTCTCTGTCCTTTTCAGGGCTGTCGCCTCAGCCTCTTTGTCGGATGGTCTGCCATGTGATTTACCGGGCTCCTCATGTCCCAAGATCAAGATCCCTATTTCCAATTCGAGCGGGACATTATCGGACCCCTCCGAAGCCCAGTACTTGAGCCGGTGAATCCAGAATACGGTCCCCGAGCCAGCCCTGCACCCCTTGTACCTGTCAACGACCCATCTTCTTCCGACTCCTCGGATGTGGAGGATCCGAAAGCGGTACGACGTCAAGGGAATCCAAGAATACGGAAGAGTCGAGCCAACTGCACCTTTGCCGACAGCGTACTGATTCTTTCCTTAGATCCCAATCAACGCATACTAGCTAGCCAGGCACGGAAACGGCCGTTGGACTCGAGAAGTCAATCAGCGGCAGAGGAAGAGGAGGAGGGGGAGGAGGAAGAGGAAGAAGGAGAAGAAGGAGAACAGGATGACGAGCACGACGGCCACAGCGACGATAATGGGATTCAAGCTGGCCACAGAGAGATAAGAAGGGCGACGAGGGTGATTCGGAATGGGCCAAACCGTGTGTCCATCAAAACGAAGCCGGCGGCGCGGACGGCCTTGCACCCTGATCCTGATGGTCGGGACGACGACGACGACGACGACGACGACTTTCCTATGATTGATAGTCCAGCTACTGTGGCTGAAGACGACCTGGTGCGGTCGCCCCCGCAGCCTACGCATGATATGCACAAGCCCGAACAGGCTCAAGCTTTCCATGCTCCGACGAAGCAAGCAGCAGATCTGTCGAGAAAGCAGTTCAACACAATCCCACCCCCAAGGACGCGGCCTTTGTTTTCAAACTTGCGGTTGAATCTTGCTCCAGCCATTCGTGATGGCAATCAAGTTGACGACTCAATCCTCAAATCACCCATTCTGGGAAAGTATGCGATATCGCCTCGCGATGGACATCCAGATTTCACCTTGCCAGCAATGCAACAGAGGTCCCCGCCACGTTCCTCGCCTGCAGCTCTACTGGGGTACAGGATGACGCTACCACCCCTGAAGATCGCCATTGGCGATCTCCATGACTCGAGCATGGGGGGGTTTCCCTGCCTATCTCCGGGCATGGCTAGGCCTTCACCGAACCAGTTTGCATCGTATGCGTCTCCGGCTTCGTATGCAGCATATTCCGCCATGTCACCTCCGGATCCGCCGTTGCAGAGCAACTGGCGGACAACGACTCGCGATTCCAACACGTCGACATTTTCGGACTATACTTCGTCGACTTCCGTCTCTGTCTCTACTCCAGCCTCGTCAATCATTACGCCATCTCCGGCAGCCTCGGGTCCCTCGTCGTTGACAGCTCTAGCTGAACAAGATTTAGAGGACGGGGAGGGGGAGGAGAGCAGGATGCAGCAAGTTCTCACCAAGGAGACCGACCTGAGATCATACGCTGAAGTTCGGTCCAGACCTCAGCCCCAACCTGAAGCTCGACCGAAAGCTCGACCGAAACCTTCTGCTCGATTGAAACTTCAACAACTCCAACGTGCAGCTCGATCGAAACCCCGGCCTACTCAACCTGCAGCACAATCAAAGGCTCAGCTTCAACCTGTCCTGGAACCTGCCCCGCAACCTTCAGCACCATTAAAGGTTCAGCCACAACCTACCCTTGAGTGTCCTCCTCAACCTGCAGCTCGATCGAAACCCCGACCTCCTCAGCCTGCAGCGCAATCGAAGCCTCAGGCACACCCTGATCTTGAACTTCCACCTCGACCTGAATCTCGAACCGAAGCTGAATCCGCGGCTGGGTCCGAGACCGAATCCGAACTCTCAGAACTCACCGAGCTGGAGTCTGAGCTTGGGTCCGAACCTGAGCCCGAGCATCGATCTAGACCGCATACGAAACGCCCTTCTGTCTCTCAATCGAAGCCTCAACCTGAAGCGTCCTCCGATGCCGCTGCATTAGCGCGTTTTTCACTTGGCCCTTATAAGTGCACATTTGAAGGGTGTACTGCCGCACCATTTCACACTCAATATTTGTTAAACAGCCATATGAATGTTCATTCTAACACGCGAACTCATTTCTGTCCTATCAAGGATTGTCCTCGCGGGCCTGGTGGTCTAGGCTTTAAGAGGAAGAATGAGATGATCAGGTGAGACCACTCTCATCCGAAAATTGGGCCGTGTGTTACTGATTACGATTACCTTCATAGACATGGCTTGGTTCATACATCTCCTGGATATATTTGCCCTTTCTGCCCCGACCAGCAACACAAGTATCCTCGGCCAGACAATCTGCAACGTCACGTACGGCAACATCACGCAAACGAAGATCGACATGACCCTAGACTCCGTGAGGTCCTCGACCAGCGCACAGATGGAAGCAGCAAGGCAGGGAAACGGCGCATGCGTTTATTCTGACCATTATAGACTGCAGTCCTTTGCCTATCGAGTTCGGACAGGTAGAAGCTGATTCAGTGTGCCATTAGGCGGCTATGAGCTGGACTCGAAGGAATTTCTACGGCAAAAACTGAAGACGAGTGCTGACAGATTTGCCAAACTTGGAGGTCATTTGAGCCGGATTCATGTACCGCACGTTCGCTTCGATTTTCAAGACGCCACCTTTTGTATTCATTTATGCTTCGAACGGCTAACGGCAGCAATAAGGAAAGAAGGTTTCTATCGTGAAGGGTGTGGTCCTTCGCCGCCAAGGCACGCGCTCAACTTGGAAGGGAGATAATCGCACGCCTGGGCACAGTCTTTTTCACCTGGATAGCTCCCGATAGCCGCTGCCATTCCTTTCAATATTCATCACCTCATTAACGAGAAGGGAACGCATGCACCGAAGGATATGACTCGATACGAGGAGATCTTCATTGGCTGTTTGGTAAAATAGACAGGATCGCATGGTGGATTTCCTGGGGTGCATTTTACGACGTTATGACCTTGATGACCACAGCGATGCCCTGTTACGTGTCATGCTCCTGGCAGAGCTGCAAGGCGCTCTGATGATGTCTATATACATGGCTCTGGAACCGATGGCCGAGGGGCAGAACCGGAGTTGGTGGGTTATACAACTTGACATGTCACATGGAGAAGAAGTTCGGCCAAGGAGACAAAAATGCGGAAGGTCGTCTGTACAAACTCAAAGCTGATGTCTTAAATGACCTTTTTTTTTTGTGGTCTTGTATCAGGCAGGGAAGGCCACACACACTACCTCCCTACATATGAAGCTTGAAATCAAAGCCGACTCTCAGGACCATGTCCGCTCTGCAGCCGTTAAGGCGCCACGAAGCGACACGGCGGCTTCCCTACATGTATACAGAGTAGATTTGTAGGAAGCAGAAAGAGGCTACGAGGATATCATATGAATTACGCCCTCAGCACACATCATCCCGTACAAACATACATACATGCATGCATGGCTGGTCGGATTGACTGATTGATTTATTGATTGACTGATTGATTGATTGATTGAACTCAACGACACAAAATAGCTCCTGTTCTAACCCCGCTGCCCCTCGCCCGGACTATGTATGGTACATCCAACAAATATAGGCATGTACATACCTTATGACCAACCAAGACCGTCGATCATAGGGTATGTATCTTGTATGTAGTGTAGTTACATAACTGCCAGTGCTTCCTCTCTCCGCACAGAGTTGTTTAGTGACTTGTACTTATCTTGCTCTGTACTCCGCACTCCGTAATGTGTAACCAGTAATCGGCAGGTCAGTCAGTTAGTCAGTCGATAAATTCTCGCCAATTTTCAAGCGAAATATCGTTCGTGTACGATCGGGAGAGGTGGATTTCAAAGGGATCTAGTGTTCGGCGAGTTTCAGATCTGCTCCTCGTACTTATTGCGGACTTCTTGATCTTCCTTCTGCTGGTGAAAAACTTGGCTCGGCATGTCGCAGGAAGGCAGTATGAGAGAGAAAATGTGGTTGGAATTGTCTCGGGTTGGTGCCGGTGTGGGTTTTGAGTCGTAGTTGATCAATAGACGAGCCCATCGGGCAATGGCAAGACGGGCAATCTTATCCGTTGTCTTTGACTAGAGGCCTGCAATGCCAGCCACCTTGTCCCGTATCCTCTCTGCAAGAGTGGTCGCTTCCTGTCCTTTGCCGGCAAGCAAGCCATCAACCTCCTTCATGGTGGATGGCTCGGTGAGGCCCCATATCTTCCAGGGCCCTTCTTCGCCCTTGACAGTCATTTTTTGTATCACCACGTAATCGGTGTGTTTTAGCATGACATCCTTGTCACTGTCGGCGAGCAGGTAGTTTTGAACGCTGTTGATGCGAACAATGCATTGTCGGAGATAGGTGTCTGCGAAGGGCAAGGGGGCAAGCCGGTCGGAGACAACCCTGGTGCTTGCTGCAGGCAGAAGCACGGAGATGGGCCATCTCTCAAGCCAAGCTGGATATCGAATACCCGAGTAGCTCAGCAGTACCCACGGTTCCTTTCTCCGGCGCAAGGCTTTCCGTTGCTCGATCCGCATCCTTGCCTGTGCCATTAGTCCCTCGCAGCAAATTGTCTGGAGCCTTTTGAGGTCTCCTTCACTTAAAGCATCGTGAAAGTCCTTGTGTAGATCTCGCGCAATCTGATTTCTCTGGGATAGTTCCATTGATCTCCTCATTTTCTTCCCAGTAAGAGGGTCTCTCTTGACATCCCATTTAAGAAAGACCACTAAGCTGTGAAGCAGGTCAGCCCTTGCCGGTATTTTTGGGGGAGGAACAATGAGTCGTATCCCTACCTCCACCAGTCTTTGACAGCAGTCTTGAATTGTAGCCAATGAATCCTTGTTCTCTTGAAGAAATTGGGACTCATCCACCCCGGTAGGTCTTTAGCGGCAGGAAGGATGAAGGTCTGAGGCAGCTTTCCCAGATCAGTGCCTATCTGTTGCCTATTGGCTTTTTTCATCTGACTCTTCATAGACACATGTTTGGGAAGCTTGGAGTCTATGTTTGGAATGCTCTGGACGACGCCGGCACCAGCATTTCTGCGCCGAGTGGTTGTGAATTGACGGGTGTAGACAGAGGGCAATCGATGTGCGCATTGAGGGCAGATTGGATAGGTTTGACTAGAGGTAGTAAGGGCCAAGGAGAACTTGAGATTCTTGCTTGAGAATCTGGCCACAGGATGAGCCATCTTGGTTAGGGTCGCGCAGAAAGGTTGCTCTGCTGGCCGAAAGGATTCGGTCTCGAAGTTGAATGAAGCTCTCTACTTACAGTAGTTGAGTAGGGCTTGGTAGGGGCAGAGAAGAGGCCGCGAGCGCATTTCGTCAAAATTTGTATCAATGCGGACGGGAGTGATGCCGCTCTACTCTTGATCTTCTAAACTGTTCGATCTTCCTAAAAGCAGCGATATAAAGCTAACGCCTCAAGGGATTGGGACGAGTCTGCACGTGACCTCGTATCACTTGCCTTATGAAATGGTGGCCTTCCTTACGAGTAGATCCGAGGTTTTCCCAGCGAAGCCCCTTCGATCGAGTCTTGCTCTCCACGCTGATTTCACATTCCATCCATTTGCTGAACGGAACTATTTTGATACTGCTGGAAGCCAGTCATGTCTGCTAAGAAAGATATGAGACGGGCGGATCTCGGTCAGTACTGAGAGCTTCGTCAGATCTTGAGGCATGTAGAAGCTGACGAAGGTCATTTCAGTCATTCCCTATGTCGAGCCCAAAGACGAGAAGCCCGCTGATTTCAGCTCGACTCTGACGAGTACCATGCCCATGGCAGCTGTAAGTGGGAGACGCGACTGTGGTGCTTTTGAAATGCCATGCTAATGTCCAAGGTAGATGTTTACAAGAAATAGGTGAGAGACAGCTCCTCCATCGTAATGTTTGTTGCTAACAACGATCAGGATGCTTGGCTGGTAAGAGGAATGAAAGCAGGACCGCCGCTTTGGATTGACGGGACCAGGTTTGCTCTATTAACTGCTCTTCTGAACTGGTTGGGCGAGACACCTGCCCAGAAGCAGAGTCCTAACGGTACGCCCGGATACTTGTCATTTGGCATGGCTGGTAAGTGGTAGAATGGTCCTCGCATTCATAACTCTCAGGCTGATATATATATATATGAAAGTGCTTGCTGTTGGCGTGGTATGTTGTGCTATATTCAACCTAAGAGTACCGAGAAGCGACTCATCCTTTGCAGACATATATGCCCTTGTTTCTACCGCCACCGCCGAATGCGAGAGGACCAGCGGCTCCGCCGCCGCCAGCTGCTTCGACATGACAGCTGGTAGATCCAGGCGCATGAGGGGTCATTTGTGCGAAGAATGCCGGGGGAATTGTGTGTGCAGCAATTGGTGGCTTCGCACAGCGAAGTCTTCTCTAGCATTCGAGGACTGGTCACTGTTGGACCTCACCTAGTTTTCCTGCCAAAAGAGCTGCAATGCCGAGTGTGGCATAGATGCAACAAAGAGGATGCCAGGTCACATCTAAATTTTGTCTGTGGAAACAAAGGAATGGCCGGGACTGGCGTCGCGATACCTCACATGCCCACACCGTAGCTTGTACTGTAATTAATTCCCCAAGTTGTTCCTGGGGGTGGCGATCACGAGCCTCAACTAGAACGCACTGGGGGCCACCGCTGTGCGGCGGCCTGGAACCTGGAACCTGGAACCTAACAAGTCCTTGTACTTTGTTACAGTACAGTAGAGCCTGGCACCCCCAGAGCCCACCAATTATTTTGCCACGCATCCCAGGAAGTCAAGCTGGTGCCACCCTGTGGCAGTGGCTCCTTGCAGGCGCTTCTTGGGGCAATTGGGGCATCAGGGCACAACGGGCGCGGCGATTCTTTCGGGTTCCTTCCCTCCTTCGCCCACCCCACTATTGCCTACTACCACCACTCACCTGCCCAGTCACTGCGTTCGCCTCTTGCATCAGCCCTTTTTCCTGCTCCCCGTTCCTTTTCTCTCTTCTCTTCATATCAACAACCCATCACCAGAACCACTCAACACCAAACCCTTTCGCTTTCAAGTCAGAAATCCAGTAGCCTTTACCCTCCAACAACCGACACTACTCTTTTCGAATCAACCCGTTTCTCGAAACAAACGAGTTTATGTCAACTACTATCCAAAACCTCAAAACCTTTGGTAAGCCGACCCCTCTTTCACCCTCTCCTCAAACCCCTCTCGCCACATCTACCGATCGTCATCACCAAACAGCTGTTCGCTATCGTGTGCCTCGACAGCGACTGCTTGTGAGAGTGACTGATGGCGACCGCGCTTCAGATGCGCCGTCCATCACTTGCTGCGGCCCTCCATTTGCAGACCGCGCTCAAACCACGCTTGTGTGACTCATGACTAACTGCCCTGCCTCGCAGACCCCTTCGCGGAGGCCGACGACGACACTGGGGAAGCGAAGCAATCCCAGAATTACATCCACATTCGTATCCAGCAACGCAATGGTCGTAAGACTTTGACAACGGTCCAAGGCCTTCCTAAGAAATTCGACCAAAAGAAGATCCTCAAGGTCATCAAGAAGAAATTCGGTACGTGGAAAGAGGGGAAAGACCGCCCACCACCCACCAACCACCAGCTGACAAGAGATATAGCTTGCAATGGCACAATCGTCACGGACAGCGAGATGGGCGAGGTGATTCAGCTTCAGGGTGATCAACGCAAAGATGTTCAAGAATTCCTGGTCGCCAAGGACGGCCTCGAACTCGACGCAAAGACTATCAAGGTGAGCAAATCCCGCTGCTTCATATGCTACGACAGCGTACTAAATTTGTGCCAGGTCCATGGTTTCTAAACGCTTCAGCCGGTATCCTGTGCTATCCTGCTCGGTCATCGAGGACAGATAGAAGTTGTCGACTGACCCGCAATCATCTTCCTTGAACGATTACTTCTGGCCTGTTCGTCTTCGCTGGTCGATGCAGCGGCCTAGTCACGATAGCACTTTTTGGGATGCGATAAGGTTACGCGTTTGATGATATACCCACGATGGATATTTTGCCTTCGGACGGAATTTGGGGGGGATCGGACTGTTGCGGTACGGGACCGGAATCAGCAACAATACGGCTGTGACGAAGGTGCTACATAACAGCACCCGGTTGGGGATCTGCGATAAGGGGGATGGGCTGGTTTCTATCGTTGATTCCACCAGCCCACGCATGGTAGCTTTGAAATCATGATCGGATCGTTGGAAACAACCCTAGTTACTTCAGCCATTTCCGCTCTTCTTGTCGAGTTTCCATTCCATGTACGTGACCAGCCGTTCTTGCGCCACTGGAACGCCTCTTACGGCCTCCTTTGGGTCAACCAATGCCTCCTTGTACTAACCTTTTTCCACCTGGTTCAGATGGAGGTAACCACTGCTATCACCCAGCTGGACTTGCTGGACTGGATCTGTCGCCAAGAGTCTGGGGTAGTTTGAAGCGAGCACCCCCTTTGCTTCTCCTGTGGTTTGACTGCTGCCCTTATCATGTTTGCATTCATAAGGGTCACGCGCCTCTTTTCGCTTTGCTTTTCCCTCTCATCCTTTGTTAAGGGATGGCTGTTTTCTCGCTTTAATACACGTCTGGAGTCGACCTTGATCATCCGGAGACCGGGAATTTGAACTGGGACTCGACTAGGGAGAGATTGCTTACTACTTTCCTTGCTTTGAAGGCGGGACCACCTCAGAACATCCTGGCAAAGGCTATGCAGCCGCCATAGCGCTGCAGAACCATTTTCCAACTGGCGAACACGGGGCATCCGGGCCCACCATCATATGGCGATGCTTTTGCTCAACGCAACGGGGCGATCGGGCATGCTGCTGCTGCTCCAGCCCCGTCCCGGTCACCACCGGCCCAGCCTGGCCCCGTGCCCGGTGTCGTCGAGAACGCCAACATCGCCAGCGTCGCCATGTCCGCTCGCTATCCACGGGTAGCCGTTCTCCTGGGCGTCCAGCCTCGGTGGCACGTGCCGCTCTTGCTGTGTCGGGCTCTCTCCACCGTTTCGGCCGCGTGGTGGGCTTGTCAGACTTTTTTCAGCATCTATCGGCTTGTCTCGGACTACGGCACGACGGCGGGGAGCACGACATCGTCTTTGTTCAAGTCGTCAGCAAATGACCATGAAGGCATTGGCGCTGCTAGTGGTGCGGGAGCGGGTGCTGGAAACCGTGCACCGCTGCTGGAGAACCAGATCTTCAAGCGCATGGCCGTTGCCCAAGTATGCTTGAGCTTTCTCTGGGTATGTATTGTTCTGCTGTCCCTGCGTCTTTTGTCCCAGTGCTCGTTCTGCGTGTGCACACACGCCTTTCATTCATCTCCCATTGCAATCTGGAAGGGATGTATATCACGATCCGGCCCACGTTCAAAACGCTTATCCCCTTGGCCCCAGCCTTGTCTTCTCTCGGGGAAAAAGCAAAAGAACCAAATATCCGCATTCTCCTTGTCGAACCGCTCCACAAAATGAAAAGTAACCCAAAGCTAACGGGCGGTCTGGTTTTGTTGCCACGTCTCTAGGCCGGCGCGGCAGCATACCTCGCGCACATGTTCGCCTCGTCGCTGATGGCGCGCTGGCTGCTGCACTACAGTCCCCTGGCGGTGCTGGTGCGGCTCTGCAGCCTCTCGATCCTGCTGTCGTTCGGGTGCCTGCAGGTCTTCCGGGCCACGCGGGCCACGGAGCCCGACCTGCTCCGGCTCAGCCGCAGTCTGCTGGCCTGGATCGCCATCTCGATCGCCCTCATGCTCGCCTACTTCTCCACCCAGCACGACATCTTCTCGGCCGACCACGACGACCGCGACGACCGCCGCCGCCGCCAGATCCTGCGCCTCAAGTGCCTCTACGTCATCTCCGCGTGCAGTCTGTTCAGCTTGCTCGTCCTGGTTGGCATCCTACACTTTGACGACACTGTCGGGATGAGCTTGATGGGTATGTTTACGGCCACCGTCGGGAGTGGTGGCGGGAGTGGGAGTGGGAGTGGGAACTGGGCTGGGACTTTGCGGGATTGGGTCGGGATTTGCAGGGCGTTGGCGTCTGATGTGCTTCAGCAATGGCGCAGGTTTGCTTCTGGGGCGGCCAGGTTTGGAGCCGAGTTGTGAAAGCAAGAAAAAAAAAATAATAAAAGAAGAGAAAACGCGAGCCTCCTTCACCTATTGTTGATCGTACGGGTGGATCAACGAGATGTTGGGAGAGGAGCGCGCAAAAGGGAAGTGATGATAATGATGAATCACGTTGAGTTCGGAGTCCATGGCCCATATTCTGGGACTGTTTTGTATTTCCTTTCATTTGAACAATCACATCGTGTATTGGTCGCATATGTATCGCCATGTAACTTTTTAGGGCCTGGCTGGCGCTACTAAGTACTCTAAACAAGAGTCCTTCCTGTATGCGAGCCCCAACGGTTCCACGTCCACGCATCTGACCAAGGTACATTCCGTTGCTGGCACCATCTATCGAGGCCTTTGCTTAGAGCAGGGAGCTTGGGAGGTAGGGGAAGGGCTTCCCCAAAACCCCTTGCTCACCACCGCCACCAACCTTTTTGTATTGATCCTCCAACCAGTTGCAGAGATCTATCCATCTTGTCTCCATCATCTGTCTCTGTATCCACCATATATCCATCTAGTGTGTCTTTTCATAGTTAGTCTGCTGCGTATATATATATATATATACACACACGTCTATCTCAATATCTATCCTATCCTCCCCGCCTGTTCAGCGAACTTCGACTCCTCTTCCTCATGCCCACGTCGGGCCGCTGCGTGTCGCTGTGACTCCCTGTCCGCCTCGTCGCGATACTACCTCCATCCGGAGATCTCTTGTTGGCCAGAACGCTCTGGAGTTCGTGACTCTCACCCCTCTCCAAGGTATCATCCACGACGGCGATTTCGTCGTTCTCGTCCGGCGGCGTCCCTCCGGCGGTCGGCGTGCTCTCTTCGCTTTCCCCGTACGCGCCGCCGACGCTCTCCATGACGAAGGCGCCGGCCGTGGGAGCGTCGAGGGCTCGGAGTTCTTCCTCCCGGAACCACTTCGGCATGAGCCAAGTGCGGAAGGGGATGAGGAGGAGAATGATGACGGGGAATCCGATCGCGGCAATGGTTTGGGATATAGCAAAGGTGGCGCCAAAGCCGACTAGTTCACAGGCCACGAAGGCCCATATGGCGACACGACGCTCGATTCTTGCCAATGGATCCGTCGCATCCGTCAACTCTTTGTCCCGGGCAAGGAAGAGCAACTTTTGAGTGATGCCGTTGCCCACGAGGGCTTGGGCACCCATGACGAAGAACAAACCGGCCAGCACACCCTGTGGGATGAGATGGAGGACGACCAGTAGTGGACCGCTCATTGTGACCAGGAACAACAGCCCCTGTGCAAGGTTGCTGAAGCGCTGTTCAACGACGTGATCCGTGACTCGGACAATATGGCCTCTCGCCTTCTCGTCGACAACTTGCCTTGTAACGCAAAGGGCGTTTGTATGAAATGGCGCCTGAGGGATGAGGCCATTGGGGAAAGGGATGCCCAGAAGTCCGGCGATGCCCGTGGTGAGACCCAAGAGGAAAATATCCCAATGGAAACCTGGTGGTTTACGGAGAGGAAATTCCGTCCCCTGAGCAATGAGAGACGACACTAACTTTTGGTTAGATGAATGCCAACCAAGGTCTGCTACACGGTACATACCGTTATGATCAAACCAAAACAGAATTGTCAGCAGGATCGCAAAGGGAATTGCCAGGAAGACCTCTCCCACACTGATATCCCAAAAATGGACGAACCAGCCTCGGTCAACAGTCGGGTGGAACGACTTGCTTGTCGGTAGTGTCTCGACATGGACGTTCTTCATATGGCCGATATGGACGAACCCAGTGAAGGAGACGATTGTCAGCGGAGTGCCATAGTCCTCGATAAACTTCCGCACATGCCGTTGCAGCAGGTTGCTTTCGCCCAGGACACCACAGCCGTATGCAAACCCCAAGACGAGCAGACTAACCATGATGGACAGATAGGCACTTGTTTCACCGGCCAACCCCCACTGTCTCGTCAGGACTTGGATGCCCTTTTGCAGATAGATGAAAGCAACGTAGAACCCAAAGGTATCACAGCTGAACCGCGTAACGTAGGTTAATGCGTTGCAACTGTTGGTGATGGCCAGCAACCAATGCATAATCAGCGACCAGATGCCGATCCAGGCCATGAAGGCGAAGAAGTTGGTGCCCTGGGGGACGACGATGTCGTACACCGTATAAGAGAAGACGGTGATGGGACCAGTGACGCCCACGATGACGAGTGGCTGAGCGGCGAAAAGGGAGAAAACCACACAGGCCATGACCGACGACAGCAGGACTTCGTTGACGCCGTACGAGTTGTGGGTCTTTGTGAACATGTCGAGGGAGAATGCCAATGCCGGCAGGATGCTAGAGCAGCAGTCAGCGCCTGAATATGGTCTCGGCGTGCGAGGATATCGACGGGGAAGAGGGTTGGAAATGGGAGACCTCAATGAAAGAGACGAAGTGTAAACTCTGTGCAGATGGTAGATTGTATATGGATTGCTCGTACTTGGCAAAGTACATGTATACGGTGGCAGGGATGACTCTATAATCCCAAGCATCCTTCCAATCACTCCAGTAGTACGGCGCCCGTCTCTTGACGTCGTCAATCATGCCCTTGAACCAACGAATCTTGTACCATTTGGGGTCGCGACGGTGCGAAGACCGAGTGGTTTGTCTCGAAATGTGCTCTGAAAGGCGTTGAATCTCTTCAGGGTCCGGTCGGGACTGGGTCGAGTGAAAGGACGATCGATGGGCATGCTGCCAGGGCTTCTTCTGGACCGAGTGAGAGGAGGAACGGCGGCGCACTTGGGCAGGGGTAGTGCGAGAGGACGAGGGCGTGATGACTTCGGTATGAGTCGCCATGCTGTCGTTGCGGGGCAGTCTAGCGTACGGTTCCGATTTGATAGGGGTGATGTATCAACGGCATGTAGCGAGGACGCTCTAGGGCGCAGGAAGAAGGCAATCCAATGCGAGAGGTGTCACCGAAAAGGAACGCGCAGGACAAAAGAAAGATGCAACAAGCAGTTAGCTCACTCCAGGAGCAACAAACAAGGACAACCTCGTCGATGTCATTGAGCTTCCTGTAGCGCCGAGATAGAGAGAGGGTGAAGTGAGTGAGAAAGCGGTGGGGGTTCGACGACGACGACGACGGAAGTGGCGGCGGCAAGGATGGATGCTGATCACCGCCTCTTCAGTTCAGTGTCCGCAGGCACTTTTTCTGGCGCTCTTGGAACCCCGCATTTTCCACATTTCTCCAAACCTGATAACACTCAACATTGAATAGGGCGGCCAGGCGGTGATGTGGTTGATGCGAAGACCGTCGGTACCCCAAGCATAACAACCTCTCCGATCATTCAATGTAAATGCCAGTAGGCTTCTTAAACAGAGAGTATGGCTGTATATTACTCTAATTTCAGTTTCAGTTGGCTCAAAGCTCTCCACAAGAGGTACTCGGCCTACCTACCTAGGTAGGTATTGTGCCCTATTAGTGCTTACGAAATGGCTAGCGTAGTTCACGCCAAGGAGCCACGGCACTAAGGAACCTTGTGTGATTCGTTCAGTCGTGGTAGTCCAAGCTCTTGTAATAAATGATACTCTACTTGTAGATCTTTCTCCACCCTTTTTCTCCAAGCAGGCCACCAAGGTGATCCAATACATCCACGGCAAGAAAGTTTCCCAGACCGACACCGGAACCCATAATCTTCTGCTCGACAAACGAGACAAGCTTCAGCTGGGTGACTTTGCTAGCTCTTCAGTAGATGACGAACCATCTTGTCTAGCGCCCAGCGGTCACGAGGGATCTCACCTCTTTGCGAGCAAGTCCATCGAGCCGAGCGCACATACTGAACTGTACTCGCTAGGTTGCGTCTTTTTGAGATTTCGGGAAGTTGGTAACCCTATCACGGCAAGACAGACAAAGGAGATCGAAGAACTGCACGATGCCGGCAGATTCCCGGATACCGACAATCTGATTCTCGGCACTGTGATCCAAAAATGCTGGACTTTCCAATACGACAGCGCGTCAGAGGTCTTGAACGAGATTGACAAGGTCATGGAGGAGCATCTACCATCAACCGAGAATGGTTGCATGCAGATGGCGACCAAAACGGTGAGCCTAGTGTGGGAAGGCCTCTCGAGATCCTAACGTGAGTCTTCACCTTGTGACAGGACGTATAGACTGGTGTCAACGATCAGAAGGCGCCGTCGATGGACTCTGCTCTGATCAATTTTGGCGGTTATCGTGATCATCACTTCAGGTTACACGAAACCCCCGCCAATCTTATAGTAGAAAAAAGGAATCCTGGACTGCAATATTTTCGTGTCTGGTTGGTCGAAGACATGAGCAATCCGCCATGGTGAGCCTGAAGCAAAACTCAAGGAATTGGGAATGTGTACGACACGGGTCGCAGTGCAAATGGTCATCCGAGCTGTGAACTGAGAGCAAAAAACTCGTTCATATTTTTGGTCTTTAGGAGATGCAGGTGAAAGGCGACGCTGCCACTTTCTTCTGGAAGCAGGGGGTGCTGGCTGGAATCGGCAAGACTGGTGCTAAGCCAACTGCCCCCCTAATAATAAGAGCAACAACATCGGGGATTTGTCGCGGACACAGTTGAATAGACTCAACACTGCCGCGTCTTTCCCCTTCCCAATGGACCGGTGGGCGCCACCTGTCACCAACCTCGTGCTACCACGACTGCTTGCTCATCTCGCCCCGCCGCTGGCGACTTCGCAGCGGCATCGTCCTCCTCTTTCCAGGTGAATCTGCATCAAACGCGGGGAGATAGTCAGACCGGCAGAGGCATCTGATATGTATCTGCTTCATCTCTGAGCACAGTCGACCTCTGCGCATTCACTCACCAAAGCCGCAATGCATTCCGATGGAAAAGAATTAAGCGTGGTATGGTCGGTAAAGGATGAGTATGTCGCAGTCTCGAGTCGCAAGAGTACTTTTGCCGCTGAAAGAGATGATTCGCGGAATGCGGAGCACTCCCAGCTTCCGCTGGGCCAGAGGATTGCAAATGTTGATGGCCCAGACCACTTTTCCATGGCCGGTCTGCTGGGTCCATCGTTACCATTTGGCGCACTTACGACCATCGCTCCCTTTCACATTCATCTGCGGTCAGGCGTTCAATTCGATCCAAGGCTTGACCCAGAAGTCCAATCATCTGGGCACCGGGCAGAAGACCGAATGACAACACCAGATTACTACGGAGGGATATGGAGAGAGCACTGTTTGTGTTGGTGCCGTGGGGGACAGCGAGGGGCAAGTGGTGACGGAATGATTGAATAATCATCCGAGGCTCTTATTATGGTGGGGTTTACGTATCGCGTATAGCGCGCTCTTATAGTAATGTCAGGCCAATGGCCATTATTGTGTCATCGAAGCGCCGGGATAAAAGGTATGTAGGTAGGTGGTTGCCATCTCGAGGTGGGAAATGAGCCATCGCCTTCAGCAACAAGTCCCAACATATTACCACCGCCGCTGCTACCATCACCACCACCACTACCACCAATAACTCCGGCGTCATGACCGACTCCAAGCAGCCCAACATCACCCTCTACACCGACTCGACGCCGAACGGCATCAAGATCTCGATCGCGCTGGAGGAGATGGGCCTGCCGTACAAAGTAGAGCACCTCGACATCTCGACGAACCGCCAGAAGGAGCCCTGGTTCCTGGAGATCAACCCGAACGGCCGCATCCCCGCGCTGACCGACACCTTTCGCGATGGCCAGCCCATCCGCCTGTTCGAGTCCGGCGGCATCTTCCAGTACCTGGTCGACGAGTACGACCAGGAACACCACAGGATCAGCTTCCCCCGCGGCACCCGCGAGTACTACGAGATGGTCAACTGGACGTTTTTCCAGAACGCCGGCCTGGGGCCTATGCAGGGCCAAGCCAACCACTTTGTAAGGTGAGTAGTGAGATGAAGACGAATTTCTATTGGGGGGGTTTTTGAGCACTCCCTGGCCTGGGGAACAACGACGACCCCGATTCCCACCCCGATCCCGAGCATGGTGATGACGAGTACGATGGTCCCGAAAAAAAAAAAAAAAAAAAAAAGAGTATGGCGGAACGAACTTACTAACACTCCTCGCCCGGCACAAAGGTACGCGCCCGAGAAGATCGAGTACGGGATGAAGCGGTACGTCAACGAGACGCGGCGGCTGTACGGCGTGCTGGACAAGCACCTGGCGGCGTCGCGCTCGGGCTTCATCGTCGGCGACCACATCTCGGTCGCCGACATCACCACCGTCGCCTGGGTCATGTGGGCCGCCTGGGCCGGCGTCGACATGGACGAGTTCCCCGCCCTCAAGCGCTGGGAGGCCATGCTATCCGCCCGTCCCGCCGTCAAGCGAGGCTGCGACGTCCCCAAGCCGCTCACCATCAAGGACCGCCTCAAGGACCAGAAGACCATGGATGAGTATGCCAAGAAGTCGAGTGCCTGGATCGTCCAGGGCATGCAGGACGATGCCAAGAAGTAGTAGGAGTAGTAGTAGTAGTAGTAGGAGAAGTAGTAGGACGGAGACATAGATAGGTGCAAAGACAAGGAGAACGGTCATGCCATGGCAATGGCATTGGATAGTGTGGGTTGTTACCTGTCAGGCTACTAACACGACTGCTGAAGGGAAATTGTGCCTGGCCAGCGTAGCCTAAACACCAAAGCGAACGAATATACATACTTTGACATACCTACCTGGAATACAGTATGCACATGGTCATTATGCGTTTGGGCCGATCATTTGCGCCCTTTTTGGGCTCTGCCTTGGGTTCGTTCCTACGACATGTCCGCCCCGGCCGGGGCCATCTCGAGTGCTCCGCCACAAGGGTATGTGGTGTGGACTCTCCCACGCCTACATCCCATCCTTTGCTCACCTGCTTGCTTGTTCGTTCCTTGCGTCATCTTCTCCTTGTCCCTCAGCCCTTCGACGATAAGCTTTGCGGGTCGTCGCTACCGCGACCAGCGAGCTGGGAGAATCTTCGGCACCGCAAGGCACCCTGGTCATTGTTATCATCAAGAGGGTGCCGGAGGATGCTGGGGTCTAAAAAGGTCCTCGTCGACAAGCAGAGATCGATAGCTTCGAAGCTGGCTTGCTTGCTTGCTAGCTTGCGTCTCCTGCATTGTCTATGCGACGATGGGGCTCGATAGAGGGTTGTCTTTGCTTATATTCGTGCATTGTATGCTCTAGGGGAGTAAAAGATCCCTTCCGACTGGAGAAGAGAGAATGGCAGGGACAGGGTAGGGTGACGAGGGTTCAGGACGGATCGTGACCCTTTCGAAGAAGTCCCGCAGCTTCATTTGAATCCTCTGCAGAGTAATCTGGCAGGCTATGTCGTGCAGGGTGGAGGAAGATGGAAGGGCAGCAATCTGTAGAGAGCTTGGCCCCGTCAAAGTAACCATCGTGGAAAGCTCCACAGCTTCCATCGGACCTTCTCTTGCATTGCCGTAAAATTTCGCCTTGTCGGGGTGATTTCTTGGGATTCAGGCTGTTGCTGTAGCTCGTCCCTGCTTTTCTGCTTCGGTCAATACCATAGCCTTGGTGGTGAGTTAGTCTCGCTGTTGTTGCAGATACATTAGCATGCCAGCCTTGTATGTTACATACAGGATTGAGGGTGACAGAGCGCCAGCGATGTCAACAAGCACACCGTTCAGACGCCACCACGACACAAATATCTCCATCACTGCTTTATCACAAGGCTGGCGGTGACGGCATAGTAGGCAAGACGCCAGTTAGCGTTGTAGCCTCGTATATCTGAATCCATAGCGGATGAGACGAAGGAATGAAAAATCTTTTCAAAAAGAGGGGCAGAGGGCCAGAAGGAACCGGTCACTCTTCACCTTATTGATCCACCTTCTTGAGCGGGAGTTTGTGTAGCACAAATGTCGTGTTCTGAGTGGAGCCTCCAGCCTTGCTGGTCCCAGTTGACCCAGTGTAACAATGGCAGGCTCCCTAGCGGTAACGAGATGGGTTGTCCAACCTGGTCACCAAGGCAGCGAGGAGCTAGGGAGCTTGCATGCGAAGAGAGCTGCCGCCCAAAACCAGGATGGCATGGTCGTCCCACTTGCTCAAATCCTTTGAAAATTTTGGCGGACTTGCAGTGCTGACGAGACAGTATATTCCGTTATAGGAAACTGCTTGACCAATCAAGGGGTCGCTTCAATATGCCCCGTGTGTGTAACTGGATGACAAAGTAGCTCACTCAGCCAATTTCGAATGTTTCTGGAAAGCCCAACGGAAAAGGAATGGTTAGCACTCAGATAGCACAGGTAGATAGATGATTCGTGCTGGTGGATAAAATGGAACTGGACTCTTCGAATCAGGTCCCACGTAGTCGGGCTGGTCCAAACCACGAAGCATGTACCCAGTATTCAACCGTGGCAAATATTCCAACGGGTGCATCAGGGAAAGCACCTCAAACGTCGCCGGCAGCCACCTTTTTGCAGCGGGTGTCTCGCACACCAGGTTGTTGATAGGCCTTCCCCAGAATCAAACAAGCTGTGTCATCCACCTCATTACAACATAGCACGCAGCTTGCAGTCACATCCTTGCACGGTTTACCGTTTCGCGGTTAGGAGGACGACGGTATCGTGGTTGCCTATCTAGGCAGATGGTGTAGACCTCAAAGACCAGCTCAGATCTTTGAAGACCTGGTGCATGCTGACTCAAGCCCCATGTGCGCAAACTTGACAAGCAGCTGCCCTGCACGATTTGACGGTTGGGCGAGGCAATGCGCTGTATCTGTGACACACTGTTTGGCAGGCAAAGTCGGAGTTGTGACCCGTCGAAATGGCAAAGGAGCGACATCTTACAGAAGCGACTGCATGAAAGATGCAGGCCACGTTATCAAACACATTGCAAGGAGGGTCGTCGAAACAGCGGTCACGGGTTCAATGGTTTCAGGTTGGTTGACCTTTGTGCGCAGCAGTGATTGGAGGAGCGACCGGCTGTGCTGGCAGCAGCAAATCCAGGGGCCACGTGAGAAGCCTTTGGCTGATACAACGGCCGGGCCAACCTCGTATTGTGTACCAAGTAGCTGTTGGCTTCGCTCGCTAAGGGCACAGCGATTTGCGGTGGCCCCCATCCACCTTCCGGTATCCACTAGATCTCATTATCCCGTGATCACCCCCAGTCTGGAAGCAAGAGGATCCGCTCTTCCGAAGCGCCGGCCTGCCGCGCTCTCGGGTTGTGCAGCATCATTCTGCTCTGGTTTCGCGAAAAAGGCAAGCCATGTCAAATGAAGGAGGAGAGGAATGCAGGCGACGAGGGGGATGGTAATGGTGGTGCCCGCCCTTGGACCGTTAGGTGCATCAACTGGCGCTGGCATGAGATTTCCACACCGAGTGAAGTAAATTATGCAATTGTGCAAGCGGCAACTGTGCATCAGTCAGCATACTCAACCAACACGCCAATGCCTATGTAGGTAGTGGGCAGTCGGCAGATCTTAGACGCCGCCATGAACAAAAAAGAGGAGTGAGACAAGGGAGTCCTTGTACAACTACCAGGACGAAGGCAACTCAGCCGATCAGAGCAGATGGTGGCTGAGCTCACCGATCACTTCTAAACTTCGTACAAGGAGCATGAGGACGATGAGAGTACCAAGTGATGCTGAAAATTTGAAACACCTGTCAGACAACAGCAAGCTTGGCGAGGCTTGATGCCTGAGATGTAGGGTTGGATACAGAAACGGGTATACCAAACGAAACAGGGTCATGGTTCTCCAGTATGAGCAGGATCAGGCTTCCAAATGGGAGAGAAACGGTGAGAGCAAATCCCATTTTTGGACCCCAACAAGTCTCTTGGGCCTCCCACCGCCCTCTCCAACTTGGGCCTGAATATCAACACATGGTCTGGGGCACTGATAAGGTGATCCAACTGTCTGGGTCCTCCTCCTCTGTGCATTGGCCCAGTTGGGAACGAGAAACGAGCCAAACTTCCCACCTTGAACGAAAGCCGGGACATGACATACCGAAGACACAGTTGATGCAAGTGTAAGCGCGCCTGATCAACAGGTCCACTGACCTCCCTAGAGATGTGGAAAGTATACCGCGTCCGGCCCGCAAGACTCATGATCACATAGGAAGAAGGAAGGGGGGGGAGGGGGAATGGTTCAAGCAGACCTTTTCTGACCGAGCGGAATACCAGGGACCTTGAAGCACCTGATAGTCTGATGGAGGTGAATCGCAGAAAGTTCGTCGCGTCGTCTCTGCAGCTTACCAAAAAAACACCAACAGCATCGCCCCGGGAACTGACCACCGTAGCAGCGGAAACGCTTTCGCAGTTGAAACCCGGATGGTGGGAAGTTGGCAACACGGTGGCCAAAAAAATAAAGGGCGGCATCAAGATCGAGTAAGCCGACTGACTGCTGGCCGACAAAAGCATCCGTCGACACTTTCACGAGGGCCCTCTTCCTCCTGTTCGGGATTTATTCCTCAGGCAATAGAAGACAAGCCTGGGTGAAGGCAGGCCAAGTCAATCAGGCCCGAGACACACCTGCGCTCCTCTCTGCGTTGTGGCCTTACCGTTGATATGATTCTATTCGATTCTTGCTTACGGGAGTGATAGGTTCTCATTGGCCATGGGAATGGATGGTTAGAAATTCAAGATGAAAAATGAATTTTGGATTAAAAATTGCTTTGGGGGTGAGAAGAACCACCATGAATTTTTTCGATAAGGGCACAGGAAGCGGAAGAAAGGGACTCGGAACTATTCGTAGAGCTAATGGAAATGAGGAAGTGAGGCAGTCAAGTGGTGGTGAGAGTTTTCGTCCGTGGGTCTTTGCTCTTTGTACTCGGGACGAACAAGTGCTCCCGCGACGATGCACAGGACACAAAGGACTAAACGACCATCAAACGACCATCAGAGCCAAGCGAACAAAGAGACGAGTGACTCAAAAAGAGACCTTGGCCTAAGGGACTAGGCAAACTTGACTTTCTGATTTGATTTGACCCGTATGATCATGATTGATTGATGGAATTGTCTTTTTTATTTGATTTCGGCCTCTCCGCTGACCACCCCGGGGCCGAGAACTGACACGAGAGAGACAAAGCATAGGCGTATTTGGGCGACCTACCAAGTAATACACAATGAGCGATTAGTACTAATTGGGATAAGGCCACGGATGCTTTCGGCCGCAAAGGATCAAGGTCTGCCCTGGTCTCCGCAAATTCGCGCGAAAAAAATAAAAGGAAATGGAGGGAAGACAAATCCGATTCCGAGTGGATGGAAGATCATCAGCTGGATTCGGCGACTTTTCCCAACTCCACGCCATCCCCAGCTCGGCTCTTACCCAACAGCGAATGAGCGATAGAAAGGCATCCTTATCAAATGGCTGGGAGAGATCGGAGATCATACAAGGCAATGTTGTACAGGCTGTGCTGTGGTCGAGAATGTGCAGGAATGAACAGAAAAGAAAACATCAGGATTTTGTTTTTCATGGGTTATCATTTTGTGTCAGCTGTCTCAACCTCCGATGCTAGTATCGAGGGAGAACTATCTGCCGTTGTACATAGAGTAGAGTCATGTTGAGAAACCAGAGACAAGGTTGTTTGCAGAGGGGTCGGTGTCGAGAATGAGCTCTTCCAATCCTGACATCGCTTTCCCATGCTGGCACAGATGCCACGACTACTGGGTCGGCAATGAGGCTGTGGAATTCCCCCATCCTCAATCTCGAATCCCCCTAAACTCGCTGCTCCTGTTCCTCCCTAGACTGGCCCAAATTTCCGTTTGAATACATTTTGATTCAACTGTTGAAGAATCCAGAAAGCATAGATTTCCAATAACACCATGCTCGTTAAAAAGACGTCAAGATGCCGTGAGATGCCGAGATTGCTAGAACGCTGGGGTATCACAGAGAGTCGTTTTAAGGGCGGTCAATCAACCTGCTCAGTAGGCAGCGATTATGGTTGGCTGTTGCCTTGAAGGGAGGTAGAAGCCTTCTTCTTCAAACGCTTCCGACTCTTCGGGTGATAACGAGGCGTTGTCTTTTGCGTCGTAGAATGAAGTCGTGGCGATGGCTTGTCTCTGCTTCTCGCTCAAGACTTGGATGGTGGTGGCGGGTGGTGAGGGCGGCATCTGTTCGTCTTCCGAGTCCGAGTCGGTGTCCAGGCTGAGCTCGGGAGGTGAGTGCCTGGAGGCAGTTCGCACGAGGGTCAGTTCCTCGTTCTCCTCGTCTTCGTCATCTTCCATATCCGAGTCGACTTCAATGGCGGTGACCTGGGTGTCGGGCTTCTGCTCGGTCTCGTCCTCGGATTCTTCTTCAGAGCTGGCGGCGTCTTCAGGTTCCCAGTCGGCCTCGGGCTCCTCCACAATGGTCTCGACATGTCGATGTCTCTCCTCTTCTTCCTCCTTCTCCTCCTCCTGTGCTTGCGATCCGTTGACGATGTTGTTGAACCACCGCTCCTGCTCCTGCTCGGCGTTTGCCAAATCGAGCATCAGAGAGTCGAGCATGTTGGCGTGTCCCACCAACAGGCGGAGGTCGTGGTCAGGTCGGGCAGCCTCGCGAGAGAGCTTGCCGCGAGCACTGTGGGCGAGGAAGTAGGTCTGGGTGATGCTCATTTTCTGCTTCTTCTGGGGGGGGCGGCTGTAGATGGATTGGCTGGCAGATTTGGTGTGCGCTGCGGAAGCGGAGAAAGTTACTGAGGAAGGCATTTTGCTTGTTGTTGACGGGATTGCTTTCTGAGTCACTGGTGTGGGTACTGAATGGGAATAGTTCGTGGTGTAGGTTGGTTGGTGTGGTCCAGTCTTTTTCCACTCGAACTGTTTGTCACTCTTCAGTGCTCGATGTTCATCAATGTTATCGTTGTTGTTGGTTGGTAATGTTGATGATGGAGAGAAGAAAGGAGGCTGGTTGGAGGGGAGGGTGGACGAGTTCTTTTGTAAACTGACAGGTTGGTAAGAAAGCGATGGATGGCGGGCCCGTTAACGTTAGGATTATTGAAGGTGCCTGAGTAAGAAACGAGTGCGAGGGTCGAGCATGCGTAAAGGCCGAACTCCACCATGAACCAGGGCCAGGGCCAGGGTGGGAGCCAGGGGTGCCAGGGTACCCTGGTCACGGGTGGAGTTCAGGGCTGTGAGGACCCAAGACTAAACCCGAGGGCGGTGTTACGTTCTCTCCGAGTTGACTGTGCCAGTGACTCTTGCCTCCTAGGGACGAAGGGCTCATGGGGCTGCAGGCTGAGAAATCTGAAAGCAGCATGTCATTATCCGTTATGCACTAATCACTGAGTTACGTGCTTGCCTCAGGCTCGCAGGCTCGGCCGTTTCGCCTATTTGTCTGCCTGATGCTCGGACGGTTTGTTGGCCCTCGTTGCCCTGCTCCCGGCTCCTGGGTCGCAATCAGCTCCGAGTTGAGTATTGTGCTCGAGCCCTCCATCTCGACCGTTGACCGTCATTCCTCGTTTTCTGGCCTGTTTCGGGCTGATCTCACGCCCGCCCTTTCTTACGGCATCCCCCTTCTCGTTGCTTTGCTGTGTGTTTCGTCTCTATTGGTCTAATCTCCATCAATAGCCGTGATATTTTGGCAAGATTATGGCTTATTTCCTGACTGAACTTTTGGCATTGATCAATTCCGGTACCCTACCTGGGTCAGAGCATGTTGACTGGGAGAGTTTCCCGATTACTCTTACATTTTCCGCGGTCCTCCCTCCGTGATTTGATCAGATGGGGGAACAAGGCGACAAGCGGTTAGACGTGGGCGACGCTCTTGGACTGCATCTCCAAGGACCACTGCTGAGGGCTTGCTGAGAAATGCCCAGTTTGCTCTGTTCCACCAACCATCCAATGGTTGACCGTCCTTGGCCAGTGTCTTGGTAAGCCGGTGCGTTGTAACATTCGCCTTGGCTGACGGCTTCATGTCTACATACCTGTAACAACCTGGCGGTCAACCGTGGTTCTGGACTCTGCCTCTCGTAATCCAGCTGTTCTCTTGACTCTGGTGCGTATTGCACCCCTGCGCCTACCCAAATCGTATCTCAAATCCCACCTTTCGTTGCTAAACACCATGACCTGAACCATGACGACCTGGCTCTTATGATCCGAACGGGCAAGCCACAGAGGTCAAATTTCATAGCAGCATGAGGATTCCTCAGACCTGATCGATCATTTGGTGCAATCACCTGTCCTCTGGGAAAGCCAGCTCCCCAGAACCCTTTCCTAATTCATCCAAATTTCTTTGGTGCTTTCGGGGTTCAACCAGCTCTCCTTCGAAGGGGGAATGCATTAGAGGAAAGTGTTGTGCCAGTTCCCCGTGTCAAACAGGTGATTCGCGTCGGCATTGGTGGAAGGGCCGTCGGCCCTGGAAGCCCTAGAGGATAGGTGAAGGACATGTAACAGGAGGACCTGTCGTTATCAATGCCTGGAATCAGAAACGGTGGGATTGTCCTGACGGGGGCTGGCTGATGGACCTGAAGGGCGTGCTGAGGGCTTGAGGGGTAGCTCGAGACGCCTAGGGAACTCTGTTTCAGGTCGCCCAATGCCCCTCGCTTGGGCTCTCAAACAGTCAAACCCCGCCTATAACTCGTAGACACCTTGACACCTCATTCTCCGACCAGTACAAGTACTGTCACCGAACTGTGTTGCGGGGAGGCTGTTCAAGCCACAACATGTCCCCGAAGACCTGGCCATCGTATTCCTCGGGCTTCGTCTCAACAGCTAGTCGCACTGGCCGAATATCTCATGATAACCTTTGACATACAGACCCCGTAGCTTCTCGAATGCAGACTTGTCGTGTGGGCTGTTTCGCATTCGTCGTCGCCTTACCGTGGGCTGAGCTGCAAAAAAACATTAAGATTGCTGGCTGCCTGTGATGCAGAGATCTTGTTAGCTACGCACAACAGCATCGAATTCGTGTCTCGTGTTTCTGGGTTAATTCTGCCTGATCGAGAAAAGATGGAGAGACCCAGCCACGCTGCCCCATGGGCGCCTTGATTGTCGCAATTCCATGTCTGTGATAACCTGGCTTGCGTATTGGGTGCTCGCATTCGCATACAAAAGCGGGTGGTGTTGTGGTTGTCAAGCCACGATTCTTGGGGGCCGTATTCGCCGTATTCGGAACAATATGCGAAGTGTCACCAGTTGTTGGTTGTCTTGTTGCCTGATTACCCTAAATGGACACTTGCTTGAAGGGGGAAAGCTGATCGCGCTGCTTTGACTACATACTTGGCGGTTTGAAGAGCTCACCGGGGGGGGAGACAAGGGACGGTGCATTGAAATTTCCGGTCAAGACCTCGGACACAATGCTGACTTGGACAGATTGCAGCAATTTTCACGCCGGGTCCGAAAGCGTCGTCGGGCATAAAATGTGATGACGAGCCGCAACCAGGTTATGCTGAAGCTAGTGCCTGAAGTGGTTTGGCCTTGACGTTATGCCAGCTTGGCTTTGGCACTCTGCAAACAGCAGCCGCAGGAGGAATTGTTCGTCCGAGATTCTTCGTCTCTTCTCGCGCTCTCGGTCTTTCGCAATCTCCATGGCGCCTCCCCGCGCTTCCTCTCTCTCCGTGTTTTCTCGTGCGATGGGCGACTGTGCATAATGCACCGACTTCGGCCGATTTGTGCACCCTGGAATCCCAACCCACTGCAGCACCAAAGATCCCTGTGTCCCTTTGCCCCCAACTCCTCCCCACCTTGTGACGACTCATATTTCAACCCCGGCTTCAGCCTCGTGACCGCGAAGAAACGGAAGAGCGGGAAGAGACAATATGCGCGCTTCCGAAGTTGAAAGAACCTTCCGAGTGCTCTTCGTGCTTTCAGAACTGGGCACTCGTGACCATGTTCGCGGGGGACGTTTCAAGTCTCCGGAAAGGACAGGGACGACCAATTTCCGTGCGCGTTGTTTCTTTCCCCTGATCGAATGCGAAGAAATTCTGATCAAGGGCGACGAATCAGATTGACGGCTGCCTGAGGCACGGGCGACAAGGACTCAGGCATCACTCATCTAGATTGGGATGGCCAAGGATGGCCTACTCATCGACCGCATACCAGATACGGAAACCCCCTTGTCAGCGTCCCTCCCATGTGAATTCGATTTCCTCAGATATGCGGTGAGTCAACGACACGAGAATTTGTAATTTTTTTTTTTTTTGGTTTTTTTTTATATCAGCACATTTTCCATTCGCACTTTTGGCCTGTTGTGGGAATGACGGACTCGGTACGGGAAGGGCTGGTGTCTTAGGCCCTTGGCGGGCTTTTGGTATGTATGCCAGTCAGTGACAGATTGTGGGTTACAGCACTATCTGCTAGTTGCTTGGGAAATTCGGAGGCTGCGTGGGCTTACTCAATGCGGCAACCTTCTCGAAGAGCGGGCTGATGATGGTGCGTGACGGCTAGCAGAGGCTGTGTCACTACCGAGTACTCGTCGATCGTCTGTACTTTTGCAAGCGCCAAGGGGGCTGTGCTTATTCTTAGAAGCAGGTGTGTCGACAAATCCGCTATCTGATTCCAGTCCCAATTACATACCAGAAAGAGATTAACGGCGCTAGGAGTCGGTATTCGTGCTCGCCTACTGGGTACTGCTGCAACTCTCGACGGAACCAAAGAACTCGAGCTCTTACACGTTGCGGGGAAATTTCTTAATCGTCTGCCTAGATATTCAATCTTGTCCAATCTTGTCCTATGTACCTGTCCTGCCTGATGGCTGTGTTGGACCCCCTATTTTCTTGTGTTGCTGACTGACTCGGTATTCTCGCCACATACCTATCGACCTCTACCTCACACAACACACAGACACACACACACACACGAGGATGCGCGCCCTTTTGAGAACAACCCAAGAACAAAGCGAGTCTGACAATCTACCGCAACAACCTTCTTGCCATGCTGCCATGTTGCCATGTTGCCATGTTGCCTCTCCGGGGAGTGTGAGTCACGAAAGGAGCATTGCCCCTAGCATCCACCTCCAACATTGGCCACCACGGGCTGGGTGCAGTAATACCTGTATACTGATGCTACCACGACATACCATGCAAAATCCATATCCCATTCGAGTGCACTACACAAGGAACCAATATGAGCGTGTGCTCCGCTGGCAGTCGTCATTGGTCACCGGCTGACTCAACTTTTGGGTTCTTGGACGTTGCATGGGGGGAAACTTGGAGTGATGACGGACTCCTCTTGTCCTCCCCAAGCACACAATATCCGAGCGAGCAACCATTTCCGCCGAAGAGGCGAGGCGGCTCAAATTCCGGCCGTTGAGCCACTGCTACGATCTTGTCTTGTTTTTGTCTGCTCTCAGCCCTAAGACCGCGTCGGTGGGCCACCGCCAACCACGGCCTAAGAAAACACTACCATCGACCGCTTTACCGTCCTAACGCCGTGTTTGTCTGCCATCCTCGGGAAACGGCTGCTTCTACTGGCCCTGCTGCTGACATTATCAGTCATCCTTTCTCCGCCTAGGACCGATCAAACCATGCCGCTTTTTGCTGCTGCTGCTGCTGCTGCTTCTCCTTGCTTCCCATCGATTCTTGCTCTTTTGTGAGCAAAGCTTCCCAGAAGCTTACCACCCCATCTCCCCATCTCCCCATTCACCCCTCTCCTCTCCCACCAGTCCATCAGGCTTCACGGACGGAGTGCTGACGGGCGAACTAAATCCAAGAGTGCTGGTGACTTGTCCGCTCTTTCAAACGCGACAACGCACCACCCACTCGGATATACGAGATCCACCGACCAACCAGGTGTGTAAGTCCTTGCTTATTCAAAACAACCTCAAGGTACGGTGGGTAGGTATAATTAGCCCCTCGCATCAGATGTTTTCCAGAGCCTCAAAGCCCTACCGGCCGGAAGGGTGGTGTCCAAGAAGCTTGACTGTCAGCACGCGAAGAAGCTGTCCACCCACCCACGTCCAACCCAAGTACTCGTTTAGGAACTCATGCTGACCACGAAGGGTCGAGAGCCCCTTTCCGTCTGCGCCACCTCCACCACTTCAGGAAATTCACCTTGTAATTTCTGCAAGGCCCGGAGATATTGGGTTGAGTGGGGATACATCCTCGTGTTCGTTCAGCAATGTGAACAGGCGGGCAGGGTCGTCCATCCTGTTGTTACCGCTCCTCCCCCCATGCCTTACATGGCCACACCAGGCACCGATTCCTTTGGTCAGCAACACGTTGGCGCTGGACCTATCAAACCCGGCCGGGAGCCCTCGCGGCTGTTGTGAACCTCCTCACTTCAGGTGCCGTGCATGCTCCCAGGCCCGCGGCCATGATGACCGGCGCCACTTCAACGGTGAGCACTTCACCCTACCAGTACCGAACGAACAGCTATACCATCCCGCCAACGCTGCCGAGGTTCATCTGACTTCCAAATGGCCCCCAAGCGCGGAACTGAGACCATCACTTGATTACTATATGCCTGGGTCGCTGGGGCACACGCACCCGATGATACCGCATCCAGGACCCGAAGATCAATTGGTCGATTAAAGTTCAAGACCTGAAGATCAAAGGGCTGACTTTTCGCTCCTTCGAACCGGACAAGTGGGTTCGGGAAATGCATTCGGCTCGTTTGTCGGGTCAAAGAACTGGGTACATGCAGCAGGTACCTAGCGAGGTACTGTAGGTACCGAGTACGGCCGTTGGAAAACCCGCCTCCCTCCCCAACCATCGGGTCCTTTTGTCAACGAAGGCCATATTCAAGAACCACCTGGAATAACCCCACAGAGCCGAGAGGGAAGGAGAGATAGGTTTCGCTCACCCTGTTGCTGACCGAGTTTTCCTGGCTGGCTTTCCCAATTCAACATCGTCGTCCAATGACGGTCCTTTCTCACCGAATCCTCAGAGCTCTTCGTGCTGTTGTTGCTGTGATTGTCGCAGTGGAGCGGGCTTGTTGGGCAATCCTGTCTCAGTTCCTTCGCTGACCCATCCTGTACCAGGCGCGCTCTTCTGCGCCATCGGCAGATGGATTTGTCTATGGACCGGTTACGGACGATGATGGGATTGACCTTGCTTGTTTCCCCACGGGAGAAAGGAGTTTGGCTGGCATAGTACCTAGTATGATGCATGCGCTTGGGAGACGTCTCTTTCTCTTCCTCTTTCAGAACACACCCCCATCCTTTCGCCGACAATGCAATGCAACGCATTACAATCCAACAACGGCAACAGCAAAGACAATGGCAATGCGATCCTGTGGCCGCCGACCGGGTGCAGAACCATATCCAGAGAAAACTTGAACAGGGGCGGAATATCAACGGCGGCCTGGCGGCCTGGCGGCCTGGCGACCTGGCTGTCTCATGCAAGTTTTGGCAGGTATTAGACCGGCAGGTGGGTACTCGGTAGGTACATTGGGGAGGGCCAGAGACCAAAGACATTTCCAATCTCTCATGTCCGAGACGAAAGACACTCTCTGTCCAGCCAGCGGCTCGAAATTCTCAGCAACTGAGCCCAACGTCTCTTGCCGCGGTCTGTCTGTCCGGAAGTCAGTCAGTCGGTTAGAGCTGAAGCTGTGCCGTTCGCCCGCGGGTGAGTAGAGAAAGAAAATTTGGACATTCACTGAACACCAACCCCAAGCTTCCAGCTCGACCTCGACCTCAGCTCCCTTCCTCGCACCGGAGCCAACGCAATGCAGCGCCCCGTGGGACGTGGATTGGAGATTTGGAGGTTGGGAAATTTGAACGCGGTGAACCACGCGTGTGAGCGCTCCCTGTACAAGCGCCAGCCAGCCAGCCAGCCAGCCAGCCCAAGTCAGAAAGTCGCAGCATGCATCATCCATCGAGATGATATAAATACCTCCTCCTCGTCCTCCTCGTCCTCCGCCGCCGCCGCCGGCGGTTGACAGATCCCGGTTCAGCCCCGAACCCTCTTCTGCATTCTGCATGCTGCATTTCCAGTCTTCCCACTAGCTTCCTTCGTGCGTGGTGGCACATAGATGCAATCCCGCCGGTTGAGAGCGGACTAGAAAGGATGTCCGAGCTCGACTGGGCGGGGTGTTTCTCCGTCGAGGATTGTGCACGGACGGACCTACCTGTTCACCCTCATCTCTCTCTCCCGCCCCCCCCCTCTACCCCCTTTCCGAGGCGGTGCGAAATTTCTCAGGATCAGGACCAAGACAGAACAGGACAGGACAAGGTAAGAGAAAGAGGAAGGCGGAGAGAGTCCGTGTCGGTCAAGGACGAGAGTCGAGGGTCGAGGGCGGGTTTCTGCGTGGCGGAAGCAGAAGGATCTATCTGCATAGGCCAAAACGCACACGACGTCCTTCTGAGTGGAGAAAGTTGATATCATTTTTTCGGGGGAAGTCTGGACATCTTCCCCGTTAGACAGTCTAATCGAACAGGTTCCACGCTATGTATGCCAATGCAAGTGACCGCTTTTGGCTCTCTCTCTCTCTTTTGTAAAGTTAGACCTCTCTTCAAGAGCCCTTCCATGTTCCTATTTACAGAGTTCCCAATGCTGTTGCGTGTGTCTTGTTTATGCTCCCACTTTTTTTTGAGTGTCAAACCACGTCATCAGGGCCATTCTCAATATTGCCTCGCAGCCTGCTGGCAAGCCTTGAGCTGTTCCAAGTACCAACCGCAAATGGTCATGTTCCCTTGGTTCTGGTTCATACAGTCGGTGAAGCTCTTGATGTCAGCGGCACAGGGTCCCGTGGCCTCGGTGGCCGAGTTCGATTGACTGTACAGGGCGTTGGGCATGGCATCGCCGGTGCGGCCGTAGGCGTCGGTGGGTTGCTGCTGCTGTTGTTGCTCCGCTGGCGCAGAGTAGGAGGAGCCACCGCCGCTGAACAGACCTCCTATGGCATGGCCGATTGAAGATCCAACTGCGACGCCACTACATTTGCGCGCACGGATTAGTCACAGAATCATAAACAGACGGAAAAATCTCTCTCTATCTGCTTTCCGCTTTTTCTTTTTCTTTCTGGCAATCCATCCGACTCCACCGCGCATAACGTGTGGCGGATTCCCAAGACCGGGGAAAATTTACTCACGCTGCAGTGCTGGCCATCTGGCCGAAGAGGCCGGGACCTTGCGATGCCTGAACAGGAGGAGGGACCTGTTGAACGGGTGCGGTCGGGGCAGCAGTGGACATAGGACGCTGTTGTTGCTGTGGCGCTACAGACCGAGGAGCTGGAGCCGGAGCTTTCGGTCGCGACGGAGCAGGTCGGGAAGCACCTCCACGAGAACGAGGCATTTTTATGGTATTTTTGGATCAAGGGATAGACCGAGTCGAAGATTGGCTTGGGAGACCGAGGTCAGAAGAGAGATCAATGGAAGAACTGCAAGAAGTGGTGAGGAAAAGGAGTTGTAGATGGACTTGAACGAACTTTGAAGACGGCGAGACGGCCAATTAATGCCAAGAGCGCAGTTGGTCCATGCCAGTTTCGGGCCTGGCGATTGGTCCAATTGTGCCAACTGAGGAACGTAATCGAATCCTCGCTGCAGCCTGTCAGTGGCCAAAAATGATCGAGCGAGCAACAGCGGAGTAGACTCGAGCAGAAAACAAATTGTGATTAAACTGAAGCACTAATAATGAAGCCTATCTGGTTACACACAATAACAACAACCTCGCCTTTGCCGGGTCACCATGTAAGTAATTCAATTTCCCCATGTTTTTTTTTTTTGGATCCAATTCCTGTTCAAGTCGTCTCCATCCCAATTCCCTTTTGTTTCCAATCCCTCCCAGCATTTGGCACATTCTGAAGTTGAAGCTGATAGACCATCCAACATATTATGCCGAAGGCGGCGGTGGTGGGTAGTAATCACGCATGCCTGGCGGTGGCGGAGGTTGATCCGGCGGCGGAGGGGGGGCTTGTGCATCTGGTGGTGGAGGGGGAGCGGCAGTACCACTGTACTGCTGCAAGAAAGAGCTCAGTCCAGGAGGGGCAGCTGGTGGAGGAGGCACACCGTATGCAGGTTGAGCATCGTAACCATGATACCCGCCATACCCATAGCTTTGTGCCGGAGGTGGCTGCTGCTGCTGCTGCTGCTGCGGTTGCTGCCATGGGGGTGCTGCTTGCGTGGGTGCGGCACCGTATCCTCCTTGTGTATCCCCTCCTCGACTCTGGGCCCACGGCGGCAGTGACGAGCCGCCGTCTCGGTGGCTATAGTCTCGGTCGCCATAATCCCGTTGACCATAATCTCGGGGGGCGTAGTCTCGTTCATGTCGGTCTTGTCGGTCCCGCTGCCAAGGAGCAACACCACCAGTCGGCTGGCGTGCCCAGGGACGAGAGTCGCCGCCAGCCGCGTACGACTCACCCTGATCATAGCCGCCAGGTGGAGCTTCGATGCGACCTGCAGGACCGTTCCCAGATGCATTACCAGAAAGCTCTTGCATGAGATTCTGTAGAGTGTTAGATAGTGTGATCATGTGAAGAGGAAAATGCGAATGAACTTACCTCCATCTCTCGGTCGACAGCATCTGCAGCGCCCAGGCGACGCTGTGGCCCGCCGAATCCTCCAGGGATGTTGTTACGCGGGTCGGCCCCCCGCTGTCGGTCTGGACAATCCCTCGCCATGTGGCCGGCGTTGCCGCAGACTCGACAGATGATGTTGGCCGTGAAGTTGCGCTGCTCGGGACAGTCGTATTTGCGATGGCCGATTTGCCCGCCTGAATGTGTCAGTAGGAGTTGGTCAAACACCGGGTGATATACTTACAATTCTGACATGCTTGGTTCTCATCATCACGGAGGGTACCATTGAGCGCGGCAAGTTCGCGCAACTGGTTTCGCTTGAGTTCATTTTGACCTTCGGGGATGGATGCTGCTGTTTCGATGACGTTGTGAATCAATGCTTTGGCTTTGTTGACTTTCTCTTCGGTGTCTGCCATGATGAGGCAGTGTAGATCCTCTTCCTGGTTGCTAGTATGAGCTGCATCAGATCGGCCTTTGCCTTCTTTCACAGAGCCTTTGCCTCGAATGGCGATCTTGGCTCCTGACTCGGATTCCATTTTCTTGAGGGTGTTGCCACGAGGTCCAATAAGTAGTCCGACTTTGCAAAAAAAAGAAGCTAAGTGTTAGTATGAAATTCTCGAAATCAAAAAAGTATGTCTCAGGCAGATGGAAAAGATAACGGTTAGTGTAAGATGCTACGTCTACCTCCTGGATATCGAAGAGCAGACGACAGCATGTGGAACAGCGAGCAAAACAAGGGGGTTTGTAGTAGAGTTATAGGGTTAGTAAGCATACTGAAGTTAATCTCGGGATAATCGTTGACCGGCACATAGACCTTTTCCTGTGTCTTGGTAGGCCGCCTGTAGTCAGAAGGCGGATGGTAGTTGGGGATGGTTTTCATGGCCTTCTCAATCAGTTTGTGTCGCTCTTCTTCCAGCCGTTTGCGGTAACGGAACTCGCGAGTGTTCACACGACGGCCGAAGTTGTCATATTGAGGTGGCGGCGATGGCGATCTGATAGTCGTTAGCTTCTGTAGAGAAATGATCTGTGGAACACAGAGGGGACGACTCACCTGTCTGCTTCCGCAGGGACCACGTCGTTGATTCGCAGCTTCTGGCTGATCTCTTCGATACGGAGATGGAGGGCGTATGCCTCGAGTTGTTCTGCTGTCATGTTCGCCTGGATCATGGTTGGAAGGCCCATGAGGCCTGCCGCTTTATTTTCGCCGGCTTCACCCCAGCGATTGCGCTTTCTACGCCTCTTGACGCCGTCGGCCGTAGGTTCAGCTATAGGATTGTTAGTGAGGTGGATGCGCTCAGAGTCGAACGACGTACCTCTGGGAGGACTTCGCCCACGCTTGCTCGAGTCACCCCAGGCTGGAGAGCTCGCAGAGCTATCATTTCGCGAGTCACCATCGCCTTCACCTCCAAGCCGACGACGCGTTCCAAGGGGGATGTTGTTAGACCCTGTGATGCCTTGACTGCGCCACGACATGTTGGATGCAGAACCAAAGGTAAGAGTATTAGGACACGCACGACAACCGATGATGCGCTGCCTCCTGAGGGCGGTGTCGATGCAATTCAAAAGTCGCAGTGGTTGAGTTCAGGGTGCAGCTTGAAGAAGCAAGGGAGGCGAAGAACTTGAAGTCGCGCCAAGGCCGCGCTAGCCCTCTTCTGGATGGGGTGCGAGAAGGAGCCACCGAAGAAAACGTGGCAACAGTCTGACGAGGCAATATCTGCCGAGTCCAGCGAGTGTTCTACTCAAGTACTGGGTACGTACCTGGCGAGCTGGGTAATATTAGGTAGGATAGGCACCATTTACGGTGGACGGCACCGACAACGTCTCTCAATGATATGAATAGGATTGCTCTATCTCGAACAGCAGCTTAGGTGGGCACCCTTCTTCAACTTGACCCAGACCACTTCCACCACGCCCCTACTCCAAGCGCAATCGGCACCATCACAGTCACCGCTAGCTTCATCGCGGCGTTTCTCAGCAACGGCAGCAGCACTCTGTCCTTGACATCCTCGTGCTCGACTCCTCTCGGATACTCGACTCCCTTGGGTACTTCCTTACCCAGGAACGGACAGATCTGTTCCCATCCCAACCCATCCTCGATCTTCACTACGAGGATCCTGTCTGAGGGGATCAACCTCTTTACGCTTCTGATATAATGCTCGTAATTCCTCATCAGATATTCCTGGTTTCGGGCGTCCTTGAGCCGTGTGCAATCGCTCCAGTAGTCGTAGCAGTCAATGTTTAGCAGGCAAAAATAGTTCAGCGTTCGGTTGAAGTGTCGGAGGATGTTCATCGGTGGTGACTCTACGCCGGTCACAATCTTACCGACGAAGCCGTTGAGCGATCTCGCCCAGCTTTGTGGAGTGCGCTCTGTGAGGATGAACTTCACCTCGGGGTCCTCCAAGTAGGCTTCTAGGCACGCAGTGTCAAAATACGAAGGTATTTCCACGATGGCGTCGTACCCGGCGAACCACTTGTCGAACTCTCGCTTGGTATAGCGCTGGATGCCCGACCAGCGGTCGTGTTGGGCACGGAAGCCTTGCATCATGATCTCCCAGTGGGTGTCACCACCATAGACGGCCATTTCCTACATGTGGTATGGATTGTAGCCGAGTGTCTTGAGGGCTTGGTAGACGCCCAACGTTGCTGTGCTGGAGATGGAGGCGAATTAGTGGACCAGTCGACTCTCTTTAGCGAGACAACATTGCAGTTGTTGGGTTTGATTTCATTGAGGACATGAGCTTACCGACTACAGCTCGCGACCACCAGTTTGACCTTCTGCGAAGAAGGATTCTCCGGGATTCTGTCGATCCTGCGCGACATGGTTGCTAGACACAACTGTTCCTCTCTTGTGTACACGTCCCCAAACTCTTCTTTGCACGCAAACCCACGCAGAGAAGCTGAAAGTGAGCAACATCGTTCTAATATGTTAACCCTGTAAGGCCGGCAGTATTGTATGGAGAGGTGGCACCAAGAACAGCCGTCGACAAGCTAAAGACGCGTCAGGATTCATATTATTGCTAGCCTGCTCCCAGGCTAAATCCTCCTGGAGGTAGCGGCAATGGTATCGTTTCCCCCAAGTTCTGGTGTAGTTAGCGCTTACGACCATTGTGTGAAATGGTAGGGTGGGTGAAGAGCGGCCCAGATTCATGATAGTGTCATACATGGGATGAGTGAACGGGAAAATGTACGGTCGTGGAAAAAGGTAACATGATATGTTTGGCTGCACGCCTGATGGCCCCGTACTTTCGGTCCCGGATTGGTTATTACGGCGCCTTTCAAGTCTAGGCTGAGAATCCTTTGACCAGCCGCCAATCATGAACCGTTCACCTTATAAGTATGGACTTCATTGTGGATTCCATAAGTAGATGGCGACGTGGTAATCTCGGTTCGAAAGGGAGAGACGATGGTGCGGGTGAATGCTTCCAGGAACCCACCACCCGAATTGCTCGATAGACAAGCATTTATACCTTTTCTCCCGAGTCCTGAGAGTCAAGACCATCATCAGGCTGACAACCCGACTTCCACGCCGATACCCGGCCTCCTCGCCTCCAACACTTTCATTGTCTGCTCAAACACCTTGGATTGCGCCTTCTTGCCCAGGTCCGAATAGATCCATTTCTCAACCTCTTGGTTTTTCCCATCCGACATGAAGGCTCCATGAGAGTCGGGCCCGGCGCAAGCACCGTATACCAGCGTCCGCGAACCCACTTCCGTTGATCTTCCAAGCAGCAAGCGCACGATATACATCAAGATTCGGCCAGCAAGTATCACATTTCTATCCAAGTCAGACATGCATAAGCCCGGATTGACCAAGGTGATAGTAACCGGCGACGCCGTCACAGTGCTGGATCTGTCGTGCTCTTGGAGGCGCAGAACGAGTTCACGGATAAACAGGATGCCAATGAGCTTGCTGACTGGGTATCTGTACGTTCTCGTGTCAGCCTGGGGTGGTCCCGGATGGCTCAACTGAAGAGGGTGATACATTCGCGCCGGTTGAGAAACTCACCTGGCCAGCATATCGGAACTCTTCTCGTCATTCAGAGTGGCGTAAATGTCTCGGGCATTGACTTCTTTGAAACTGGTAAAGTGGTGAGCCTCAGAACTGACAATCTCCAAGTGAGGGCTGGAGTCGGGAAATTGGCGCTTCGTCTCTCTCAGCTTGGGCAGCACCGACATGCCGAGCAGGAGAGTGTTGACGACATTGACTTGGATGGTTTGCTCGAACCCTTCGGAGACCACCCAGCTTTGATTGTTGATGCCGGCATTCTCCACAACAGCATCGACACGCGGCAGTTCTTTCTTCACGCGATCAGCGAACGCTAAGGTGCTCTCTGTGCTCGAAAGGTCCAGGGGCCAGACATCGATCGCTTCTGCACCATCAGAGCGGTGTCTCACACTTCGGACAATATCTTCTTTCGCAGTCTCGCCCTTGGAGATTGTACGCACAGCGAGAATGAGTTTCGCACAGTTGAGGCGGTAGAAGTGTCGGGCTGCCTCAAATCCCAGACCAACATTGGAGCCGGTGACGATGATGACCTGGTCGGAGAACGACTTTGTCGGATAAGGGGGTGTGTCCAGGAACTGAGAATAGAGAAAGGTGCGGAGAGCGAGCCCGATATCAAGCTTGAAGTTGAATTCTTGGGCCATGACTGCGACTTTCTGCATGAACTCTTCGTTCTCCGCGATTCAACAAGCGACCCAATTCTGTCAACGGCCTGCTAATCCTGGTGTTCCGACCGTGTCACTGTTTGTAATGCTAGCAATATCGGGCTCTGCCTGCAAGATGTGCGACTCCCCGCATTGCCTGGTCGAGCTATGTAGAAGACGAACTGCACATTCTACAATCGAACAGATACTCGGAACGACGAGTCTCGTAAATTAGCTACCGACCAGGCGCCAGTTGGCTCGGATGAAATTTGGACCGTCCTCGCGAGTCACATTGTCCGCGCGTGGAATGAATCCAACGTGATTGCGTTAGGCAGCTCGCCATGCCGAGAGCTCAGACCTCCCTTTTGGCGGTGAGTTTCGCTGTTGAATTGCGACTTGAAGTGTGAGAGGACGCAGGTCCGGCAGGTTTCGTCGCAAACACAGCGTGGAGCTAAGCCGAGCCACCTGACCGCGGAATGCCTTGTGCTTCATAGTGAGCGTAAGTTCTTGACGCATTGTCCTGACGCGTAGCCTTGCATGAGACGGCTTCGTGGTGATTCCATTAGAGAAGCGGATTCTCGCACAACTTCAACCATGCCTTCCTACCAACGACTTACGACGTAATCTCCTCCCTACGGCTCCTGTTCCCTTCCCTGCATCTCAGCGTTACATAAGCTTTCCTACTTTACCCCTGGACATCACTAACGCGAGTTTAACAACTTATCATACTGGAGCCTCTGCAAGCTGTCCACATCACGTCATATTTTCAGCAGGAGCATTGCAATTCAATCATATCGACAATGGTCAAAGCCTGCCAAGCGGGGGCGTCCCTGCAGGCACGGGCTTCGCGTGTTGACAAGCCTCGTCGCGTGCAGAGACACCGCGACGATCTCCCGTCATAGTGAGATCGATTCCTCGAGATCGGCTTCGACGAGAACAGAGTAGCGACAAGCTACGACTTTTGGCGAGGAAAGGAAGCTGGAGAAGCTACGGGAGCGGAAGAGAGGAAACGCAAGACAATCCCCATCGGACTACTCGCTGGCGAGACTTTCCGGTTGTTCTGCAGCGATCACTTTGACAATTTCTACTCGGATATCTATCTCTCCGAGGCTCAAAGGGTGGTGTTCCTACCCCTTGACGACACGGACAGTCCCGGACCGCGCCAACTGAAGCCTGGCAGCGAGATTGACGCGTTGTATGGCGACGAGTATGTCGATAAAAATGCCAACCCAACTGCCACTTTGGGCCATTCTGCCCTCGGAAGCGCGCGAGCGAGGAAACTTTCGAACTCAGGAGCGACGAATGGCAAGTACGAACAGTCATTCAAGTGTGTTGGCAACGCTTACCTAAAGTCTCATGGGAGATGGTGTTCTATCCTCATGCTCCGCCTGCCGCTGCTCCAAAGACGTTCGAGTTTGCTGGCATCTGGCGCAATTGGGAAGAAGGCAGGGGAGCAGCAGAAAAGCCGCGCCGCTTGCCCCATGAGGCATGGGCTGAGATGGCGTCGTGGGATGAGTAGAGGTACTTCTGACGTGTCGATCCAGGGGCAACGTTTCGCATCTTGAGCACACTGTGTCTGTTCAAGGCTGAGTAGTTATGAGCGAGAGAGCTTGTCGGTTGCAGATTAAATCGGACCGGCCATCATTGGAGTGGTGCTGGCTGTCACAATATTGACGTGATTTGTTGATGATCCTCCTGTCGATCTGTCGCTGTCATTGCAACAGGCTGGAAAAAGTGCCATCATTCAGGAGAGACCTTCTATGCAATCCAGATTCTATCCTCAGAGATCCTTCTTCATGATGGACACTTTCTCTCAGTCAAGAGCTCCAATTCCCATGTGACATGCAGGTTGTTACTAGGCACAAAAGTTTTGTCCTTGAATCTCAATTGTATATTTCATTCTATTTCATGCGCGAAGTTTTCTGGAAGGCTTTGGGCGAGTCTACTCGGTAAGTGTGCGGAGACCCGTCTGCTTCCATCTACTGTACATGGTATCCGTCGTCTGCGAACGCAAGCCTAATCGAGATAGGAATGCAGAGAGTGAACTGACCCATTCGTAGCTGGAGGGAGAGCTTGTAAGCGAGCCCACGTTCAACTCGAATGACTCAAACAGAGCCATGTCCTCATTGACACGCCCACTTCCCTCTGGGAAACGGGAAGAGGGCCGCTCCGCAAGATCGCCGATGGTAACCAGCACTTCACTTCCCTCGAGCCAGCCTCTTGTTCCCTTCCCTGTTGAAATGATCCCGAAGCGACAGGGACAAAAGAATCGCTCAGCCGTGTGACGTGACCGTCCCATCGAATCACAAAGCCGAGATCAAGCAACGCACATGAAGGTCCTTCCACATTCGTAAGGCCGTCCGCAGAGATTTGATAGCTTAGAACAATGGACACGTGCATTAGTCACGCCTGCCGCAGAGAGTCGGTAGCGCAGGAAGACTTCAGCCCTGAAGGGAGGTTGAGGTACATGAGCTATGACGGGACAATGGTTGCAGATGGTCTGGTGACCCTGGTTAAGAAAGCGTTCTGTTTGGAGAAAGCAAAGCCCAGCCTTCATCCCAATCGTGGGCCTCGTGGTTCCTTGCACTTCCTGTCTATGTTGTCGATTGCACTTGCGCAGAATCCGATCATATTGGATAGCACCTCGCCTCACCGTGTCGTGGCTGCATCAGCTGTTATCAACAGATTCAGACAAGGTATGGCCATTCATTAGACCATCACAACTGTCCCGCGCAGCACCTTTGGCTGTGCTTCGTAGAGTCGATCGCCGTCATCGATTGATTGGGTGGCGGCATTAGAGCAGTTCCGAGGGTCAGTCTCAATTTGGCCGGACGCATGTCTGCCCAAGGTCAGTCAGTTTGAGTGCACATATGCCCAACCTCAGGCCAGATGTCAACTTCATTGGCTGCTTCATTTTGGGCATCAACGCCAGTCGCCTCCTTTTGGCCTGTTCCCGAGCGGCAGGTCTGGTCGATGCTCCGTCCAGAAAGATGGAGAGTCGCTTGAAATGGACCGATATGTCAACAGCAAACCACGTGTGTAACAAAGGTCAAGGAGAGCTACCTCGCCTTGCGCTGGTGCATTGGACAAAAAAATCGAGTTCCAGGGCGGTCTCTTCTGAGAGACAACGGGCAGTCTGAGAACAACGGACAATAAACAGTTGGGGAACAAAGAAGAATTGACAAAATGAGCGCTAGAGAAGTTGCCGTGGCGCTGAAAATCCGCGGCCAAGTTGCAAAAGAAGAAATTGCTCGAGTTGCTTCAAGTGAAGGGCGAAGTGATTGGTGATCAGTGATGAATGTTACACAGGGCGGAAGCGATTCGCAGAAGTCACCAGTGACAGGCGGATTGGCTGCGTCTCAATGTGATTGTCAATGTGATAGTGGTTTAGCTGATGCTGATTATTGGGTCCCAGACTGTCCTTTGTTCCCATACTATCCTTTCCTGGGCTGTCCTTTATTCCTAGACCAGAGGCTGGGCGTGATATTTTGATTGTTGCAATGATGTCCTTTGTTCTTCGAAACCATCGTAGTAGTGTTATCAAGTGACAGTTAACCAATACCAATACGATCCTTATAAGCACCTAGCGATAGCACGCTCGCGACTGATTCGACCGTGTGGGCGAAGTGCTCTGGTTCTCCACGACATCTAGGCAAAGGGGTCGTTCAGCCTGCTCGCTCCCTGTTGTCTGGAAAGTTTGTCCAATGGCTGGCCTGCTAAAGACTTTTTGAGTGTCCAGCATTATCATCAAACCTACTCACCGCCGTGCTTGGTAGCCATTCATGGACTGGTTCTTTACTCCTGGATCGATAGTCCTTGCTCCTAGGCTGTCCTTTGTTCCTAGGCTATCCTTTGCTCCAGGATTGGCCGTCCGTTGCTCCTCGGCTGTCCTTTGTTCCCGGACTGTCCGTTGTTCTTTGATCCTCCACTGTCCTTTGCTCCTGGACCTGTTCTTTGCTCCTAATTTTCCGGCGATCCTGATGGTGCATTCTTCTAGTTGAGGGAATCTTTTGATGCGGTCCCAATTACCATCACAAAAGCGATCGACAAATACTAAAGCATCTGTCGATTTCCTCTAAACTTCTCAAGTGCTGTTTGTATTTGGAGATCGTCAGGAAACGAGTCAAAGACTTTGTAGATTGAATCCTACCTTCTGTCCTCGTCAGCCTGTAGAGTTATTTGACAATCCTTCCAATAACTTTGGTTTGCGCTTCCAACTTGCGCTCGGACACGCCAATAACTTGGTCCCACGAACCAGTATATCAAAGAGACTCACACTTGAAGGAGTAGACGCAGGGAAGTAGAAGCCATAGTCCATCCTGATGAGCAGCAATACGCTCGGCTCTTGTGCACGGAGGAGCGACAGATCTCCAGAGAGGATGTATGTGTGCGTGGGCCACAAGTCCGTCGTGGTGTCTCGGCCATTTTTCTGCTTTGAGCTGGGGACGCAAAGGGGAACCAGGGAAGGCATCTGGGTAGATAGTCCGGCCACCGTCTTCAGAGCAGGTAGCATCAGTCACAGATAGAGAACAGTGTCATGATACGACGTGCTTGGAGTTTTGGGTTCTTCTTGGTCATCGGCAGCCCGATGTGGCAGGTCTTTGGATGTCCATAGACCGGCGCTCTTCATTTCAGACAAGGCAAGTCATCTGCAAGGGTCTCGCAATGTGGGAGAAGCGGTTGATATCTGAAAACAAAAGGGGGCTTATGCGGGACATCGAAGTGTTGGGTACTACCCGGGGTTTGGGTCCATTACGCCAAGGAATAGAGATACATTCATTCATCATTGAAATCTCGTACATGGATGAATTGGACTTGACCTTGCTAAGATTCTGCAAGAAAAGGCTTCCAAAATGGAAGAAGTTCCTCAGATCGGCTCTGGAGCGCCTATTGGGCTGTGCCAACTCTTGGCAACCGGGCCACACAAAGGGTCGTGGTCACGTGGGGAGGGCTCTGCACCCACAGTACCAGCACCTCGATTAGGATTGCTCGTCACTCAAAGTGCGGAGAAGCCCAACTAAATTTATTTTGCTTCTTTTCTGGCGCCCTCAACTACGGTTTAGCTGTTGTTTGCGTCGCCCATTGCTTCTCCTTTTCGCCTACACGGACCTCTTGACTTGGACGTTGCCGCAAGCTTCGAGTTGCCTCAGGAAATTCGTGAGCGACGCTTTCCTCAAATCTCACTCCTTCAGACAATACGTTACTGTTTCAGTAATCAAACCTCAACGTTGCAAACAAAGGCAAAATGGCAAAAGACAAATCGGCCACAGCTGAGCGCAAGGCTGAGCGAAAAGCCGAGAAAAAGGCCCTCAAGGCAGAAAAAGTCGCGAAGAAACAAGCTGCTGCGACATCAAAAGCTGGCGGTGCCGGTCCTACTGGAGTGACGAAGGCCAAAGGAGAAAACAAAGAGAAAAAGGCGGCCAGGAAGGTGCTGGCAGAGAAGGCGTTGAGTGAGCTTAAGGGCAAGGGTAACGAGAAAATCAAGTCAGAAGCAGAGGACCAGGATGAGCAGGAAAGTGGTGAGGAGGAGGACGAGGAGATGGAGGAGCAGAATGGTGTGAAAGTCGAGGAGGCGGACGAAGAGGAAGAAGACTCAGAAAAACCAACCAAGAAAGAAGGCATTGTTGAAGAAAAGAAGAAAATCCTCGCTACACGACCTGTTGGAGCATTGGTGCCCTTTGCGAATCCACTGGCTGACGATAAGGTGGCCAAGAAGGTGTTCAAGTGTGTCAAAAAAGGTGATTTATAGCTTCCCACCCTCCCCCCCGTCTCTAGCTACTGCTTGCGATTTCACAACTCTACTAACTCAGAGGTTATCTTGCCAGCCGCCTCGCAACGGACTCTGAGACGCGGCGTCAAAGAAGTCGTCAAAGCGCTTCGAAAATCCCCGACTTCCTCCTCTACCGAAAACCTTCCCCTCGGCGTCGTCGTTCTTGCGGCAGATATCTCCCCCATGGACGTCATCTCCCACATTCCCGTGTTATCCGAAGACCACAACGTCCCCTACATTTACGTGACAAGTCGTGCGGAGTTGGGCACAGCAGGTCTGACGAAGCGGCCTACAAGTGTTGTAATGGTGAGTAGGGACGCGGGAAAGAAAGCTGGGAGGGAAGGTAAGGAAAAGGAGACAAAGGCCGATGGGGAAGGCGATGAGAAGGAGAGTTGGGAAGAGACGTATAAGGGCCTTGTCAAAGCCGTGGAGCGAGAGGGGAGGCATGTTAAGATCTAATCGGTTGAAGCTCCATGATTTATTTCTCGCCCACAATTGGGAGATGGCTGGTGACTGCGAGTCGAGGACCACACAGCAGCACACAGGTCGCAGCTGGAGTACGAGGTAGAGTTTGGTCAACCGCTGGTTCGGGTGGGCATTCTCGCCTTCTCACTTTCTTGTCCTCTCGCCCCCTTCTTACCTTCTTGTCCTCTCACCTCCTTCTCACCTTCTCACCTTCTCGACTTCTCGACTTCTCGACTTCTCTCATTGCTACCTGCCTCAAAGACCGTCCGCTGTCGGCTCCTACAACAAGTTAAAATTCCTTCGGCGAAACCTTTCTCAGAATGCATACCGGCACATATCATAATTATGCAGATTCGACATATTCTTTGAACAAATTTGATATCGAAACACGTCCACTTATCGAACCTGATATCGAGGTACGTTCACTTATCGACTCTGATGTCGAAGTACGTTCTCTTATCGAATTGAATCAGAAAATGGAAAACACCCCCAACAACGGAGCCCGACAGCCGGCCCTCCCAAACCACCCTCGCCTCCGTCGATTTCTCCAAGACGCATCGCTGTGTCTCTTTCTTTTCGCGGCTCCCTTGCTATGTCTAGGATACCTCGTGTGGGGTCGAAATGAAGTCTGCGGAAACAAGGTTGTTGCCCAGCTCGCTACCTCCGTCGTTACCGGATGGGTTTGTCTTGCCTGTAACACCTTCATCCAATATCGCGTCGAGGCCAGAATCAAAGACCCCGACTGGCAAGCCCTCATCAAGGAAATTGCGACAATCTTCTGGCTGTACGCTAGCGGCCCTCTCTTCGGTCTTACATTTGCCTATGTTTGTGGGACAGACTGAACCACGGTCTGACCGATCCAGCTGGATTATTGGCGCATGTGCCATCGGTCAAGAAAGGAAAGGACAGTCAACAATGAGGGCTCAATATAGGGGAAATATCACGAGCAGACGATGCAACTGTATCTGGTGCAGGGAACAGTGCAGGACTCGATTTTGGGCGTCGACTCGACTTGCAGCTGAGTTTGGCAAGGTGGTCTGTATGCTTCACATAGCTGGCAACTGCGGTGGTCAATCATGTTGGCCATTCACCTTTTCTATTTTCTTTTCGTCTTCCTTTTTGTTGATTCCATCAATCGCATGTGGGACGTAACCTGACGTGGTAGTAGATGGTAAAGTTCTCACTAGGCTACCCATTCCTTGTGGGGGACTGTCTAGTCCTAGACAGTTTCCATGGGACTCCCCGGCTCAGACGACCTCGGCGACGGCAGTGCGGACGAAAGTCGACTGCTAAGTCTCCCGAACAGGGACCTGCTCCCTCTAGCTCCACTCCTGGGGCTGAGACTCCTTTCTCTCCGCCACTCAGGCGGTCTCAGTGTTGCCCTTGAGGGAGACGGCACGGGTGATCCGTTCGGCGTCCTGACGACAACGGCAGGCAAAGGAGGACTGTCCGTTGGGGATATGGTTGAAAGATTCGAAAATGACTTTTCAAGGTCCCGGACTGTGGTCCGTGGCGATCCCTCGGTCTGCCACTTCGTCGAGCTAGAGAAAGGTTCGTCGAATTGTATCGTGCTGGATCTCTGAGGGGTTTTGGCCAGTTCCCCCAGTTCCTCAGGCAATTTGCACAACCTGGATGGTGCCTGTGCCGCAGGCTGCGAGGCATGTCTTCCTGCTGCACCGGGCAGGTGGCTGCCGATAGACTGAGACATGCGACGCGTAGCTTGCATCAAGCCATGAGAACCTCGTAATGAGGGCTCGTGGCTCAGATCTTGGGAGAGTCTGGCCTCAAGACTCGCGAAAGTCGCAACCTTGTGCACCGTGGGTTGCTTTTCTTCTTTGTGAGAAGTTTTCCTCTCCAGGATCTTTTCCCTCAGCTTCTCGGACTTCTTTGGGGCGGGTATTGAGGTGACTGTGGTAAAGAAGAGTCCGATGTTGGCCAAAAGCGTCTTCACACCGTGGGGATTGTTGACAATCACGATCAGAAGGTATGTCGGAAGGCAAATCCCAACCGTTGTTATTGCGAAGGGAAGAAAGGAATCCTTTGGAGGCATGTTCGTCACTATGGCGAAGTTAGCATCAGAGGTGATACGGCAAACATGGATATCAAGGAGTAGGAGCGAAGAAGGATGCGATCTGGAGACGACGTACTCCCATAGATTCCCGTGACATAGCTCAAAGGCAGGTAGAACAGCGTTACAAGCGTAAGTAATCGAATGTTCCAGCCTTGTTCCACGGTTATCTTTGCCATACTGACGGCTTCCCTGCTCTCCAAAATAGAAGAGCCACTAAACAACCACTCTCGAAGGTTTTTGATCTGCTTTTGCTGTTCTTGAAATATTCCCAAAACCTCTTCCAGTTGACCAACTTCCTTCTCAAATTGTCTTCGGGTATGGACCAATTTCTTCCTCCAATTATTGTACCGTGGCGATTGATCCTTGGTGCCTGGAAATAATGTTTTGTGCTCCCCGGACCAAAACTCATCCGTGAAGGTGTCCCTGTAAGTCGAAATCATGTCCTTGATTTCGTTGCTCAAAAGGCTAAGAGTCTGTGATGCCCAGAAATAGCGCCGTGAGTAAGTGAATTTGTTGTTTTCAAAGAGAAGTTCGTCTCGCAGAGCAGCATCGAAAATTGATTTATTCGGTGGAGTGGCCAGTTCTTGGATTTCCTTGAGCACGATTTTGAACCTCTTGATTGCATCTTTGTACTCCGACAAGACGGCCGTCAGGAAAGCGTCCGGGCCATTGCAATAGTGATGATTATGTTCATGTGCGTCAACGCTGGAATTCCAGTCCGGAAAACATTGTATCGAGAGGACCTGCCATGGCGCGAACGGATCATACACATGACCAATAACCGATTTGTTCTTTCGAGAATTGCGCCGCAGGGTGTAAGTGGGCTTACCGGCAAGGGAGAGGGCAACCACGGAAGAACACGTTGTCAGCGGGATATGGCCATTCTTGGATTCTGAGGATTCCTCATCGTGATTCTGCCAATGAAGTGGAGCACGCCCTTCTCCAACGATAGTGTGATACTTGAAAACAAAGACAGTGGATCGCTGTCGACGCTGGTCCTTCTTCAAGTATCCCTTTGTAATAGCTTTCGTCGGAGTCTCATCATCGATCAAAATACGGAAAATGGAATCCATGTCGAAACATTCATTCATGGTGAGATGTAGGGCAGCAAAAAGACTTGATGCAGGCTCACGGACAACGATTATCCGTCCCACGGCTTGTTTCCTTGACTCATCATTGTTGGTGCTCTTTAATGCTTCCCAAGCCGCAAAAGGTCCTTCGTCAGAATCACCGCGAGAGAACCGCAGAGGCGCGCCGTCGCTATTTACGTGGTAGATGTCTGCATGCTGATGATTGGCATCCGTCTGATGATGGCGGTCTTTGAGAAAAATGCCATTCGAAAGCAGATCAATGTTTCGGAGAAGATCCTGCAGAATGTATTTGCTGTAGATATCCCATGGGTGCCTCTTCAAATGCTCAATCAAATCACTCTCCGAGAAGTCTGTTGGAGGCAATGGCTCCTGTGCAAAATATGATTCATCGTCCTCGCTATCGGAACTGCCGTCTCCAGTATATATCGAATCCTTCGGGTGGCGTAGATGGTGGTGATGCTCGAGAACATGGCTGCTTGGATTCGAGTGGTAGCTGTCTAGAGTCGGCCGCCTTTTCGATCCTGTCGCCGGTGGGGCAACCTCAGACAATGGCAGGGAGATGGGAGAAGAGGCTAACGGAATAGATGTGAGAGTCTGCCGCGGATTGGCTGTGGCAGGTCTGTCTGGCGGTGGATGGAGAGCCTGAATTAAAGTCTCGTGAACCCTTTCGAAGGTGGCTAGGTACGCTTCGCGGTCGACTTCAAGCTGATGGATCAGTTTGAGGATTGTATCGTTGTCGACGGCCATCTGTGGAGGAGGTTGTTGAGGAAAGTACCCATCGACAAATCGTGGCGACGAAGCGGTAGAAGGGGAAGAAGGCTCCTCAGGCGTCATCTTATACTATGTATTAGTCTGCACAACAAGGCTGAAGGAATCGAGCCCATCATGCAGCCAAGAAGGGCGGACCAGCGTAGCAACCGTACTCGGTACAGCAGAACAAATGAAGGCACGACATGCAGTCAGAGACGGGAATCCAATGCCTTTCTTCATGGATTCAGTGGAGGAAGGGCTGTCGCCGCAAGGTCCATGGAAGCGGTCTACTGCTTAGACCGCCCCCCGTCAACAGGTAAACAAGTGGGTCGTTTGGAACTTGGACGCCCCGAGAGAGGTGAGGCGGTGTCTGGATTCTGGGAGACAGAGAGGTGATCTCGCCAGCCTTTTGGAAATGCGGGATCGTCGCCATTGAGGGGGAAATGGCTGGGCGGATGGCGTTCACTTCACCTGGCGGATTGCCATCCACGCCATGACGCTGTTGTTGGAGAAATACGAGTTCAGGATTCACGTGCCCAGCTGAACAAGACGAGAAGGCAAAAAGGCTAAAGGCGCGCCCAGAGTCAAGGCAAGCAATTAAATACGGAACATGCACATGCGATTGGGCAGAAACTTGGCCCCCCTGGTGCCACCGATCCGACGCCCTCATTAGATACATACCTACGATCAAATGGTGATAGAAGAGGATGGGTGGCCTGGAACACCAAGAATCCAAGAGAATAAGGAAGCAGATGCAGCGAAAGCCAATCCCGATTCACGTCATTTTAATAGACACCCGCTGGTTCTCTATCCGTCTTATTTCGTTCCATGAGGCTTCCGACAAGTCTATTGCATCTATCCCTCCATGATCACGAAGTCTGTACGCAGTAAAGCCTCAAAGCGAGGTCCTTCATGCTCCCTCGTATTTCTTTTGTTGGTGCAGACTGATGTTGGCAATCACGGGTTCATCTGCTGCCCCATCGCCTTTGAGAAAAACATCATCATCGTCTGTCTCGTCATGATACCCTCGCTCATTAGGCGAGTCGTCAAAGTAGTCCATCGTGTCGTCAACCAGGGCGTCCGCGGCCACCTGGGCCTCGGGATCGTCACTGAAATCAGGCGGCGGGTGACCGGTTCTTCGTGCCGCATCGCGGATGGAGTTGGTTTCATCAGCCTCAAGTTGCTTGGCTCGAGCCATGGTTTGTCGATAAATGTATAATCCTGTCAAGCTGCCCACCACAGCACCCAGTGCAATGCTTCCATAGTTGATGGCTCGATCTCCCATGGTCATCTTTTCCCGTGTACGCGCGATGACGGCCAAGCGGCTTCCAATAAAGACGTGCACCAACAGCTTGGGGGTGACCATCGCCGTGGCCAGGCCATACATGAATGGGCTGACTGTAGGGAAAGTGGACATGGCACCGTTCGACAGGGAATATGGTAGAGGGCAAAGTCGGATCATGGCCAACAACTTCAACCCGTCATGCTTCAGGATGAGGCTGAAGGCGGCAAACCTCTTGTCGTGGGCGACCATGCGCTCCACCCACTTCCGCAGGACACTTCTCGAGACGATAAAGGCGCAGAAAGATCCGACCACGGTAGCGGAGGCCAGAATCAGCCAACCTTCGCCGACGCCATAGACAAAGCCGGCGGTGGTGCCGGCGGTAGAATATCCAATGACGGGTGGGAAGGCACAGACAAAGACGATAGCCCATAGGATAGTCCAGCCTCCGGTGGTATGTTTCCAGCGTTCAGCGAGGGGTTCGAGCCAGCCGAAGATACGTTCGTTGAACGCAAGGAACAGGACACCCAGGGTGGCCAACGCTACCAGCCCAATGCAGGCGAGGATCTTGTGCAGAAGAGTCATCCCACTCCACACTTTATACACGCGGCGCCTCATCTTCTCAGCGTTATTGATCAGTTCATCTCGCCACGCTGTTGATGGACTTTGGACAAACGGAGAACTTCGGCCGGTAGAAATGGACCGTCGGGGAGGTCTCCAGGGACTGAGGAGTCCGGCAGAAGGAGAGTCGTCGTCGGGATCGGGTAATGATACAGGATTTGGAGCCATTGTGCGGAATGAGAACAGGGTAGGGTGATGTTCGGACGTAGAATCGATCGAAAGTAAGCCCAGCCAAAGGCGGGCAGTATAGGGGGGCAAAGGAGGACGCGGAGGAGGCGGGAGCTCAAGAAATACGGGCATCAACCATTGGGAAAGTAGGACGACTGGAGTTTGTGTGGCCGTAAGAGGAGTATGAAGAAGAGATGGAGTTGTAGGTATGTAGACATGGAAACCATAGAAGATAAGAATGGCCTCGTTGAAAACTGCGGCCTGGAGGTTGGCGGATTGATGAGTCTCGGATCAACCTGCGACGCCAGCTTCCGGGTGTGGATCATGCATACCGAGTACATCATCGTCACCATTTTGGTGTGGGACGCTTGTGCCTCTCATTATTCGGTATTGTGGGCTCTCTCTGCATACTGCAGGTAGCTACCTGGTACGGAGTATTCGTCGTGGCAACCAGCCTGAAGCATGCTGGCTTGGGCACTGTCGACTTTTGATGGCGTACGAAGTACCTACGGAGTCCTATTGAGTGATCAACTTGTATTTCAACCAGGCCGCCCTCTGGTACCAGAAGCGGCACTGTTTCACAGCGGACGGGAATATCCTCAAATGTATTGTTATGTAGGGCCATTGTTCCATCTTCTGCGAACGTTTCCGCACCAATTTGTCTCCAGGACGTCTGCTGAGGGACAATATAGAGGTGGGGACTCTAGCCGCTATCCTGTGCTCCGTACCAAATATGTACTGTATGTACATAACTACGTACACAGCCTTGCCAGGTGGTGATACGAGGAATTTGGTTTGGCCTTGGTGTGGCCTGTCGAGGCGCTTTACTGGTCCTGAAGCCACCGGCACCACGGAGCCGACAGCCTGGAAAGCGGACACTGGGCAGCCCAATTTAGTGGCCTTCTCCCCCAAGGCTCAAGCCTTCCTCCCCGCCTGCCATGCCTTGGACCAAGCATGTCCCCTAAGCATGGAACGGAGCAGCTACTAGTAACTTCCCACCCCCATCAACCTTCTCCTCGTCGTTCCACCCCCCTGTTCTCGGCTTCGCAACGAACCGTCTCTCTATCCTTGCACCCTGGAGCTGCGGTGCATCTGTTGCTCGGACTTACATATCCTTACAAGTACATACCCAGTACTTCATACGTTACGCAGACTGGCTGTGTCTGTTCCAAGGATTCCGTTCCTCCTCGCTCACTCACTCTCGGCAATCGACGTCGTTCACCTGCGTAGCCGCGCAACCTGGAGCGGCTGAGGACCTTGATCGACTCCACCCGACTACGTTGTCAACTTTCACCTGGCGATGAACTTCGCACTGCCACTGCGTTTGCCTGATGAACTTGTTTCTGCCTGACCCTTCGCTAAACGTCTCAGTGTTCATCTCGAGGACAACAGTTGAAGCACTCCCAGTCCGGTTCACGCAGCCCTAACCGGGCTCTTCGGAACGCTTCTGCGGAAGCATGTCTTATATACCCTAAAGCAATCGGTACAATCACCTCAGATATCCCTCATTTATACCTCACCGTCAAGATTCACATGCGCAAACTCGCCCGGTCACGTCGAGCATCAGCTGGATCCTCTGAACTCCCCCTTCTGTCGTAATACAATCTTACAGCTAGACTACGATCACGCCCCGAAATGATTTCTGACGAACATTACGATCTTTGTCGTCCCATTCTCGACGATCCGACTATAGAAGAGGAGGATAAGACAGAGCGGTTGGAAGAGTTGCTGGGCAAGGTGCCTGGGCTGAAGGGTGCAGCCTTGGAGAATGCCGTCCTTGATGCCCTATGGAAACATCGAAATGCTCAACGCGGAGAAACCGCCGAGACTCCCTTGCGACATAATGTCATTCGCAAGTCATCTCCCGCTCCCTGGCAGGCCAACCGTGCTCCCACGCCTCTAGGGTCGCCTCCTCCGCTCTCCTCCAGCCCCGCGCTCTCGGCAGGATTCCCAGCCTCGCGGCCGAGTTTCTCTCGCCAGAAGTCCACCATCCCGTCCCCCTTTGTATCTCCTCGGCCTTCACCACGCCTTGCTCTGGCGCAACCGATACCTCACAGTCCGAGCCTGAATGCTTATGAATTTTCAGATGCGAGTCCTGCCCCGGATACCTACGGCGACTATGGACACGAGAATGTTGACTGGCTCCTGGCTGATGATTCTGCCAGTAATACTTCCTCCACGGCCACCGGGGGCTTGAGCGCTGCTGCACCAGAATGGGTTCCTCAACCGGATATGAGTCCCTATGACATCTTGCGTTCCGTCCTGGGCGACCGAAAGACGGATGAAGAGATCGAAGAGGCACTCAACAAGAACTCGTACGACTTAGGGGCTACCATTGCGTCCTTGCTCGGAACGGACACTGCCGATACGCAATACACGGGAGTTCCGTCGAATGAGAATAGCGTCCTGGTCGGTAAATCCATGGCAGTCAACCATGCCCGGCCTTCCACTCCTGGCGTGCATAAGAACCCTATAGTCTGCAAATATTGGCTTACGTCGGGCTCCTGTCTTCGTGCCGATTGTCGTTTTGCTCACGACACTAGCGGTTATCTATGCAAGTGAGTCTATGGTGTGGTCTTCTCTGCTCTCCACCATACTAATGAGGGCTATAGATACTGGATGAATGGAAATTGTCTGGCGGGAGATGCATGCCAGTTCTCACATGACCCCGCCCTGCTCATCAATCATCTCACTGTTGGTGAAAGCCCTGCTGCTCCGCAGGCTTTTCAACTCCAGGATCACTTTGAACAGTTTCCCTCGCTCAGCAACCAGAACCTCAGAAATACCCTTCAAGCCGGTCTGGCGGCTGGAAACACCTTTGTTCCTGCCAATCAAAAGAATCGTGGGGCTTTGGGAAACTTGGGTTCTGGCCCTCGATCTCATTCTCGACCTACCTCGCGTCATCAAAATCGACCGGAGACGCCCTCATCTTTGTCTATGGACGACCCCGAAGCATTTCCAACTTTAGGCTCTGCGAAACGGGGATCCAAGCATCATGGCCACCGGTCAAGACATGGACATGGAAGTGCGGAGAAGGAGACGCCCTCTTCGCTTGCAGATGTTGTTCGCATGTCTCCGTCCCCGGCTATTGGTCAACAGCGCAAAGGCGACCCAGGGCGCAAGATCAGAACTTATGGAGGCTCCGAGAGTGCGGCGGCACGCAAAATCCCAGAACCGCAACATATCCCATGGCTTGAGACAGGCGCCCGCGCAAATCAGCAATATTTGAAGTACAGACAGGAGGCAATCAAGCATGGAAGCATACGAAATAAATTTCTGCAAAGGTAAGTCCCTGGCGACGCTGCCGTAAAAATTGTGAAAGATGCTGAAAAAGATCATAGCGCGGCCCAAGCATGGAACCGCAACGACGCCCGGGCTGCAAAAGCGCTCTCTCTCCGGGGCCAAGCCGAGAATGATGCGATGCGCAAAGCCCACCGTGAAGCCGCCAAGGCCCTCTATGAGGAAAGAAACAAACACCTGTCCACCTCCCCCGTCGACGACGACGAAGAGCTCTACATTGACTTACACGGCCTGCATCCCGAAGAAGCCATCGAGTACCTCGAGGACATCCTCCTCACCCATTCCAAGAGAGGCAGGAGGATCATCTATGCGATAACGGGAACAGGACATCACTCCAAGAATGGCAAGGACAAGGTAGGCAAAGGAGTACGGAACTGGCTGAATGAGTGGGGTTACACCTTTCGCGAGTTTAGTGTACCGGGCGAAAGGGGTGGATATATCGGCGGCGTGCTGGGGATCGATATCACGAGTCACAGGCGACAGCCCCTCTCCGCAGAAGAAAAAGCAGATGGACATGAAGAAGAGACATCGCCGACGCCGGCTATAGCGACGGCAGTTGGAAGTGGAAAGATCCAGGTGCTCAAGCGCGAGGAAGTACCTGCGTAGAGACTATGATGGAGCTTCGGGCTGGATACACAGCACCGACAGCTATGGCCCACTTGGTTCCCTCTGAATTGTTGGATTTATGTGAAGAGACGGAAGGTCCTCGACGGTACCTTCAAATCTAGCTTCCAAGGACATGGTGGCTACGCAAAGCCCGGTCTGCAGATTGCGCTGGGTACCTTTTGTTGGCTGGAGCCATATCTATGAACCCATGGGACAAATTTGATTCGGACTTCATGGACCATTCGAGTTGACTCGTCCGCAACATATATAGGCTCGAGGTCCAACAGGCCAGTGTTTGCAATCTTTTAAATTTCAACCATGTATGTTTCCTTAATCTTACCGCCACTGAACACCGAACATCTTTGCAGCTTTCCCTTTGAACCCTTTCTCCGCATCTTTGTTTTCCAAATACACCGTCTCATGGCCCTTGGCCGTCAAGCTCAACAACTGATATTCCAGTCTGTCGCCATCCTTGGGCTTCGTCATATGCACATTCACCACTCCGGTCACTCCGCTCTCGGTGCCCTCGACGTTGAAATGCATTCGGAGGTGGGCTGTGCCGAATTTGTCTACATCGGTGGAATGGGCCAGCGGACGGGCACGGGCCCATTTGTTGGCGGTGGGCTCGCCGTAGGCCTTTATCTGGGACGCGGGGCCGAGCAGGGCGCGACATTCCGCTGAGGATTTTATGCGAGAGACAGCGGCGTTGAACTGGATCGTGTAGGAGGAAGGAGAGAAGAGCTCTGTGTACAGTAGGTAGGCGATAGTGATCTGTTTCCCCCAACCCCCCCCCCGTCAGTATTTCAGCACAGCTATTTTTGCGTGGGAAAAAAAAAGGGAGCGAAAAGCAACAGAGGTTCTCACTGTTCCCACAAGACCCAGCGAGACGAGCACGAAGTTGAATGTCTGCTGGGTTCCCCGCGCTGCTTTCTCCCCCGTGCTCAGCTCGCTCCAGTTGTAGCGGCCATCATCCGTGGTGACGGTGACGGCTCGTCTACCAGAGCTTGTGCTTGCATGGCGCCTCTGTGATTGCGGCGGCCGGGCCTGATCAGAAATGTCGAGGCGCGATGCGGGTCGAACATGAGGTGGGAAGAGCACACGCCTTTCGGTCGGCAGACAAGGACATGGCGAGTGGTCCGAGATGCCAGTCGAGGACTTGGGAAGGCGACCATTGCCATTGGCCTTGGGAAGACGTAGCCGGCATGCCCGTTGGAAAGCGCGAGCTTTGCTGGCCATTGCGACCGATCGCTGCATATTCCTTGCCTCCCAAATCTTACGCCGCAGGTCCGAGATCCTGCTTTTTTTGATGATGATGATGATGATGATGATGATGATAATGCTTGAGGACACCCCGGGAATGCCGTGGTTATACGAGGTAGTTGGGAGAAATTTGGACATGGCCCTGAGATTTGCGGGGACCCCAATCCCAAACAAGCCCGAACTTTCCATTGGGCGGCGGAAGGGCAAAGCAGGGCAAAGGGGTGTCTCAATGTGCAAGCCCAGCGGGGATGCCCGCACGTGATTTAGAGTCACTTTTGTCACGTGATCATGGCGTCGCCTTCTCATCACCTTTCTATGGAACCACCAGGGCCGACAGACGCCTTTGAATGCGGAAGGTCGGCGAGTCTTGGGCAGTTCATGGTTGTGACTAGACACTCTTTTGCATCGACAGCCTCCGCCTCGCTCAATGCAAATCACACATGAACTCTCTCGAGCACAATGGCTCGGTTGGTTGACGAGTATGCCAAAAGGAGTGAGAGCAAGTCAAAAACAGTGCTGTCGATGGCCGTCGATATGGCAATAGCACCTTGTCATGATACTCCAGTGCCTTTTTATTATCCAATGTAGCCCCCTCCCCCTTGTTCACGGCTAATCATGACCCTGCCTTTCTCCTCGGCCTTCGCGCTGTTTTCGCTCGTTCCTTCTTATCCAAGTAATTGTTGTAAGTTTTCTTTTCTCTCACCCCGACGTATCCAAGAAAAGCACTTTCCCTTGCCCTTTTCCCGTGCCAGCTCGACTCCCACTCCACACCAATGCCGATCAATCCTGTCTAGGCCCCTATCGTTCATGCCGCGACAGCCACCCGAAACCATTATCCACCTGCCGGCCTCTCTCCCCGTCCAGGATCCATCGATACTTTCCGTCCTTGAGCTGACCCCTCCGCAGCTGGTCTTTCGGTCACACTTGAGAGAACCTCGTCGCGTGGTCTGTCAAATGATCTCCCTCTAGGCGCCAAATGCTCCTGGGCGAAAGCCGCTAGGCTGTTTCGAGAAGAGCCTTGCTCATTTCTGGGCGGGCTCTTTGCCCGGTCCCTCTCCTTCTCAGCCAGCCTTTCGTCTCTGTTCTGTGACATCTTGGCTTTCCATTTACCAAACAAGCCCTTCTTCTCCATCTCGGAATTAGGATCCTTCTGGACATCATTCGATTCTTGGCTTGACTGGCCAATAAGAGCTTGTTGTCCGCTCCCAGTGGGATCAGGATATGAAGATTGTGTCAGTTGAGAATCCCCGGTAAAGCTCTTCCTGGGTCGACTGGAACTTCCAATTGAACTGTTACTTCCTCTGGCTCCAGCATTCTGGCCAACAGGCGGCGGTGGTGCAAGCGGTGACTGTTCTCCTTTCTTTGCCGCAGCGGAGAATCTCCATCGATGACGACGCTTTTCTTTCTCGGGTTGATGCAGCGCATCATCCACGACGTCGGCATCTGAAGGGTCGGTGAAAGAAGAGCGAGAGTGCGTCGATCCTGGCGGGGAGGTGGGTGGTTTCAAGCCGGGTGTATGGTTTTGCCCGTTGTTTCCAGCGGACGCGGTCGGAAGTTGTTTCGAGTTTGGTGTTTCATTGGTGGGAGTTGCTGCTGTGTTCATGAGGGCGGGACCTTGAGGCGCAGCCAACGGATCATGTCGCCCAGCGCTATGGACATCAGGTGAGACAAGAGGCGTGTGGAAAATGCCTGCCTCGTCACCATGAAGTGAGTTCAGCGAGCTCTGAGCGCTGTCGTTGGTGCTCCCAGGTATCTTTGGCTTCTTTTGCAGCTTCCTTGGTTGCCTCCCGTTGGGATCTGACGGACCAAACATCGGTGACTTGGGGAAAAAGTTAGATATCTTCCGTTCTCGGGTCGTGATGGGTGGTGGAGCCACAGCCGCAGCCGTTACCGGTCCCTGGCCGGTCTCGCTTTGGGTTGGTACAGTCTGTGCTGCTGGTGGAGGTCGGGTCAGTTGTTGCGGAGACTGACCGGGTGCCTGGACGGCTTGTGCAGGAACCAACGTTCCTCTGCCGTCAGCATCATCTGGTTGGATAGACCCAGATCTGGATGACTTGGACTCAGTCGTTTCCTGGTTCGTAGTTGAAGAGCCCAGATTTATGGAATTGGGTCCGACGGAGGAAATTGTCGACTCTGTGTTATCATTGGATCTCTGAAAGCGGTTCGAGGTGATCGCTGGAGATCGCTTCGAGGGGACAGTATTGCTTCGTGCTATTCCCGCACCTCCCGCGAACGAAGTGACCCCAGACGGAGTACCCGGGTTCGAAACTCCAGGACTCCCTCGTTCTCTAGAACCGCGTGACGACACAGAGACATTGCGTCGGACCCCATATTTCCGGAGGCTCTCGGCGCCAGCACTGGCATTGGATGCAGACCGTCCAACAGCCTTTGGAGATCTTAGAGATGGTGCACCGCTCTCGACATCCTTCTGGGTTTTCTCATCGACTGCGGTGCCTGACATTCCGATGAGGAAATTATCCTGATTCTCGATCAAGAAGATTAAGACCTCTTGGCTGAGTCGATATTCCATTGGCGACATGTCGTGCGAGGGATGAGAGATTATACCGGGTTGAAAGATGGCAGCGAGATTGCCAGCAGTCATGCGATTGAGGTCCGACTTGGACGCGAAGACCGCAAGTAAGTCGAGTATGTAGAGGAGCAGTTGGCGGTTCAGAGGCGGTAGCTCCGTGATGAGCTTTTGGTACGCAGAGACAGCGGCGCTGTGTTCGCTGACACTCATATCACGAGGCTGCATTTCACCATCCGGCCCTGTAGGAACCTGGATTCGGCGGAGTGGTTCGCGAAATCTCTCGTAGAAATCGAGAGGGACAATGGGCTCGGGGAGCTGGTTGAGGTAGCGTCGAAGGATGTTGGCCGCGTCGTGGACGGTATAGCCACTCCAATCTAGCCCTTTTCCATACCTGTCAGGAGAGTTGAAGACGGCCTGCAGATCCTTGATTCGTTTTGCGGATCCGCTCAGTCGGAAGATGCCCTCCACATCGGTGGCTGAAGACTTGTCAGCGGTGTATACAGTGTTGGTTTCCAGAATCAAGTCCGTACCTTTCTCTTTGAGAAAAACTCCACATTTCGCAACAACGATGGGGACGTAGCCGTAGATGAAACTCTCGCCATATTCGTTCTGCAAAGAGATGGCGACGTTTGCATACCTGATGCTCTCGGCTAGAGGAACGCCAAATATGCCAGTGGGAGCTTCAGCTGGTAGAGGAGTTAGTTGACAAGACAATCACGGCGGACAAACCACCTGGGAAGAGTTGGCTGCCTAAACCGCAGCCTCTCCCCGGGAAGATGGTCCTCGAGGCTCTCTTACCCTTGTCATCCACCTTTTCGGTAGTCTTCCTAAACTTCTTCCACCATGATGCTAGTTCTCGCTTTGACGGAGGAGAGGCGGTGTTCAATGGTGCAGGCGCCGGAGCACCACCACGGGACGCTTTTTGGGCAAATGTTCGTGGAGGGCTCGGAGTGCCTGCGCCTCCCGTCGCCATAATGCGGCTACAGGCGCAGATGCGCTCTTCGCCACGGTTTGAGAGGAAGGAGGTCCGTTGCTTATGATGGGTGACGTGCCTTTCGGTTGTTGGTGAATCACTTTGGTTGGTATCAGACAGTATCGCAGGGAGCGCGACTCCTCTTCAACCGATACAGAAGGCCGTCCTCACGCGTTCTTGGGCAGCCCGCAGCACGCAATGGAGGGATAGCCGTCGGAGGGTGGACAAAGGTGATGAATGCAAACGTCTGCAGGGAAAATGCTGTTTTTAATGCGTTCAACGGTTGGTTTGTGAGGATGATCGGCTAGAGCGAATGACTAGCCAAGCGTGCAGGAAGGGCGCCGACGCCGATCAAGAGGGTCTCTGGGCGACCGAGAGGGCAGTCAGTCTGATTGCCGGTGTACGAAATGATGGCGAGGGAATGGATGCTGGAAAAGTTGGAGGTGACAGGAATAACAGAACAAAATGAAACGCGACCATAAGGACCTGACAGGCTGCCAGGGGTGATGAGATTGGGGGGTGCAGTTTCTTGTGTGTAAGGTCGAGGAAGGGTTTTGGCTGTGTTGGTAGACTGTTGGCGACTGCAAGTCGAGGGCCACAACAGGTCGCAGCTGAGTACCCGGGTAGAGTTTGGTCAACCGCAGGTTGGGGTGGGTTTTTGCGGGTGCTAGTTGGGTGGGTGGCACTGGGTGGTCGCAGGTGGTCGGTGCCCTTGCGATGCCCAAATTGTCAGTGCCAATTGAACCAAGCAGTGGTGGCAGTAGTCGTAGTCAGCGATGGCCCTAGCGCCACGCGCACTGCGGTGGTGGTGGCAGGGTCTGTACAGGGTGCCCAAAACACTCACTCCCCCTTCTCGGTCCTGCAAGCCATAGGTAGATACATTCCCATTTTGGACCCCGCTGCCCTGGTAATCGCCTCGCTCAGTTACATAGCACGCTCAAGACATCAATTGCTTATTTCCCGGGCTTGCTCTCAGACATTCGCATCCCTTGTCATTTATGAGTCTAGTGCTAATTGTTCACCATGGCACATTGATTTCCTTTGGGCGAGCACCGCACATTAGCTCGACGCCTAGCAGGCTGTCGAGGATGCCCAAAGTCTGGCTTGGAGGAGTCAAATCGGTACGTCTCTCATTGTCATCTGATAACTCTCCCCTGTCTGTCGCTACATACATCCATAGGGTGTACTCGATGCAGCAGGTTGTGCAGACGTGTCACCGCAGCGATCTGCAAGGTGCATCGAAGCCTCCTATGGTGCCACTGCCTGACTATCGACGCCTCGAGCGGGATTCAATAACAAATGGCACAGTCTGACACGAAATACATATTTCGAGACGGCCCAATAATGGTGAAGCGGCCGCTGCACCGAATATAACAAACACTGTAGGATGAACGACAGAGTACTGCTATAACTGAACGTAAACAATATACTTGTTGTGAACGAAGGGTGCCTTCGCTCCAATGGTGCATCGCTCTACTTGGTCAGACTGTGCCACTTATTTTTGAATCCGGCTCAGCCTATATTTAAACGCGGCTAGGTACAAGCGAGGAGGGCAAGGAAACGGATGTTCCTGTCCCCGGCCGTTCGACCCATCCCGACCTTGCCGAGTGCTCAGTTGCGAGGTGCAGCCTGCAGCTCTCGGAAACCTACACGGCCCCCAAACTTAGCCGATCGCCCCCAATAATGAATCACTTGGGTACCTAGTACCCTGTGCAGGACGGCGAACAGTCTGGAGTAATAATACTCGTATTTGGTTATGAAAAAGATTCGTCTATTCTGGTGGCTTCAACACCACCGGATCCTGCGAGCCTGGAAGATGAAAAAGCAAACGCCGCCTTTGTTAACGCCAACCCCTTCCCAGCACACCATATCATTGGGTATAATGAGTTCTAAAACAGGGCTGAAAAGATTGTCTGTTCGTGGCAACAGGCCCCCGTGACGCTATTGTGCGGTCGTCGTGGTTGGCTCGACAGTGGTGGCTTCGACCCGTTCGTAGTCGTCCTCGACGATGGCGTTGGCCAGCTGAGGCGCTGCGCCGCCTATCGTCAGATCCTTGATGGCCTTGTCGAATTCCCTCTTCATCCCATGCTTGACTGCTTCAAGGACGTTGTCCACCGTCATCTTGGGCAAGTACATGGGCCGAGTGCCTTCTCTAAAGACCCCGGTTCGGACCAAGATGGAGTACCATCTCGCCTCGGAATCGCCTGATTCGTCGAATTCGTTGGTGCCTCGAATGTCCGATTCTGGGGTATCGCCCACAAAGTAGACCGTCTCCGGAGGTCGATCGATTCCGTGGGTATCTTTCCGCCATTGCCGAAGTAGTCTGGTGGCGAATTGGAATGTTCCCACTTGAGGCTTGCCGAATGCGATGGTCTTCAACTCCTTCCCGGTAATGGCTTTGAACATCGCCTCGAGAGACGCCCGTAGTGCTCCCATGCCGATGCGGGAGTAGGCGTGAGAGGTCGCCCAGACCACATCATTATGAGAGAAAAAGACCGGCGGACCTTCATCAAAGGTTTCTGATCTGGTGCCCAGACGACCATTCTTGCTCATGCAGAGGTCGAGGATGATTTGAGAGTCTCCGGCCCAGTCTCTGCTGTCGGCAAAAACGAAGACCGCTTCAATCTCGATTTCGCCGTAATTCCGAATGTTGGAGTTCCGGTGTTCTTCATCTGTCAGTTTTCTAAAGGGCGTGGTGTCTTCGTTATCTTTGATGATGTCTCCGGGGGTGATGACGTCTTTGAAGCCATAGCCCTTGGCCACGTTGCGACATTTTTCGCCTTCACCGCCAACAACCAGGACGGTGTGATACTTCTCAGCCATTTCCCGCATGGGCGTGTGTCCGCAGATGAATTGGCCAGGCGACACCTCTATTTGGAGTTGGTTGCTGAGTTGGATACATCGTTCCTCTTCAGTTTTCCCACCACCGTTGGTGACGAAAATGTAAGGGCTGTTGGACGAGGTTAGCATGCTCGATTACTCTGTAGTGGGATGAGACGGCGGGGTACATACACTTTGATGCCGTATTCATTTTGGCCATTGAGAACTTTCATCGCCTCAATGGCCTCAGGAATAACCTTGCCCCCTTTGATGAGGACTCCGTCTATGTCAAAGGCGAAAGCGTACTTGTCAGTTGTGCTCAGGCTACTGCTGTCATCAGGAGTAGTAGTTCCCGACCCAGGAGGCGTGATCGTGGGGGGTGATTCGGCCAAGTGATGCTTCGCCATCTCCATGGCGCGGGCAGTCTCGTTGGCATGGCTGTGGACGTCCATATGTTGCGGCGGAGCAACAACAGTAGGTCCACCAAATAAATCTGCCCGTTGGGCATTTTGACTGGATAACCTGCGCATGCCTCGCTGGGATGCTTTGCTGGCGGTAGGATATAAGATGTTGTTGTCCATGTCTGAAGGATGTCCGTTGGTTGACATGGTGGGCAACCTGTCTGGTCTTCGTCTCAGGGCAATGCCAATCAATAGAAAGCCAGGTCGTTTTGTATCAAGACGAGGCGAAGATACAGTCTCCGTCGCTTATGGCAGGCTTAGCGAGAATGAGGTTAGTATTGAGGTCGCAGGTCGTACTCCGGGATTAGGGGGGATATATATATCGGTCTTCGAACAGGGGACGGCCACCTCCAGTGAGAAAGCCATCGAGGCAAATTGGAAGTACACGTGGAGGAAAAGTGGAAGATATCAGAGACATGCAACCAAAACAGTGGATATCACGAAAACTGAAGAAGACGGCTGTTTGGTGAAGGGATGAAGGAAATGGAGCATTTCCCGGAGGTCGACAGCCACAGCAGAGAGACGACACCTAACGATGGGGAGCCAAATGACGTCGACGCGCCAGGGTTTTCGTCTGGCGGGCGAATAGAGACTGATGGTCGCACAGACGGCGCAGTAAAAAAAGTCTGATAGGCCTTGGTGGTAAAAGCCGCATCCATGGTCGTGTCTGATACCTCACTGGGGTTGGAAAAACACCTTTGGAGGGCCTGCAGACTTGGTTGGATATCGTCGAGACGTCGAGTTACAGAATTTCACAGTGGTCCACCTATATGGAGTAATGCTTGTTGCAAACTGGCCCCTTAGTCACGAATCGGTACTGGGTATCTGACCGTCTCCAGTTTTTCAGCCTTGGTGGCCCATACCCCATCGTACCGTACTCGGTACATACTGTACCTAGGTAGTACTATCGCTCGGCCTTGGTGTTTCGAAGTTGAGGATGATCCAACGCCACTGCTGTCATCAATCCCCATTTTGCAACCAAAATAAGCCCGGCTTCCCCAGTCAGGAGTACCTGACGCGGAATCCTTATCAGCTGCCTTTCTCATTCGTTCTTTGTGGCGCTGACTCGGGGGCCTCTGTCAGGCTGGAGCCTTGAGGTATGGAGGTACTTGTTAATATCACATGTGCCTTGCCAGTTGCCCATGCAGAAGACTCTCAGATAAAAGCCGTGTATCCGCACATCGAGACTACTTCGACCCCGGGTGTGGGACTTGGTGGGCATGATCCTTCTGGTGTCGATTCCACATCCCGATGACGACGGTGAGGCGGGAAACTTCTGATAGGATGTTAAGTCGAATCATATGCGAAGGGATTTGGTCTTGCATCCAGGGGGGGGGGAACTACCGAGGGTTACCCAGAAGATAATGCTTCTCGCTCTACCCGCTCAACTCTTCTCCCACAAGAGATACCCAAGACGCATGTCGAGTGACCAGAACAACGCTGGACATGATGTTGAATGCTCCGGGACACTCACCAGAGAACACGTTGCATCCTCGGGTTCCACGTCGACACTGAACAACAAAACACCTATATGTGGAACTCGTTCTCCAACCAGTGTTTGACAACCAGCTTGCCCTCTTCAAAAGCGGGTTTCGGAATACGCACAATGATTGCTGCATGACTGTGGGTGCTCTTGTGGATGTACACGGGATACTTTTTGAATCCCACATCATCCAGGGCCTTGATCATGGCAAACTGGGCCGTGTTCAATGCTAGGGTCGGGAAATTGGACAGCCTTTCAGATGGCACAGGTTCATCGTTGTCTGATTTCTCAGACAATAACGATTCAGACGAGGTCTTCGCAAAGGCCATTGTAGACGAGACGGGATCCTCTACGATTGCATCTGCTATCTCCTCCGAGCCCTCCGGTAGATATTCCTGTTCCTGAGCAGCATTCACGTTCTCGAAAGCATCCTCGAGACCAACACGCATATCCTGGACCATCCATGGGATTCTGTACAGCCCGAACCCCTCCCCGTGATGATCGGCCTCATGAAGCATGATTCTCCGCTGACTGCGCAACGTCTGGATGCAGGAATTGACCACAAATGCCACCAAGATGACGGGAAGAAGGACCGCCAGCGCCAGTAGGATTGGTGCGCGCCGGAGATAGTGGTGGCTATGCGTGCGGAATCTTTGATAAAAGGACGGCACCTCGTGCTGAGGAATTAGATCAGATGGATGGTCTGGATCCAGTATCACGGGGTCGTAGCCCTTGACATAACGTAGCTTGACTTTTGTTAGATCGACGAAAGGATCATGTCTCGAGATCCCGGTCGTGTAGTACACTGCAGATCGATCATTGACGATGTTGGTGTACAGTGTGCGATTCTGAAACCGAGCAAGGGCATGAATGAAAACGCTGTCAGGGTCGGCGAGGACGCTCAGCAGCGGCCTGCCTGTGTTCCGAAACTTGTCGATCATGAATAGCTGTCTGCCTGACGTTGATAACATTCTCGCGCCCAGCACGTTCCACAGATGATTCTGGCACACTTGAGTTAGACCAGTGGTGCCGGTTTTTGGAGGGTTTGCCCTGTACGTACCTGATATCCGGTCAAGGGAGTGCGGACACCCAGATGAGGGCTGACAAAGGTGGTAAAGTTGACCGGGGTCATCTTCTCAAAGTATCCCTTGTGGTAGAGCAATCCAATGGCATAGCGGGCAACAAGCCCTCCCAGTGAGTATCCTACCACAGAAAAGCGTGTGATCTTGTGTCCATCGCGTTCCAATTCATCCACGGCGTCCTCGATCTCCTTTGCGACCCGCTCGCCGCCCACGTTCACGCCGTCATAAGTTAGACTGCCCAGGTTTCTGCGGCAAGCCAGGACTATGATCTCTTCCCCGCTGTAACGATCGCGCAGAGCGTTTGCGATGTAGTTGAGATGGCCAGGATTGCCCCAGAGGCCGTGAACGAGGACCACCAGGTGCTGAGCCTTCTGCGGAGTGGACTGACCTGACATTCTCAGGGCGGGAGCCATTCCCCAGTTAGAGAAGAGGATCTGACTGTCGATACTGCGGAGGTCGAAAGGTAATGCAGGCATCAACATTTCTTTTGTACGTGTCACAGTCGGCCAGTCAGCAGCCAAGGCCCTTGTTCGCAGTAGTGCCTGGTGGCGGTCGCCTGTAGGCTACACTATTAAAGTAAGTCAGTTAATTTAGGGAGACTCTCTTGGGCACCCCTGTACTCGGTACTTGTGGAATCTGGGCAACTCCTTGAAACGCCTTGAATGTCCTAAGTAGGCGCCGGGAATGTGGTCCAAGCTAATAAGGCCTTGTTTGCAGCTGTGTCACTGGCACAGTTTTGACCTCATCGACCCGGGAGTCCTCTCGCAGGCTTCCCCCAGCCCAAGTTACAGTCGACGTAAACAATTGACACCAGACTCTTCCAGCAGATTGAAAGCTGGCACCGCACATATAATAGGTCGTGTCGTGACGGTCTTAGCGAGGCTGCCAAACCGGCCTCTCTCTTTTTCGATACCCCGTAGAGGTTGGAGACACCGAGCGCAATAGGAAAGGCAAATCGAGTACTATCGTTGGGATTCCCTCCAAAAGAGTAGAGATGCGTTTCGCAGGACTGAGAAGGTGGATGAGATCCCATGGTTTGTTCGCGGCGAAGACTCCTTCGTCTTATGACTGTTGAGCAGGCTCCCCACGCATCACCCTTGGCCTCGAACCCTCATCTACATAGTTTCTTCTGCTCTCCCTGGGGTGTTATCTCAACCATTCTTGTACAAGCGATAAGGCGGCTCTCCCACGCCTGAGTCCTGCCTTCTGCATGAACGGACATTGCCACTGGTTGCACCGGGCCTGGAGCATGCTTATCACCCTCTGCACCAACTGCAAGGCTTGGGATTACCTGATAGCAACAAGGTTTCGATCTGCTCAATGACCGTGCCTGCATGACCTCAACCCCTCAAGGCCGAACCAAGGCGCGCCACTGGCTGCCAGAAGGAATAACAAGGATCAGGGTGCGCGGTACATGCTGCCGGGTACAGGGCGATCGGGGGCCGAGAGTCGTGGGCTGCGAACACGCGATCGTTTTCCCCAAGCAGCGGCGGCGGGCAGTGTGCCCACCAACGAACCTTCTAATCGGCGAGGCTAGTGAGGTTGGTGAGGTCCTCAACCCAAATTGAGTCTGACCACATCGCCAACCACAATTCGACCACTTCTTCATCACCAAGTACCATCATCATCATCCACTTATCCTTTATCAGTCCAGCCTCCTCCTTCTATTCTTCCAATATGTTCTCCTCCCTCGGCCATTTTCGCAATGTTCCGTGTCCTCGGCAGGACGACTGCAGCCTCCAAACCTGTATCTTCTCACATAGCTGGAGAGTGCCTAGCCCTGAGGCAGACCATGGCCTCAACTCTGCGAAAGAATATGATCCGTTCAGCGCGGGGGAGATATCATCTCCGCCGTCGAAGAGAAGGAAGCTAGAATCCCCTCCCCACCAGCCAGTGATTTCAAATGCCGTGCATCCAGACACTAGAGGCTTAGAAGTGTCTACCCCAGCATCGTTCGGACCACAGCCGCCTTCACCGTCACGGACAGTGAGTCAGCTCGCGCGAGAAATCCCAACTCCAAGCCAGATTCGACGCCATGTGATACAAGGGCATGCTAAAGGGAAGCCGACTTCTCTCGCAAGACCTGTGTCGCCTCCACCAACGAAACTCCGCAATGAGTCTTCAGTCCTAATCAAGAAGCAACCGGTAAAAGTTGAATCACTAACTCCGCGAAACGTTGCAAACGCCCCGGCGCTCTTGAAGACGAGATTGACAGTGCTGCAGAAGCTGCACGAGGAAATGCGGACTCAAAATAGCAAGCTTGCTGATTCGGACACTAAGCACAGATCGCTCGCGCTAGATGAACAGGAGTTGGTAAGGTTCGCCCTCGACGAAGAGGAAGCCGCTACAAAACTGGGAGGCGAAATTTACAAGAATACCATGGCTCAAAATATTCTGCGAACTAGAAAGATGACTATGAAGGAGTGGGTCGAGAGAGTCTCGCAATGGACTGGAGCAACATCAACGGCCAATGTCCACGCTAAGCCAGTTGACAAGAGGGATGATCTTCTTTCGGCAGGCTTACCATCTCTGCACGAACAGGTTGCTGTCCTCAAGCATCTCCACACACCTTTGGAAGGCCTCGAGAAGTTCGGTTATGTGACCACGCAACCATCCAGCTCCGAGCTTGCTTCGGTGAATGCGGGATTGGTAGCAATCAGAGGCTTTGAAAGCTGCGATCGATGTGGGACGAGATTTCAAGTCTTCCCCGGCCGAGATGAGACAGGACGCTTGACAAGCCAGGGAAGGTGTCGTTATCACTGGGCTCGACCAAATCGCACAGTTCCCCTGAAGAGGGATAGAACTCAAGGTCAATCGGAAGCAATCTACCCTTGTTGTAACAAGCCACAAGGAAGTGAAGGCTGTTCGGACGCCGACTCACATGTATTCGTGGTCAAAGACCCCAGGCGCCTTGCGACAATCCTGCAATTTGAGCACACTCCAGAAAAGTCCGACATCCGACTCAGACAACCCGTTTCCTTCGATTGCGAAATGGGCTACACCACGCATGGGATGGAGGTTATTCGAGTTACGGCCGTCTCGTGGCCTGACGGGAGGCTTCTACTTGACGTCTTGGTCCGACCTTTTGGGGAAATCCTGGATCTGAATACTAGGTTCTCTGGAGTGACAAAAGAAGTCTATGCATCAGCGCTGCCGTACGAGGCCGCTCTCTCTGAAGGCGTCCAGGAAACGCATCTCGACGACCGCCAGCTCCGTAAAGTGGACTCGCCGGCCGCAGCCAGGCAATTGCTGTTCGAGCACATCAGTCGAGAGACTCCACTGATAGGCCACGCCATTGAAAACGACTTGAACGTTGTGAGGATCATACATCCCTATGTGGTCGACACAGTCCTCTTGTATCCTCACCCACGAGGATTACCGATAAGATACGGACTGAAGCTGCTCAGTCAAAAGTATCTGTCCCGGGGTATTCAAACTGCGGGCGAGGCTGGACATGACTCGAAAGAAGACGCAGTGGCTACGGGAGACCTGGTCACGAAGAAGGTGGCAGAGAAATGGAAACTGATGAGATGTGAAGGGTGGGCATTCATGGACGGAATCCTTATGGCACCAGAGGAGACGAAGCCGTTGGAACACGTGCCTTGACGTCGTGCTTGCGTCGGTGCTCGTGCTGGGGTTGTCTTGGGGTGCCCGACTATTCTCGCTTAGGTCTAATGCCAGTTTCTTCTAATCCACTTTGACTTTTCAGCGCGAGCCCCCTTTCCTAACTTGGAGACCGTGAACCACGCCTGCAGTAGCCGGGGTACCTCGTACAATCTCAACCACTCAGTCAACGGCATTGTCCCCTGAAATTCTTGGACAGCAGAAGTCTTTTTTTGAGGCTCTAGGTACATATCAAAACGCCCTAGATTCCCAAACTCTGTCGTCGCTCTCGTCGTTCGAGTCCTCCGTAGCGCACTCATTTGCTGGGTCGAGGCTGAGACCCGCAAGCAACCTGATCACGACAGCTGCCTCTAACTGCGCCCAATCCACTGTTCTGCGACGGCATCGCACCTCCTGAGAGATAAGCTGCGCCCTGCAGCAAAGCATACAAAAATGGGCGGTCAAATATCCAAGATGATGGGTAAGATCTTCGGGTCGAGAGAAATGCGGCTGTTGATGCTGGGTCTCGATGCTGCTGGCAAGACAAGTGAGTCCAAAGTGGCGCCGCGCGGCTGCGCAGTCCAATGCACCATCCAGCGTGACATGTGCTGGGTACATTAACATACTGATGGCTGAACAGCAATCCTCTACAAATTGAAACTGAATCAAGATGTCACCACGATCCCTACAGTTGGCTTCAACGTCGAGACCGTCACCTACAAGAACGTCAAATTCAACGTCTGGGACGTGGGCGGACAGGACAAGATTCGGCCCCTCTGGCGACACTACTTCTCCGGCACGCAAGGTCTGATCTTCGTGATTGACTCCAACGATCGAGCACGCATCGACGAGGCCAGGCAAGAACTACATAGGATCATCCTGGACCGGGAAATGAAAGAAGCACTCTTGCTGGTCTTTGCCAACAAACAAGATATCCCGGGCTCCATGACCCCTACTGAGGTGACTGAGAAGCTGCGACTAGGGCAATTGAAGGATCGGACTTGGTATGTGGTGCCTAGCTGCGCTACTACCGGAGAAGGATTGCTTGAAGGATTGGTGAGTAGAGCTCCGTCTGGAAGTGATGGTATATATGTATTGACGCCACCCCTTGCAGAGTTGGCTCTCGACGAATGTCAAGGCGCAACCGAGGCCAGCACCCGCTAAGTAACACACCCCGGCCGTTGCAGATAGTCTTGGGCGGCATTGAAGCATTCGAATCGGTCTCGTGGCAGCGGAATGTGGCGATGACCCGGACGACAGCAGCCATGATACCTATTCGCGATGGATCCCGTTCTAAGAAGCATTTTGTGAATGGAGTTCAGGGCATTGAGATTTCCCAGCGTCACGATAGGGCGTGGAGCAAGCGAGGGATCAATGCTCTTCGGGAGGGGGGAGATACGTTGTGCATAACCGCCTTCGCCTATTTTGCCATTGTTCATTTGCCTAACTTTCTATCATATTTGACATATGAGCGAGGGACTGGCAGATAGAGAGAGAAGGAAGGGAGTGGGCAGACAGGACTGTGCACACGGTTTAGGCCGAGGGGGGGGTGGGATGGTCGATGAAGGCATCCAACGTTCTTTGAATTAGGGGAGACACGAAACGAGTCAGCGACCTGGGTATCCCCCCGGGGGGGGGGGGGGGGGGGGGGGGTTGATGCAACCACCATTGTATTGTACTAATGTATGTATGTAGGTACTACTCGTACTCGGCACCAGTATGGATGTTCATCGGGCGAGAGGAGTTTCCAAGGAGCTGTGGTGCTGGTGGTGGTGATGTGGAACAACACCGGTTCTTATCACTGCGGTATTGTGGTTATCACCCTCACCGTCACACACCACCACCGTCTTTCATCCTAAGTATTACGAAGACAACGGGAATCTGTGAACGGTCTTACATACCATGCTGCAGCTACTTTGTCGAGGCGGGCTGGCGATACTCGTTCGGGGCGACCGCCGTTTGGTGGCGCCCACTCTTGGGACGAGCCATGCTGTTTCTGCTCTCCATTTAGTGCCAGCTTCTTGACACCCACCTCACGCCCACCTCAACCCCCCCTGGCTCCCCATTCTTCTTGCTTCCCGCCAGTGCAGCGGATATGCACCAGATGCATGCCAGCATGCACCTCGACGCCTTGGGCCCTCGCTCTCGCGGCCTTGCATAGGTACACACCACCGGCATCCCAAGGAACACGAAGTCGATATCGCCACCTCCCGTCTGCAAACCCCCTTTCAACGGCGGACCTGCATGAACCCCCTGAATCCCAAAAGGAAGAAGCGCAGCTGCAGCAGATCGTAAATGCAAGGCTAGGGGATCGTCTGCGGCGGCGGCATGGATGAAAATTCACAAACAAAACAATTAAATCCCTCTTTCGACAATTCCTTCAGTTTCATCATCCTCAAACATCGACTTGCCTCGTGGCCGCCCTCCCCCCGGCTGCTCTCTTGCTCCTCCTCCTCCTCCCATCCTCATCCACGAGCAAGCATCATCTGACTCTATTTAAATTCCGACTATTGCTCCTCCTAATTACGCCATCCCACGCCATCTCCAGCTTTTTTTTCGACCAGCCGAGACCCGAACCATCCCCCGCCCTCAGCCTGCTGCCACCTCCCACCTGCAATTGAACGGCCCGAGCCTGCACAACCCCCGTCAAGGTCTCGAACTCCTGTCTCTCAGTGGCTTCAAATCCTCCTCGTGCGGTCTTTGTTTGAGGCTTGGAGCCACTTTTCTCTCCCCCTCGTCCTCGTCTAAAGTCTCATCGGTGGACTCTGGTGTCCACTATTTCCCGGTGTCGACGTCAAGGCAAAGGCTGCTGTTAATAGCCAATTTGGTCCAAGGTCAACAGACCCTCTTACTTCCGGCACCTGCCAGTTTCATCCTCCATCTTATTAGCAGCAGCTGGACATAAAAGGGATTTCTCTGTCTTGGGTCTGGTTTCCCGGTTCTATCAGGCCTTTTGAGTTCCCCTGTCCTCATCTTTGCGCCCTGCCATCCATTCGATTATTTGGTTGCGGCCATGTCCGACCAAAACGGCACAGTCAATGGTACCTCCAAGCCATCAGTGTTGATAGTGGGGGGTCTCGGTATGTTCATGCTCTTACAATGTGTTCCAATGCATACGCGCTAACAGTTTTTGGCAGGCTACGTCGGCCGCTTCCTGTCCAAATACATTCATTCCCAGAATCTAGCCTCCAGCGTTCGTCTAGTTGACAAAGTCCTCCCGCAGCTAGCGCATCTTGCCCCAGAATTCAGCGAAGCATGCTCCCCGGACAAGTTCATACAGGCCGATGCCTCTCGCGAGACCTCGATGGCTCGTGTTTTCGAGCACCCCGGTGGACCTGACAGAACATGGGACTTTGTCTTCAACTGCGCCGGTGAAACGGCTTGGTCGCAGACTTCAGAAATATATAAATTGCGCTCGTGGCAGCTCAGTGTGACACTGGCGAATGAAGCAGCGAAACGGGGCGTCAAGTCCTTTGTCGAAGTCAGCACAGGCATGGTATATGCTCCTAACCGTGTCCCACGGAACGAGCAAGACAAGCTGAAACCGTGGCTGAAGCTGGCTAAGGTAAAGCTCGAAGCAGAGCAAGAGCTGTCGAGAATCCCGGGGTTGAATTTGGTCATCCTCCGTCTGGCACACGTCTATGGAGAGTATGACTCGAAGTTCATCGCCAAGGGGTTGTGTCTGGCTCGGGTCTATCAGGAACAGCAAAAGGAGCTGAAATGGCTCTGGACCGAGGACTTGAGGATCAACACAGTTCATGTGGAAGACGTCGCCCGAGCCTTGTGGGCAGCAGCAGAGTGGAGATCTCAGAATTCTACTATCCCGTCATCGTCCTCTCCTACAATCACTCGGAGACCAACCCTATCAAAAGGAGAGGATGCCCCTAGCGGCAATGTGCCTATCTTTAATGTTGTGGACCACGGAGAAACAAGCCAGGGCAAGTTGGCCGACATTGTTTCCAAAGTTTTCGACATTAAGACGGGGTTCCAGGGGACCATAATATCCTCTTTCGCAAAGATGAACCTCGAACACGTCGTCGATGACCTCAACGAGGACATTCTTCAACCATGGGCCGATCTGCTCGAAAAGAAGGGCATCACGAAACCTGGTCCTCTCAGTCCTTTCTTGGAAAAGGAGTTGCTCAAGGACACAGATTTGAGTCTCGACGGCAGCTTATTTGAGCGCGTCGTGGGTTTCAACTACGAGCGGCCCGACGGCCCGACGGTGGAAGGCGTGAGAGAGATGATTTCAAGTTATGAGAGGATGGGATGGTGGCCCTGATGCCAGGTTTGAAGCGGTTTTGCTCACCTTTGCGCCTCACGCTCGAACCTCAGCACAGATGCCTTTTCCCCCATTTTCTCCCTTTTCTTTTTCCCCCTCTGGGTTTATCATGTTACTCATTTGGGACACCAGCTACCCCGAAAACTCTATTTTCCTCCTTCTTCTCAGCTCAGAGACTGCAATCATCTCCTTCAGACCCTTCCAGCCAAGACGAAACCAACCAATTCAATGACATATTCTGCGCGCGGAGAATCACGCTGTACATAACGAAGAGAAGACGAGACAAGCTAAGAGTGCTGGACGACAATGAAGTGATCAACCATTGTTTCAGATAGAGCTAATGGTGTAATTGAGGGACAGCGGGCATTATTATTACTATTACTAGTAGTAGTTACTGGGCAGGACAACATGAACCATCCGATGCAATGGAGACCAGTCCTATCATACGCATAACAAATAGCCTCTCAAGCCGCCGGCTGAGAAGGACACCAAACCACCTTATCATATTGTTGTGGAGGCTCTTGTGCCACTCTTCCTTCCCTGAGCAAGGCTCGCTTTCGATCCGTTAGGGCAGTACCTATCACGGGTCGTTCACGGCCATCAAGGCTTGCACGTCTTGGTCAGAAGAATGCCGTACATCAAGCCGACTATGTAAGCATAGCCCAGTATAAAAACCTCTGACCAGAAATCACGCCATTCCCGATCTCCTCCCCAATCTTCGATCACCCTCTGCGCTACTATCTCTCCCCACCAGAAAACAGGTCTGGTTAGAGCGCCCAGGATGGTGTAGTCGTGTCTGCTCGAGTCCTTGTCCTTGGGGAGCGACATGGCGAAGGCGCCGGCTGCGATGGGGCCGCCTATGGCGAGGTTAAACCGACATATTTTAAATCTAGACAAGTCCAGGATGCTGGAGAGGAAAGGTTTGAACCTGACGGATCATCCGGTCTGAGCGCGTGGAAGGTACGATGATCAATGGCCACTAATTCATTCCATTTGTCCCTCTTGCCTTCGTCACCCGCACGGCTGATAGAGCCTCGACGGCCTTCAAGTCCCCGTAGAGATGGCACATACGTTGACCCTCCAGAGCTCCCGGTGACAGTGCAAAACCCTTCCTCCTCAAGACCCGGCGGTCACGACGCATACTTTCATCCTCCAGACCCGCACGCCCATTCGAGCCGCATGGCACAGGTCGTTCTGGAAGTCGCGCCAGCCGAGAGCGATGGTTTGCCAATCCGCTTCCGTAAAGTCGTCTGGATCGTTTCGTGATGCCAGTCTCGGCGGACAAGACGAGTCTACGGGTGTTGAATTGGGGGGTGATACCACCACGTCTGGGAGACCGCTCGTTATCATCATTCTCTCCGGGTCCACACTATCCCGATCTTGAACGCCACGGTTTTGGCAATGGTTCACGAAATCGACCTGGTCATCGCCGCCGCCACTTTCCTCATCTTCTAGAGGGGAACAAGCACCAATACTGGCGGGTCTCTGGACAGTGGCATTCTCAAACCGACCCGTCGACACGAATCGACAAATATCGTTCCATCCATAACTGAGCACCTAACCCAGAACGGCCGATGGGGAAATGTCGACGCGGTAGCATATACCAGTGAAGAAGAGCGCGAGGGTGTGCTCCTCGACGGGTGCTGAGGGCCAGTGGTACGCCTGCGCGAGGGGTGCGGCCGTCGTGTGGGAGATGGAATTGAAATGGCCTCGTGTGGGCAGGCAAGAGACGCTGATATACACGGACATGAGAGATGGGAGAGACGGAGGGATGAGTGACCGGGAGACTAGGGTTCGTGGTAAGAGGGGTGCGCCCTCTGTCATGAAAGGTAGATTCGATTGCGATGCACCGTGTTCACGACCGTTATCATGGTCACGGGCGAAACCAGGAGGGTCTTCAGTTTGTGTGACAACGCTGACAGTGACCCCCTCCTTCTCCGGCGTGGCTTGGTTCGTTCCTTGTCCACGATCCAGCTCCTCAACTCGCATGATATGCACTCGCCACAGTTCCTCGAATGCGCGTGGGTCGCTGTTGGCCCGAATCTCGGCGAGACGAGCAATAAGTTCGATGATGGCATCCTCTGTACATTCGGGGCTCATTTTCTGGCTGGAATGGGCAGGAACTCTCTGTGCAATTTGAGAGGCCAACTTCTCTAGCTTCCTAGTAGCTCGAGCACGAGCGCGTGCATGAAACGCGGCCGCTGGTGAAGATGAACGGGTGTCTCCGTCGGCCATGTACGAGTCTTCACCGTCAGTTGCTGCGCCACTGGGGGCTCTGGCGCGATGTGCCGGGCCCTGTGGGCGGCGGGTGAACATCACATTGCGCATTTGGCGCCAGAGAGGCTCGAGGATTCGATGATACCTTTTGGCAATGCTCATTAGCGACGATTCCGTCTTTTTCATCCCACGGTCACCGTCCGACTGAGCGCGGTCCTGAGGGGCATACCTGGTATCTGGAGCTTGATTCTTGCCTCTCACATAGACCAACTTAGCTTCCTCCTCATCAAGGTCCGTCTCGGCCAGGACCCATTCTGAGCTGGTTTTCCAAATGATATATCCGAACGCTCGGAGTAAGAGATCGGTGACGTTCTTCAGACTACGATCAGAGGCTCGCTGGATCTGCTTGTAGTGTTTGTTCCGTATGACGCGGATGACCCCGTTGTGGAAATCCTGATGCTTGTCCGGTCGGATCTGCAGTTGACGAAAGATGGGAGCATAGAGCTCGCCACCCGATTCGGCGGCGACAATGATGCTGTCGGTGAGTTTGCGCAGTTCATTGCCGGGGACGATGCTCAGGTCTGTGATGGGGAGTAAAGGAGGCTGCGGTCGATGTGTATCTGAATCAGACTCTGCATAGAGCTCGTCAGGCGGTTCCGAGGACGCCATGCTTGATCTGCTGGAATCTCGAATCAATGGGATAAGGCCAAAGAGCACGAAAACAATCAACAAGGAGGTTGAGGCAGAGGTTGAAGCTTAACAGATTGGTTACTGTCAAGTGTCAGTAAAGGCGTGGATGGGATAGATCCATTCTGAGCAAAATAACACTTTTCAATGACGGGCAAGTCATTGTATCGTTGAAGATGAACAGTGAATTCGAAGCACGATGTGGTCGATGTTTCCATGACGGTGAGGCACAAAATCTGTTCCTTCGCAATCCTAGCTCATTCATTCATCTGCGCCGAGTCAGTCCACGGGACCGTCTGCGACCTACTTTCGTTGTCTACTCGAAACACTTCGCCATCAGTCTCAGCTGAAGCCTCCGTGAGCCCGCCCACCAGTTTGAAGCGACAATTTGGGTGACATTCGAGAAAGGAGCCAGTGATTTATCCAATATTGACGTTGGAATTGCATCAATCTCGCTTCAAGCCACGTTGGTCAGATCGACGGGGGACGGCCTTGCAGGCCCTGGATCTGCACCCCAGCACACGGGTTGGCTGCCTTGGGGCACTTGAGCCCCGAGAGCCCTGTTCTTCTTGAGCGCCCTCGGGCACCCACTTGCCAGCTGGTGGCGAGCGGACCGCCACTGTTTGGCAGCCTAATGGGGCTACAATTCCAGTGGCCAAGGCGGCTAGGCACCAGGGAAACTATTGCCGTCAGCAGAAGCTTGGGCCCATCCATCAGCCGTGGCTTGTGCTCCTGACCTCCCCTGGTCGTCCGCGTGTTTCCTGCGTCTGCGTCTGCGTCTGCGTCTGAGACTTTTCCATCGCCGTCATCATCATTCCCCATCGCGACGCGCTTCTGCAATCTCTTGCCTCATGCTCTCATAGCATTCCAGCCGGTTCACCTCTCTTTTCCTTGCTCCTGCACAGCGGTCACATCCTCCGACAATGTCATGGAAGCTCTAATCTATAATGAATCACCCATAGCAGAATATCTGGAGGGAGACGCCATCCCCTTCGAAGCCGCCGAACCTCCTTCGCCTCTTCCTTGCGCTCGTCAAACCTATGCCCCCCGAGGTCTGCCCAGACTGCGCGACCGATTACGAACGTTTCGCCAAACCGCTGCTTCGGTGACAGATGTCGCAAATGAACAGTTTCTCGAGCGCTTCCGCTACGTGATTGTTGCCTCCCAGCTTCTCGCAGACGATCCGAAGCCGAGACGACAACTTCTCCAACATGATCAACCATTCGCTCCACATACTCTCTCCTTCAAAGGTGCTTGTATAACAGCCGGAATTTCCTTCTCGGTCGCGTGGTCTCTTCACCTACTCCAGCGGGGATATAGAACGTCTCGGTCACATTGTTCAACTTGGTCAGAAATATGCATATACTCATTATTGTTTATTGGGGGTTATCTGGTTCTTTTGTACTTTGCTCGGCGTCAATATCTTGAATTTGTGCGGCAGTCTGCCGGGTCAACACTGGGAAAAGTTGTGTCAAATTCACATAATTATGATAGTATTGCGGCGGAAGCGCTTCGATTCATTCAAGAGGTCGAGGTTGTGTCTCGTGGGTATGAAATGTAAGTGCATGGCTTGGGCGGATATTTCGATTCCCTATCATTGCTGACACATATACAGAAGCCATCCATTACCTCCAGTCAGTCGACTGGAAGATAAAAACTCTCAGAGTCGCTGCCGTGACCTACGGACCACTCTTGGAATTACCTTGACGGCCAGCATCGTCCGATGCGTCGAAGCTCACAATGCCGTCCAACCATTTGTGAGGGACCTCGACCTTCAAAGGTACCATGACATATACGAGGTCTCGATGCAGGATTACACCGATGCCGTTGCGTTTGCAAACGATTCTCCCCTAGACTCCCGGGACACCCTGAAGGAACTTCGCTTTCTTTTCCGACTCCACCTCATTGCAAGGAAGGTTTTCCTTTGTGATCTGCTGGCCCTTCACTCTGGCTCCACCTGGTACAACGTTCGTCAGTGGCGACTGATGTGCCATGTGCTCGAAGGGTTAGATGGTGCACTTTCCCAAGCAAGCCAAGAGCTCCACAGCGCAGTAGTGCGCGAAGAATATGGCGAAGACTGCCAGGACGCTGTATCGGAAGAGGCCGAACCCGCGGCTGAACAGAGCATCGACGCCACTACGCCGCAAAAGAGACATACCAAGGCTCAATTACGCCGATTCGAAGCGGTGGCCAATGCTATCCGATCCCTGAACGCCAAAATCCATCTCTTGAGGGAAGAAATTAACTCGTTAAAGCCGAAGGATGACTCTACCCTGAGCACGACTATCACTGGCCATTATGAACAGCTTGGAGCTGAGATTCGAAACGCCCTTGTCGAATGGGAAAAGGGGCGAAACACCATGTTCCTCAACGTGGGGACCGAATCTGATAATCGTTTCTCCCGAGCATCCAGTGGTTTGCGATCGCCAGCGTCGCCATCTCCGAGCAGTCTGGGCGGGCTGACGGTTGTGGATGGCGGGCCTGCAGAAGCGCTAAGGCTGCTGAGTGGCGGCGAACGGAGTCCTTCTGACGGGGCGGGACTGGATGAAGAAGTGTTTGAAGCAGTGGCCTTGCCGCGCAAGAGAATGTCTTGGGCACCAATGAGCCGCGAAGAGAAGCTCAACAGACTTCAAGAGGACCGGAGGAAGCGGGCGACCTTCCAAGAGCATGCCGAAAACACCACCAACATGTTGCGAGAACTGCAGATGGTCATCAAGCATCGTCCTCTGGCCAGATCGGACACGCGAATCACTTCGATATGATGGACACTTGCGGTGTCGTTCGCGGCACCTCGGCTTCGCCTAGTCCGGGTTCTGTGATTTGGAATCGAGACTTGCCTTGTTTCAACATTGACGACAAATATTTCATGACGCACATGCAGGGAGTTCAAGGGATGATTCTCGGGGATGCGCCATGTGTGAACGGATTGCTTTCGGCTGGAGTAAAGTCGGGCGTTTTCGATATCACCAAAAAAGTTCAGGGTCACTTACCGAGGCACATTGGTCATATTTCGGTTGGACGTGTTTGTTTGTTTTGGGCATTTGCACGAAGATTCACTACTACTTGGTAGGTATGGGGAAGGCCGAATGAGAGACGGCGACGTGGGAGAAACAGCTGAGATCCCGGTGTCTAGCGATGGAGGAGGTCGAAGGAGAAGCGGCTAATGGCGAGACCAGAGGATTCACGCATGTTCTTTCCTTTGTGAGGTGGTTGTTTCCGATTTGTGATGGCATGGAATTATGAAGGATCAAGCAGGTGGATGTTCGTGATATAAAAGGGACGGATCCTAGGACAGGATTGGGCCTCGGCCCTGCTCCAAATTGTGTAACAAGTACTTGGTACTACTCGGTACCCCCTGTGCTGGCGAGGCTTCGACAAAGTGTGCGATGGTTAGTAATGCAAAGCTGCAGAGCTCTCGCTAGAATCCCTCAGAAGGGGAACAAGGAATCCGGAGCACCGTCATCCCGGACTCGGATCTGTCCACAGGCCGGAAGTGTGGCTGATTACCTCGTACAAGTACTTATTAGGCTCATTAGGCTCATTAGGCCTCACTAGCCTTCGTGGCGCCTTTCTCCGGGGCTTTGCGCCGTCAGTGACTGGCAATTGCCGCTGCTTTGCTGGGTTTCGATAGCCGAGCCATACACGAGAGAGAGCGAGACAAGGAGCGCGAGCCCGACCCGACGCTTCTGAGCACACAGGCACCCGGAATTCCTCTCTACTTGTTCCTCGCACCGGCGCCAGCCCAGTCCCTTATCCAGTTCCTTACTACTGTAAATACTTTGTACCAAGTACTGTACAGCCTGTTCATCCACCAGTCATGCTCTGTTGCGTTATTTCCCGATATTGTCGCCAGCCATCGATCAAGATGGGAATCTTCATTCAGAATCCCCCGTGCGGTTGCAGCCTCATCGCCAACGCGTCGCTGCGTTGTTTTTCCATCCATTACGCTGGCTCTCGAATCTCACAGATGGCTCTTGGCCCTTTTCGCGCGCAACAAGGCAGGAAATAACGACGTAATGAGGGTGAGCATCGCTACAAGTCGGATATGGCTCATCGCGAATCCTCCCCTCGCTTCCGCAATGCCTTGGCCCTTGGCGGATCAGCCTTTCCTACTTTCACCGAAACCGAAATACCCATTCGGTGCCCATCGACCATCAAACTTCCTTAGTCAGACCTGCTTTCTTCAACCACCCCTCTGATTCTTCGTCCATCATCTTCCAAAGACATAAGAAGAGAGGAGGCAAAAGGCCTCATATTGGCGCTCTCCGTCTCAAACCTCGTCGATCCGCATCGAAGCCCTTTCTCTGCCCCTGGTGCCTTTTTCAGATCCGGTCAGCCGGCCCCCACCGAGCCCTGTTCATCCCCGTATTATGATACATCATTCTCTCTTGCCAGGCGATTGTGCTCGGTCCAGACTTGTGAACTGTGGCAGCTTTGACGACGCCTTCAAGTCCTACGGCGAAACTACAGGCCCGTCTCGACAGCACCGAGCTATGCTATCTCCCGTCAAGCCGCTCGGGTTCTCCAGAAGCAAACAGGGCATCTCTAAATGATACGGTAATCCATTTCGGTCACAACGGCCTACTCACTAGGCCCATGTCCAAAAGACCATTTTCTTTGCCACAGAGGTTAGGCAAAGTCTTTTGGAGAATGTCGTATTGTGGCTGCAGGTAAGTCCAAGCCTCTTTTCCCTCAAAGGGAACACTTACCTCTTTCCGGGTCGCTTTGACGATCGTCCAAATGGGCCGTGTCGTCCACACCCCCGTCAGCCCTGGGTGTTTAACTAGGAGTATATCTCCAAGCGGACGTTGCCCCTGGGCCTTGGTTGGAAGAGCGCATTTGCCACGCGCCAATTGCAAGGTGTGACCTCCTGGTCCTATTGAACTGTTTCTCATGGCCTGGCGGTGGCTCGAGCGCATCAAGGTCCCTCTTTGCAAATGTAAGTATCGTCTAAGACGTTGCAAGTCCTCTTATGATTCGTTTGCCTGTCACGCACTTTCTCTTTCCATTCAACAATTTCGCCCGCGAACGACTGCAGCCACATCTCCTCGCAGTTGCCCCTTAAGTATATAGTGACCCCGAGTTGCTGTGGCTGGGGTCTATTTCAATATCTTACAAGAAAGGAGTTTTCGCTACCTCCTCCATATAACCCCGTTTGGAAGGCTTGCTATGTCGAGCGGGACACTGTTTACATCTTCGCCTTACAGCCGTTTCGAAACAGTCAGTAGAGAGCTTGTCTCACCAATTTGACAACCTCTAACCGATTTCCCGGTCGATATCGGAGCATGTCACGTCAGGTGTTCGGCCTGGATGGGCTCAATCTGGTGGAGGAAGCGCGAATCGAAGGGGCCATCCGAGAAGTCAGGCGCATCGCAGATACCAATCCTTCTGCCCCAGAATCGTGGGAACAACGGCTACACGTCGCGAGGACGGCGATCGCAACCTTGGACTCGACAGGGTTCATGCAGATGCCTAACAGAAGTATTGACCGTACATTCGTCATCGCTTCGTTGCAAAGTCTGGCTTATCATGATGCGGAAGGCGCTGGAGTCGCCGATATCGCGGAGTGGTGTATGAATCAGTGGTTGTTATTACTACAGAGAAACACAGATGATCTTTCCGCGCTCAGGGGTTAGTCAACTTGCACAGCTTACCAATCTGTGCCCTCTCCAAAACATCTACTTACATAATGCCAGGTCTGGGTCAAGCGTGGCTAGCTCGATCTCAAAATGTTCTTGCCCGAATCCATCGAACCGAAGGCAGCTCCTCTAGCGGGAGCAGTGGCCGGCCTCAGAGCCTAAGCGAGAGACTGTCATATTCAACGGCTGAAGAATTCAGGGATGCAGAACGCGCAACTGCCGAAGCTGATGCCAGAGCACACACGGCCGATTATGTGGAAGCACGCGGAATGCTCATTCCGGCGGTCGACTATTTCTCTAGGGCTGTCGACGTGGCCGAAAGGGAGGGAGAACTCACCGGGGAGCTGCTCTCAGAGGTCAGGACGATTTCCTCCTTGGTCCATATACCCACCGCCATCTCCGCACGTCAAATTTGGAAATATAACGACTGACTGGTAGTGGTCTCACCACCTTACAGGCCGCCGAAGCAAACATGAGCCTTGGCAACGTCTCCTATTCCCATCAGAACGAGCAATACTTCCACAGCGCCATTCGGTACCTGCGGCGAGCATCGCAGATACCCGGGTTTCGCTTATCTGCTTACCTACAAAGGTACTGGCATTTTATCTCCTGCTCCAGATGACATGACAGTCTTTGACTAACTGTGTACATAGCTACCTCGACGATTTTGGCCGGCTGGTAGACTGACAGTTCCCGTGGGGCGTGAAGTCTCTCCAAGCTACGATGCGTGACAAGGAGGAAAGGACAAGGTTGCAGGCAACCAAAGCGCTGGCGCACATCAAATTCATTTTATTTTCTTCTCACACGTTCTGCCGTGCCTATTTCTTTTAACCAGAAAGCCACAGCCAATAGCTTTTCAATCTTTGGAATGTAACGGAAACTTTTTGTTTTGTTTGGTCCACCTAACCCTGGTGAATCGGCCAATGCGATCTGCGAGGCCCCCTTGGACATCAATTATACCTCTGCGTGTTCCGCCCGCGGTGCTCTCTGCCCACTGCCTGTTTTAGGTTCCCTCAACTCAGGACATGTGCCCTTTCGCAACAGTGTGCCGTATCTTCGACAGAAGAGCAGCATCTCCCCCCACAGAAGCGACAGCCCACGTGGTGCAGATGGCACTAAGGCCACGTCGTAGCCCCAGAGATGGCGTCCCTACAAGGACAATATATTTGGGACCCATATCGCCACACGTTAGGCTCCATCGTGCCTCGTCCACCAGGAAAGCCTACTCGTCGGTCCGGTTGGCCCCTTTTCTCCCTAGCATAGATGCGGGCACATGCGGTTCCGGTGACAGGGCTGGCAAAGGTCCGCGCATCCAGTGTAACGGTGGCAGTAACGAACTACCCATATCAGGGTGGCAGGGTGCGCAGCTTGAGTGGAAAGGAATTTACCCTGTCGCTCTAAGGCCAGGTGTAGCTTTGTTGCGGTGGACGGACATCCCGAACGGACTTAACTCTTATGAAAAATGGAACTGCAACGAGTAGTGGGACTTTTTCTCCCTCGTCTCCCTGTTGTCAGAGAAAGGGGACGTTCAGATAGGCTGGTGCTTGGTGGCGAACACAGTGGTGCGAATACGGGGAGATCCAGGCGCAGTCTTAGCCTCACGAGGCTGAGTGCCGCCTAGGTGTTACCAAAAGCCAGGTCAATAGCAGGGCGTTCCACGTGACGCACATTGTTGAGGGGTTGGTTATGCACCTCGTACTGCGTACCTTGTCCCGATGTTCGCTGGGCTATGTGATGTCTTTCTTTTCTTTGGAAACTCGGACATCGGAGAGCCGGAATGAGCATCAACGCTGGCTCAGCACAAAAATTACGTCTGGCCTTAAAGGGAATCTCTGTGATGTTGACGTAGGGCCCAAGAGTTGCCTAGGCACAGCACAAAACACTGGCTTTCTTCTGCAAAGGGGGACCAAGGGGACCCAGAACGGAGGGCAAGCGCGATAATACCAAAATGCCTCTCGCCGGCAATGATGACGCAGTGGGTGAGCCATGTTGGCCGTTGTCAACCAGGTCGGTGGGCGCCGCTCCCGGGGGATTTGAAACCGCAAATAACGCTTCACTTTCGCGCTCTACTCGGGACGGAAAATGTATGGGCCGGCAGAGCGGATTCAAACCACGTGACTAGAGCCAAGACAACATATCAATTTGACCCCAAAGAGGCTTAGCTCAAACGCGCCTCGCGACCCGTGTCTTGCCATATCGAAATTCAGATTGACCTGTTCCTTGCTAGTGTTTTTGATCTGTTGCATTGTCTAGCCTTCAAGTCTACCCGAGAAACCGATTTACTGATCATCGTCAATTCCATCTTGACCGGAAGGGTAAAGCACAACCAATTGCAAAGAGTGAGGACCATGGACATCACACAGGGAACGAGACTAACGCCCCCGCAGTGTTGGAAGCACGTCTTGAACAGGCAGCGATGCTGAAGAAGGTACTTTTCCAACCTCTGTTTCCAGACCAGTATCTAAAAGCTTTGCAGGTTGTGGACGCTATCAAAGACCTCGTCCAAGACTGCAACTTCGACTGCAATGACTCCGGGATCGCCCTGCAAGCCATGGACAACTCTCACGTTGCCCTCGTTTCCATGATGCTCAAAGCAGAAATGTTCTCTCCCTACCGATGCGACCGCAACATTGCCCTTGGCATCAACCTCAATTCCCTTACCAAAGTCATCCGCGCAGCACAGAACGAAGACATTCTCACCATCAAGGCTGAAGACTCTCCGGACGTCGTCAATCTCGTCTTTGAGAGCAGCGACACGGATCGTATCAGTGAATACGATATTAAGCTGATGGATATTGACCAAGAGCATCTGGGAATCCCTGACACGGAGTACTCGGCCACAATTGAGATGCCCAGTGCTGAGTTTCAGCGCATTTGCCGCGACTTGATTGCAATGTCAGAATCAGGTGCGTGAGAATGGCAACAAAAATAGAGCGCGCGGTAGAAACAGCACACACTGACGTCTTCTAGTGTCTATCGAGGCAAGCAAGGATGGCGTTCGCTTTTCGTGTCAAGGCGACATTGGAAGCGGCAGCGTCACCATTCGACAGAATTCATCCGTGGACAAGCCGGACCAAGAAGTCAAGATCGCTCTAAGTGAACCTGTCTCTCTGACATTTTCGCTCAAATACCTTGTCAATTTCTGCAAAGCAAGTAGCCTCTCTACGAAGGTCAAACTCTGCCTCTCCCAGGAAGTGCCTCTTCTGGTGGAATACAACTTGTCGGGAAGCAGCTATTTGCGTTTCTATCTAGCCCCCAAGGTATGTTCTGCGGCAAAATCCGGCGTGATATCCGAGACGTTGACCTGGGTGAATTACAGATTGGTGATGATGAGTGAACAAGCAAAACGGGAGCCGACGATGGCAAATACTAGCCTGGAGCCCACAGATTTACGATGATGTGATGCGATCAATGGTGGTTGTTGCGGATTCCGCAGATGATCAATGACAATCACCCTCTGTGTTTGAATTGATTTACGAGCAGGATGTTCGATGAACTGGCCGGTATTGGTGAAGATGAAGACGATGATGATGGGTGCGGGCAATTTTCGGGCTTGATGTCTGTAAAGCGGTGTTTTGTGTGCGGGACCCAACCCGAGCAAAAGTCGGGGTCGCTCAGCCTTGCGCTTATCGGGCGAGAGGCGAGGCTGTCGCCGGGTTTGGAGACTTGTCGTCATACTAGCCTCAGAAAATTATTCTGATACTCACCCACAGACGCCTTGTGGCCACCTTTTACTCCTATCGCCTCTAGTCCTTCTAGAATAGACACAAAAATTGGCCATTTTATTGACACCAAGTGCACTTTTGGCATTGTGCTCGCCTAGCAAACTCTGTTCTTTCTCCTGAGATCTCCATTTCCCCTGTACCACCATCGAGCCAGATGAAATGAGGTTCCGTGAAGTGTCAATACCAGAAACAAAAGTCCTGGCCATAGCGAGCCATGTACGTTGCCTCCATTGTCATATCCTAACCCCCCCCCCCTCTCCCCTCCCTCTTCCCCCCTCCTCTTCGATCGAGGGAGGGAGAGATCTGGCCGGCTAGCCTCTTGAAACTCTCGGGTGGCACGGATAGATAGGGCTGACGCGACAAATGGGCAAGGTGGTCTATGGGTGAGTTGCGTCTGCACGAAGAAATTTTCTCTTTCCGCCCTGCCTTACCTTCTACGGCGCACGTGGGCCCCGATTGTCGCGGCAACCATCGGGGTTACGATGGTGACGACGACGACGATGATTATGCCACTCAGTCGGGCGCTCGTGTGTCTCTACGCGAAAGTCGGTGACTGACAGTCTATTGGGTTGTTCATCCCTTCAGCTATGTCGGTAATACGATGGCCACGTTTGTGATGCAGGTGCTTGGATGTGACGTTGGAGCCATCAATACTGTCCATTTCAGTGAGTTACTTTTTCTCTTCCTTTTCCTTGTCATCCTAGCATGGGCTACATCTACGGTGGGTTCTCAGGCTGTGCAATAAGCCGCCCACGTCTGCTCGAGATCTGATATCAGATGCTGCCAAACAAGGCCTCGCTCAGCACACCCCTTCCTTCTCTGTCCGCCTCATAAATCTGCCTTTTCTGTAACATGACTCGTTGTCTGACCACAATCCTTCTTCCCGCCCCTTCAAAGGCAATCATACAGGATACCGCCAATTCAAGGGTCGGAGAACTCCCGCCACCGAGATCCGCGAGCTCTATGACGGCCTCCGCCAATCCTACCTGACGGATTTTGACGTCCTGTTATCGGGTTACTCACCGTCGGCCGATGTCGTCGAGACCATCGGCACCATTGCCCGAGACCTGAAGTACCGCTCCGCCGTTCATCCCGGAGGATTCTTCTGGGTCTTGGACCCGGTGATGGGAGATCAGGGCCGACTATACGTCAGCGAGGACATTGTCCCTGCGTATAAGCAGCTCATTAAAGAGGCCGACTTGATTCTTCCGAATCAATTTGAGGCTGAACTTTTAAGCGGCGTTTCCATTTCGAGCTTGAGCGGACTAGCCAACGCCGTGAGGACGCTGCATGCTGTGTATGGGACGCGGCACGTGGTGGTGACAAGTGTGCGAGTCGGTAATTCCGCAGGACCGGTCACTGACGAAGGCAAGGCGGAGGGAACCGAGGAGAGAGGGACCTTGACTGTCGTCGGGAGCAGTAAAAGGCAAGACGGCAGTGCGAGGCTGTTCAAGGTCGAGGTGCCAATGCTGGATTGCTATTTCAGTGGGACGGGGGACATGTTTGCGGCCCTGATGGTCGCGAGGCTGCGCGAGGCGTGCGCGCAGATGAACCTGCTAGACAGGCCCTCGTGGATGCCCGATGACGCCGTCGAAGCCACTGACCTGCCCCTCGCGAGGGCCACGGAGAAGGTCTTGAACAGTATGCACATGGTCTTGGAGAAGACCATGGCGGCCAGGAATGAGGAAATGACCCTGTTCGGCAGAAGTCCAGGCGCCAGCGTGGGAGGCGTGGAAGGGGAAGGGGAAACAGTGGGTGAGGACAAGAGGAGGTTTTTAGCCGAGAACAAGGCCGCCGAGGTGAGAGTGGTCAGGAATGCAAAGGACTTGGTCCACCCAGAGGACCGGTACAAGGCTGAAGCAATGGAGCTGTAAACAAAGCCTAGAAGTCTGAAAAAGGGCCTGCAGTTGATACCCAGAGACAAATTGCGTTTTCCGCACTGAGCTTTCCCCCATGTTCTGAGCGGTCTATCCTTTTCTTGTATCAAGGAGATACACATGGCACATGATATCCTGACGCCTTATCGTCCGCTCTATTGACCTTGACCTGCCCCTAGGCGCCCCAAAAATGACATAACCCGGCGTGTTGCAATCCGGTCTGGATTTGGCTCAGCCCGTGCTTCCAAACCCGCCTGCTCCTCGGACGCTCTCCTCCAGATCATTGACCTCGACAATGTCAGGCGTGTATATCCGCTCCAAGACCAACTGAGCAATGCGGTCGCCCTTCTTCACCTCGAAGTCGACCTCGCTGTGGTTGAACAGCAGGACCTTGACCTCCCCTCTGTAGTCCGCGTCAATGACGCCGGCTCCCGTGTCGATAAAGTGCTTCGCAGCGAGGCCCGATCGAGGCGCTATGCGGCCGTACGTTCCTTCCGGCGTGGCGATCGACAGATCCGTGGAGACGAGAGCCTTGCCTCGCGAGGGAATCGTGATGGGTTTGGCGGCGTACAGGTCGTAGCCTGCGGCAGAGGCCGAGCCTCGGGTCGGGGTCGAAGCATCGGCAGAGAGCTTCTTGATCAAAAGGGGCGGTTGGAATGTTGATGACAGTTTGGGGACCGCGGTGGTGGTTGTCGTCGTCGTCGTAGTCGTCGTCGTCGAGTCGGCGGTTGGAGACATCTTGAATGGAGTGTCAGACTTGAGACGTTTGGGTAATGGAGAGTTGGGCAGCGAAGGAGGCAAGCGGTCTGCGCTCTTGTTTTCTGGGGGTGGAGGAGTCGATGCTCTCGTCATTGTTCATGCGGGATGTTTACGGATGGAAGTTAATTGGGAGGTAGGAGGTGAAACCCCTCGACGCGTGAGGAGCGCGTTTTGCGCTTCGGGTAATCGACATTGCTACGGCAATGCGCGTGGTGATGCGCCGTAATAAGTCTACGATAAGGGCTACGTTGGGGCGTGCGATCCTTGTGGCCACCCGTAGTACATCCGGCAGCTGGTCTTGCGCAAACCGAGGTTAAGGAATCGCCTCGGTCTCGTTGGCGATTACCTAGCGATGTGAAAAAGCGCTGACCATCCGCTGCGTTTCGGTGCTGAGCTCTAGCGTGGCCTCTGTTTCTCTCGCTTGACGAGCAGCCAAACAGCCATGGCAGGGCCAGTACGACAGCCCATTGACCTCGCCTCTCTGGAGCGCTACATCGACAGCAATGTCCCCGAGATCAAGACACCGCTCGGGCTGAGGCAGGTACATAGGCCCCTCCCCAATTTAACGCAAGTTGGCGTTGTCGATAGTATTAACACTCTTTTCCAAGTTCGGGTTTGGCCAATCGAATCCTACATACCAGATCACAGACGCAACGGGGGCGAAGTATGTGATGCGCAAGCGGCCTCCCGGCCAGTTGCTCTCCAAAACTGCCCATCAAGTCGACCGAGAGTACAAGATCATCAACGCCCTGGGCCAGACGGATGTGCCCGTGCCAAAAGTATACTGCTTGTGTCAAGACGACAATGTGATCGGCACGGCATTTTATATCATGGAGTTCCTGGATGGGCGCATGGTGACCGAGCCACACTTTCCTGGTTTCAGTCCCGAAGAGCGAAGGGAAATGTAGGTGGAAGCCCGGCCGTGTGGAGAGACAGTCCCAAATGCTAATTCTGCGCAGGTGGCATGATGCAATACGGACTCTGGCAAAATTCCATCGGGTAGACTTCAAAAAAGTTGGACTCTCGGATTTTGGCCGTCACGGAAACTTCTACGACCGCCAGCTGAAGACATTTGGGACACTGTCCAAGGTGCAGGCGGAAGCGGTGGATGTTGACACGAAGAAGCCCGTGGGAGAGATACCCCATTTCAATGACATGGTCACATTCTTCAAGCAAAAGTCGACCCAGCCCAAGGACCGTGTCACGCTGATCCACGGAGACTACAAGATCGACAATCTGGTATTTCATAAGACGGAGCCTCGAGTCATCGGCATATTGGACTGGGAGATGGCCACCATTGGCCACCCCCTCTCGGATCTTGTAAATCTCACGGCGCCCTGGAGCTGGGTAGGACGGAATCTGGGAACCGCTCACGCCCAAGGCGAAACGGAAGCCTTCAAGGATGGGGTGACTCCTGGGCTTCCCACACTAGATGAGGTTGTGCGATGGTACGCTGAAGCTTCTGGCTATGACCCGGCGAACGAGCTGGCTTGGGGCAATGCTTTTGGAGGATTCAGAGGCGCAATCATCATGCAGGGTATTGCAGCCAGGTACGCCCGACGGCAAGCCAGCGGCATGACTGCGAAAAATTACGGGGCGCAAATGCCTGCGTACGGTGAGTGGGCGTATGGCTTGGTAGAGAAGCTCAAAGAGGCATCGGAGGGGAAAGCGAAGCTATAATAGAAACGGCGCCAGAATCGTCTTGGAGTAGCAGCAGTGACCTTACTCACTAGTAAATATCAACCACGAACACCGCTTCATCCTTCCTTGCTCGCTGTCACCCTCATCGCCAGCACCAGCTGCGACCGCAGAGAGGACGGCTTTCTTCCGGCGCCGTGGCCTGCTTCCTCACCATGGGTCACATACCCACCTTCCTTTGCCGTCGGCTTCTTCCATCTTAAGTAACCCTTTGTATTCCACCGCTCCACTGATTACTTGCTGATTACTTAGCCGTCCGGGGTATCTTTCCAAAAGGTCAGGCAGGATTCATGCTGACATTGTAACCAGTCGACCCCACCACCGCCCAATACGCCCTTTACGCCCTCTACGCCCCCTGCTCGCTCGAACTCGGAACTCGAAGGGGGAATGAAAAAAGCACCTGCATGCGGTAAGCGAGCAGGATTCCAAAAAGAGAGAGGCCACACCCAAAGGGGGGATAAACCAGATAAAATAGCCTGAACAAGGGACCTTAAAAAGAAAAAGAAAAATAGGACGTGGAGACTGTTATCCCGCAATCAGCGAATCCTGGGCCTCGACCATTGTCTCAATTTACTTTGCCTTGCATGTCATCACACCTGGCCGACGTCGTCAGCGAGTCGGCGAAGACCTTCCCTTGTCCCCGTTGCCCTTCTCGGCAACTTGTTACAAAGTACAAGCCCAAACTCGGTACCATAAGCAAGCGAGACACGCGAGCGAAGACCGTGGAACCCGTCTATTCATCCTCTACCATAGGTACAGTACTGTCGCCACGCAGCTCCGCAGCGCGTCCGCTCGGTCGGTGTTGTCGGAGGGGGGGGGGAGCAGTACGCGTAGTGCTCACCGGCAAGCTGGCGTTCTCCTGACGAAAGTCACCCAGGCCGCCGGTAAATTCCAGTGCTCTGCGAGTTGATGACCGTCATGCTATGTATGATGGGCCCATCTAATCAAATCAGCAACAACATCGATAATTCCGGAAGAAGTCGAGAACGATGGCAAAGAGGCCCCTGGTAATGAAGTCTCCATGCTTGGAAAGACCTTCACCCTTCGCGAGGGCTGGTCGCTTGCCCTGACACGGCGCAGGATGTCAGCTCCCATCACTTCACAAGGCCTCACCACCAGCTGAGATCCAACTCTGGTGTGTGAGATTTGTCGTCAGTCTCTTACCGACTGACTCTCGAGTCTTCTAGCAGAGTGGGCATCTCCATGAGCCATAAGGCTTAATCTTCTCCCGGCGCGGGTGTGCGTTTGAGGAGCTTTGGAGGCGGACAGATGTTCGATCTGGCCCGACCAGGAAAAGTGGTGCGCCATGGTGGGAGTTTTAACGGAAAGTTCTGCAGTGTTCGACTGTCGAGCTCGGGCTCGGTCTCGGTCTCGCACCAACTTGGCACTCTCTCGCATATTTTCGAGCCGACGAGCGCTGGGGACACGCGGGTTCACGGCATTATTGCCCTCCTCGGCTCCGCCCTTTGCTCTCATGGGTACTGGGTAGGTAGGCAGGCAACTTTTCAAGTGAGGCGATTTGGGGGCGGAAGGGATCAACTTTCTCCGAGTCCAGCCACACAAAGCAAGGGCTAAAATGCGATCAAATCATGGTTCAGCAAGCCTGTACCCAAAACGGCTGGCTTGCATTGTGGCGCCGGGATGAAACTGAACCCGAGCAGTTTAGGACCCTTTTTTGCAGGTTTCTAGACATTTGCACCAAAAGAAGGTACACGCTATCGTCGCCGGTAAATCCTGGCTCCCATCACCAGATGAGAAGCAGGTGGGCACAGTCGGAAAAATACCCAGTGCACCCGCGTTAACTGCGGAATTACTTGTGTGCCCATTCAAGTTGATTTCAAATGGAAATCTCCCATCCACCAAAGGCCCTCACCTGATGGGGCCCATCATGTTCTTGTCAGCGAATGATTAGCCTATCATATCGTCGAAGGTTCTGACAACCAACACAATAATCGATGAGGAGATGACTCGAAATGCTCGTTCGGACCAAGACTGAACTCGGCTGGACTGGGCTGAACAATCGCGTTGTGGCCAAGTTTGCTAGCGTCCACGATTCGTCCGAAATCTCCAGTCGAATTGTCCTTTTGGCTGCCCAAACCCATCATGGACGATGGTGATGATGATGATGGTAATAGCGATGTAACGTCTCTCCTTATCCCCGCCTTGTCCTTCTGTGGCACGGGGCTTGTACAACTCCCACCAGCGTCCAAGCTTCGGAAAACGATTGCGCAGAGTCGTCGGTTGCGGGCAACTACAGGACCCTATTTGAAACTCACTTGCTTTGACCCTGGCACACCGGTTGCACAAACTCGTGAGATGTGCAATTCAGCAGGCATTTGTATCCGGAAGGGGAACGAATTCCGCAAGCGTGATGTTATTTGCTGTCCCCTCGTTGGGGTCTAGACGGAGTAAGGTCAGACGAGACAAGTTTGCTCTCACCCTGGGCTCCGGAGAAGAAGCAGAACCTCTATCTCCGGCTAGTGATTCTCAATAGCAAAAGGCGCCATGGGACGATCGTGCTGACTAGCTTAGTCAGGAGCCCAATCGGCTCTAGGCTGGGAACTACTTACGAGGGTGCAGAAAAAGCCAGTCGACGAGGATGGGGCTCCAGAAGGCCCATGCGGCGAGAACCTCCGCACAGGGCTGATGGATGAAAGTCCAGGAGTAGCACCCCCCGTGGGCTGGTGATGGTTGCATGTTGTTCAACCGACTATCCAGGCAACAAACAAACAAAATCGAGTCCTGGTCCGCGGATAACGCTACATGCTGCAGAGTCCCCGCCCACCATGAGGGGATCAGCGCAGATTGATGCTGCAATGTGCTGTCTGCCGATCGTATTCGAGCTCAAGTTACGGTCAAGACCGAAGCGTCGTCACCGCAGTTGAGGTTCCAGAGAATGGAACACGGGCAAGGATTTGTGCCGTGTGAGGTGGACCTCGGCCATACCAGAGCTGCGGCAGCCTTTGATCATGGGCGCTTGCTTAAACACCCTAGTCAGATCCCCTGGCCCACCGTGGCCCACTGCTCGCAATCTACGACTTATCGGGCTAGGTGCGTACGGTCTACCGCAACTCCTGCTTATGAAAGCTTCCGTATTCCGACGGCCAGAGATGGGATAGTTAGGTATGGGAGCGAACTCAAATCAGGAGTGGCGATAGCATATTTCGCAAATTTGGCCCCCACGGTTGCCAAAGCGTGCCAGGCTGGGCGGTTTCAACCATTCGACGAAGCGAATACAGGCCCTTTGGAGAGGTACTGTATCTCGGACGATTTCGTTCCATGGGGTGGCATGTTACCAGGCTCCTAAAGGGGCTCTTGTTTGAGACTTGTTTGCCAGTTGTGCAGTACTGGCTACTGGTACTACGTTTCAAATTTCCAGCATATCATGGGAGCTAGCATGTGGAACCTGCAGCTGAAAGGACGTCTGCGCCGGTGACGAACTGACTCCTTGTCCCGCTCAGGAAGGCACCCTAAAGGAAACAGAAATCTCTCCGAGTTGCGTTCGAATGATCATTACGGGCAGTCCGGCGACTTTCGAGGGAGGCAGTCGATCAACTCGTCCTACAGTCCTTCGCTACGCGTGCCTTGCAGCAGGGCTGAATGCAGCACGGGCGTAATCCTTTTCCAAGAGGCGCTCGAAGACCCAGTTCCCAATCAAACTACTGAGCTTGCAGAAACTAAGCTGGCTGTATCCTAGCCGGTGTGCACAGTGCGTGGCAGACGCATGTGGTCATACTTTACGCCTGTGTTCCTTCGTTGCTTGGCTGCACGACGTTGCTTTCGCATCTCCATCTCGCAGCGTCGACAAGCATTCCCACCGGCCGTAATCTAGGTAGGGCTAGTGTTGGAAAAGCCACTGAGGCACCTGTCCACCTGGTGGTCGGCGCTGGTGCCGCTGCTTTACTTCCTTACATATTCCAGTCACCATCCTGCGAGGCTGTGCTTACGACGAGCGCGTGCTTTGCTTTGAAAATAGTGGCCATGCTTAGTTCCGGAAAGGGATACTAATTCGATGGATATTTCTGGGGATTGGACATCGATTAGTGCTGCCTATTTGGCTGTGCAACCTCCAACATGCCGTTTGCGACCTGTCAGATGTCGCCAAACGACAACAGGCAATGCTTCGTATTTTCCCCGTGCGAACGAAAATGAGAAGCAAAATGGGACCTTTTGCCCCCCCCCCCCCCTCGGCCGCCCCTTTACTACAGTGCTCTGCACGATCCTTCAGGGAAGGGAGCAAACAGACTGGCCTGCTCGCCAAGCACGCACGAGAGGCGGTTCAGTCCGAGAAGAGTAAGGAATACAGAGTAATACGGTTATGGCTCCTGGAAGCAATGGTGTGCAGCGTACTGTCCTGTCCGGGACTTGACTGGGTGTGCGACGAGGTTGCTGGTAGAGTAGTCATGCTGCGTTGACTTGAACGATCTGATTGACTGATCCCATCGGGAAACCGCCGCCAGATTCTGGTTTGATTCCAAAACGCCCTTTTTGTCCGCAACGACTGCACAGATACTAGGTACCAGCGCCCCTTTACCTCTGTGCCTGATTTGGACAATGCTTCGGACTATAGTGTGTCATGTCCAAAGGTAGAGCATGTTAGAGTAGGTCACGTAGGGCAGAGCAAGACGCGCGAGTTGGGCAAGGTAGGTAGGGTAGGTAGGTAATCTACAAACGCTGTACCCTGTCAGTAAGCAAACAAGCAGGAACAGGAACCACAACGGACGGAAAGGTTGTGGCGCCTCGTCTCATCGGCCGAATGCAATGCAATGCCATGTAATGCCACGCGTGTGGGCATGTTACATATGTGCAATGCAGGGGGATAGTGTGCAATTGGTACAGTAGGTGCCTAGTTTATGGTGTAATTTGTTTGCCAACGCCTAGCAATCCAGGATTGACTTCTTTGCCTCTTCCTTCTCTTCCTTCCCTTCCTGCCCTTCCTCCCATCCTTACGTCCTTTCGACATGGAGGCATCGTGACGTGGC